CCCCCCCAGGCGGCGAAGGAGGGGCGACTGGAAGAAGGCCCTGGCGGACGAGACGGAGAGCCCACGGAGAAAACCATGGATGGGTGGAGAGGATGGAGGTCTAGGGCCAACCGAGAGGGACGCATGAGATGTAGGGAATGGATGTGGATGTGGTGTGCAGAGCCAGGCCCAAGGCTAGCAGAGCCCATGCTGTTCAACCGTTCCGGCGGCGTGGTTAGCTCATTTCATCGGTACGAGGCTACTCTCTTGGCAACTGGAGAATTCCTTGGCTGGAGGGCACACGACTACCTTGGTCTGTCTGGGCCAGAGGCGGGTGAGGCCACAGTTCGGGGCTCGGGTCCGGATTTCTTCACCGGCACGTGTCCCTCAGAGCACTATTTTTTAATCAGCCAATAGTCGGAACCGAGCTATAAAATCATAGGCCATAGTACGCGGGTCTCAATTCTGCACCGCGAGCCAATGCAAGGTGACCCGCGACAAGCGTCACTGCCCCATGGTCAACAATGGGCCGTCATTGTAAACGGACCGCACGGAGACCGTTCCGGGAGGTCCTTTATTCATGATTAATGGCACCAATTATACCCACTGCACACCGCATCCACACCGCGCCAGAAGAGCCTGGATACGCAAAGGAAAAAAGTCTTGGTGGTTGACCGAAGCGAGATGGCGACAGGGGCAAGGGGCTCTCGGGCGTGCTCAATCGCCCGTTTTGCGGGGAGCCAGCAAGCAACAAGCCCCCGACACCCAACACCTACGACACACAAAACAGCCATGGAGAATGAATGAGGTTAATGGTGGCGCTGACGAACGCATCACGCCGTGGCTCTGTCTGGCTTCTGGCGCCGTTTGGCGTGATCCCGTTCGGGCAGGCCACACGCAAGCCACCGGTTTATGCCGCCCCAGCCTTGACTCCTTGGGACTTGCTTGCTCCGTGAATCTAATTTATCAGCCCGATGGTTTAGGTAATTTTTTGCCAGGGAGTTTACCGATGATTATCAACCAGCTCTTGGCCTGCATGTCATCGGCCCTGGCCTCTGCTCCGCTGCCGTTGGTGCTGCTCCTCGACGTTATGGCCGACGCTGCTGGTGCTGGCTGTCCGCTCCTCGGCTGATTCTCCGCCTTCTCTGGACCAACTCGGATGATCCCCTGTGAGCTCTTTGGCTGAGTCTGTACGTCTGCAGATCTAGCAGTCGCAGCCATCAATGCGCACCCATGCCGCTACTCAATGCTACCTACGTACTGCCTTGAACAAAATTATGATCAAGTCCCTTGTTCCCTGCCAGCCGCGCAGGGACCATCGGTTTTAACGGGGTCCGAACATAAAGCTACCAGCTCTAGTAAGGATATTTCCTTCGCGACAAGGAGCAGCCCGCTAACAGTGCACTGGAAAGTCGCTGCCTGGCATCCATCTGGGACCTTCTGCTTGTCATTGACATGTGCCAACGGTCCAAGATCCGACGAAAAAGAAAAACGCCCTCAACGGCCAACATCAGTTGGCAGAATAAAATAAAAAATTTACGGCCCCCCCCTTCTCAAGCTCTCTCCACACCATCTCAGTGCCCGGGGACGCGTATCCGCACCATCACCACCCAACCTTCGGCCCTCGCTTATTCGCCTTTTCGTTGACATCTGACCTGGGCTCTCTCTCCGCAACGTCGCCTTTTTCCTGCTATCCCGTCTTTTGACAGGTTCTGCGGGCTTCTGCAGCACTGGCGTGTTTGGACGAAATCCCGCAAACCACCCTTCTTCCATGATCCCATTTCCCTCACCAAGCACCAGACCAAACCTTATTCGTATAATCATCGTACTTTTTTTCCTTCGCCCGATAGCACCAACCTCTAAATTGAACCGTGAGCTCCGATTTAGGAAATTCGACAGTCGAGCATCCGGGTGGGACCCCCTACCTCAACCCCCCGGTCTGACTGCCCGCCGTTGAAACAGACTCGAAAGAACCCTGAGCTCACTAATTGCGCTGGCTATGGATGACAGCCAGCCACATTGCACGCATCTCGCTTAATCGGTGTAGGGTTGTCAACTAATTTCTGTAGCCCCGATCCCTCGTAGAACCTACTTGTCCTTTCCTGTCCGGCTGCTTCTTGAGGCATAACTCGAGACAGGTGCCCAAGCTGAGACGACCTCGCCTACATCTATTGGAGCACGTGTTTCGACGCGATGCCACGGTACTCTGCTCAGGATGATTCAAAGCTATTGTTTGTGATTACTACCACTACTACTACTACTATTACCAAATAATTCGGGGTATTCATCTGTACCTCCCACCTCCGCCCCCTACAAAGCTCACATCTGAGCGTCGGTCTAATTAATATTATATACCTATTGTGAAGCAAGCAGGGCAACATGCATCCAAGACTTCCTCCGCTCGTCCGCAAGGGTGGCTAACGTAGCATTGCCTACCCGCCCTCTATTTTAGCGAACCTGGATCACTTCATGCACCTTGGGGTAGACCCGGGCCATCTCTTCATAGAGCTCGGGATGTTCACGTGCCAGGACCTGAGGGTCCCATCCCATCCCAACAAACATGGTGTCGATGCCGCTCGACAGAGGTGTCGTGAACACATTGCAAATCTGGAAACCGATGAGGAACGCAAATGCCACGACCACCGGCGTGTAAGCACCTGTTGTGTTATAAGAGGGTTTTTGGATGTAGAGGAACAGGTAAGCGAGAAGTGCGCAGGCATATCCAATGAAGATGCCACCAAACGAGAGCACCGGTCCAATCAAGCATTCCTAGCAAGTAATGTCAGCCTGTTTTCTTACCCTTGGCTAGCTTTAAGCCATTGGAGATCCCGAAGCCTCCCTCAAGCATGTACTCACATTGACGAGCGCATCAATTCCGCGGTCCTTGATCATGTGCCAGGTATCCTTGGCGGCGGGAATATACGCCTTCCCATACAGAGCGATGTGGCTGAACGCATACCGGTTCAGGAACTCGGCAGCCCATTCCAGCACCGAGATGAGGCAGCCGAGGATGCAGAACACCACGTAGCCTATCATGCCCCCAATGCCACCCTCCTGCGCTGCTTCGCTGCGGGCAACCGAGCAGAGCTGGCGCAGGAACTGGATGATGGCTACAATCAGGCTTCCAAAGCTGATTGACCCAAAGCTGTATGTAAGCGCTCGCTTGGCGGCGCCTCTGGTCGCGCCCCTGGGGAAGTTGTGAGGGCTGAAGTACCAAGCTCCGTACACACCCGAGATGGTGACGTGAATCGTGTTCTTGAGCCATTCCGAGATCCAGTACATGGCAAAGGTGATGAAGACGATCAGACCAATCACCTTGCCCTTACTACAGCCGCCACCGGCAGCGTTGCAAGATGGCGAAGGCTCCCACCGAGTATAGACGGCCACCAACGTCACCGAGTACCACGCACCAAACGCCGCGGCAATCAACCCTCCGATAAAGCTCACCAGATAGACGTGGCCATACTTCTTGCTCACGGTAATACTCGTCTTCAGCATCAGCGCAGAGAATGGAATCCGTGAGATCCATGTGTAAAAGGCAAAGATCAGGAAAACGGCAAAGATGGTGAACACGATGGCGGCACTCCAGTAACGTCGCCAGAAGTAGAAGGCAGCCGTACCGACGGCGAAGACGATGTTCAAGATACCCGTAACCCAGATGAACTGCTTGGGAAATATGCGGGCAAGCCAGACGTACGCATAGGAGAAGACGACGGCCACGGCGAGAACGCAACCAAAGAGGATCATAGTGCTCGTGTCGAGTGCGAAGGTGTTACGCCCGTCGTTGATTCCGCCGCCATTGATATTTCGGGTCTTGGTGTATCCGAGCAGCGCGATGGCAGACACGGCGACAAAGCCGCCAAAGACGAGGATGAGCTAGAGACAATGGGCGCATCGAATCACATTAGCCATTGGTTCCTGTGTCGCGCTCGGGAGTGACATGGCTAAAGCGCAACAACTTACCAGGATACCGGCCCACACATCATTGTACTTGGGCTTCTCGATCTTGAAGGTCTCCTCGAACTGAGGCTTCTCGTCTATGCGACCACCATACCCATAACCATTGCCCTGCGGCGCATAGTTGGTCGGTGGCGGGGGCCCTGGAGGGGGGCCTGAAGGTTGCGCATATTGCTGCTGGCCGCCATACTGAGGCTGTCCGTACTGCTGCTGCCCATACTGCGGTCCCCCATAACTGCGATCCTGCTGCTGAGGCTGTTGCTGCTGCTGCTGCTGGGCGGAGTTATTGAAGTAACTGTCAGCCTCACCCATGGTCGCGGTATTTCCCACGCCGGGTCAACCTAAATATGAAGGCGCGAGATGGTGGATTATAGCCGGACTGGCGTGGGAGGTGTGTTTTGGTTTTGTCGCGGGCCAACAACCAAGGGGAAGTTACACTACGTTTGCTTGGTCCCCGCGCTATCGCTGTTGCTGGTCTAGAATCCCAGAAGGAAAGAGCGACGATTGGCACTTGACGCAGGTTGCGACAGAGGATAGGGGAGGGAAGAAAAGGTTAAGATTAAGGGAGAAAACTTAGAAAAACAAGACGTCAATCAAGCCTACATCATACATTGGCAGCTATGCCAAGAAGGTGCCGCGCGGCCGAGAAGGAAGTCAATGACCTGTTGGACTTGGCGATGATTTTCGGCCCCGGCAGCTACTAGGACGAGCTATTCGAATTGGGGCTCTTGGGCTCGAGAAGCGGCCAATCGTGAGGTCATGCTCCCGGCAGATGGTGCCACAGCTCGCGGTACTGCAGCGTCTTGTAGGGCGCTGTCGCGATCCGGATCTGCGCTAGAGGGCCTAGGCTGCTTGCGGAGGGTGTCACGAGCCAATCACAGTGCCCAATTTCGGCACCAGAGCCCTGCGCTTGGCCTGGACCAGCTGAATTTGTTGACAGCATTCATAGGTTACATAAATTCTGCCCTTTCCCCCCAACGTCAAAAACAAATACCCAAAATGAGCAAAAATAAAAACATACAACAGCCGGTATTCGCTGGTCGTCACCGACCCAACTACTAATCGGCCCCTCATCCGTTTAACTAGGCGAGAGCGGACGGGATCGCGTGTTTTCGAATGGGTATGGTCGTATGTGCTAGATGGCACGGCGTAATCGTAATAAGAGGGTCAGTTACCTCGAAGTTCCTGGTATGGTGGTACCAGTGTCCGGAACCAAACATGCCATATTGCCCGCCTATACTCCCTTAATGGCTCACAAGAAGCCAGGTGTATGTAGCCATGGCCAGGAAGAATTACAGTATGACTTTTTATCCATATATACTGGCTTCTCGGGACGTAAAACACCTACCTACCTACCCACAATGAGCAAAAACAAAAAACATACAACAGCAGTTTAAATTTCACAGCATAGAAGCAACCACAACTATCATAGTCTGTTGGAGTATTCAGACATCATCAAAAATTCCATTTACCATCTCCAGACTAGCCTCAACGAAGCTTTCCTTCGAGATTTCTGTCTGACCCACAATGACACGAATTGCATATGGTGTCGCGGTAACTGAATCTAGTGCCATCTTTCTCTCCTTGACCACTTTCATAATCTGATATAGGAGAGCCTCCATAGGGAATGATCGCTGTGCATGGAATACCTGCGGGGTATCGTCTGAGTAGATGCTATTGATGATGATATCAACAGCAGGTGGTCCAAGAAACTCTTGGTCGTGAGGTCCAGCAAGACAGATTTTGCCGGTCTTGCGATCAATGTATTTGCCGTCAATAACAGGTGTTTTAGCTTCACCATGCCATCCAGGACCATCAATTGCCAAAGGGTGTTTTGAAGCCACAGCAGTAGAATACTTGATATTGATGGTAAAATAAATTCAATGACGAGATTTGATAAAAGTTTTGGAGAGTAGGTTGGAGATTGAAAAGAATGGCTGCTCCTCCATTTTTATAGTCCTGCTGTCGGGGTGATTAAGTCACGGCGCCTACCGAGTGTGCTCAGCCTGTTCTGTTCTATAATTATCAACGTTGAAATTCGTTGCCTGGAACTAAATCAGTGTCCCAATAGCCTGACTAAGTGAGGAGTCGGATTGCATGACTTGTTCCGACCAACAGCATATTTACATCCAGACGTAGCAAGACAGCGCTACAGGGTAGGTTTCACACAGAGGGCTATTACCAGGAACATCTCAGGGATGGATTGTATGATCTCCACGCAATCTTCTTTCTAATGCTTTGGTGTCCTGATACTTTTTGAAATTTCTAGACACCGCAATGGCTTTTATGCAATTGATGTGTTACGAAATACCACCATGGAGTCTACGGGCGGTGCAACAATCAAAACCCCTATGATTAATGTCTAGTTATGCTTGCGTGTATTGCTGCTTGACGACTGGGATATTATGACATCGGAACACGCGAGAAGGCTCATCAATATGGTGCACAATATAATAAATGGCTGTGTATCAAAATGCCTGCTTGGGTCGTAACATCAATTGAAGCGAAGGGCTCTGGCTGACTGATCAGAACCTTATTCCCTTACGGCCATTTCGACTTTTCCGAAAGCCGGGATCTGGGCTCTCTAGGGTGAAGTCGCATGGTTAAGTCCGGCGCAGCCAACACGCAGGGCTATAGGATTAGCTATGGAGAAAGCACTGTATTTAGCTTGCTGAATCGTAGACTTCACGTCTCATCGCGATGCTACTGCTGGTAGCCGTGGATGTTTTCACACTTCCTTATCGCCGAAATGTCCATTTGAACTACCATGGACCGTATTACCAGGATGATTCGCAGAATGGCATGTATAAGTAGATGGCCGTCGAGCGAAAACATGTTGCTGCTTTCCATTCCAGCCCACCAACAAGCAGCTTATAGCTAAAAATCTACAGGCAAGACATAACAGACTTTTCTTCGGTTACAATGTTCAGCCCTCAAGCCCCTCCATCACTCCAAAAGTCTGTCGACGAAACCAAAGTCGAGTATGTCCAACTTGGATCTTCAGGCTTGCGTATTTCCTGGCCTATCCTTGGGGCCATGTCACTTGGGAATACTGGGATCGTCAGTTGGACCCTCACGGAAGACGACTCCGTCCAGCTTTTGAAGCGCGCCTATGATATCGGCCTTAACACTTGGGATACCGCAAACACCTACTCCAATGGGGACAGTGAGGAGATCATCGGTAAGGTCCTTCGCAAGTATGAGATCCCCCGCCACAAGGTCGTCATCATGACAAAGCTGGGTTTCCACGTCGGCGAGACTCCAGACATTATGGGACCTCTTCACAAGGAGAGTCTTGAACGCAGCAAGGATTATGTGAACCAAGCAGGTATTTATCCGGTTACGTGTCCAAAAATATATTCCTCATACACGCGGAAGGCACCCTGCTAACCCGTTTGAAAACTCCGAGAACAGGCCTTTCGAGAAGCGCCATCTTCTCTCAAGTCGAGGGTTCCCTAGCCCGCCTCGGTACAAGCTATATCGATGTTCTGCAGTTGCACCGCTTCGATACCACCGTACCCCCAGAGGAAATCATGAAGGCGCTCCACGATCTAGTCCAGTCTGGCAAGGTCAGGTATATCGGCGCCAGTTCCATGTGGGCGACCCAGTTCGCCCAGCTCCAATTCCTCGCCGAGAAGAACGGCTGGACCAAGTTTGTCAGCATGCAGAACTACTATAACCTTTGCTACCGCGAGGAGGAGCGAGAGATGATACGCTTCTGCAAGGATACCGGAGTTGGTATCATTCCCTGGGCACCCATGTACTCCGGCCGACTTGCTAGACCTGTCGGCTACGATGCCTCGGCAAGGTCCAAGATGCCTTCGATGTTCCATCCTGGGCAGACAGCTGCGGATGAGGACATCATTGGGCGAGTCGAGAAGGTCGCAGAGAAGAAGGGGTGGAGTATGTCCCAGGTCGCGTTGGTATGGCACAAGGCTAAGGGATCGGTGCCTATTGTCGGGCTGAACTCGCTGGCCCGCGTTGATGAGATGGGGGAGCTAAAAGGCAAAGTCTTAACCGAAGAGGAGGTTTGCTTTCTGGAGGAGCCCTATGTAGCCCGGGGGGTTGCTGGTCACTCATAAAGGAAATTTTTCAAGAAATCATCGAACACATCTGTACCGGTTGGCAGATCTGTTGTTGGTATATGATTTTTAGGCGGATCTCGCGTAGGGCCTTGTACTGGAGCTTCTGATAGCATCGACACATCTTCTCCGTGCTGAATAAGGAGCTCCACGACGTCTCCACGCCTCCTACGTGAGCTTCTCAGCAGTAACGGACAACCATTGAGATCGGATGAGTTAAGATCGCCCCCATTTTCGATAAGTATTTTTGCCACTTGCCATTGGCCAGCCCTTAAGGCCAATGCAAGTGGCTTAGAACCTTGCTTATCTTTGGTATTGACATCACTCCCATGCTCAATCAAGAGCTTCATGGTGTCCGGATAGGCTCTGCTAGAAGCCACCGCTAGTGCTGTCCTGCCTTTTTGATCGGTACGAGTTAAATCGGCTCCCGCTTCAACCAGAAGCCTTACAATGCCTTGGTGGCCATTCTGAGAGGCTTCGAGCAGTGGTGTCTGCCAAGACCAAGTGATGGAATCGACGACTGCTCCCCGCTCAAGTAGACACTTGGCCGTTGCATAATAGCCTTTGCTCGATGCCAGCCCGAGGTACATGTTGGCTAAATGAAACTTGCCATTGATATCCGCTCCTCTCTCAATCAAAAATGCTGAAAGGCTGTCATGCCCTCCTTTCAAGGCTACCCAGAGTAGGCTATTGCCTTGTTTATTGATGTAATTGAGATCACCTCCTGAGTTGAGGATTAGCCTGGCCATGTCCAAGTCTCCAATCCGACAAGCCAAGCAAAGCGGGGTGGCATCGAAGGCAGCCGCATCCATCCGTTTGACTAATTGATAGTCGGGGCTTCCTGGCGTGACACCTAAGAGAGCTGCTGTCGTGTCATGGCTTTGATCCACGGCAGCGAACAATGGATGTCTGAATTTCTCTCCATATATGTGAATATTTGGGCAAATTTCTAGCCAGGTGGGAATGAGTTTAGAGAGTCCTTCTCTTGCAAGTATGTATGTCAAGCTCACCGCTGAGGTGTATTTGCATGGCTTTTGGAACACTCGGAGACCTTGAACTAGATTTGGGAGATCGAGCTCGGTAAGAAAGGAACGTTGTGGTACATGTTCTGCTGCGGCATTGGCATGATGTAGAATATTCAAACTACAGTATCTCCGAAACGGGTGAGAGCCGTGAGATCCTCCGCCATCAATATCGTGTATCGAACAAAGACTCAAATATGCACTACAACATTGTTTGAGCATGTCGTGACAGATACTGTTGCGTCCAGGTCCAGAATGCGGCAATAAATATTCAAGTCCATTTTCTTTCAACAGAAAGTCTCGGACAGTCTCATGAATGAATTGTACAGTTGGAACACTGGACTTTGTAACTTCGACAAGACCTTTTGATGAAGTAACAATATATCGGTTAATTTTTCTCCTGACAAATGTATCAGAAATATCGGGAATTTCTGCATCTGCGTGACCTCTCAGGTTTAGTCCACACCACAGGGCGTGGTAGTACTCTTCTGGTGTCAGCGGCCACTTTGCGTAGAGAACCCAGAGGACAGAGAAGAGGAGGCCATCCGGGCTATTCTTATCTCGCGTAAGAATGTCTTTGAAAATAATACTCAAAGTGTCTGGAAGCTCTTCGAGCTGTCGTTTTATAGCTGGGCGACCCCATCGATCATAATCATTAAGAATTGGGATTACCACCACTACCCACATGAAGACCCCAGAAGCCTTTTGTATGATTTTCAGCTTCAACTCCTCAGCAAGGTTCGGGTCTTCGATGCGTAAGTTATTTGAGATGTAGCTTTCCATATCGGCAGCATGGCCTGGTTGATCCTCTAACGTCAACAGGATGCTGGTTGGTATCAGCATATGTGGGTATGGACGACTTGAAAGGCATATGCGAAGCGGAATATCGTTCCTAGTTGATAATTTTGTGAGATTATCAAGAAAGTTGATCATCGCTAGAGCTTGCTGCTCATCACACTCATCAAGAGCATCAATAAAGCAGGTAAGGCGGCGCCTGTCAAGCTTTAGAACTGCGGCCTTCAGTAACGCCTTGAGATTATCCACCGCTAGGTGCGTGTCCTCAGTTTTAGCTCTGAATTCAGGACGATCCAAAATACTTGGAAGGTCCCGGTAAGCTCCGAAGAGTTGGTGAAGCAATGATCGGTACATGCCAGCAACTGACTTCTGCAAGATGCTGCCACGAGTATCAAAGAAGAAGGAGACGACGACCCCATTGGTTTTTTGGCCTTGCTCCCGCATTTCCGTGGAAAGGAACTTCATCATCACGGATTTGCCAGCCCCAGGCTTCCCGGTAATCCATAGAAATCCATGCGAGATCTTCAATTGTTCGGGATCTAGCCAAGTTCGATAACGGGAGGTGGCGAGAAACCAGCGGCAAGTATGCTCCTCGGCGGTCTCAATGATATCCTGTCGACTGTCCATCTGGGGATATTTGAGGATTTCCACCATTGAGTTTCGGTCGAGAACACCAGAGGCTGTCTTTGACTTACCAGAATCTTGGATTGCTTTCAATTGTTAGTAAATTTAACGTTAGACCTATTAAGCTCATCGTCTTACCAGTGATGGGCAGTTGATAGACTGGGGGCCTGGAGGACTGCGGGAAATTTTCCAGCAACTCTCTCGCATATGCCGCTGCCACGGCTGCGGCATACTTTTGCCATGCCTTATTCTTGTGGCTATCCGAATAGTCACAGATACCTCGGATGCATAGACAATCAAGAACGTGCATAAAACCAGCAGCCTCCATCTTAAAACACAGCACATCTAGCTCTGTTCCAATCATGCCACGGGTAGTGGCATCCCTCAAGACCTGGTTACCTGACGCAATACCTCCATAGTGAATTCTGGGGACATCTGAAGGCCGCGGACTTCGTGGGTGTACGTTGGAGAGATCGCAACCGCCGCACGGTGACCCAAATACTCCCTGTACGTGTTGATATTCTCTTTGGAATAGGCTATCTGGCGCTTTCGGGCGACAGTAGTCGGAATATTTCCCCATTCTTTCCTCTACAATAAAGGAGATTCGATTTGGCTGCAGCTCATGTTTGGATCGTAAGGTAGAGATGGTAGTGTTAAGAGCACGGGGGGGACGGACTGGTTGACCTGTCCGATGGACTTTCCCTTCCCCTAGGGTCTTGCCCAGATCATGCTGTACGATCTTTGTCCCAACCACGATATCGCCGAGGCGGATATCCTCATTATCCGGAATTCCACCCCCAATCCCTACCATCAATCCAAATTCGATGGAAGGGAAGGTTCGCTGGAGGTTCGCCACCACATTTGCCGCATCGTTGGTTCCGTACTGCCCATCAGGCAGGCAAGCAATCACGACATTATGTTGACAAATGCTTCCAAGGAGGTAGTTGTTGGGATCCTCCCGTGGTTGAGAAGCCAGCGGCTCGTGAACCTCGTCCAGCATGGCACGAGCCGCTGTCATTTCAAAATACAACGCACATATCCATGCAAAGCGGTAGACACGGTGCTGGCTTTGAAGCCCATAAATTGTACCAGCGCTGCCCACATTTTGTTGGGTCGGATCGCGACGCGCATGGAAGCCCCCTTCCGGCATATTTTCGGAACCTAGGAGATGCTAGATGTGAAAGACTTGTTCATTTCGCGCGCGGTTTTCGTGATACGCACGAATCTATAAATCCGTCAATTGGTAATGGACTGGCTTATGTTCGTTGCTCTAGACGTTACCCCACTATCGATGCGTTACAGATGGCTACGGCATGGGTAAGCTGCAGGTATCTTGCTTTGATGCATATTCAGTTTATCAATATTTGTTTCAGCCTCACTCTCAACTCTTTACGATCACCCATTAGTACAGCGAGAGCAAATGTTTTGGAACATTTAAAGTTGGATATATATTCTGCCTCATGCTTGTGTTATACAGTCTGTTGCCTTGCTTCGTCTTTATTTTTGAGAATGCTTGCTTTGCTCTTCGACTATCGTTTCGTGTGCCCCCCCACTGCCTTGATCGGGCGTCTCTGATTCTGTCACGTCTTCGATGCGGCGGGAAACGACTTGGCTGTTATTCGTTTGGAGCTCTCGCCTTGACGGATACCATTCTTCGGTATACTGGAGGGGCTTGTCGTTGTTTTGGTACAGGCTGCGCCGGTATGTCCCATTGGGGCTTATCTGCGTTTGCAAGCCATATCGACGTTGATCCGTTTTCCCGTTGGCGGTACTGCTGTACGAGAGATTCAGGCTGCCGCTGAGGCTGAAGTTGAAGACCATGGTCAAGAATATTGTTCTTATTGTTGGTTTACCACCCGTATCTATAATTCCTGGAAACACGTGGGCGCCGTTATTTATTGTCCAGAACCCGTTCGTAGAAAGCATGGATGGATGACGTCAGATAGGATAATTCCCATGTCATTTTCTTGTTGATCGCCACCCCTGCTCCCCAGGTTTTTGGCAGATGATTCTCCTCCCCAGATATTTGTCATACCCACCGCGTCTTGTCGTTAGTTCTTGCGACGATCAGGATTTAGAGGGCAATTCACGGCAATTGGGTGGTGGCGTCATAATTGTAAGTGCCTTGGTTGAGTGCTGCAGCCAACCAACATTGTGGGTGACACAGGAAATGAAGACTCAATAACCACCTAAATAAACATCTAAATATCGAAATAAGCAGCTAATACTAAACGGAAATTGGAGGGTATGAATACTTAGACCTTGATATTCTTTTCCTTCAATTTTAATTTCGTAACTCCATAGCTAGCTAGTAGGTATGATAATTAGATCAAGTGTATGCTAAGGGAGTGTTTAGGTGTGCCATTTCCTATGTCACCCACTTGCCAACATTAGCCTTTTGGCCCACTCCCACTCGACACAGATACATCGAATAGAAATTCATCTTAGCCATCTCGCCTAACTGACTGTCCTCGGAGGCGCTTGTGACAAATGATCACCTCGTGTTCTTTGATACGGGACTAAAGGCGCGCGTTGCTCTTGAGACCTCTGTCGGCATGTGAAAAGGATGGCCCCCAAATCACCGCTGCTGCAAAGTCGCAATGTCTAATTTCCTTCAACTCGTTGATTTCTATGACCCATAGAGAGTGGCATCTTACATAGTTACATCACGTAGAATGGGGGTGTAAGGTGTTATTCCGGCACTTTTGGCTGGGCTTACATGGTGCATCGGAAGTCCCGTGGGCATGTAGCGCACGAGGATGGGAGTTGCATCCGGTACTACTGCAGAGGGAAGGATCCAATACTACGCTCCTTTGCGTTGTGTGGCTGGATTTATTGAAAACATCGCTGAGACCGATGTCCAACTCTTGACATCAATCCTAATACCTAACCTGAGATGGTTTTGTTGCCCTACGTCTGACCAACTGCCCAAGTCCATTGCAGTCTCGAGATCCCGGTCGCTTTGTCGATGCAGATTTGCAGAGATTACCTAGAATAAGGTGTTCCAATGTACTTGGACCCCGAGTCGCCCGCGGCAACGCCTCCAGAAGGCGTGACTCCCAACTTTGATGACCCCCCAAATGGAAATTCTGGCGTCGTAGCATTTACCATCATCTGTCTCGTCTTGGCGACGCCGGCTTGCTTGATCAAGATATATGCCAAAGGCGCCATCATCAAGAAAATAGCGGTTCAGGATGGTAATGTCGCTTTGCATCCGGAGAATCCTTTAATATTGGCTAATTCTTCTCACTTCAGTGCTCCTCATCATCGGTTATGTGCGTGTCTATCCGAACAAACTTCCCCGTGCTCGCCCTGTCCTAGAGCCACTAACATCTCCCCAGGGGTTTACCATCGGAATGATCTGGGCCGGATTCAGAGTATGGAAACTCACAGGCTTCTTTATCCTCCAGTACAATGTCAAGATGGGCAGGCTACTCCCAAGTATCCGCGTAAGTAACCGAGTACTCTTGCCACGAACCTTTGATCAGATGTTGAATGCTTGCGACCAGGCATTCCATCTATTTTATTTGCGTGTTAGTGCTTGCGCTGCTAACATTTCAAACATTGCTAGGTGCTATATCTCTTCGTAATATTCTATGCCGTCACTATGATGACGCTGAAGACGGCTATCCTCATGGAATACGTGCAAATATTCGTGCCGAGAACGAGAAACAGATTCTTCTGGATCTGCTGGACATTGATCGCGGTTGTCTGCGCATACTACATCGCCTGCATCGTTACGATCAATTTCGTCTGCACGCCAGTCCAGAGAAACTGGGACAGAACCGTCGAGGGAACATGCGGCGACCGAAGTCTTTACAAGTATCCTGCCATCTTCAATCTGGTCCTTGACCTCGTGATTCTAGCCCTCCCGCAACGCATCATATGGAAGCTGAAGATGCATAAACGTCGCAAGATTGGGCTTTCCATACTCTTTTCGTTTGGCATTCTGTAAGTGCCCTCGTATCCATTCCTAATTCCGAGGACAGAGAAGTACAGCGGGGAACGCTGCGTTCTAGCAATCTGGAAACTGATTCTCAGACATGCAGGGCCTGTGTCTGTGCCGCAGTTCGGATCGACTACACGATCAAGTCAATCGTCAGCTACGAAGACAACATCACGTATAGCTTTGGGCCGTCGTATTTGCTGTGTTTGGCGGAGGCTCTTTGCGCCATCCTTATCCTCACCATTCCTTCTTTCCCCAAAGCTTTTGGCGACTCGTCTATATCTCAAGCCTTCAAGCGACATTTGCTGTCATGGATAAACACCCTCACTGGGTCTTCCAAGGATGGATCGGCCACCTCAACCAGGCCAAGTGGAAGCAGTTTCAACCCCAAGGCGTCAATACAAGTTCTCGGCACGTATCAAAGGATGTCCGACACAGAGCTGTCCATCCCTTTGAACACCGTGCCACCTAGAAGCCCCTCCGGATATTCACCCCAGGGCCAAAAAGGCCATCGGCTGCCAGAAATTCTGTGCACGACTGAGATCAGGACGGATATCAGCACCGAAGCTCCAAATGAGTCCGCCAATTGGACCCCGAGCCCGTATTCTTGGAGTGTCCAGCCCGGCAGACAATAATGCAGGTGCGGGTGCGAAAAGACTCTGATTTACAATATATGAATGCTGGGTATAGTATAAACCATACTTGACAAATTGGCGCAACTTGTTTCTAAGACGAAAGGCTACGGATTAATGTTGAAGTGACCATCGTGAGAAATACATTTTCACTCATCCAAGATAGGGCAATTAATCAATCGGACCATGGAGCATTCTCTCTGCTGGACGGATGATGCCAAGCGGACATGAGCACGGTTATCGGCCGCTGTCGCAATGCGCGGGTCGAAATGGAGAGGAGCAGCAGCAGGCGCAGTCCCTGTTCGTCTGATTCAAAGACGGTCCTGTGTCAGGATATCGCGCAAGGCAGGAGATGACTCTAAATTAAATTGGGGTGGCATGGCGACATCTGGGATGAGTCGATATCACAGTCTGCCGCGATCAAGGGAGGCGAAATCGGACCCAAGCTGGCTGGCGACAAAGTTGAAATTGATGTTACTCTGGCGCCACGATGGCGCTGCTGATGCATCCGACGAGGAAGTGAATCATTAGCCAGGCTGCAGCAGACTGTCTTGGATTTGGCCTCGCGATGGCAGTGAGCAGACGGCGGCAGTAGAACCGGGCCCGGAGCGCCAAGACCAGCCGCGACAGGGTCTCACACGCCTTTTACGTACTGGAAACCGGAAGCCTCGCCTTTTCGCCTCCGGAAACAGTCGAGGAAAATTTCTCCAGCGCAGTGTAGGTGGAACTCGCAACGACATCGGCTCCAGGCTGTGACTGGCTGGTGCCAATGATCCGTCTTCTAGAAGGGCTCCAAGCAGTCATTTTAGTGGCCCGGCAGTGGTTTTCAACAGACGGGCCACCACCGGCCCTTTTCCTCTGCCAGCGGTGGGCCCTGACTGGAGAACGCACGGCTCGACAATGACAAAGAGAAATCCGATTTAGAGCTCCTCGATTCCCGAAGGGGTATTACGATGGGGGCGTAACACGGACATAGCTGGGTACTAGCCGTCTGTGCCTGTCATGTCATGAGATGGACAGATGAGAAAATTTTACCAGCCCTTGGGCACCCCCGTTATTCTCTCTCCCGCCGATCTGGTCGTGGGATAGAGGGGTGATGAGACCGGGCGAGCATTCCTTACCTCTCTTAAGTTTGGCCGGAGCCGTCTCGTATTCCCTCCTGGCTGGCGATTCACTTTTGCTACCTCTCCCCGTACTGGCATTGGTCCATAGGTTGACTACTCAAGTCACGTCAGCTGCTCTACCACGATTTCTCACTTGTAGTTAGGTAACAGCCCGCCATGACCATCTCATCGCCGAGCGAGAAGTCGCCCTCCGCCAGCGCCGACAAGCTCCCCGGCAACGACACGAGAGAAGATGTAGACTCCGGCTCCCTCGAGGCTGGCCTGGAGCGCACCCTGAGCAGTCGGCATCTCCAGTTCATCGCCATTGGAGGTGCCATCGGCACAGGTCTGTTCCTGGGTACAGGTTCTGCCCTCGCCAAGGCCGGTCCCGTGTCCCTGCTCATCGCCTTCATCTTCATCGGCTCCGTCGTCTACTCTGTCATGGTCGCTCTGGGTGAGATGGCCGCCTATCTACCCGTGCCAGGAGCCTTCGCCGTCTACGCCACCCGTTTCGTCGATCCCACTCTCGGTTTCTCCATGGGCTGGGTATACTGGTTTAACTGGGCGATCACATATGCTCTCGAGCTCACAGCTGCCGGTGTCATCATCCAGTACTGGAATTCGAGTCTCAACACCGCCATCTGGATCGCCGTTTTCTGGGTCATCTTCACCGGTATCAACTGCCTCCCGGTCCGATGGATCGGTGAGTTCGAGATGTGGTTCTCTAGCATCAAGGTCGTCACCATCGTGGGCTTCATCATCTATTCGATTTGCGTCAATGCCGGTGTCGGAGACGAGGGCTATATCGGCTTCAAGTACTGGCGCGATCCTGGTCCATTCGCCGAGCACGTAGTGACGGGGAATGTTGGAAAGTTTGTCGGCTTCTGGGCTGTGCTGGTAACTGCGGCCTTCAGTTATCAGGGCACTGAGCTTGTCGGTATCGCTGCTGGTGAGGCTCAGAACCCTAGCAAGACGATCCCTTCCGCCATCCGCTGGACTTTCTGGGGTATCTTCTGCCTCTTCATCTCCACCGTCTTCATGCTCGGCATCAATGTGCCCTACACCGATGATGCCCTTAACAGCTCATCCCAGGATGCCTCTGCCTCGCCCCTGGTCATCATTGCAAAACGCGCTGGTGTGCCGGTGCTTGCACACATCATCAATGCTGTCCTGCTCACGGCTGTTCTAACCGCTGCCAACTCCAATGTGTATTCCAGTAGCCGAATCCTAGTCTCACTCGCAGAGGAGGGCCATGCCCCCAAGCTTTTCAAGAAGACCAACAAGCTCGGCACTCCATACTATGCGGTCGCTGCAAGCTCCGTGATCGGCTTCCTCGGTTTCCTCAACCTCTCCTCGGGTGGTGCATCTGCCTTCAACTGGCTGCTCAGCATCGGATCCGTCGCCGGTCTCATCTCCTGGTCCCTCACAAACGTCTGCCACATCCGTTTCATGCAGGCCCTCGAGGCGCAAAACATTCCGCGGCGCGAACTGCCATATGTCGCACCGTTTCAGCCGTACCTGTCGTGGTTTGGTCTCTTCTTCAACGTCCTCATTACGCTGACCAATGGATTCACCGTCTTCATCGAGTGGGACACGAGCGAGTTCTTCACGGCGTACATTAGCGTTATCCTGTTTGTGGTGCTCTACGTCGGGCACAAGTTGTGGTATAGGACCAAGGTGGTCCCGTTGGCGGAGGTGAATCTCACTCGGGGAAACATTGACGGCTAATTGGCCAAAGCCGGTTCGGACAGTTGTATGGCCTGGTAATATCATTCGATAGATTTTTGAGCATACCTTGTTTAGCGAAGCATATAGCATATTTATTCCTGATTTATATTTGTAACACGCCCGTGCATGGGTGGTCCCGTGATGGTCAGCAGTGGGGGTCAGTCGGTGAGTGTGCTTCTAGCTGAGCAACCACTCGAGTGCAGCAGCATGGCGGATGATCGGGTTTTGATCCTTAGGGGCAAGGATTAATAAGAGATTCCAGGCGTTGGAGATATCGTCAATGTTATGCCGCCCGTTTCTCTCCGCCTGTCTTGCACCATTGCATCCACAATCACATGTCAAAACAACGACAGATCAGCGTCTGCCATTTTTGTTGAGGAAGAACCCAGGTTCAGGGCCTAGCAAATGGCCTTGGCGGCTCCAGGGTGGAGTGATGCAATGGCGGCACTCACTACATCGTGGGCTAGCCTAGCCCTATCAATTCAAACTGCTTTCCAGTCTTGAGGCGATGTGATCGAGCCGGCGCTGGAATGGAGGGCACAAAAAAGGCGACTCGCTTCTGTCTGTGGTCGATCCAGAGACAGCATTGCAACCTCGTGGTCCAGACATCTTGCTGGTGTAACTCCCAGCATGCAGGCAGGTACCGATTCGGCCAAGGTGTACCGAAGTCGGTGACAAGCTGAATCCCTGAAGGGCTAGATGCAGGTCCTTGATATGTTGGGAACCAATCACAGCCCACGCGGAACAATCCATGGCTCTCGACCGCTCTCACATCCCACCTCAATTCATCGACAAGGAACCTCCGCGGGGGCGCGTGGAGGGGTTCCACACGGCCACGGACGGGAGGAGTAGATAGAGTGGGATGAAGGTGGTGATGCGTGTCGACGTTTGGAGACTGTGTGATCGATGGAGGCTTCCAATTCGTCCTGCTGTCCCGAAGACTGTCGTCATTGGCAGCATCGTAGCCACCAAGGAGCGGGTTCTCGCCTCCAGCATATGCAGCATGACAACCCACGCAGCCATCTTTCGCACTGCTGTTCGTCAATGGTCGCTTTGAATGCGCCTGCACATGGTAGCATCTTGCCCGATGGCGCTAATTAATCGAGCAACCCCCGTAGGCTGCAGCTGGAGACCCGCATGCTAGAATTCTAGGTTGGTTGTGTGATGGTAAACTTTGCTCTCGTGCTCTCCTTCCATTCCTGAGCTACAAAATGTCCACTGCCACCGCCTCACCGTTCGCTCCTGCTCTATCTTTTTCTACCGTTCTCCCTCCCCCTCTTTTTTTCAAGGACCAGATTCCCCCATTCTCCCCTTTGCAAATAAGCTCCAAGGGCTCTCAGGCTCTCAGCCACCCGGGGAATCAGAAACCTAGAAACACACTCTTTGGCCCCAGGGCCCACCACACACAATGGCCATCATTGACCTCGAGAAGGACCTGGCGGCCCAATTCGAGCAGCAGGCTCAATCTACGCCCAATGCCATTGCTCTCGAGGACGAAAAGCGAACCCTCACGTATGCCGAGCTCGACAGCGAGACCTGGGCGCTGGCCAACCGCCTTCGCTCTCACGGCGTCGGACGTGATGACCTCGTGGGTGTCCTGATGGGCCGCAGCGCCGACTATGTCATTGCATGTCTAGCTGCACTCCGTGCTGGAGGAGCCTTCCTCGTATTAGAGCTGGCATACCCCTCTGCCCTGTTGAAGGACGTCATTGAGGATTCCAAGCCCACCGTGGTCGTTACACAGCTCGCCCATGCCGGACACATCAAAGCCGATGTCCCCCTCATTATCCTCGACCAGCCCGACCAACCTGCCGATGCGCGCCCGCCGCCCCTTGACGTGTTGCCAAAACCACCCTTGCCGAGCGACGACGATCTCGACCGCCTTGCTTTTGTCTCGTACTCCTCCGGGACCACTGGTCAGCCGAAAGGCATTGCCAACCCGCACCGAGCCCCCGTGACATCATACAATGCTAGGTTTGGTGTAAGTGATCTGCAGCCTGGTGATAGGGTTGCATGCAACGTGTTCTTCGTCTGGGAGATTCTCCGACCCTTGTTGAGGGGTGCCACCACCGTTGCCGTTCCCGACAGTGTAAGCTATGACCCGACCGCCCTGGTAGAGCTTCTGGCCGAGAAAAACATCCATGATACCCTCATGACGCCCACCCTCCTGGCCACTGTGCTCTCAAGACATCCGAATCTCGGCTCTAAGCTCCCAAGCCTCAAGTCATTGTGGCTGAATGGCGAAGTTCTCTCGACCGATCTGGCCCGCCGTGCGGTGGAGGCCTTGCCCAACACTCGCATCTTCAATGTTTACAGTGCCTGTGAGACGCATGAGGTGGCAGTTGGTGAAGTGAGCAAGTTCTTGGATCCAGACTTCGCAGTATGTGCCGTCGGACCGCCAATTGACCCCGACCATGTCTACATTCTCGACAAGGCCGGCAACAGAGTCGAACCAGGTGTCAGTGGAGAGCTATTCGTTGGTGGGAACATGCTTGCCCGCGGCTACCTGAACCTTCCCGAGACTACAGCCAAAGCCTTCCAGTGTGACCCATTCACCAAGAATGAAGGTGCTCGCATGTATCGAACCGGTGATCTCGCAAGGATTCTACCATCTGGCCTTCTTGAAATCACAGGCCGTGTGCACGGAATGATCAAGACCCGAGGGTACACCGTTCAACCCGCTGCTGTGGAGAGTGCCATCGTGAAACATCTTGCCGTCCGTGACTGTGCCGTTGTCGCACATGGCGAAGGCCTAAGCAGGCAGCTCGTCGCCTATTTCGTGCCGGATAAGAAGCCCACCCACGATAGAACCGTGGTGGTCGTCGACGAGTCAGGATACAGCCCCTTGGCCCGTCGTGCCCTTTCCGCACACCTCGCTCACTATATGATTCCTCCCATCTGGGTCGAGCTGGAGGACCTGCCTACGCACGATGTATCTGGAAAGATTAATTTGAAAGGGCTTCCCGCGCCTCCAAACCCCAAGACTCCCAAGAAGCAATCCACTGTGGAGCAAAACACCAAAATCAAGATGGAGACGGTCATCAAGATTTGGGCCACTGCTCTCAGTATCCCTCCATCTACCATCACTTCAAAGCATGACTTTTTCGATCTCGGAGGACACTCTCTTTCCCTTGCCGAGGTCGCTGGTCGATTTACACAGATATTCGGTTTCCCCGTGCCTCTTGCTCCTCTTGCCGGTACACCTACCCTAGAGGGCCACCTCGAAGCCATCAAGGCCGCTCGCGATGGTCACACCGCAGCAGTGCAGGCGGACCTGCCAGCCGTTTTAAAGCAGGATTCTTCTCTTCCTGAAGAAATTCAACCCAAGACTACCGAATTTAAGCGTCTCAAGGATGCCGAGACGGTGTTGTTGACTGGCGCGACTGGCTATCTAGGAGCCTTCTTATTGAAGTCCCTGCTGGAGAATACGTCGGCTCACATTCTGTGTCTAATTCGATTTACCGAACCCACCAAGGACTGCCGCCCAGCAGGCATGGCCCGTGTCCGAAAGAATCTGATTGATCTAGGGATCTGGAACGACTCCTGTTTGGACAGAGTTGAAATTGTGCCGGGTAACCTTGCACGTTCCCGCCTAGGTTTATCCCCCGAGGCTTTCGACGAGCTCGCCAACCGTGTGCAGGTCATCATTCACTCTGCTGCTACGGTCAATCTGGTGTACCCCTACGCCGCCCTGCGCAATGCAAACGTAGGAGGCACGAGACAGATCCTCCGTCTTGCTTCTCGCGGAGGTGCCACGGTCCACCACATTTCCACTAACGGCGTTCTACCGCACTCTGTGGACGGCTGGACTGAGGATACGGTGGTTGACATTCAAGATGTCCCGGACAAGCTTCTTGATGGCTACGGTCAGACAAAGTGGGTGGCAGAGAAGCTTGTGTTTGAGGCAGGACGCCGTGGAATCCCAGTCAGGGTGTACCGTCCAGGCACTATCAGCGGACACAGCATCACAGGCGCAACCAACACATGGGACCTTCTCAACGCCCTCATCGTAGAATCGCTCCATCTTCAAAGCTCTCCCAACGTCGAGGGGTGGTTCCCCGAAATGGCGCCGGTTGACTTTGTCAGTAGCGCCATCACCACCTTGTGTAACCATGCCGATGGGCCCAACGCAAGCGTCTACCATTTGGGCGATTCGAGCCCTCTACCTGCAGATAAACTATTTGACAACCTTGCCGAGCTCGGCTACAAGACGGATAGAGTCCCTTGGGATGACTGGGTTAAGGTGTGGCGCGAGAATCGTAGCGCTACCCATGGCGATGTGCCTTTTACTGTCGATATTCTACGAGGTGGTATGCCAACCGTCAAGGGATTGCAGTCAGTAATCGTTCTGAAAGACGAGAAGACATTGGCCTTACTGGACATCTACGGTCTAAAACGGCCCAGGCTCGATAGCGCTCTACTGGAGACATACATGAGACACTTCTACTCTCGAGGATGGCTCCCCCACCCCCCTAAGAGGCAGGTTGTTAATGGGGTGCTATCCTCACCAAAGAAGATGGGCAGGCTGGCTGGCAAGGTTGCCGTCGTCACCGGGGCATCCTCTGGAATTGGCGCCGCAGTGGCAGTTGGCCTTGCTCGGGAGGGAGCACACGTTACTCTCGCCGCTCGCCGCACTGAGGCCCTGGAGGCTGTTAAAGCTAAGTGCACTGGAAATGGATGCGGGGGCAAGATTCTTATCCAGAAAACGGATGTCACCGACAAGGCTCAGGTCGAGAGCCTTATTAAAACGACGGAGGAGAAGCTGGGCCCCGTGGACATTCTTGTGAGCTGCGCGGGTGTGATGTACTTCACCATGATGGCAAATTGCCAGACGGATGAGTGGGAACGAACGGTGGATGTAAACTGCAAGGGTTTGCTCCACTGCCTCTCCTCCACCGTTCCTGGGATGCTCTCCCGAAGCGCTGGGCACATAGTCGCCATCTCCTCGGACGCCGGCCGCAAGGTCTTCCCTGGGCTTGGCGTGTACTCGGCCTCCAAGTTCTTTGTTGAGGCTACCCTTCAGGCACTTCGCCTGGAGACCGCGGGGACCGGACTGCGTGTGACATCGGTCCAACCAGGAAACACCCAGACTGATCTTCTCGGGATGTCGACTGACAAGGAGGCGATCAAGAAGTACGGAGAGCCAACGGGCGCCAAGGTGCTTGAGCCGGAGGATGTGGCCAACTCGATCGTGTACGCCGTCTGCCAGCCGAGCTATGTTGCCATTAATGAGGTCCTGATTGAGCCAAGAGATGAACCTATTTGAATGAAATAAGCGTCCTGGGATTCAGCGAACTAGAAATTTATTTAGGATAATGCCGAGTTACCGCAGGCCAGAGCCAGTGTTAGATTTGAATCTCCGTAGCTTATCAATATCTGACGGGGGGAACCGTCACTACAATGAGTGCCTCGCGATTGGTCACTATCCGCGCGAGGATGAGCAGAGCCAGTAAGATGACTGATGATGTTGAGGTGGGAAAGAAGGCGTCAGCAATAATTGCGACTTGACAACGGCCAATACCTCGGACGGATGATTTCATGCGACACCTGAAACTCCTGACCATCTAGATAGGTGCTGGGCGACTGAACGTGAGACGTCTCTTGGCGCCGGTTCCGACCGTAGCGGACAGTGGGGGGACAAAAAGCGCAATCCCTCAACGGTGAAGGCAGGCGGCAGGCCTTTCCAATCTCCCAGGTTCCAAGCTTCCAAGGTGCGTTCTGTGCTGGATCAGGGAATCGCATCGCCAAGCCGCCTGGCGGCAAACATCCTGGCCATCCTACGTCGCGGCGGCAAGGGAGTGGCCGTCGTCGGTCGTGGGAAGGGGTAGATTGCAAGGCAGGATGAGTCGTGCTACACCGCTGCGGGCTGACTTAATGTGAGATAAAGCACGTGAACCTGGATCAGAGTTGTTTCATCTGGGCTGCTCACATGGGCCGGGACTTTGTTCATATCGGTTGAGTGCTGGAAGATATTGAAACCCGGCGGAGATTTAGAGGGAGATTCTAAAACTCATTTGCCCCGCCAGGAGGCATTCGCATTGGGGGAGAGCAAAGGTGAGGCATTGAAAACCGATTCTGAACAGCAGCGACGACGATGAAAAGGTTTACTACACGCGAGTAATGCAATCGCATGGGGACTCGCTCTGCGTACTCAATTGACCTCAGCAACACTGTTTTCCGATGGCTCTGAGCGCTGCCAAGCAAAGGAGCTGGCCTTGTCGCTGGCTGGGGGCCCTTGAAACGGCCAATAAATGCGCGTGCTGGGATCTCCGAGTTTGAACTTCAGGTGGGCAAAACCTCGCCGATTCCAGGGTGCCACCACTTGTCACCACTTCTCTCTAACTCTAATCCGGCCGGCCTTCACACTCCGCGTGCTATACTGGGAATCACTCCCGAATCGCTGGTGAAGCTTCTCGAGATTGTTCCATCTAGATGGGGCTAATAAGTGGTGGGCGCCTTTAGCGAGATAGGCTGTATCGGATCAAGATGCAGAGCCCTGGCTCTTTTCCCTGGCTCACCTGAGTCTCGGCAGGTCTCACTGGGGCGTAAACAACTCTGTTCGTGGTGCCATGCTTGCAGTGCATGCTGTTAACCGCCCTGTGGGCTGGCATGGGACCTCGGATGCGGCCGTAAATGAGTGGTGGGATACGACCCACGGGCACGTTTGGTGCAGCAGGGCAGAGACCAGACGACATATATATCGAGGAGAGACGGCCATTGTTGCAGATTTTGTTCTCTCTACCGACTCATCTCTCGTCGAACGAAGACAGGCTCTTCAATTGCTTTCTCTTTCAGTACAGTTGTACATACCATTCTTTCACTTCCAACCAACTAGACATTCATTCAACCTTGACGGTTTACATTTTCTGCCTCGCCTAGACGACAGCTTGGATCGAACATCCTTAACATCTCACAAGACAATCTATCTTTTCCAACATCCCGATAACAATCTTCAAAATGAAGCAATTCGCAGCCCTCGCAGCTCTTCTGCCCCTTGTTGCCGCCCACGGCTTCATCAAGTCACCTACTCCCCGTAAGCCAGGTAATGCCTTCAAGGCCGCCTGCGGTGAGCAGCCATACTACCAGCAGTCCTCCGATATCAACGGAAACGTTCAGGGTATCCTCCAGGTTGTTGGCTCGAGCCTGGACTCGGCAAACTGCAACCTCTGGCTCTGCAAGGGTTTCCAGTTCGAAGACAACTCGGCCTCGGTCCAGTCGTACGCTCTCGGCCAGACCATCCCCTTCGAGATCACCATTGCTGCCCCTCACACTGGCATTGCCAACGTGTCCGTCGTCAAGACCAGCAGCAACACGATCATCGGACAGCCTCTCATTGAGTTTGACAACTATGCCAGCAACTCCGGCATCCCCGCCAACAACACTGCCTTCAGCGTGACCCTCCCCTCGGACCTCAGCGGCGAATGTACCACCGCCGGCGACTGCGTCCTGCAATGGTACTGGGATGCCCACAACATCGACCAGACCTACGAGGCCTGTGTTGACTTCACCGTCGGCGGCGGCAGCGGCTCCAGCCCCTCGCCCTCGTCCGCCGTTGCCAGCTCTGCCGCCCCTACCCGGACCATTGCCACCTCCAGCGCCGCCCAGACTCCCGTTGCCACCACCTCGGCTGCCCTGAGCCAGGCTCCCACTTCTGCCGCCGCGACTCCTGTGCCTGCCAGCTCGACCACCCCTGGCAGCTCTCAGCCCACCACCACCCCCGGTGATGACGACGAGTGCGAGGACGACGGAGCCGACGATGACACCGGCAACCAGGACGACGATGAGTGCGAGGACGAGGGTGACGACACCAACACCGGCGATGATGACGAGTGCGAGGACGAGGGCGACGACACCGGATCTTCCCCCGTCACCTCCAGCGCCGCCGCTGCCGCTTCCTCCGCCCCTGCTGCCACCGCCGTCGCCTCCAGCTCCAAGCAGAGCGTTGTCGCCCAGCCCACCTCATCCACCGTCTTCGTGACCGTCACGGCCCAGCCCACTACGGTCACCGTGACCGCCAAGCCCACCACTGTGACGGTGACTGCCCAGCCTACCGGACAGTGCTCTTAAAGTATCGGGATACCTATGGAGTTAACGGGAAGATTAGAAAGGGGGGAGAGGGGGTAAAATGTGAAGAGTGAGCCATCTTGATGATGGAGCTCCATTTGTTTCTTGATAATGTATATATAAATTGTGTCCTGGCACTAGCTCGGATCGCGAATCAAAGAGAAAACTATTGAACGGGCATAGCCACAATGGATCGGAGCCTTTTGAACGAAGTGAACATATTTGAGTGAAGGCTACCTGGTGTTTTCATGTTGACGATGAATTTCCAGCATCTTGTGGATGGTTGGGTTCAATACTTGGGCATCTCCCCAAGCGCCAACTCACCGAAGTACTAATCCGTGAGGTAGTGGATCTCTGTTAGTGGTTACATCTTCTCTAGCGAGGTCGATGTCATTCGCCCTTTCTGGGCCCTATTTGGACAGACCCGTGTTCCTGCATCAAGCCAATCAGATGTGCGCTTCCCACGTCAAAGATAACAAGCTAGGTTTAAAAAAACGGGGAAAGGGCGAACTTTGGAAAAAGATATCAACCATCCAAATATCAAAAATGAAGACGCGCAAAAAAGAACATACAACAGCCGGTATTCGCTGGTCGTCACCGACCCAACTACTAATCGGCCCCTCATCCGTTTAACTAGGCGAGAGCGGACGGGATCGCGTGTTCTCGAATGGGTATGGTCGTATGTGTCAGTGTTACGTCGAATGTGCTCTATATACTTGGTTGGACCAGCAATTGTCAGTCTACGAAGGCTAGGGGACATCTCTACCGCCACCATCATCTTGCCTGGGGGAATTGCGTCTCATTCTGGGAACTCTCGCCCAAAGAGACGTGCAAGGGTCACGATTCGAGGCGAGAAGCGGAGCCCTTTAGGGTTTTTAGTTGGCCTGCCGGTGGCTTCCACTTTCCGCCTCTTTTCAGATGGACGCTGCGCGGCGTCTACGTAATAAAGGCGACGTGCCCCCTTCTGCCGCTGAGGCGAGAGAATGCCGCGTGTTTCAATGGATGTGGACGCATGATGCTGCATTAGGCGGCTCATACAGGACGGACTAGAAGGAAACAAATCGGCAAATAATGATTAAAGGCGACTGCTGGGTTCTGTAGCTCGCGACCTGCTGGATTGGGCCTGGCATTTGATGCATGTGCGGCAACGAGCAGATGCCCGTCCTTGGCACTGGAGAATAAGCTTTCTGGTGCCTGTTGGTTGAGCCGGGTTTTAGTGACTGGACCTGCCGAAGCTCGAACAACGGCTGTTTGTGCCTGACCAGCAACATCCACTTCGGTTTGACTATTGAGCTCTCCCACGCCGACTTGCAGCCATAGCCGGGACTAGGCGCACATTTTAGAGGAACAGAGAGCATCATGCTCATGAGAACTTGCCCATGTGGACTTATGTTGAGCCTACATACTCCCTGCGCCCATGGGATACACATCTCGATACGCAGGGATAGAACCGTGATGTCGGTACGGCTCGGTGGCTCGGGCGGCTGCAGAAAGGGGCACTAACATGACAAGGTCCCAGGCACAAGCAGGGGCCATCGTCCAGTCTCCGATCCGCTGCTTCTCCACATGGATGTGTCAAGTTGCTGCTGCCGGCACAGTATGAGGCCAGCCTGTGCTGGATGTCGAGCCACAGTTGGCCGCTGGTCAGATAAAGACTCTGAAACAGACATGTTACAGGCTGTGCTCTTTGGCAGCTGCTCACTGAGAATGGCCGATCGCAATAGCAGATCTTCATGCTGTCATCTCTCTGACCTCCCAGTCCTCGAGAAGCTTGAAACGGTGCAGGCACGGACGCCTTGCTATCCAATATGTAATTATGCTGATGACTGCGAACAGAGTGATCGGATGTTTTAGCTTACGGCGTAAGTCCTTCTCCACGAACAAACCTGCCAGCTCTGCGAGCCGCGTAATCGCTGGTCGAAAGCACACACAAGCGGGCCGTACATACTGTCTACTCATTATATCCGCGTCCAATTGCACCTACCTTGCCGGGGAGGGAATCTGCTCATCCTTGGATCGACCCCTACTCCTGGTCCAGTGATACGTACGTATGTAGTGGCTCCTCGTGGCACAGATTGGCTTTTTGTTATCCTTAAAACCTTCCTCCTCTCCCCTGGTATCGCGGGTCGAACTATTCGGAGCGCCCTCTCTTCTACCCAGCGTCTGTATCCCGCGACACCTCCTCTCCTCCATCGTTGGGCCTCTCTCCCCTCTTTGTTCCCATCTTCATACCTATAGGGTTTCTCATGCCATCGTTCGTTTGTTCCTATCCCTGTATTATGGAGTCGTAACGATCCAACCGAACACAGGATTTCATCTTCACTCACAACATATGCTCATCTTGTGTTATTAACGGCCTTGCAATATTTCTTTACGTCAAGCAACCCTTCACCAGCCTCATACCAAACAATGAGAGTTGAATCCTGATTGATTATCTGGTCATCAACAAATAATCACCGCAGAGGTCTTGCGAGCCACTCTTTGATACACCAGATTCTCTGAGAAACGAAACATTAATTATATCCTTGAAGATTCTATAATCACCCTCATTTCTCATTATTATCATCGCAGACTCTGCGACTTACAAGCCTCACAAAGCAAGCATGGGCAAGCGCTGGACTGTCCTCGGCGCCGCCCTCGGCTGCTGGCTTGGCGCTGGATTCGTCAACGCCGACGTGACGCCTTACACAAACGTCGAAGCCTACTCTGCCCTTGCAGATGCCGCAGAGGGTTTCCCCCGGCAGTATTTCCGGTCCTCAAACATCGTGGCGCCAGTCTTCCAGGTCAACTTCTGGGACCATAATGCGGTTGACGATGCGCCCTACATCTTCCTCGGGTCCGTCTACGGACACATGCAGGCTGGTCCGATGATTATTGATGCTCGTGATCTGAGCCTCGTCTATGCGGATCAGAGGTACGAGAACACCTACACCTCTGAGGTCCAGACCATAAACAGCACAAACTATCTCACTTTCTGGGAAGGATTTCACACTCGAGGACATGCTAATGGCTACTGTCTTCTGTTTGATGAGCACTACCACCTCAAATACAACGTGTCCGCTCAGGGGCTCAACGGCGCACTGGCCGACATGCACGAGATGGAGGTCACCGATGCCGGGACGGTCATTTTCTCAACGTACTTCAACATTCCGTACGATCTTTCTCCCGTGGGAGGACCAGTGGAAGCTCTGCTTATGGACAGCGGCTTCCAGGAAGTTGACGTCGCAACGAATAAAGTTCTCTTCAACTGGGCTGCTTCAGACCACTTCAGCATCAGCGACTCCATGGCGGCCCCCGACGCGCGATACGGTGTCGGTCCAGACAGCGGCTTCGACTTCTTCCACATTAACTCCATCAAAAAGGTATAGTTTGCGCAAGTCCCCCTCCCTCTTAGACATAGATTACTCACTGCTCATTTATAGACAAGCGCTGGCAACTACCTCATTTCCAGCCGGCACCTGTCAATGCTTGCCCTCATCGATGGTGTCGATGGCCACCCGATCTGGACCCTGGGAGGGAAAAGGAACCAGTTCACGGATCTGAGCGGCGGACGGGCCACCTCTCTCGGATGGCAGCACGATGCTCGCTTCCATAACAACGAATCTCACATCACCCTGTTCGACAACCACGGTGAATACACCGGAAAGTGCCAGAATAAGTGCAACACCCGCGGCCTTCACCTGGAAATCGACCCCGCGGCCCTCACGGTCAAGGTCGTTTCTGAATATTATCATCCCGAGCAGATCGACTCCGGCGCTATGGGTGGCTACCAAAAGCTCAACAACGGGAACGTCCTCCTCGCGTGGGGCCACACCCCCGGGTTCGTCGAGTACACAGACGACGGGAGGACCATCATGGATGTCCAGAGGGGCAAGATCGGCTCGAGCAACATCGACGACATGTTTGCTTACCGCGTCCACAAGGCTCACTGGACTGGCCGTCCTAAGTGGCCGCCCAACATGGCCATGGACGCCCCGCATGGGACTGCCGAGAACGCAACAGTTTATCTCTCCTGGAACGGCGCGACGGATATTTTCAAATGGTCCATCGTGAGTAAATCATCTGGCTTCCCAATACTTTGATGCCTAGCTAACCATTACCTGTACAGTTCTCGTCGAATGATCCCCTGAATATTAGCGATTACGGAAATCTTCAAACGGCATCTAAGCGCACCGGTTTCGAAACCAGCATATTTCTCGGGCCGAAAAGCACCTCGAGGTATGTCGGCGCCGCCGCCGTCGACAAGCAGGGCAACGTACTGGGCTCATCCCTCGTCTACGACATGCAGACCGGCCAGCCCGTTTTGCTGAAAAGTGCCATTAACAGTGTCCGGCCGCCCCAAACGAAGTTTTATCCAAAGACACTCAGCTCCGCTGGCGTCGTGGGGGGCGGCGTCGTAGCGGTCCTGGCTGTCTTCGCTCTGTACATGTTTCGCCGCCGGAAGTGTCTACACCGAGATCCCGAGTCCGCGCGTTATAAGCCACTGGCGAACGTGGATTGACGTGGTTCTGATTTTCAGGTCTTGCATTCTAGGAGTCAAAGGGGTTAACGGCGAATGGTTGGCTGTTCCTAAAACTTTCCATATTCAATTTGAATAACCTTTCCTGTCTCTATTCAGTGAAAATCCAACTGCCGGCCATGTGACCATGTTCCTCAAACCTCTCTAAACAAAACGCTAGCAGACTCTATCTTCAAGTTGACAAGATGAAAGTGTGGCATAGTTTAGTCAAAGTTACACCGTGCAAAACAGCTTCACTTTCCCCGCGACGCTTAAAGATCGTCAATCAATCCTCCGTAGTCGTCATAATCCGTAACCTCATCCAACGCCAACACGCTCTCATCTTCGCGCTCAGCTCCCGTCAGCATGGCCATTCTAGCAGCAATCTTCTTGTCTGGTCTCAAAAGGTTGTATTGCCAGGGAGTCACGAACCCTGGCGCTGTATGACGCAAAGCAGGCGAGGATGAAACGACGAGGCACTTGATTGCGGCTAGCTGTTTGCCAGCTATGTTCCAGGTAAACTTTTGATGAGGGAACATCTTGTATGTCCACGATGCTTTGATCAGTGCCCACTTGTTATACGGCGAAACCCATCCGGGGTCCACTGCATTGTCCTGACTCAAGAAGGAGGCGCAGTGTGCTGAAAACCAATTGAAATTCAAAAGCAGATCGAGCTCGGGAGTGAGCGGAGAGTCCAAGGTGGGTGATATCTGCAACCACTTATCATGGAGTGTCTCAACCAACAAACGGTATCGCATGCTGTCATAACTTTGTTGCGCCGTACTTAAACTCCACTCTTCCTTTAGGGATAAGAGTTTGGCCTGGAGGTTTTTCCTCAGTGTCTTGAAATCCTTGGATCCCTGATCAGCTCGCAAGTCTATTTCCATGGCGAGCTGGGTAAGATCCGTGTCGATTGCTTTGCTTCCGTCTTCAGGCATAGATTCCTTGATCTCCTTCCGTACTTGGTCGATCTGTGGCAAAGCAACGCAAAATTTCAAATAGTCCAGAATGTGCATTCCGGCTCGCGAGTGTTCATCCAGTTTGTAATTGGAAGGCAGACAGTCCCCGTCATATAAAGGATTAGGGAGATTGAGAGGTGCCCGCAGCCGGGTTCGTAAGAATCTCGTCCAGTCATTTTTTGTAAATTCAATACCGGACTTGGCTTGATCGACGAGATAGCTCAGTAAGACGCTGAGTAAAATTGCATTCTCCCCATTTATTGGGTTCCCGTGATAGCAAGACCTTTCCTTGTACTTTGTACACATTCCCAGGAGTGACCCTTTCATGCTGAATTCGAAGCCCGTCATCCGGAACTCATCGTAAGCTTTACAAAGGTTGTCGCAATTTCTTTGCAGGTCCTCAAATTTGAAAGTTGTCGCTTCTCTCAAGATGCCCTGCTGAAGAAAGTCATATTCTGGAGGTGGATCATATTCTGGAGGTGGAATTGCATTTTCGAAGTTGTTGACGATATCCTGGTCCCAACAGACCCACGCTCGATCACCATCATAGTCACCCCCCGAGAGAAGATCAGCCAAGGCTCGATTGCCAGTAATGGGAAAAACAATCACATCCTTCAGCTTTCGGAGATGAGGTAGTGATACTACTTTAACCTTTTGAATGTCACTCGGAAAATGAGATGGTGAGCGAGCCACGAGGATGTCTCTGTCTTCTAAAAGAGTATCTGAAAACCCTTCTACTTCAAAGTTTGAAGAGAACGATAAGTGGACTTGATTGGGCTTCAACACGCCCTCAAAATCAACGACAATAAGAGCAGTGGTGGAACAGGGTACCTGAATATTCCACTTCTTCTTTAAAAGATTTGTTCTCTTGTCGACAAGTTGGTTGACCATTTCCCTCAGAAGCCAGTTCGATTGAGGTTGAAAGCCACAGTCCACGAGATACGATATTCTTCTCTCGCTCTGGTCTGGCAGTCCACCCAAAAATGGAACAAACGCTTCGTCAAGCTGTTCAAAGTTTCTCGCATTCTTCTCCATCCAGAGACTTAACGCTGCCGAGTTGCTCAGAGCAGCTTTCGCCAAATCTAAGTCTTCTTGTAATCCACGAACAAGATGCTTAGCTACTGCATCCCTCATCGCGAGCTTCTTCTCAGCCGACGGCGCCTGAGTTTCAAGGATGGGGATAAATTGTTGGTTCAGTGCATTTGAAACGAGTTTCCTTGGCCAACTCTTAACCTCAAAAGTCAAGTGTTGGGGATCTTGGAAGTTACATTTCCACTTGATTTGGGACTTGTATAGCTCAATCCAATCGTTCTCGTTAGATTCATCGTTTCCAAGATCAATAACCCACATGCCTTTGGCACTTCCAAATCGCGCCTGATACGCACATGGTGCAACGGTCAAGCCAAGACTTGCAGCGATTTTGTTCGCCAAACTTCGCGAGATACGGCCAATACCGTCGTTCATGACTTTTTCAAAAGGTTCTATATCTTCCCTAAACCGTATTTGCTCATGTTTTAGAGTGACAGTTGGAATAGTGCGACTAAGATCTATGCCACGTCAGTCTGTTTCTCAATCAAGGAAATCGGTACGTGAATACTTAGAGCGAGCCGCGAAAACAGCTTAGGCACCCGTTGGTTTCCTGATTGGGATCCGGATATCGACCATTCAAAGAGCTCACTGAGACTCATTTTGGTCCGTTCTTGAAGCATCTCGGCCTCGTGCTGAGGAGGTGCAAAGTTCGGTATAGAGGGAGTGAAATTGTTTCCGTCAATCGCAAAGAAATATATCTGCTCCAAATACTGATCTCTGGACTTTTCTGGCTCACGGACGTCCTTGATTGGTTTCTTGGCTGGTCGAGTGAAGAATGGAGCCCACTGCCTGCCAAGAAAATAATGGGCTTGTCCACAAAGCCATCGTATAATAGTCTTGAACCTATCTCTTTCTCTATCCGCCTCTGAACCGGGCGATTTGGAGGGCGCCAGAGTCGGAATGGTGACCTCCAGTAGACGATCCGAACCCCAGCGCCGATCTAATCGGTGGCCAAGTCGAAAATGTAGTGGATCGAGCTTGGCAATATAAAAGGGGTCGGAAGGTTTACCAGCCTGAAACTCAACTGAAAGCACGACGACTTTGTTGCCACTCCTAAAACTTTCCAGCGATGCTGCCCAGACAGCATCATCGCTCTGAGGCGGCAGTCCTTTGCCACGAAACAGCTCCGACCGGGTGGCAAGCTGCGCTCGAAGCTTCTTCTGGTCATGCCATGCATCACTAGGCTTATATATCAGGTCGAATTCGCCAACGTCAACACCACAATGGGCAGCTGCTCGGGTAATCTCCCAAACGACGCCCAGAGGAGCATGGTTGAGCGATTCTGGAAGTTTAGCTATATGATGATTTAGCTTTCAATAGACATACGCTGTGGTAAATTCGTAAAGCCTACGCCAGACATGTTCCAGTCTTTTCTCCAGAGAATGAGTGTGTTTGTTTGGTTGCACTGTTCCTGAGAGACGGTCCGGAAGAGTGATCGGAACATCTTTCTGGTATGGAATTGATTGGCTGAGGGATTCCTGGCTGCTGAGTGAAGTCTCACTTTCGTATCTTGTCGAGAAGGAGGTATTGGCGAAAGACTGTCTGGTTGTTGCCGTAGACTTGCTGGTGAATGAAGTATTTGGGGTCACCAACGGTGATCTACATGGTGAGGATCTGTGCGGTATATCGTCGAGATCATCGTACTGGTGTGCGGTTCGGGTAACCGTCCGTCTACGCTCATGGTCAAGCGGTTCGTCAGAAGCTCTCTTAAACGATCGCCCCGATCTTTCCACCCCAGGCGAAGCTTGATAGCGTCCTCTTTGGCCCAAGCCGTTGGTACCAAGTGGGGCCGCAACATCGGACATATTAACTTCATAACGGGTTTCTTGCGTAAAATGCTGGAGGGGAGATAGTCTTGTTGATTCTTCTGAGCGGCCATTTCTCCGTCCACCGGCTCTCTTGGGGGTTTGGTTCATGATGACGGCATCAACAACATTCTCTTCGACTGTCCGTCTTATATCTGTAGACTTCTCCAGTTAACATCGGCTTGCGAACAAATCCAAAAGAGAGCTCACATATTAGCAGGTCACGGGGAGCAAGTATTACATCCAAGTGACCCAGCACGAGGGTGTGAGCACAGAGCAGGGGTTCATGCCCAGAGGAGGAACGGTTCGCGGATAGCCCACTCCCAAAGACAATCCCCTCAAAACAATGGCCAGTGAGGGGAAGCCGGGAACATCCCCCACACGCGCCCTGGACGCGAAGGTGGGGCGGAGGCACGTGCTCTCGACAACCTCCCGGCTATAACGGGAGATAAGGATGCGATACCGGAGTAACGACGGCCCGTGAGCGGGGAAAGCTGCTCAACGCCGCCGAGCCCGAATCTTCAGCGAAACTCCAGGGATCATAGCCGGGCAGCTCTTTATCCTCGGTGTTCGGCATCTCCCAATATTTCCAGCTTTCAAGGGACAGCAAACGTCGGTGTATTATTCAAGGAGACACACCCAATCGCACTTCAATTGACTCCACTATCGCAGGCCGGGCTTTTTGTCCTGTGGCTTCAGCATGCCAGACAATCCTGACGAGCCCGAGGAGCAGGTTTCTGTTGATCAGCTCACTCCTGAGGAAGCCAGTCGTATCATTCATTCCCATCGCAAAGTTCGATATGGTAAAACCCCCTCACCCCAAGCCTCGTATTGGCAGTACCATAGAGAGAGGTTTACTCCGAATGAGTCTATGGCGTCGCGAGGACTAGTTGTGCTAATAATCAATTACAGGAACCGCGTGTTGGCCATGCCGCCAGCGAAAGGTGAAGTGCGACAACAAGCAGCCGTGTGAGAACTGCGTGAAGCGGGAGCATGCCCAGCTGTGCTCCTATAAGCCCAACAAGTCATCTGCTTCCAAGGCGCAGCCGTCTACCTCCGCGGAGGGTACCTCACGGAAGCGGGCTCGGTCCTCCTCAGATGCTCGCGATGCAAATTCAAGAGAAGGGCCACTGAAGACTGAACGGCAAGACAGCTGGCCGCGCACAATAGGTGAGCGCAAGTCTTCCAGTTCCGAGAAGATGATTGATGGAAGAGTTTAATAACAAACATCACAGCCAGCCTTGAGGATTCGGACGGGGCCACTGATCGCTACCTTGGGCAGAACAGTATTCCAGCCCTGCTGCGTGAGCAGTCATCTCCCACGGACAAGAGCGACCGTGTTGATATCCGTCAGGATATGAGACCTATTCTAGGCCTCGATACATCAGCACCGTTCCCTCTGATGTCCTCCAACCACCTGCTTCGCTTAGCCCAGGACATCGCGGCGGAGCTTCCCTCCGACCGAGAGGTGATGAGGTTCGTTACATACGAGACCTAATTATAGCGACTAGATGCTGATGGACAACACAGACTCTTTCGAACATACAAGGAAATCCCTCAGCCCTTCTGGGGCTTTGTTGTTGATATCGATGACTTCGAAGCCAAATTGATGGTTTACTTGGAAGAGCGTTCGCGGAACGCCGCCACTAGCAGTACAGTCAAGTCACCCAGGAAGGCCACAGCATCATGGCTTGCCATCTTATTTGCCGTCCTAGCTGTTGGCTCCCAATATCATGAATCCCCTTATCATATTCGAACAAGAGCTTCACAGAGATATATCCAAATCTCATTCCATTTTCTCAGGCTGGGGAATTTTCTCTTACGGTACGTAACGCGCATCCTCGCCTTCCAAAGCCCATCCTTACTTAGATCAGGCCACTTACACCGTTAGGCCTTCATTCGACTCCATCCAAGCCCTTCTCCTAACGAGCTTCGTGCTTCTCAATGATATGAAAGCTGAAGCATCATGGGCCTTGACTGGACTCACATGTCGCCTGGCCCAATCTCTCGGCTTGCATCGGCCCAATGCCAACGAGGGCCGCGAAGATGCACCACCTGAGGTTAAGTTGAAGGACAACATTCGGCGCAAGTTGTGGTGGACCTGTGTTTGGCATGACACTCTGACTTCATTGTCATTCGACAGGTAAATTTTCACTCCAGTTAGCTTGTTCGCTGTGATTCCTTGAGGCGCTAACTGATCATCGCAGGACACCAATGACCAACTTCCCGAGTTGCCGAATTCCTCTCAAGTCGGACCCTTCTATTAGCAACTACACATACATCGAGACTATGCATCATCTGATTGAGATCATTTCTCGACGATTGAACCCAGAGTCAATGGCCACTGCCTCTTATGCTCAAATTGTCGACCATTGCGAAGCGGTTGAGAATCTGCGATCGCATGCCTGTGCCCATATCCAGGACAAGGATCAGTGTAAAACGGCTCTAGACCGCTTGCAGTTCTTCGCTATCCGCCTCCACACATCGTTTGTTATTTCTGTCGCATGTCGTCCTGCCTTGAAAAGGGATAGTGAGTTCGACCCCAACCAGAAGAAAGTGCTGGTGGAACGATGTAAGATCAACCTTACCGAAACGGTGAGGATGTTCCTGGCTATGCACCAGCTCTCTGTCATTCCTACGCGAAGTTGGGCATTCACCTATCACGGCCTTTCTTCCGCTCTTCTCCTTGGGCTTCTCTGCGAAACCAAGACCGATCCCGAGGTGCGACAGCTCCAAGGCGATCTCATAGCGGCCCTGTCAGCAACCGCTGCCAAAGAGGCATCCCCAGATCCTCATATTGCAACCACGGATAAGGACATTGAGCTCTCCGGTCCTCTTTGGAGGGCTCTTACCGCGCTGAAGAACATCTACGATCACGGGACCATTGGGCGCTCGCACTTGAGGAAGACTGTTGACCCTTCATCAGCCGGTGGCAGCGGAGACAGAACGCCTCTGCACGGATATGCACTAACCAACGGCAACGGCACCACCCAGCCACAAATCCCATTTACAAATACCCAATTCGCAGGTATTCCGTCTTCCAGTGACCCGCGCGAAGATGCGGCACTTGCCATGGCGGAGATGCAGAATGGCGCCTCTCTTCAGGAATTTAATGGGTAAGCTCAAAGGAAGCAGTTTCCAGCTCGTTCTATACACGACTAACAGTCATACCAGGAACCCGTACGCCACCACACTCCCGCCGAACATCAGCCTCGAGGAGATGGCCGCCGTCAGCGTTGATCCGACACAATACATGGCTCCGATGGAGCTATACGATACTATTTGGGGAGGTAAGGCCAACGCCCATTCTCAGAGTTGCCAACGTTTCCCAGTACTGACCAGGATACGAACAGAATCACCCCCAGATCCATTTAATGGCGGTATGGATCCCGTCACCTTTGACTTCCTCGCCCAGCCTCCACCAGGCCAACCGCAGCAGCAGTATTATTTTTGAAGCGGGCATCTGAGATTTCTTTTTATGTTCTCAGGTAATTATTGTGATATTGGGGCAGTTTTCGAAAGCATCTTGCATGTGAATTACAGCCAGGGAAAATTGAGCGAGCTTGGATCCTTTTTTTTTAGATAATTTACTATCTTTAGGAAGTTATGTTGTCACATCACTAGTACGAACGAGGGAAAAAATTGGAAATACAGAGTCCATTTGACTATCAGAGTATTCTCGATTGTATTCATGTTCGCATCAGCAAATCGTCAGGGCTCTCTTTGTTCATCAAAGCTGCTGTTCTCCAGGGAGAAGCAGGCCATCAGGTCGCGACTGTGGGCAGCAACAGCTATGGGAGGTTATGCATGGGTATGATACATGCAAAACTCTTCCCAAAAGCCTGTCGCTTGCATCCTACAGGCTGCGACATGTAGTGCTCATCATCCGATATTGCTGCGGTTTCGCTCTCCAACTAGGAGGGAAGGCCTCGCGACAGGGGAATTGTGGCATATCGAGTCTAGCTGCCATGCCATCTCTTTTCATTCCATTTTCATTTTTCTCTTTTTTTCTTGTTTACTTCTTACGCCTGGAAGTGCTGCTGACTATTTTCTTCTTCATAGCCTTGGGCATCTTCTCTTTACGCTTCTCGCGCTTGGCCTCCTTGACAGCTTGCTTATGTTGCTGGGGGAAATGTTAGCATCGCTCTGAATGGCAAGTCATCGTGGACCAGACTCACCTTTTTCTCATCCTTGTCTTCGAACTTTCTTCCACGGGGCCTACCCTTTTCGAATTTGCTCTCATCCTCGGAATCATCACTGTCCAGTGCCGCTCCCTCTTCATCAGAGGAGTCCTCGGCACCCTCCTCCGATTCCTCACTCCCCTCGGTCTTCTTACCCTCATCCTTGGGAGCAACCACCTGGTCAGCCAGCAAGTTACTGTAAACTAGCTGGTCACCTTCTCCCTTTCCGAGTCGCTGTGCGTCCTTCTCGATGTCGTAAACTTGCTCGAGGGTCTGAGGAATGTACTGGTTTCGGAAAACCTCGTTATCGACTTCCAGCTCGGCCAGCTGGTCCTCGGTGACTGAAGGGCGAGCAATATACAGCTTCTCAATGGCCTCCGACATGGCAGGCTCCTCTACAGGCTCCTCGGCGGCGGTGATGAAGTTGAAGATCATGCGATCAGTCAGAGTGTCGACGCCTTTTCGGCGGAAGAAGTCGCCCACATTCTTAATGTCCATTCGCAGGAACTCGAGAGACCTAGGGTGGTCGGGCTCAACACTTTGGGAAACGTCGATGATGTAGAGCTTGCCATCATGGTAAAGGATATTGTACTCGCTCAAGTCAGCATGGACCAGCCTGCAGACTTGGTAGATTCGGCGCATGATGCCCATCAGCTGAATGTAGAGATCCCTCCACTGTTTATCCACGTCGTCGCCGTCCAGAACGGCATCGCGTAGTCGAGGATAAGCCCAACCCTTCTTATCGCCCAAAAAGCTCATGGCAAGAACGTGAAGCTTGAGGCTGAGCGGTTCGGGAGAGGGGATTCCGGCATTGTGGATACGTCGCAGGTTACGGAACTCCTTCTCAGCCCATAACTTGACCATCTTTCGGTTATTTCCCTTGTCGAATCCACCCTTGAAGCGGTGCTCACCAGTGATGTATCGCTCTCGATCCTTGAATACAAGAATGGCCGTCTTGTACACCTTAATGGCTCGCTGGATGGTATCTCCGGTCTTATCGTCGTATGTCACTGCGCCGTAAACGTTCGCTTCTTTGCCCGTGCTGATGGCGCCGTGGACTTCACTGACAACGCCACGGTTGATCATCTGCAACAGGATCATGCGTGTGCGCTGATCCAAGACCTGCTCGCTCGTCGCACGGTCGGCCTTGTCCTTGTCTTTGTCAGTGTCTTGCTTGACACTGTCGAGACGGATTTTCGCCGCATGCTTGGAGAGAGCAGAAACTTGGTCGTCGATACTGGCAAAGGTATTCGCAGTGGGCTTCTGTTGGTTCGACCTAGGCGCGGCGCCAGAATCATTCAACTGTCTTTGTCTGTTGTATGATTTTGTGAAGTCTCCCGTCTCGTTTGCCCATTCGTTCTCGTCGACATCATCGGCGTTGTCGTCGAAAATATCGTCGAGGTCTTCATCTTCGTCGGCAGGTGCGGGTGCACCTCTGGGCATTCGAAGCACGTCCTGAACATCGCTCGAAGGCTGCTCGTACCCGTTGTTTGCTGTGTATGTGAATGGCGGTTGGTGAGGTGCAGTTGGTGCTGCCGCTGGGGCAGTCTCCTCGCCAGCCATCTTGGTGGTATTTATGGTTTTGGAATGTAGAGACGTAATGATGGAGGCTGGGCTGGGCGGCCTTTTTTTTTTCTGCCCCTCGAATTTCCATCGCGGGGTTCTGCGTGCTCTTTATCTTATCGCTTTAGTGGGTCCAGGCTCATCAAGGTGTTGTTCACTGCTCATAGCCATCGTGACTCATTAATCATCACCAAGCCTCATAATTCATCACTCTAGGCCGGCATCGACGCTTCGGAGGCCCAGCCAGGCATCTTTTGATTGTTATGTCAGAGGTGATGGAGGAATTTCTATCCTAGGATAGGAATTTTGCCTTTTCTAGATACATCTAAGTTTACCCCCAGAATCTGGTTCATCCTCTGACGGCCCCTTTCCAAGTGGATATGCCATCCACAGGTCTCAGTCCGGCGCCTCCAGCCACCACTCACAATGGATGTGCTAATTGCGAGTCTCGCTTCAATATTGAATTACTGCAGGTACCGTGTTTCATGGACTCTTAGAGAAGTGCTAAGCGCTGATCCTGCAGAGAAATAAGGATTATCGAACACCAAGCTAAATGACCGTTGCGTGTTTCAGCAATATGCTGAGCTTACGCCCTCAGCATTGGAGGCTTTGTGCCTCTGGCTCTCAAGGGCGAAGGCCTTTCGAGCTCCCTTCATGTCAAAAACACAGGCTGCGTTTAAGCATGACACCACTCCTTGCCCGCATTCCTTTTGCTTGGTTGCTTAGACGATGTCTCTCCCGTCGCGTTCCAACGTGAGAAGACTACCTTGGCAGGGCTCTGTTATATCTGAGCCCATCCGCTCTTTCCAATTTGAAATGAACGTAGCTGTGTAGCCATTCTGCCGTGTTCCCGTTCTCCTGTTTCCCATTACGTCTGAGGCTTTGAGGTCCTCGTTCTCGACATCATGAGAGTCATTAGTGCTCTGCTCACTACCCTTCCATCTCTAGTATGGGCTGCGTCACTCCCAAGCCCGGACGTGGGCAGTCGTTCAGCACCAGATGTCCAACCTCTGCAGCAAAGTGCCAAAACAATCAGTCTATCGCAGGTTGAGAACACGAACTTCCAGCGCGAGGACCCTTCAGTGGAACTTATCCGAACGTTTGTGAAGTATGGCAAGCCTTTGACTCCGGCTTTGTCGGAAGCGGTTGAGCTCAACCCAGATTTGAATGCCAAATTTAAATCATACAGTGGCGGTGGTGGTTAGATATTGTCGATGATGCCCGCTCAGTTCCTCTACTAATGATGCTACAGGTGAGACTGGAACTATCAAAGCATCCCCTCCTGCGCTTTTCGACATCCAATATGTAGTCCCCGTTTTGATTGGGACACCGCCCCAGAAGACATACTTGAATCTGGACACGGGGTCTGCTGACTTGTAAGAGCCTTAAGTTTATACCCATTAGTTTCTCTGCTGACCTCGGCATCTCTTAGCTGGACCTTCTCGACCGACACATACAAGCCACTGGTCCGAAACCAAACCCTCTACAAACCCAACTCTTCCAGCACCAGTAAGCTCTTGAAAGGCGAGGCATGGAACATCCGGTACGGGGATGGAGCAGGCGCGAGCGGGATCGTGTATCAGGACCGAGTCCAAGTCGGCGGCACATTCTTCAACAAACAAGGCGTGCAGTCTGCGGTGCAGGTGTCCTTTGAAATCTCCAGGGACAGCTTCGCCTCGGGAATCATGGGTATGGCCATGAAGGGCATCAACACCGTCCGACCCACCCAGCAACACTCGTATTTCGAGAACATTCTCGACAGCCTCAAAGAACCGGTCTTTACCGCCAACCTACAGAAGGGCAGGCCAGGAAACTACAACTTTGGCTACATCGACGATAAAGAGCATATAGGGAATATCACATATGCGCCTCTGCTCACCGACACTCCTTTCTGGGAGGTGAACGTCACGGGCTATCAGGTCGACGGCAGTCCATACCAGCCAGTGGTGTGGAATGCCCTTGTGGACACTGGCACTTCCCTGCTCATTCTGCCCGAGAACATCGTGAACGAATACTACACAAGCGTCGAGGGGGCAGCGTTTGACCCAAGACGTGGAATGATGCTCTTCCCCTGCGAGGTGCAGCTCCCAGACTTCTACTTTGGTATTGGGGACTACAGAGGGAAGATCCCCGGCCACTACATCAATTATGGGAAGGCCGATCCCTCATACTGCTACGGAGGAATCCAAGCCACGGATATCCAGGGCCCATCGGTGCTTGGTGACATTCTGCTCAAAGCGCAGTTTGTCGTTTTTGACGGGGGGAAGAATGCAGTTGGATTTGCTAATAAACAGTTGCTGCCTCCTTCCAAGATTCTAAACGGAATAGGGGAATAAATTCCGTTTGCCCAGTGTTTAATTAGCTAGCTCAGCGTATAGACTAAAATACTAGAATTGAATTGTATTTATTCAGCTATGCTCGTTAACGAGGAATACATGTGGAGTATGTAGGGTCGACCGCGTGTAAGTGGCTTGAGGGATTGCAAATGCTTCCACAGTTTATACTCCACGATTTCACGGATCCAGGCATGATAAGTACCATATACTCCCGGACTTCAGTGAGAAAATCAGCCCATGATAAATTACATTCCCTGACTCCGGGACAATTCTTTGAGAAAACGATGATGATAGGCCATAAGTGTGTCTAGGGTAGGCGCAGGGGCACATCAAACTCCGAAACTCCGGACGATCTGCTCGGACCTTCGCTGTACATGACGTCCCAGCCATGAATTGCGACGAACATAAATAAGCCCAGAATGGCAGAATCACGCAGGTAGGCTTCAATACTGACCAAAGAGACCTCAGGCATCTCCAGAGATCCTTCCTGACTATTTTTCTTCGATTTCTATCATAGACTGGCAACGACACGACCATGACACACAACCCCAGCATCCTTGTCATTGGGGCCGGCGAGCTAGGCACCGCCATGCTCGAGGCGCTGGCCAAGCACCCACTCCGCTCCAACGTCAGCCGCCTGTCGGTGCTCCTTCGCCAGGCAACACTCGACTCGGCGGCCCCCCAGAAGCGCAGGCTGACCCAGGAGCTCCGGGCCGCGGGCGTGCACTTCGAGGCGGCCGACATCGTGGCGGCGTCGCAGGCCGAGCTCGCGTCCATCTTCGCCAGGTACGACACCGTGATCTGCTGCACGGGCATGTACCTCCCCGCGGGCACCCAGACCAAGCTCGCGGCCGCCGCGCTCGAGGGCCAGGTCGCGAGGTACTTTCCCTGGCAGTACGGGATGGACTACGACGTGATCGGGGCGGGCAGCTCACAGGACCTGTTTGACGAGCAGCTGGCCGTGAGGAAGGTTCTGCGCGGGCAGCAGGCGACCAAGTGGACCATTGTGTCGACGGGCCTGTTCATGAGCTTCCTCTTCGTCAAGGAGTTTGGGGTGGTGGACCTGGAGGGAAAGGTTGTGCGAGGGCTCGGCTCCTGGGAGAACCAGATCACGGTCACGGTGCCGGACGACATCGGCCGCGTGACTGCTGACATTGCTCTGGACCCTGATGATCTAGGACATGGCAGCCAGGTGGTCTTCTGCGCGGGGGATACCATTTCCTATGAAAAGCTTGCAGACCTGCTGGATGCGCATTTCCAGACAAAGTTCCGCCGTGAGCTGTGGGATGGTGAGATCCTGCGCAGGCAGATGGAGGAGGACCCCAACACCATGGTCAAGTACCGGGACACGTTCTCGCACGGTCGAGGGGTGGCTTGGGAAATGGACAAGACTGTCAATCAGAAGCGGGGTATTCCCATGACAAATATAAAGTCATACCTGGAGAAAGTGTATCCAAGACACCAAGAGTAAGGCAGAGTGCGTTGTTCAACAAATATCGGCCTGTTTGGGCGAGGCACACTTTGGTGGGTGGGCACTATCAGGCCATGAAGACGACGGGCACCTTGATGATCGAGCCATAGCAACCGATTAGGCACGAATAATAAAAATGTAAACCACTCGTATCTGTATGAGCATCTGCTGAGTATTCATGCGCGTCCAATGAAGGGTTGCGTGGTATTGCAGGAAGCCGCAAGCCGAACGCATTATTCTTTGGCGGCGCCTTTGTTAGTGGAGAGAGGAGGAAGCTCCTCCCACCAACAAAGGAACTGAACTCATCCTGCATTCTCATGCAAGGGATGATATTAGAACAACTACATGGCCTAAAATTGATGCTGCATTGTCAATCTCACGCTTGGGCCAGGGAACAATGGCGGAATGCCATGACGACTTCCGGCCTGTGCTACACTAGAAGGAGCCTGGTACTTCTATCCTCTGGAAATTTAGGTTGAATCTCAAGGATACATTAATAATACGCATCATTAGCAGGACCGAGGTTGATTGCACTGGCCAGTTAACCGGGACAATGATTGCCGTGAGTGGGTGTTGAAGTTGGTTGGGAGCCTCAGGACTGGAAGGTTTCCTCCTTTGGCACTATTCCAATAAAATGTATCATCGCACGCTCTGACCTACCACTAAGCGATTCATGAATCTATGACAGTATATATCCGGGGTACTTCGGGGTTCCAAGGTTCCGGTATGGCATGGGTGTCACTGTTGTGACTCAAGCCCGGGCGTGTCGCTTATTCCAGCCTTGTTGGTGGAACAGTAAACGATCTCGTACTCTCTCGGGATCCTAGGCAGACTCTCTCACTGCCTGGCCAGAGACACATGTGTGGATGTGAGTGATGGTCAAGGCCCGGCTACCGGCTTCTAGGCCTGGGGCTTGTCTTGCTTGGACGCATGTATCACATCACCCTTGGGCTGCCTTTGCAGCAGCAGAACAGCTGTGCATGACATGCCATTGAGACAATAAAGGCAGTGATGTTACAGCCGCTGAAGCCGTCACAAAATGAGCCTGCATAACTGGCTTGAAATGGAGAGTGAGGGGGGCCACGCGCCTCGATAAACAGCCAAGTTGGCTAACTACCTGAGGCAGGGAGGTGCAATGGGACGTCAATATGTATGTATGGATGAGCGAGTTTGAGCTAGCGCTTTCAAGCACAGCGTAGCATCTCGACTTAGAGATAAGGCACATGCAGAGTCTATTGGTGAGGCTTGGCTAGAGTGTTTTGCCTGTTTTGGTCAACCGATTGCTGCCGCAAGCGTGATGAGCATGAGAACATGGTGTGTGCTTATCTGGATGTGATAGAAGCCGAAACAGATGGCGGGGGATTTGCCGAGGCCAGGAGATAAGGAATCTGAGACCGAATGGCCATTGAAGCAAAGGATACACTGGGAGTTCAATGATCATTCGAGCCTCTTGCTCTTCCTTGATTGCTTCGGTTGTTTCGAGCATATGTAGTCATCGCTCGTCATCATTACCGAAGGGCATCCGGAGGAGTTGGACAAAGAGCGTGCAATTTGATTGATTCGATAGTGGATGGCGAGCCCTGGAGCAAAGTAACCGGGGCCTGGGCTCAGCTGGGGTCCGGTGACTGACATGCTGCAATTCCAGGCGGGAGCCCTGTGACTGACCCAATCCTTAGCCCTGGACCCCCTAATGCCCAGGCTGCACGTTTGGCTGTGCGATGCTGGGCTAGGCACACACACCAGCGCTTCAAACCAATCTTCAAACACTCCAGCACGGGTGGACCTGCGATGCACCCCAGTCGCACGTTGTTGGAGCAATCAGGTGCATAGCTTAATTCAGAGTTGGCGTCATCGGCATCATCGAGTGCGAATCACCATCATTCGCTCGCCATTCATGTTTTGCGTGTTGGGCGCCCCACTGCACTTTGCCATGGTAATCAGGGCGCAGCGGGCGATGATCAAGGCATGAAGTGCATCCGTATCTATGATATCGATGGCCGGTGCGCATGTAGCCGCTCGGTTGGTATGCTGGAACCCGAAGCAGATCGATCCATCACACTCCCCGAATGCCCGAGACAGACTGTTCTGGCCTGCTGCTCCCACCAAATTCCGTCGCTGGCCGTCTCCGGCCAGAAGGCTGAGTCGACGACCGTTTGTCAGCCTAATATGCGTCTTCTGGTTTCTTTTCTTGGAGCACCAGCAATAATATCACGTACGCATCTAGTTAGCCCTGTGTTGAACCATGGCCTGGCGTGCGCCACCAGCTCGCACACGCTTCCTTTCGTGCTGTTTAGCTACCCACCCTCCCATATCGTCATCCATCCCGGTGACTCACGGTCAGCCGACCAACGCTCGCGCTTCCTTATCCGTCCCTACTGTAATTCGTGCTTCCCATCGGCCTCAGCTTGCCTCGCTACTCACACGCCCCCTGTCCCGTCCCTGTCTCCGGCCCCTGTGACGATGACTCTTTGCTCCACCCGCCAATCAGCGCAGGCGCCCGTCCAGGCTGCCTGGCCGATTCGCCAACCCCAGACAAAGGTGTCTTGCCCGCCTGCGCAGTCCGAATGTTATAATAACAAGTCTCGACTTCCGGCGCTGGCCAGATGATTCCTTGTCTTTCCACAGCTTTCAGCTTAATTTCACTAGCCTGATCAGCCTTCTGCTGCGCGGTCAGGCGTACGCCTTGTGCATGACATTTTGAATCTCGATTGCCTAAACTTCCAACTTACATCTCCACCGAAAACCATCGCCTTTTACGCAACTGTGCCGCTGCGCAGATAACCCTTATAACCCGGCCATCATGGATACTCTCGTCGCTTCTTCATCTGATCCTGACCTCTTGTTCACGGAGCGATATCCCTTTTCCTCCGCAAGATCAAATCACAAGTCTCTTCGCAGACGGACTCTGAACCATCGGGTTCGTCTTGCTGCTAAGCGATATGCTGCTGAGCATCCGGCCGAGCAGGATGTGTGCCAGGCAATAGGATTGCCTTGCTCCCACAACCAGCCCTCTTACGACCTCGTCTTCGGCTCAGAGAGCTCTCAGCATCGCCGCCCTCAGGGATCAGGTGGTCGCCGCCTGCACCTTGAACAGTCTCTGGCCCGTCACGAGCGTGCTGTTAGTGCCGCCCATGGCCTTTCTGCCGCGCCTCGCTCTCATCACAACCGGAAGTCCGCCAACCTCCAGGATGACTCGATAGCTCTTGCTCGCAGTTCGGCCCGTCTCCCCTGCGACCGCCACCGCTCTCTCCAGAGGACTCCCAGTCTCGAGAGAGAGGATGCCTTCTGTGATGCCTCTACTTTCAGGCAACGAGCCATCCACATCGGCCGCCTCCCCGCCGGTCCCATGGACGAGGACACTCAGGTGGCTGAACTGTATCGAATGGGCCTTCTCTACGATGATGCTGACAAGGCCCGCAACGACTCAGCCTCCTTCGGACTCAACAACATCCACCACGACGCGCCCATCTATTCCATCCGACCTGCCCGCCGCAGCCAAAAGCACGGCAAGTCAAAGGGCTACGGAAAGGATGCGCCCCTCAATCTGGACCTCTCTTTCGCCGATCTGGGCAAGGATGGCGACCTTGCCCAGTATCTCTCCGCCTCCGCCTCCTCAACCGATGCCGGGAGTTGGCCAATTCAACATTCCGCTCCCACACACGCCTCTGGCGAGGAGGCCGCTCCGCTCCGCGTCGTCTACGAGCTGGAGACCTCCCAGCCTTCCTTTGACGTGGACACCTCGCAGCCACCTGACCTGGTGACAGACATTCTTTCAGAGTACGATTATTTTTCAGACAGCGAACTCGACGACACCGGCGACGTGCCTTCCCAGCGGGAGGTCCACGATGAGTCGCCTGCAGCCACCTCGTCTTCAGGCGTCTGGGTTCTACTGGGTGACGACTCGTAGCAAGTCCGCTCTCGGGACCCTTCTTCGTTCCCCCTCTGCGACGAGGTGACGAAGCAAGGGCCCGGGGTAAGAACAACGGTGGGAGAGCCTCACCTCGGACTGGTCCTCATAACCCCCTAGTATATACTTACAGGCGCCGCGGGGGACTTGAGGAAAAATGAGAAGTGATGGGGACGTAGTCTCTTCCGGGCGGGTTCCGCGCGCGCATCTCTGGCGCGTTCGGTGCTCGCGTTACTGCAGACGCTTGAGCATCGCGCGCTGTGTGGGGTGCGATGCGGGATTCCTGTATTGTATAATGCCATGCCCAACTGGATGGGATGGTCGGAGGAGTTTAGGTCGTGTCACACTCTTATTTGCGGATTTGCGAGCATTCAGCCGGTGTTTGAAAGGAGCGTTGATTTTTTAATTCTTTATTCCTATGAACATGTTATATCTTTCTTCAAACTATTTTTCTATTCTTATTAGCCATGGTCACAGGAATGGTTCATTAGACGCGTGAAGCTCATACAATAGATACCACTGCATCAAGCGCAATGCTTATCATAATTCATTCTAATGCACTCGTGTTTCAAGAGGTCTAATGTCCTACGCTTTTGAAATCGAATTAATGATATGATCCCAGAATGGTTCTTCAGGCTATATGGACAAACTGTGATACGTTTGTTCAGGGTGTCACCGAAATGTAGCCGTCTATACACGTCTCTGCCTGAAATCTCATTGAGGCACGAACATGAGAAGAACTAATTGGATGTGGCATTATCATTCTCCCAAACACCGCAATGTGACCCAATTTAGTGAATTCAATTTCTATCTACTATGAAAGCTATTCTACATAATATTATTTACAGCTTGATAGGAAGTCCCCGGCTCCTTTGCTACTGTTTTGTGTATAGGGTAGTGAGGATGAGTTGGTCGCTGGGATGCAAACCATGTTTCCAGTCCTCTCACTATCGGCCAATTCCTATCACTGCAGAATCCTTGAGGATTCCTTCGTGGCCAACCTAGACAATGATACTGTAGCATCAAAATTCAATGATTACCAATGAGGCAAGGTGGTGGTCAGATCTCTATCGTTCCACTCAGGTACATTCTCATCATACCTACCTAGTTGTGGGGTTGTTGACACCCTCGATATCGAATACAAGCGAAGAGAAGGGAAGAGCACAAGCGAGAGAAAAAAATGTCCGAATTCATGTTTAAAGAGCTAAGATCTTAAGACGTGGGATCTATCTTCGGGAAGATTCCACCCATAGATCATGACGTTCAAATTTGGCAATGGCATTGAGTTTTTAGCACGACCGGAGACATATCCGCATGTCCCCGAGTTGGCTTCGGCGACTTTGTTTTCGGCGTGTTTGTTTGGGAATTTCTATATTATTGAATAGAGCGTTTATCTCTTTATAATATAGTTAATAAGAAAAACAAATAGAATAGATATATTGCAGATTAATAACCTAGCTATTCAGCGAATAAGACAGTCTAAGTAGAGTCTTGAAGTTCAGATAATACATATACAGTATCCAGCTAGGAAGATCGGTGGGATAAATACATCCTGGATTAATGACCTAGCTGTCTGACTAAGATGATTAAATAAGACGGGTCGGACAGGGTCTTTACCTAGGTCTTTAGTTTCAGATGACTTGGCTGTCTAACTAAGGAGGGTAGGCTGGACGTTGCTCCTCGGGTTCATGCGATACAACTGCCCGACGAGGGTTATGAGGACGGCCCCGAATTGGCCTCGGCGACTTTGTCTTCGGCGTATTTTCTTGGGAGTTTCTGTATTTAATGTCTCGGCTGGTACGCACCTTCAAATGGATTTTCATGTCAATTATCAAAGACCATAAGTAAAGCTAGTCCCATATTTTTACATATATTGTCGTGGACCACGGTTGCTTCCACTTACACATCCAAATTATAGAGAAAACCACCGCCTACAGCATCCAACAAAGGCAAACATGGCAGCAGCGCGCGCCTCAAAGATCTTTGACGTCCTCATCATTGGGGGCGGACCAGCAGGTCTCACCTTTGCCGGAAGCCTCGCCCGGCAGCTGCACACAGCCCTGATTCTGGACTCGGGAGTCTACCGCAATGACCCGACCAACCACATGCACAACGTCCCCGGCTGGGACCATGCCGCCCCGTCCGAATTCCGGGCAAAGTTACGAGAGGACCTGGCTGCGAGGTACCATACAGTCGAGTACAAGAAGGGCACTGTCAAGTCGGTGCGCAAGCTCGAGGCCGAGGATCTGTTCGAGGCTGTAGATGAAGATGGAGTCGTGTACCAGAGCAGGAAACTCGCCCTCGCAACTGGTGTGAGAGATAGAACTGAGGCGGAAGTCAAAGGATATGCCGAATGTTGGGGCCGTGGAGTGTAAGTTACCTCTCCTCGTTATCCCTTTTATGTTTCTTGGGCCTAACCCACTCATGATTTATAGATTTCACTGCCTGTACTGCGAAGGATATGAGCAACGCGGCGCCGACTCGGTAGGCGCCCTCGCTACGGGCTTCAATGCCGAACCAGAGATGTTCCTCCACGTCGCCCACTTGGCGAAGCGGCTGTCCGGGCAGGTCAACTTATACACGAATGGAAACGAGACATTGGCCGCATCACTTCCCGCTCATATCAAGAGCAGCAAGATTGTCCTGGATCCGCGACCCATTGAGTCCCTGTCACTGGTAGACGGAGGGCCCCAAGTGCGTGTCAACTTCACAGACGGAACAAGCAGGGTCGAGGGCTTCATTGTTAGCCATCCGACCGTCGAGCAGCGGGCAAAATCCCTGACAGAGCAGCTGGGGCTGGAGACGACCCCGTTAGGACATGTCGTCGTAGATGAGCCATTCAAGGAAACGAGTGTTAAGGGATGCTTTGCAGCAGGCGATATGGCAACACCCGTGAGCGCGGTCATTCAAGCTATGCATATGGGTACGTTTGCCGCCATCGGGACGGTTTCACAATTGCAGGCGGAGTTGGAAGCAAAGGATGCTCTCTGAAAAGATATATCTGGGCTTGGCAGGGTAAACGTTCTGAAATAATGACCATGGATCACACATAGATTGATAGATCATCTCAATATAATACCGTCACCTGATCCAAGCTCTTTGAAAATGTACGTCGGTAACTTAGATTCGTCTTGAAGCCAGTTCCTCTCATATTCACTAGCCTGCTTGGCGGTATATTGAACCCTTCGAAGCAATGGCGCAATGAAGCCACCGCCCTTCTTGATCTCATCGTGGGTGGCGATCCAATATTTTGCTCGGCTTGCCTCGACAGCACGAATGCCGTTGAGAGCACCCAAATTGAGTTGTTTTGTCATCCAAATGCTGACATCGTGCAATCCATGAAGAAGTGCGAGGGTTTTCACCCCAGATGAAGGAACAAAGGCAAGATCCTCTCCAGAGATTCCGTGAGGTGAGTATATTATAGCTTCCCCAAGACCACTCCGTTGCTCCCTGTCATCGCATAGGTCAAAGGCTATAATTATGGCAGAATGGTAATAGAGTGAATTTCCTGGTGTGACAACCCTGCCAATCGCAAGCCAGTCGGGCAGACAAGAGCATACATGCTTCAAGCTTGTCCATGGAGCATCCTTTTCTAACCCAGGGGCAGTGATGACGTTATCAAAGTGACCCCAGCTCCGGATCAGATCAGATGCGATGTCTGTGGCTATCACTGGCGTGCTTTTTGGAAGTTCCTGGAGTGTCGCTTGATGACAATGGTCAGTGAATTCATGTGAGATGACCACTACATCGATCATATTGTATGCATCATCACTCGAAGTCTCTTGATCGGCCCCTGGTTGCTCAAGCTGGTATATAATTTCATTGAGCTTGGTCACAGTGTCAACGCTTGATGCAACGACGTGCCATTGCGTGCTGAACCACCAAGCCACATCGCTCTGGGGACCTTGGAGCCAAGGGTCAATGAGAATATTGAAGTGCGTCCGCACTTGCGGCCGGGCAATCTGAGTTGGGCGGGGGATCTGGATCAGCCATGTTGTGTCGGCGTTGAGGTGAGTTAGGAGGGGCCGACGGCCAGTGTTATGAAGCGCTTGGCGCCATTCGTCTAGCCCAGAGACGTGAAAGGTCTCCGGGCTGTTGGTATTCTTTTCATGAGCCATGAATCAGATTCGGTTAGCTGAGAATCCCGATGACTTTGAGTAAGCTGTAATCTGTCGAGAAAAGCAACCATGATTCATGGATATTGGTAACCCTGTCTCTTGCCAAGAAGTGGCACTATGGATCCTTGGAAGCTACGTAGATGGGAATTAATTATCCGCTCGGGTTGTCACCTGATCTCCCAATGTTACCTCATTCCTGAGAGCCTTTCTTCATCCGTCCTTAAACCTTATTGTAGAACGCTGTGACCAATACTTGTTATTTAAAGCGCCTCCTTGTGAATACAAGAACCCTCCTACTGAGCGCGAGCCTGTTGCTATCATTGCATTCAGAATTGAATGAGGCTGCAAGAAGCTGCCCATCTTTCTCATACCGTCATCGTTGCTTTATGGAGATTGGAGGGGTCGTTCGGCCGAGATGATTGGTTGCCTGGCCGATACATGCGATGCTGGGTGACATGCTTGAATTTAATCAGAAGGTAGTTGGATGATATAAACGTATTCTTTCAATGCCAAGAGATTTTGCTCCTAATTGCGGTGATAATTATTTCCAAGACATGTGATGGGGATATCATTTTAACTTGGGCGGCAAGTATCAGACACAACTTTCCCCACCAAAGTTTTCTTTTCTTTTTTCTCAGTCCGTTTTAGCTCGCCTCTTTTACTTTCTTAAGTTTCCTCACTGCCTTCTCGTTGACCCTCTTTCTTTCACTCAACTCTACAGCTGTGTTCCGAAAGGACACATTGAGCAATGTAGAACCCATTCTCATTTTGGAACGGGGTGCGCAATATCAAATAATCGAACTTGTTTAGTTCTTCACCGATCTCACCGGCTGACTGCTTTGCCATGAATGCCGTATAATTTCCCGCCGCCGCCGGCTTCTACCTATCCGTCTTTAGCCTTGTCGATCTGGCTCCGCGCTATGCATAAGTCAAAAAAAGAAAGCACGTCGCCTACGAATCGGCAGGGATTCTTTGTCCAATGCCTCCATAGCCCGAGCATGAGCTCGCCAATGGCATATGAGCATCTCATTCCGCAATTGGCGTTGCCTGCCCGTCCGCAGAATGCTGCGGAGCGGTCTGGGTACGGCTCCTCTCCTTGGCGCCTGGCTGTGTGTCTAAGTCCAGATCCAATCTACACGCGTATTCTGGCTGGAGGCTGGCTCCCAGGGAGTGGTCTAGCGGGCGGGAGGGCGAGATATGTCTTGGGATGAGGCAGTTTCCTGGACCAGACCCCCCCTTCCCTCCCCCAAAAACCGTTTCCTGTGTCCTGGTGCCCAATCGGATGCTCTGATATGTCTAATGACTGCTATTCAGGGCGGCCCTGCAGCTGACTTCCTCCCAATTCCATGTCTCTCGCAGCGTATTGGGCACGGGTCACGACAAGGGAAGAGGAACGGTCTAGCCCGGCTCTTAACGGTGCCCGGCGCGCAGCAGGGCATTCTTGAAGGTGGCAAAGATCGTCACGTATTCAATTCATTGTGGGCCGGATACCAAGGGCCCTGCGCGTCTCTGTGGTAAGGCGTTGATGGGTATGTTGGTATGGTGGAGGTTAGTGTCATCTTGCCCGTGAGGGTGTGATCGGCCCGTCATACCTTGACCATGGGGAGCTATGGGTATGGGAAAAGACGCGGAGATCCGGCCTGCCGGTGAAATGCGGTCGTGATTCAGATGGCTATATTATAATACCGATGCCCCCCTCCTCCCCAGACGCTGACGGATACTGCGCTGGTCTTCAGTAGCTGAGTTAGCTCCTACACTCGTTTTACTCTTTGCTTCTCACGCACGCGACTTGTCTTTCATTATGCTCCAGTCCGCTGCTCTCTTAGTCCTGGCTGCGGCCAGCAACGTCGTCTCGGCGCGTTGGTGCCGCGACCTCACCATTCCCGTGTCACTCACATCTCGCAACGCCGTGTTTGATATAGAGCCTCTCAAAACGGAGATTGACGTCACAAACTTTTACCTCGAGCTTGGAAGGCAAGGTGGAAACCTGGCGGACAAACTAGTAAAAGGTGTAAGTGGTATATGGCAAAGACGACCTATGAGGCTCCTGTAAATCTAATCACCCACGCATGAAAAGTATAAAACAGTATCAGGCATCTACACCCTTGCCGCAACGTACTGTGTACCCGACAAAGGACCGGGAGATGTACTTCAGATTATGACACACGGCGTCGGCTTCGACCGTAGCTACTGGGATCCCCCCATCGACGATTACAAGTACAGCTATGTTGCCCGCGCTGTTGACGACCACGGCTACTCGACTTTGACATGGGATCGACTGGGCGTTGGAAAGTCCTCTCACGGCGAGACAATCAATGAAATCCAGATCTTCCTCGAAATCGCCGCCCTGGCTGAGCTCACCCGCAAGTTCGTAAACTGCACGGTCTTCGAGCACTCCTACAAGCGTGTTGTTCACCTGGGCCACTCATTCGGTTCTGCCATGACGTACGGCCTCGTGAACCAGTATCCCGATATCAGCAACGGCATCGTTTTGACGGGCTTCAGCCAAATACCCGCTTACATGGGGCTCTTCGCTCTCGGCGGCAACTTCGTCCCCGTCAGCTCCGTCCCATCTCTCGCTTCCCAGTACGCAGAAGGATACGTCGCCGCTGGATCCAAGTCGGCAGTCCACACCAACTTTTTCGGCCCCGATGACTTCGACCCGGCTGTTCTCGACTGGCTGTACGAGCATGGCCAGGCCAACACACCCGGCGAGATCCTGACCGTCGGCGCAACAGGTGGTGTAGCTAACGTCTTCCATGGCCCATCATTGGTCATCACAGGAGGTAAGACATTAAGAACTTCCCATTAATATCACGAGAACATCCTAGCTAATTAAGTGTTAGAACGCGATGTTCCTTTCTGCGGCGGTGACTGTTACGCCACGTCTGCCATCCAGAACAAAACGTCCAACCTCATCGCTGCCTCCGAGGAGTTCTTCCCCAACGCATCCCCCTTCAATGCCACCGTCATCCCCAAGGCAGGCCACGGGCTGAATTTAGGCTACTCTGCGGACCTGGCCTTTGACACAATCCTTGAATTCCTTGAAGCTCACGTATGAGACGCCCCTTGGCATTCACCATTCGCCTTTTCTAGTGTATAGTTGCCGACATATCTCGTCTTAATGTTTATATTGGATGTTTTCAAAACCCAGTAACGCCGATGCTAAGTATACTTTTAACCTTTCCTTTTGCTCCGGAGGATGAGGAGTCGGGTTTCATGTCTCCGAATCACACCGAGAATGCCAGGCAACCCGAGATATTTTTATCCCCTTTGCAAATCAGTTCCTGGATGCTGTCTAGAACATGGATAGCTTGATTCTAATACCCCGGGAATGGATTCCGACGCGGTCAAGCTGAGGGAGGGGCGATATGAGACATGGCAAGCCGCGCTCAGCCTCTGATGCAGTTTAGTTATGACCTAGTATTTTTTTAAAATCTGACCAAACAACCGCAATGATAAGAAAGCGCTCTGTCATGTGGTATTATTCTTGATATATGTTGTTCGTTTATTATGTTTATTGCGTTCTGTAATTTCAATATTTTGTCTGAAGGCAGTGCCGGTGAGCCTCTCGCGAGAACCCCTCCGCTGCCTGCTCCGTATTTCATATGTCTTAGCTAAAATGTCTTGTGCCAAATACCCTCTTCGAGATGAGACATTGTTCCGGACTCAGCTGGAATCATTTTCCCTGCCATGGCATCTTATCGTTCATTATCATGTAGCTTGCCACCGCCGATCCCTCTTCCCCTCGGAGCTAAATCCCCTTGATATAACTCCTCTGCCGTCATCGTCCGGACACCGCCAAATTTCCTCAGAGGGACCTTGCTCTCAAACAGTTGATCGACCTCTTCGAGCGTGCGGCCTTTGAGTTCTGGAATCAGGAAGTAAGCAAGCCCTACCATGGCGAAAGCAAACGACCCGTACACGAACCCGACCTTGCTGCCCAGACCGGCGTATTGCGGGTTGATGAGGTACGGGCAGGTGAAAGACGTGATGAAGGTCGTAAGTACTGATACGACGCATGCGAGGAGGTTTGTCTTTTCTTTGACGCAGAGGGCTGCAGTCTCCGAGACGACGACGTACGATCTGATTCTTGATGTGAGTTGTCCTCTTCGGTCGTGTGTCAAAGATGGGGAGCTGTCAAGTCACTTACATAGGAGCCCATGACAGATTGAAGAAGAATGAGAACATCATGAGAGAAGCCACAATCACGTTCCGCTCATGTACGTTCATAGTTGAGCTCACCAGAGTCCCCATCCCACCCAAAATGAAGAGAAATGCACCCATGAATGCGCCCCCGACCAGAAGTACTGGCCGCCTGCCCACTGAGTCGACATGAAAAAGGGTGATCACCACGGCCGCAAGTGCAATTATGTTACTGATGACATTGAACAAGAAGGCCTGGCTTCCGAAACCCTGTGACAGATAGAACACGACGCCATATTGGGATGGGAACGCCTGGCCCGTGATCTGCTGTCCGAACATGACTAGCACAGCGACCATTGTCCTCACTCTATGCTTGTCACTGAAAACATCGGACCACGAGCCCTGCTGCTCATTCGCACGCGCATATTCAATGGCCTCAATCTCTTTACTCACTTCTCCTTCCGAAGCTGAGCCCCTGAGCTTGGTAAGGCTGCGTAATGCATCACCCTTGCGCCCACGGCTCAGCAACCAGCGAGGAGATTCGGGCAAAAGGGGGAGGAAAGCAAGAATCACGACAGGAATGATCAGTTGAAGTCCCACGGGGATCTGCCATCCTCTTGGCTCAGGGATATCCTGCGTGCCATATGTGACCAGGGTAGCAATGAGCTGACCGAGAACAATCATTAGCTGGATCGTCGAGGTGAACATGCCTCGTAGGACCTTGGGTGCCGTCTCGGCTTGGTATATGGGGACGACGACAATGGCCATTCCTGTCATGGTGAAGGTGATGACTCTTCCAACAGTGAATTGGGTCGCAGAATGCGCACTGACTTGAAGTAGTGCGCCGCTGAGGAAATTGTTAGTTGTCTTGTGGCATGGGGAATATTCAGGCTCCGTAGCTCACACGATAGACGAGATGCAAAGCCCAAGAACTGCCGCCCGACGTCCCCAACGTTCAGCCAAAGCTCCTGCACATATGCATCCCTGACAATGAGTCAATATTCATAGTCTCACCCTGCCGAGAGGAAGGCATACCAAGGCCTTGCCGAGGAAAGGAGTCGCCGTCATAACAGACGATAACCACCCCGGCAAAACGTATAAGCCAGTATTGGGGTCACGTTGGCCAAACATTGTGGTAAAGCTCTGCATTCCCTGCACGCCGCCAAAGGTCCCAACATCATAGCCAAAGTTGAGAGCGCAAAAGGCCATGTAACTACCCCAGCCCGGATTCAGCATTCACTGTCAGAGTAAAGGGAACGTGAATTCACGGCTATTTTGCAACTTACATCATTACAAAGAGCAGCATTCCGTTGAAATGACTCAGGCGCTCTCTGATGCGGAGAGGCTCTGGGTCGTTCTGGCCGGACTTTGCCATGGCGGCCGCCCACGATTCATGATTTGCATCAATTGGCTCGTTGAATAAAAGGGGAACGCGAGCGTCATCTTCCTTACTTATACCCATGCCCTAAGTCAGTACAATGATATTTCTCTAACGATAGACTCAAGGAAGTGGACAAGACTGTCACAGTTAATTGAACTTCGCAGGTGGAAACTGCCGACGATTCTCGACATACATTGGCTAGTCGTTTACTACTATAAAGTGGTAACCAAACTAGTACGGAACCACGTATGGACTATTCCAAACTGACTCAGTCATCACCTACTAATTGCTCCAGGCAGCATTTCCTCATGGCGGAGCCAGCCATCAAGATCCACCTGGTCATCCACACGGTGAGCCATGCCGATTGCTCAGACCGCCAGCCAGCTTATAGAAGGGATCCCGAATGTATGGTGGTGTGTAAGAAAATAGGCGGACATAAGCCATATCCCGCCAGTTTGGTTGACGTCTTGGCCCAGAAACCATGACTTGGCAGACCCATATCATGATGATTTGAGGATCAGTCATCATGAACTAGACTGTATATTGCCAACCTGTATGTAAGGACAGGGCTGGCTCGGCATTTGAGAACTTCTAGGGGCCAATGCAACGTCGTAGACAATTTAGCTCATTTACCATAGAGCCGGTTAATGAATTTCCGAGGGGTACCAGTTGTGGTAGCAAGTTGAGTACAGACTGAAGCGAGGGCAGATATAATAGCCCCAAATCCGAAGGGCCTGCCGATAGTAAGATGGCTTTGGCGTGAAGCTTTTAATGCAGACGATTCTAAAAACCTTAGACGGTTAGCCACTAACCAACCATTAGTACCCGCCTAAAGCCTTGCTGGGATGAAATCTGCTCAATTAGCTTCATCCCCTGCTTCCCCGTCAGTTCCCCTCCCGCCACTTACGGTCATCACAATCACCTCGGCTCGCGTTCGCGCACTAACACCCCCAAAACTTCAATGCCACCTACGTCGGGCAACACCCAAGAAGCACGAGGAGAGGCAGAACCAAGGAACAAGGTCAACATGCGGAGTGGGGAGCGGTACTTGGCCGCCGCAACCCGCCGATCCGTAGCCGCTAGGTATCCCAAGCCATCCGGCTTGATCCAATTCAGATGCTTCCTTCATCTTGACGGAGGGGCTGATCTATTCTCCGATTGAGGGTTGTGGCCTCCTGACCTCTTCAGATGTGCCTTGCAATCACACCCCTTCGCTCCCCTTGTCGTACATCAACCCATATGGATCCCGACTTTTCTCGTATTTCCGGCGCCGTCACGTCCCATGAACAGATGAGTATTCATCTAGCTCGACCGGGACCGAAACACCAGTCGTCACCGCTGCCCGCCTGCATGTCGCCCGCAGCTATGCGCAGACAGACCGGGTGGGTGTGGAAACGCAAGGAGTCCTGTGGTTCCAATGTTCCCGCCCTCGCCCATCAATCACACCACCATCACACCCCCCCACGTTCAGATGCCTTCTCCAGCCGAGATGCATGTCGATTATGCGTGCAGGGGTCGTTAACCCATTTCAGATGAGACCAAACCGGATTTATCGGTCACGAGCTCACCAGTTGCCAGTTTCGGAGATCCTCCAACCCCTCTCCCGACGTCGGAACACTCGCCAACATACCTTTGGGTACGACGCTACCACTTTGAGTAGGTATGTAGATTTCCTATTTAGCATTTATTGAATCGTTTGGGAAACCTGCTTGAGTTGGTAGAAGCGTAGATGGTAGGCTTGGACGACCTGATAGCCTCGCCGATTTCCTCCAATGATTAGGTCGTATTGTACAGAAATATTCTCATGCCTCTGGCTGGCCATTTTCATTTCATATATTATACCAAAAATAAGCATAATGCAGCTGGAAATGCCTTTATTAATATCCCCCAATGCCAATTGAGAGCCTCCTCTTGCCGCAATAATCAGGATAAGGAAATTTACAGGACATGACGACGTGTATGTTCATATAAGTGAAGTGTGGAGAAAAAGATAAAATAAATGGCTAGATTATGTTAGCAGATGAAGTTCCGTTGTTCCTCCAAATTATGTGCTTTTTGCTGTCTTCTTCTTGCGTCGAAGAGAGCTCATATCTGTAACTGTACTGTGGTTTGTCGTGTGCACTGTTGAAATAAGAAAAGGTGATGAGTAGAGACGCATTGAAAAAAAAAATCGTGAGGTAGCATCGCATTGGTGAGATGATTAGCCCACGCCCGCTAGTTGTATCCCGGAGGAAATGGGTTGTCGTAGGTAAACCATGGTGGTAAATCCGACGTCTGCCAAGTCAAGAACCCCGACATTTCATCTGCAGCTCTTATATAATCCCCCATGGTCATAGATGATTGGGGTATTGCCGGTGTTTCCGATGGATGCGTTATAGAGCCCAATGTAACCACCGTCTGGGCATTATCGTTGCCGTAGAGGGGGATCGAGATTCCCGATGGTTGGGCCGCAAAGGAGGGATAGCCAGGTTGAAGGTTGAAGGGAGGGGGTTCGTTCCCTACTGGCGACATGCTTGTGTCTAATAAGTTAGGAAGGGGTTGCATGACGAGTGACAGTTGCTCGTTTTGTGATGAGGGAGTTTTGGATCCTGCCGCAGATTGTGAACGTTTGATATTCGTTCTCGCCCGCCGAAAGGGTGCAAACTGTGACAGGTGTTCAACCTCCGCGGAGCCAGTTAACTCAGCAAGGTCCTCGTTAAAGCTGTATATCCTGTCAACATGGCGCCGCTAGGTGTCCTCCGGGTATACGTACCTAACAGGAGCTTTCCTTCGATATGGCTCGGCTGCATCGCGAAAGCCGAATATGTAACATAATGGAAGCAGAGTTCCCATCTATCCTTATCAATCATAGCTAGGATATTTAGAGATAAGACAAAGACATACATATGACTTTGGACCATCTTTACTTGAGTGAAAGAGGTAAAAAAACTGCAGAGTGGTTTGGACATCACCCCAGGTTTGCCTGGAGATGTCCGGTGATGGGTCGACAGTGGCATTGTATATGATGAGAATCTTGATTGCCTCTAGGGCTGCATCGGCTGTAAACATGTCATCGAACGGCGTTCGGCCATGCTGTAACCCTTTGCGAACCAGATCTATGGCTCGGGCCGAATGATATCTACACCGCTGTTGACAATATGAAGAAAACTCGGTAGACACGGATTGAAACGCACGCGCGATCGGGAATGCAAAACCAGGCAGAGACACCCTGGTCAAATCAAATATCGCGGCATGGATCAGGAAATGTAGAAAGAACACACCGCCGAGAGATTGGTTTCTTTTCAAGCTATGAATGTTGTCATCATCGAGTCGAAGGTGTCGAGGTAGCAAACGATAGATCGTCTCAACTTGCTGTATTATCTTGATAAAGGCGGACGACGGATCACATATGTTTACGCTAAGGGATTGAGGCTGCTTCCTGATCAGACTGTAGTGCAAGGTCAGTATGCGCGAGGCTACAATATAAAGGCAAAACAGGTGGCGCTCGTACTGCAGTCCCTTGATTCGTAGGCGCACAGTCATGAGAACTATGCCCGACAAATCAAGATTTGGAGTCATTTGCATCACTCCAACAGTTTTGATATCTGATAGATAAAGCTTTGGAGACCCTATAGTTCGGTGGGATTGCTGAGTCGGCAGAGGAATGTTAGGGACGCGATTGCCCCAACTGGCGTTCTTCTCTCCAGCGGTTGCCATAAACAAGTCAATGAAGAAACAAGCCCAAACCAGACGATTTTCAATGTTACGCTGCAGAGTGAAGGCGGGGTCGTGTGAATGCAACAGTTCGTCGGGCTCGTCCAGCCCAAGAAGGCGAATCACCCGGTAGAGAAACGAGACGAGGATGAATGCCAAAGAATTCTGGTCTGTTCTTAGAGAATAATCACAGAGCAAGACCATCGCCTATATATTTGAACGGATTAGTGCATGTTGCAGCTTTGCGCGAGGATTTGTAGCGCGTGTCGCAACTTGCCATCAGATGTTGCACAGTTGGATTGTTCATCTCTGACAGCACCTCGTTTCGAGCCTTTTCGGCCCAAGGCTGTCCGGGAAACTCATCTGGAGCAGGCGCTGTTGATCCAATCGAGAAAACATAATCCAAATATAGGTGCCTAGTATGGTTAATTTTCTTGTCATTCAAAACATTCGATTTGATCATACCTTGCTCCCAATGCGCAAACAGCCAAAAGGACGGGTTCGCCAAAATCTTGTATAATGCTGTCGCGTTCGAAAGATTCCATAAAAGCCTGCCTGTCGATGAAATCAAGGCATCTTAGGTGGTAAGAACGGTCAAAGAAAGCGGTGACGAGCTTAAGACGCAGGGAGGGTTGATTTGGGAGGTTCTGGGCATGATATCTAATCTGGATGAGCATCAAAGGTTCTCCGTATTCATTCGTTGTTTTACGGATAAAGTCTTACAAGTCTCTATCGGCCTCAAAGTCACCGATTGGGTTCAGCACTTGAAACTGCTGAAATTCACTGCCCCCCGGAAACACCTGCGGCTGTCCATGGAAGCGATTGGGTTCTGGCCTGTCGGGGTAAACGCACGCCAAGCCCTTGACATCACACCGACGGCACGTTGGGCGTGTACGAGTGCAGCGGTGCTTTGAACTTCGACATTCAGAGCAGGACCCGACCCGCCGCTTCTCGACGCCGGAAGCCTTGAAGATGCTCTCGGCCGACTTCTGGAGCTCACTCCGCGACTTGGTCTGCGTTTCAACGTCGTATCCAGGACAATTGAGTCCCAGACGAGCACAGTTGGTACAGTGCGGTAGTGAACGGTCGCATTTTACCTATCATAAGAATCAGCCAACGTGCGCGCGAAAGGAGCGGGCGAGTGAGACAAAACACCTTTCTCGATCGACACACTAGGCACGCTAAGAAAAGTTGTTAGCATTATGCGGCTTGGTAAATATCAATGCAATGTCTCACCAATATCTGCCTTCTCGTCCGTGGGCTGCACTCGCACGGGTAGCTTCTTCACATCCTCGGGGAGGTCCATGCCAGCTTCCCAACGGAGACCCTAAGGGCCACTGCGATGCGCCTGAACGCCTTGCATGAACAATCGACATGACCTAGAAATGGGCTGGGTGGTGATGGGTAGGTATATGTCGGCAATTGATGCCTAGAACCCCATCGACCAGGCTCTGGAAGCTAATGTAGCAAGCACGCACAATGGCCTGTCGAGGCAGTCCCAGGGTAGCAAAGCAGCAGCGGTGTGGGGGGAACAGCAGCAAGGCTTCCCACCCAATTGCTGGCAGCCGCAAATAAAGTCAGATCAGTTGCTGCGAGCGATGGCCCGGGAGCGGAGAAGGAGAGGGAGAAGAGAGAGCGCCATTGGATTGGAAGGTGACGATGAGCTGCAGGTCGAGATGCTGCTTTACCCTATTGGTGATAATTGACATCGGGGCGCATCGCCTTTCCCCCCATCCATGAGTCGAGTCGGCTAGGGGCTGTCATAGGGCTTCAGCGTGAACTTCACTGTCACACCCTCGTCGTTAGTGCGCTACGGTAGACGCTAGGAGCCCTCCTAGTGGGCTTTCCTAGCGCTCTCCTCCGCTGCGCTGCCGAACGCTTCCAGGGCCGCACCGGCCGGAAGTCACAGCTTATCAGCGCCGCATCCCGCAGCACACAGGGATCGGCGGCGGCCACGCAGTTCATTCAGCCTATAGAATGGTGTGTGTAGTAATTGCAACGCTGCAGAACCTCAGCTCATGGGCATGGGGGATCTTTAGCTTTTTGGCCCGCAGATTGGATACTCGCACCTCATAGGCTGGCTTGACGAGCTGGGAGCTGTCAACACAACCCTTTTCAGGGCTTCAGCTAGCACACCCTGAGGCTGATGGGTACAGCCGGCACATAGAACAGAAACCAAGGATGTAGATGATCCAGATACCTGCAGAAATGCGTGCCCAGAGGTAACTTAGGAACTAAATTTTTGAGCCATCGAAAGGGGAATGTGTTGGGGAGAATTTCAGGTGATCAGGGGTTTGTATGCCCGTCCAGTGTACGACCGCCGCAAGCAAGGTCTGCCTGCTGATCTTTGTCACACCTCAAGAGGTACCGGCCTAGCTGCAATGAGTCGATGTGCAGGGCTGGGGCTTGGCGAGGTGGTCTTTTTCCATCGACGATACTAACCGCCGGAGTACGTAAAAGCAGACTTCTGTCGGTGTGGCTTCGAGCCTTGTCTTGACCATTTGCCACTCATTTGATTGAATGTGCCGGTAATCTTACAATGTCGATGTCGTGCTCGAACCGCTGACAAACCATCCACATGTCGACCCCACTTCGGCCAGCCAGGAGAAGATCGCAGTTCTTCTTCTTTCATAGCTACTAATTGCAAGGTGTGCGCCATTGCTTGGCGCCGAGATATGTCTGTTGCAGTTTGGTTGTCTGTGTATTCCGTATTTTCAACATGACTGCCAAGCCCAAGTCCAACTCCAATGGCGCCTCCCATGAGGAGGCCACGGAGCGCACGCCTCTCTTCAGGAACCTCCCCAGCGATGGTGAGGATTCCGAAAATGATGGCGACCAGCCCGTCAAGAAGCCTTTGGACAAGGTCCAGATGTTCCTCCTGTGCTATGCCCGGATGATGGAGCCAATTGCCTACTTTGCCATCTTCCCCTTCATCGCCGAGATGGTTGAGAGGAATGGCAAGCTCCCCGAGTCGGACATTGGGTTCTACAGTGGACTGATAGAATCCCTCTTCTCTGCCATCCAGATGTTCGTCCTGATCTTCTGGGGCCGTCTCTCTGACATTGTTGGCCGGAAGCCCATCCTCATTTATAGCATGGTGGGGATGTCCATCACTCCTGTGCTCTTCTGCATGTCCACCACTATCTGGCAGATGATCATGTTCCGCTGCATTGCCGGTGTCTTCTCCGGCTCCAACCTCGTCATCCGGACCATGGTCTCCGAGAACAGCACATCAGAGACCCAAGCCCGTGCCTTTAGCTGGTTCGCCTTCGGCGGCAACATAGGCCTCGTCCTAGGGCCTATCCTCGGCGGGATCTTTGCCAATCCCGTCAAGCAATATCCTAATATTTTTGAAGGCATCGAGTTCTTCGAGAAGTATCCCTATGCTCTCCCAGGAATCATCACCGGCGGCATATGCGCGACTGGCGTGATTGCTTGCTCCCTCTACCTCAAAGAGACTCTGGTCAAGGAAAAAGCAACCGTCATCAGCTCCTCCGGCGAGCTAGTCCAGCAGCCCGAACCCCTGATGTCCATGACGGAGATCATCAGATCGCCCGGTGTCACATTCGTCCTCTGGCTGTACACCCACGTCATGCTCCTCGCGTTCCTATTTACCGCCATCCTGCCCGTGGCGCTCTACACCTCGGTCGAGCTCGGTGGCATCGGCTTCGACACCCATCAGATCACTGTCTGGATGGCCGTCCAAGGCGTCAGCCAAGCCACCTGGCTCGTACTAGCTTTCCCCTTGCTCCATAAGCGGTTCGGCAACAAGGGCGTGTTGAACCTCTGCAGCACCATGTACCCCATCTTCTTCGCTCTCTTCATCCTGCTCAACGTCCTCCTCCGGAACGGCAGCCCATCAGCCACCACATGGTTCTGGATCCTCGCCGCACTCTCCTCCACCGTTGGTCCCGGGGTCTCAATGGCCTTCACGGGTGTCCAGCTGGCTCTCAACGACGTCGCGCCCGGCCCTCGTGTCCTGGGCACACTCAACGCGATCGCCCTGACGGCCGCCAGTGCCCTCCGGGCAGTCGCCCCTGGTGTGGCGACGGTCGTTTACGCCCTCGGCGTGCGGAATCAGATCCTCGGTGGTCAGCTGGCCTGGGTAATCCTCATCCCGATTGCCTGCGTCTTCACCGTCGGTTCGCGTTGGTTACCAGATAGCAAAAGGCCCCAGAGCAGCAGCGATAGTACTGAAGACGAGGATGCCTAATGAAAATCTTTTGGGTCATAGGGTCACGTTGGGTTCCACTGAGTAGGACCCTTTTCAGTTTATTTAAAAAGTCAAGCGATAGGAAAACGTCTACCCACTTCTGACAAAAGTTGTGATGATAAAAAAAATTGTATTCGACACTAAAATGCTATAATAACAATGTTCGCTACCGTAGAAGACATCATAGGGCCACCGCTCTTTTTATATGGAGGTTGACTTGGAACCTCGTGGCCTGACTTTTGAATAAATGAAAACCAATTTGAGTTAGATACTTATGCAACACCACATGCTTTTTAAATCCCTTCGCGGAGAAAGGACATGCGGACTAATATATATTTCTTTCTTTTATGATAGGGAAAGATAGGAATTTGCTTGACGATAGCATGTTAAACCATGTCCTCGTTCCCGATGGGTTTGCCTTCCTCGCGTGCGCGCTTCATCCTGAACATCATGTTGGGCTTGTTCTTGATGGTCTCGCGGAGCTTCTCTTCGCTGCGCTGCATCCAGATGTCGACGGGGGCGGTGCTGACGGGGAACAGAGGCATGTTCAGGTGGTTGCTCATGAAGCTGGTACAGTCGCGCTTCTCAAATGATGCAATGACGTCCATATCGTGGGCAACCTGTTCACAGTAGACATCGAGGGGCAGATCGTTGACGTCGTGGCCGAAGGGGTTCTCGATTTCCGAGCCGATGAAGAGGAGACCGAGGATGATGTAGGAGGCGGCAATGGTGGCGGGGATGGCGATCCATTCAAGAGGCTCAACAAGCTGGAACGGCAGAAGCATAACGTAAACCCAGGTGATCTGGCTAATGGCAATCGCATAGGCAATGGGCAAGGGGGTGTTCAGGACACGCTCGCAGCCAATGAGGGCGTCGTTGAGCATGTTCAAGTTGTTGTATGCCAGGGTCTGTTGCATAGGGATGTCGAGTTGTTGGTTGCGGACCATTTCGTCGATAGCGACAGCAAGGTGGTTGAGAATCTCGAGAGGGAGGTTGCCAAGGGGTTGGTCTGACTTCTTGAGCAGCTTTCGGGGGTTGCTCTCAGCAAAAGAAACACCGAGGTACTCTCCTACTTCCTTCATGAAGGACTTCTTGGGAGGAGCAGCTCTCTGGGGTTGGCAAAGGGTAGCTTCCTGGGCATAGGTGGTGAGATGGCCGATGAGATGCTGCATGTCGCTGTGTGCCGTGAAAGGCTCGAACCGCAAAGAGTGCTTGAGGGCGACGGAAAAGGCCACGACCAAGTTCATGGCGCTCACTTTCTTGAGCATCATCTCGCGGGGATCCTTCTCAGGGGGGTCGGCAGTATGTACCCAGATAACTCGACCGAGAGCCTGTGACGACAGGATGACATTGGCCCAGAACTTGCGGCCTTCAGCATACCTCTCGTACGCAGTCGAGCTACGGAAGGAAAGGCCGAGACTAATCACGAAACCAGTGATGGTAAGGAGGACATTGCTCACGCCGAGAACACCTAGCTTCCGGTTGAGAACCGTGATCAGGGTCGCCCATGCTCCAACAATAAGCAGTGGGACAATCAGTTTAGGGACAATGCTACCGTGCATTCGCATGAGGAGTGGCCATTTCGAATGCTTGGCCATGTCTCGAGGGCCAGTAAAGTAGTCATCGAGATCCAGTGACGTTCGCTTATGGAAGAAATGCTGGGCGGATGAGAGCCGAGGAGACACTGGTTCGTGACCACCCTCTTTACGAATGTAGCTCGAGGCTTCGTCTGTTTTAATTTGCATTGCAGGTGTAGCAGTATCGGCACTTGAGGCCGAATGGGCGATGCCGTCCGCCATTATGAAGGTTGGTGATATCCGGGGTGTGGTGAGGAGGATTAGGTGCCTTGGTGGATGGGATGTAGCAATCGGATCAACGATGCTAAACGAGTGTAGATATAGGCGAATATGCTATATGGTATGCCTTAATAAAGGGATATATAATTAGGGTATAGGACGCAGTCCTGGTAGATGGTTAACGAATGGTATGAGTGACAAGAATGGGAATCCAAGAAGAGATGGGATGAAATGGATTATAAAAAGAAGAGGAAACAGGACGGAAAGGAAGAGAAGCAGCCAAGCCAAGCAGGGGACGAATGGATACCTTCAATGTCAAGGAAGCCATTCTATACTTGTTGACCGATGGGTGCCCGGCTTTGCTTCCACCCCACAGCTTTATGCCATTATGCATGTACTTTTCCCACCTCCCGACTCCTTGACGCTCAGGGATAACCTTTCATCCAGCAGCGGACGTTGAAAAGGCGCGGCACGCCACGGCCCAAGTTTCAGAATTAGACCAGGGGGTCTACAGAGGTCGAACCAATGAACGGATGCCAGGAACCACGGAACCGCTCAACTTGTCAACGGATTGGGTAAACAACGATTCATAATCAAATTAGAGCTCTGTTCGCTGGTGGGTGACACTTGGCATCGCACTAGACAAGACCGGAAGATTCACGATCGGGCTCCCACATGCCAACAACCTGATGAGGCGCGCGCTTCTCGTTCTCCTGGAACCTGCAGAAAGCTGCCACCCCAATTGACGTGTCAGCCCTCGAGTACCTGCAGGCCCCTGGCTCTGATTAGGCATTCGGACGCTTGTTTTCGTTTTGGGATACCCATCCGTTTATTCTCCTTCCAGAGCGAGCAGCCGATGTCCCGGACTTGCCGCCACTCATGGAAATAAGGTAATACCGTGCAGGTACGTGGAGTTCACGCTGACTGGCTCCCGCCTCTGATTTCAACGGTGACCCCAGAGGAGGACCTTATTACTCATTAATGTCCCTGCTAGTCCGTCGTAGGTGAAAATAAAGGCTCGTATCGCCAATTACACAGATCGGTGATGTGCTAGGCGGGACGCGTACCAGAACAGTAGGGGCAGTGCAAACCTCCCCGTACTGGCCTCCCATGTCTGCGGGCATCGGGGAAAAAGAAAGGAACCTCAAAGAAAAACTCTGCCAGGTGACTAGCGACGGACAGGTGGCCCAAAGCAGCATCCCACAGCACCCAGAACTGGACACGCACGCACACACGCACACACACCTCCTGTTCGAGAAAACTCAAACACCACATGCGTCTGTCCGGTTCGTTTCAGATGGATATGACATGAACCACGGACGGAATTTCCCTCCCACACACCAAAGTAGCTGCCGCCCAGTGGCTGAAAATAGCGTGTGGGCACCGTAGCAGGCGGCCTCTCAGGCTCCACCTGCCCCCTAACCCTCCACCTGGGGGCTCCATCTGCGAAATTTACAGTGGGCTACAGCATTGAAGCCACTGTGCCCACTGACTCAGGCGTCAGGGCATCCAGTCCTCAGCGCTGCATTAGTGAATACCATCTAGTGCTACAATTGAAACTTAATACAGCGCTTAGATTCCCTATCGAATTGTTGATGGAAAAGGAGGTGATTCACTCCTTTGTCTCTAGAACCAAGTCTCCCTTTGCTATTCATCTGACACGTTTTATACTGATGGCACAGCATCAGGCAAAGTACCAGGATCGCCCCTTTGTGGCTGCATAAAATTCTCTCTCAGGGGCCATTATCGGCTTCGGGATACAAGCTTTTTCGAGCTCCGGGGGCCCCGGCCAAGACCCCGTCTCTAAACAAGCTCGCCACATCCCGACTATGCTGGCCTGGTAGACCATTGTCTCGTATTTTCTCCCTATGGTACAATGAATGAATGGGTAAGAAGCGGAATAATAAGACACATACACCAGAACGCTGCATTCAGGCTCCAATATGCATGCTATAAGTATGTGCTTGCGGGCTCGATATCCATGGAGCGGCAATGATAACCTTAAAAAAAAAGGAGTGGCTTGACAAGTCTGTTGCTCAGAAGTTTATCTTTCCCTCCCTGTAGTTGAGTTGGCAAAATCGGAGGATTGGGTGGAACCATAAAGGGGAAGTCTGGTGTGATGGTTCAAAGTTGGTGTATGCATCAAGCAGCCACTCTTCGGATGTAACAGTCCAAGACATCGCCACAAAGATGCGTGAGTTGCTGCATCTGTATTTCCAATTGGAGCATCCCTACTACCCTAGGACCGGCCTTTTGATTTCCTACCTATCCCCGATGTACGCTCTTCCACAACTAGAGGGGGGATCGTATACGGTGCATGAGAAAATCAAATTCTTGCATTCGAAAATTGTCTGCGGGTAGTTCACAGAAACAGCCAGTGCTCCGCTTATTGCTCCCTCTAATCGAATGTCTGTCCTTTGAAGCCGGGCAATATTACCTGTCCCTCAGTGTCCTTGTACGACTTACCCTTCGTCTGCTGCCAGGATTGCTTGAGGGTAGTAAACTCGCCCATTGTGGGTACCTTGTGACCATCCCTTTCAAACTCGTTCTGTGTATACCCTTCACGCTTGAGGACCGGCGAGTCGACTGTGCTGAGGACCAGGTCATTCTGAGGGCGCGCGAAGTAGAGGAGACCGAGACGGTCCACGTGGCGCTGGTCTTTGGGCGGCAGCGAGACCTACGAATATTTGTTAGTTTTTTAATCGAGGTTCAAATGCACGAGCATTGCTTTATTTCCCGAACTCACTCTATGAATGGTGGACTTGATGTATCCACCAGTCAAGAAGCTGAGAGCGTCGCAGGTGTTGACCGTCAAGCTGCCATCCAGGGGCTTCGCCCACTTCCACTCCCCGGTAGCATGGTCCTTGATTTGAAGCGCGGCGACGGGCTGGCGGAACAGGAGGGTGATTGAGCCCAGGTCAGTGTGTCCGCGTGACCACAGCCCGTCTTCCAACTTCTCAACTTCCTCGGGCGAGAACTTGCTGTACTTCATGTAACGGAGGTGCGACTCGTCATGAGTCTCCCACTTGTGGAGGTTGGTGAAGAAATCCTCGGGAAGCTCCAGAGCAATGGCAATCAAGTGGTTCAGGGGGTCCAGGATCTTGTCGTGCAGGTCTTTGGCGAAGCCGTCAATCTCCTCGAGGCGCTCCTCAAGCAGCTTGGGTACAGGCTGGGTGATATGCCCGGCTCTCGCTGTCAAAGCGTCAGCTCAGCCTACAATAGCCATCATGTGTCAAGCCACCCGGACTCCCACGTACTCGCCATGTTCCAGACTTCAGTCTTGTCCCTGAGCCCGCCGCTCAAGAAACGGCGACCCGCTGGGCGGTAACCATTGTAATCCCCAGAGTCCAGGTCGGGTACGTACTTGAGCTTCTCCTCGAGGGGCAGCTCATAGAACTTCTGTCCAAGCGCAAATTGCTTGTCAACAGCATCTTGGCTAATGCCGTAGTTAATAACATAGAAGAATCCCTTTGTGCGGATAGCCTCCAGGAGAGTATCTGCTAATTCGCGATTACCCTCGGGCGTACCATACTTGGCAAGATCAATGGTTGGCACTGCGGAAGTCTCAGTATGATCCAACTCTGCAATAGAATACGTTACAATCTCACATTCAGCCCAGTCCAGATCCTCTTTTGTCTCGGGGACATGGGTGTATTGGTATAACTGCGGCACTGCTGACGGCATGGTGATTACTGTCTGCGAGGTTATCCTATCGGAAATAGCTAACAGCTTTTTGAAGATGAAGGTGTAGCAGATTGGTTCACTAATCCTATAAGAAGGCCGAACGCGCTTCTTTTATTGCTCAACCCCAGACGTCCCATCCTGTATCGGAGACCCAATACCACCACATCCAACACTATTGGGAAACTGATTAGAAATACGACCTCGACTCGCAATTCCCATTGCTTTTAGCTTGTTATCTCATTATGCTGCGGGGGAGTGAAGTCCAAGTGGGTGTTGTCGTTGGCCAGGAAGTGTGCTCCGGATGTCGTCATTTGAACACCGATTGCGCAACGGCATGATCGTCCTTCGCCGCCAATGAAGTGGAGGATGCCCGGGCCGTTGCCGACGAGTTCAATGACCGATTTCGGATCCTCCTCCGCGTTATTCTACAATGTCTCTGGAGCATGCGGATGAAAGTCACTGCCGGCTCAAAGCAGCTATCCTGGAGGTGGCCCCGAGCAGCCAGAGACGCTCTCAATAATCGAGGGTCTAAATTTCTGAGCACATTTTCTGCGGTTAACACGGCGATCATGCGGGGATGTTCATGCGGGGTCTTAAGTTGATGGCACGGTGATTGTCGTCACCAAATTCCAAGCCCTCAACCCAGTGACTTCAAATGTCTTTATGTCAAGAAAGTATATACTCTGGTTTATCTTTACTGGCTGGCCTATCTAAATCCACCTGTATGGTAAGCTATTCACTTGAAAAGCCCATGATCTTTTGCACCGATCCTTCAGCCCATCTTAAATCTGTGGTTCCGGGTATACCTCGATGCTCTCTCGTGTATCCAGTGTATTCAGCCTCTCATCTGCGTAGGAAAGTGCCCAGTCTTTGAACTGGTCAATGTCAAATTCTTGTACCCATCCTTTCCTCTGGAGCTCTTGTACAGCAGACATAGCCCACGTCACACAATTCTGTTGTGGGTGCGTATTCTTGACAGGCAGAGCAATCGCTTCGAATAGATCTTTAAGATCCGCCCTTGAAACCTCATCCGATACCGATCCAATGACAATGCGCCCAACAGTCTTAGGATTGTGATCGAGACCAACATCTGACCTAACACGAAAATACCAATCCATGCTGGGATTGATCATTCGCCAAGTCTTTTGATCGATCTCGGACGAATCAGTGGCATCATACTCGTCGCAGTCGTTGCCATGTGTTGTCTCAGGAACAACCGTGATAGCCCAGTGAAAAGCGCTATGGCCGAGAGTCTCGCGTGAGTGCCCGCGAGAGAAGTAATCTCGGTGGCACAAAGCCAAGGCAACTTTTCGACGCATAATTGATTATCGCCTGTATCCGCGAAGAGTCAATTCGAGCCTAATACTAGCATGTGTCATGACATGATTGCTCTCTGGTGTTTCAAGGCTTACCAATTAGGTCTCAGGACGCTTTCCTTGGGCTCAATAAGAGAGAAGGGCAGTATTGGGCGACGAAGCTGCAGAAACCCGCATAATGTCGGGTTTAATTAATGTGAGAGTCTCCTTGAATTACCCACTGAGCCAACACTGCAGATCGCAAAAGGTCACAACGGTCGCCAATCAGCTGCCATGGCTCCAACAAACAACTCGTCGGGGTCCCTGGACGAGCCTATCACATTTATCATATAAAGCAAGATGCTGTCATAGCACATCGTATTCCCTGATATTTTAGCCTAATCAACCCATTTATTACACGAGGAGCCCGATAGCCCTCAATTCTGCATATGCTTGGAAGTGTGCCCTCCGATGCCTGCACAGTAGCCTACTCAAATGCGAATTAATGTAGATTTATTCGCTGATTAATCTGACGGGCATTGTTTACCTAGCTCATTCAAAGTCTACCGAGCCGCACGGGAGACATTTTGTGTTTGCCCTTCATGCGAACCATCGTGGTGGTTCGCATGGAGAGGAGAGAACTCAGCTGCAAGACATAAATGCTGTGTTCTCTTCTAAATTTATATCGGCTCTCACAATATAAAATGCAAATGAACACTCTTCACACATTTGTGAATCATGGCTGTTGACAAGGCCACCCCGCAGGATTTCATTGGGTGGCACAATTGTGTTGCACAGGTGTGCTGATGGGGCTTAATCCTACCCTCAAGAAGAGTGAGCTGGTGATTCGATCATCCCACGTTCAAACATTTGTCTTCGAAAAGCAAGCCATCAAATGAACAACTGTGCTCTTATTCTCTGTTATAAAGATCTCCGTGCCTTGAGGAGATTCAAGAAACACTAACAAACAGTCTTCTCGACAATCCTAGAATTTCATTTTAAAAAAAACTCCAACTTTTTCCATCACCAAATGATTTCAAAGTATGAAGCTACTACACATTACCTCCGGCGAAGTGGTTGTGTGGTCCCGCCCGGAGCCGCCCCCTTATGCCATCTTCCCTTACCCCTACGCACGGAACCAAGAGACTGGGGAAAGCCAAAGACCATCAAGATGGGCAACAGACACCAGTTGCGGTAAAAAGCTTACCATTTCAGATGTGATCGCCGGTGCTTGTAAAAAAGCACTCGCCAGGGGCATTCACTACTTATGGGTGAAGAGTCTCTGTGTTGATACTACTTCACTGATGGATGTGGAAAAAGCCGCCGACAACTCCTTTGGTAGACTAAGAGACTCAGCCTTGTGCATAATTTTTCTAGAAGATCTGCCCGTTCACACTTCCTCTTCCGACGAGAAGGCTTGGTCAACGTGCAGGTATTGGGCTCGAGCTTCGGCCCCTCAAGAGCTAGTGGTGGCGCCGCACGTCGAGTTCTATGACCAGAAATGGAACTATGTATGTTCCAAATCATCGACAGAATACCTAGAGGTATTATCAAAGGTCTCAAAGATTCCTACGGGTGTTTTGGCCCATAGTGACAAACTATTCAACACCTCTAATAGAAGAGGAAGCTTCCCGGTGGTTGGCCGTTCGGCCAGCCACTCGCAGCAACCCATGGCTCGGTTCACACAAGTTCATCCACTTCAACATACGTTTTCCCCTAGGTTGGCATGCCATTCTAAAATGAGTCTGCCGGAATATCCTAGACCGCCAGTGCAAGCCTGTTCTCAGCCTCATCCAAGCAGAACACTTCCCGCAGAGGCTTTGGCAGGAACCAAGAGAGACAGGTCCGGTCAGCCGCTCAATGTACATTTGGGGTGTGGGTTGAGAACGTTCTCCTTCAATCTTGACTCAAGTCGTCATGATGGATACGACGACTCATCAACATGCGACGAAAGCGAATCGAATAGCGACTCATCGGAGAGTGGGAGTGATTCAGAATCGGAAATAAGCAGCGACGAGGAGGATTTGGGGCCTGATGACGCCATTTCCAATGAAATTTACCAAGCGGCAAATGAACACTTTCAAGTCATGAAGACACAGCTGGTTGACTTCTCCTACGAAAAAGTTGAGAAGTGGATGAGCTCAGCAAGCTATGTCCCGCCACCAGACGACAGGTTGCCGCGTCGAAAACGAGCCAGGACAGGAGACCTCCAACCCCAATCAACATTATACTTCAAAAAGATCGACAAAGATGACCCCAACGTCGTCTCCGTAACACGTGTAGATGGGTACTTTCACTTCGCCTGCCCCTACTACCTCTCCAACCCGACAAAACATCAACAATGTCTGCGAAAATATGATCTTCAGTCCGTCGAAGACGTCATTCAGCACATGTGCCAGTGTCACAGAGAGCCGCCTTATTGCCCCCGCTGCTGCCGACCGTTCGACGGTGCAAGAGAGCGCGATAGACATTTCCTCGCCCATGTGTGTGAGACCAGCCCCTCGCGTGACGTGGAAGGCATCACTGAACGTCAAAAATTGAAATTAGAGAAAATGGAGAAGCATCACAACCTATACATGGGAGAAAAGAGGCGATGGATGAAAGTACGAGACATCGCTTTTCCGAATTCTGAACTCGACAGCTCTAAAACACCCTACCTTGAGAGCTCTCACGAGGTTAGAGTAGGCATGGCACGAGACTATTGGGCACGCAACGCCACAGATGTTGTCCAGGAATTCTTAAGTAAGAATGCCCAGGCTCAGCGGCAAATATCGCAGGATGGAACAGCTTTGAGAATAATCGAAGGATTGGTACTAGATGGGGTCATCGATCGGATAATGTGTGATCAAGAAGTGGTTGTGCGGAAATGAGGGGCAATTTTGAAACTAGAACCTTTAATTTGTACAAAATCTACACATAGAAATGAAAAGAAAACTTTCAAATTAGTAGTCAATTAATCGAGACCCAAAACAATGATTCCCAAACAGCCCAATTAAGAAAATGCTCCCAGATCCTACAACAAGACTGAGACTTGAAAAGTCCATGAAGCTTCAAAACGCTCAAAATGATAAGAACCGGCTTATCCCGAGGTTTTTTACTCTTTCTGGTATTTGCTTCCCTCTTCTTTTAACGTAAAATCGGAGGCGGCTTGAAAAGGCCCAGCCTCATGATCCCTCTATAAGTAACACCAAACACCTCAAAGAACACTGTTGCGCTTCTTCTGATTTTTTTGGTCTTTTTCTTTTTCTTTTCTTTTTTTCTGATTGCAGCTCATTAGGCGAGAAAGTCTGTTCCGTCCAGTTTCAGGTTCCAGAGACTCCGTGAGACGGCTCTTGACCAATGCCGATTCCTCTAATCAGCCTTCCTCCTCATCAAAATCATCAAAGTCTGAGTCATTGGGATTTTGAAGATCCAGAAATCCCGCCTCTTGACCATGCACACCTGGGCCAATGTTGGTGGCGTGAGGTCCCGGGTGAGGGACGCCGGGCTGGTTTGCCCCAAACGGAGTCACTACCTGAGGGTATGCAGCCTGTTCCGTTTCTGGCTGGACCGTATTCAAAAACGCGTCATGACCGGGGTGTCCTAGAAAAATGTAATGCTGGTCAACACGCGCGAAGCGTATCTGAGGCTGGGGCATGCTGATCACATTCATAGCCAGCTCCACTGCACCCTCTGCATAGGGGCTTTCCGGAATCTCCCAGCCAGGGAAAACATGAGTCCAAATGCGGTACCATTTGTCTTCATCAGTCGGCAAACCAGACGGTCCTCGGAGAAAAGAGTCCAAGTACCAGACATCCTGTTGGCGGAGATGTTCAGGTCCAGGGATTTGTACACAATTCTGGCGGGATCGATGGTCTGCCAGCTGAGAGCTTGATTCGAAATCAGCAAAACATATAAGACAATAGTCGTTCAGAGATAGTACGTGAGTTCGTAGGATATGTTGCCAGACGTCCGGGATTCTGCTGAGCGTGACAGTGGCACAGGAGTGATATCTGACTCGGTCGTATTTGTGGAAAGGGCATGCCCAGTTTCTTCTGTTGGGGCCGTCAGGCGGGAGGTTGAACCTAAGCCTTCCCCATTTGCGGGGGTGTTTCCCGCCGCCACCTCCGCCTCCTTTTCCATTGCGGTCTGATGGTTTCCTTCCCCCGTTGGCTTTGTTCGTACGCCCACCGGTACCGGCCCTGCTTTTTCGAACACCGCTCGAAACGGGACCGGCCCCGGCGGTGGGGCGCGATCTTATTGATCCTCCCACCTGTTGTATAATTGCTCCCGAAACCCAATAATCAACCCTATCAGAGAAGGATTGGACATTCAAGATAATCCATGTCGGGTCTTTGGCGGATTCGAGAACACAGAAGAGAAGCGGCCAGATCTTGAGGCTCGACGATGACTTGGGAGTGACATCCCGGACCTTCCCCTCATGCACCTTCTTCCAAGATACCTTTTCCAAGAAGTACTGGAACATGTGACAAGGGAAACCAATTCGGTCACAGACTTGGGACCGTATCTGCCAGAGCTTTCGAAGGCAGAACATAATAGTAGCTACCAAAACCGCAAGTAGCTGAAAGAGCGAGAGAGTGACATCCACCAACCCGTAAGGAGCCGGGGTGTATAGGGAGGCAAACAATGGGGAGGAATTAGCCACCAACATTGTGAAACGGCGTTCTAAGCCTATGGGCTTGCTTATATCAGATCAAATGAAAGGGAGAGGGTGATGATGGTTGCACGGGGCTCGGGGCTGGGCTCGGGGCTCTGAGCTTTTTGTAAACGATGGGCTCCAAAGCCGAACAGTCGGAAGCACCACCACATAAGTGAAGATGCTTGCATAACATGACCAATGCCAGGAGCTCGCATGCAGATCTATATGTCGCTTCATGATCAGGCAGTGCAAGCCACACACACAGCCGCCATAACCAAATACGCCTCGAGATCAGTCTTGCTGCCCATGCGGAGCCTGGCTGGGTTGGGGAAGGGGCTTGGACGCCTATGGCCATGTGTAAAGGTTACATTTCGAATATAAACTAATAAAGCTGTGGGGTCCTTCCCTCTTCGGCCGGCGGCAGATCAGGACAACGAGATTAAGTGTAAATCATCATCCAAAGCCGTATGGACTCGTTGCTTAGGCTCAGACACACGCCTCCAATACTTTTTAGCAGTGGCTTGTATTTGTCTCTGATTGATTGTTGGGATAAACCTACGATGGGTCTTAAACTACAGCCTGGATTGTTAGAAGAGAGGTGGTTGACGCATGCTCCATGATCCATAGAACTTGATAATGGATTAGTCTTCGCATGGTTGTTCGCCGCCAGTTCAGAGACTCTACCCTCGTTTCAATTCACTTATTCATTCTATACCTATCCTCCAAAACATTAGTAAACTCGTTCATTCCATCTGAATAGGCAGGTAAATATCCAGTGGCGGAGCCAGCTTATCAATTCACAAACCCACAGGCACACTTTTGCGTAGATTTGAAACCTTGACCATATCATGCGGTCAGTTGGTCTCCCTCGGTTGCCACCAAGTTTCTGCAACGACTCAGGGGCACATCTTACCAAGCACTTCTCTAAACTGGTGAGGAATGTTGTCGAGGCCCCATCTTCGGTCAAGTGTCTGGCGCTGCCTGCTCACCGCCAAAGCCCAAACTATGCAGAAGGAGATGTTCAAATAGTTTGCAGCCTTTCCTTCGGCCATAAAATCCGGTCTCCACTCCAACAAAGGCGGCTGCGCTGCCTCGTTGCCCCTCACCCCCTTCAAATATTACCGGTGTTCATCATGCGAATGGCCCCAGTTGTTTAACCGACCAGAATCACACACACCAGGTGTCATCATAGCTGAATTATGTCTGGGTGGTGGACAGTAAGGCTCGCACTTTGGTTGCATTTTCCCGTTGCCGGTCCACATACACTGGATGTAAGTAGTTCGCGAACCACCAGTTAGGTGCAGTATCAACTCAAGGCAGAAAAGGATCGGGGCAATGCAAGAAAAAGCCACCGTTGGCAGACAATGGAATACATTTGTCACGGGTTCCAATTACCGCCTAACTCTATCATCCCTCGGGATATTGTTGCATGGCCGATGATGTGAGGGAGGAGGGGTGGGCTTACACGCAGGATCCGATGCCAACTCGACCATCTAGGTGGCAAACCTAGCCCAAAGAAACAATAGAAATTGAGAAAGAAGAGATACGAGTCATTGCCAAAGCGATACGCTTCGCCAAGAGCTCGCTTCACTTTTTTGTGTCTGGGACATGGCGCCATGGCATGCGCCTCACAATTGTGCAGCATTTGCTCTAGCCTCACCCACCCACCCAATTGTGTCGATGTCACGATGCCATTCAATCACAGCCCCGAGATTGCCGCTCTAGTTCGGCACCGTGTGTTCTTCACGCCACTTCTTTCGCCATAATATGCCTCGGGAGGGCTTTAAGAAGCGGTGAAAAGTGCACATTCGAAGTGAGCCCTAAGGCATCCAGGCTCTTCCGATCAACGGCAGCTTACCGAACCAAGTCCACGCGCTATACATACAACAAAAGACGCATGTTACCGAATGTTTTCCATTCCTTCTTGCCTCAGTCCACCACAGTTGTGTTTCAATAAAATTGTTTGATTAGCAATCTCACAACACGTCATGCGAAAAGAGCTTATATCTCAGGGGACGACGAAAACTCCCAATTCGTCACTTGGGCACCGATCGAACCCCAAGAAGGTGAAGCCCTACGATCCCTCAATTGAGAAGTCCTACCCCCGGCCATCGGTCTCGCATAAGCGAACCTCTTATTTGGCGGATGTGTTGAACGACCCTGACAGGAGAGATCGTGCTCTTGGCGGGCATCCGTCCCCACGGACAGATGAACATGAAGTCCGTGCTTTTGCATGTCCATTCTATAGAAGGCATCCAACTTTCCACATGGACTGCATGAACCGCAAGTTGACGCGGATCCGGGACGTTAAGCAGCATATTCACCGGAGACACTCCCGGTCTGCTTGCGCCGCGGGCGATTCAGACGCCATTTCTGCGGAAACGGGAAGAGAGCTCAGGCGGCATAGGGCTGGCCGGACAGAGACACCCGTTGCAGAATGGAGAAACATTTGGAGAATCCTGTTTAAGGATGAGCCACAGTCTCGCGACCCTTTACTCGGGACAATGGTAGAGGAAACTGTCCAGATGATAAAAGAATTCTGGAAGAACGAAGGAAACCAAATTACGGAACAGTTTCTGAAGGAGAAGGGAGTGGGGGCTGACGATACGGTGCAGAATAACATGAGCGAGCTGTTTGAGGTCGCGCATGAAAGGTTTGAGCAAAGCACGCTTGGGACGAGGTCGGTTGACTCCTCGCTGGTTGATATGAGCAACCTCGTTGAATGCCCCAGCCTGTCTAACTCTGTGTCATCATTGAATGACTTCAGCGAAACCTGGGGTTTGGAGGCGTCAGGGCTCTCGGATATTTCCAATGCTGGGGATCAGGGTAGCTGGTTGTCTATAAGTGACCCAGGATCTCTTCAGGTTTCCAACCAAAACTCATGCCAAGAAGCAGAGTCCGGCTGGACTTTTGTCAACGGGGCTGGGGGATTAGGCTGCGCCAGTAACGGAATTTTCCAGCCTGGTTTCGATTATTCTCCTTTTTACTTTGAAACTCAGCCTACGAATTGAATTGCAGTTGCTCCTGGTCTCTACCTTATAGATGAAGCGTGCCTAGACTAGCCAATGCCAACGTAGGAGCTGAGGACGCAGATGGGAGAGGACAGCGTATACGTGTGGGATACCACTACCCACACCACAGCGTATCAGCCAGGTTTGAGATGCGTACAACAGGGAGAAGTATTGGCCAATGCCAGGATTTTCAAATGGTGTACGGATAGTGGTTCCACATTCCGATCGCCGAGAACGAGCCCAGACCTGTTGTGTCACCAGTTCGTGTGGGCTTACCTAACGAGGGGTAGACAGTCGACACAGATGGTGGTGCCAGATTGGATGTCTCGTTGTGAACCGTTGCATCGTGCCGTGCCTACCACCTTACCTTGTCAATTCCAAGTGCCGATGATCCCATTCTTGGCTGAAACCGAGACACAGGGATGGTGGTGCAGTGGACCGCTTCCCAGACCATCATCCACGTAAGGGCCTACGTACTATTTTTTTTGAGCCCTGTGCTTCCCGAGACTCCCTGAAAGCTTGGCGTGCGTGCCAATTGGCGCTAATCGGCACAGCTATCGATACAGCTATCGAATAGGGATCCGATAGATTGAATGACGACGACAGCTTCAACCCTTTTTTCGTCAACCACAGTAGCCTCTTTTTTTTTCCTTTTTCCGTTTTTGGTCTTTCCTTTGGCTTCACAGACATCAATCTCCCGACAACTAAGCTCCTGCCCCAATCCCGCCTGGGCAGGCAAACCCACCGACCATGGCGACCTGGCGCTCACGGCAGCGCACCAACCTGATAGCCCTGTTCTGCGTCGTCCTCTTTGTCTGGGTCTTCTACGGCGAGACCATCTTCCCTCCCGAGAATAACAATCCCAATCTCAAGACCGCATCGCGCCCCGAAACACGCCCAGAAGCACGCCCAGAAACTCCAGCGCAGCCCGAAACGCCTTCACGCCCCCAAGCCGAGTCGAACCCTAAAAAATCGACCGAAAATGACGTCGAAATGGTTGTCGCCAGTATGAAGAAGGAGAACACGACCTGGCTGTACGATTATCTCCTGGATTGGAAAAAGAACATCTACGTCGTCGATGATCCCACCGCCGCTCTGACTGTTCCCGTGAATAAGGGGAGAGAGGCCATGGTGTTCCTTACGTATGTTCCTATCGCCCCTGGACGATCAACCCACCCACACCCAAGACACTAACTAACCGTTATCTTCACCCGCCAGATACATCATTGATCGATACGACTCATTACCCGGAAACATTATCTTCCACCACGCCGAGCGGTTCCAATGGCACAACGATAACGTCGACTACGACGCCCTGCCTCTCCTCCAGCGTCTGCGCTTCGATTACCTCAAGGAGCAAGGGTATGCCAACCTGCGATGCGTGTGGGTCCTTGGTTGCCCGGTCGAGATCCATCCCATCAAGGACGACGTGCCGGGAAAGAAAGGAGAGCCCGTCCATGCAAAGCGAGCATACAAAAGGGCATACGAGGAGCTCTTCCCCGAGTTCCCTGTCCCAGAGGCCATTGGTGTCACATGCTGCTCCCAATTCGCTGTACGGCGTGAGACGATATGGAAGCGACCCAAGGCCGATTATGAACGATATCGAGACTGGCTCGTTACGTCGCCGCTTGGGGATGATATCAGCGGGCGCGTGCTCGAATACTCCTGGCACAGTACGTGAACGCCTCCTCCCTTCCCCACTCTACCTGCTCGGAGGCTTTCTTCTGCCTCCTTTGCATGGTGCTCTCTTATCTTATTTCAAGTTGCTAACCTGAAATTGCAGTGATTTTTGGTAAAAAGGCAGTTCATTGCCCCGCCGCCGGTCAGTGTTACTGCCGCTTGTACGGTCTTTGCGACCTAGACTGCGAGCAGGACGAGTGCGAGGGCCAGTACTACCTCCCACCCTTCTCGACTCTGCCGCGGGGCTGGCCAATGATTGGCTGGAACAAGGAAGACAGGAATTGGCACGGGCCTCCCTGAGAGGTGAACAGACGATGTCTTGGACGATTCTTTCTTATCGTCGCAGAATCTGAATGACACTCACATACAACGGATACACTTGGTGGAAAATTAGCGCAAAAAATGCGCGACGGGTAACTGGGACCTCTATTTCAAGGCGTTATGGGACATATGGGACATTTAGAACAGGATATTTAAATTAGATTGATTTATTAATACAGCTATGGGAATCTGGGTCAAGTTGAATACAAAAGGCATCCAGTCCTCAAGATTTCGCCAAGTGCGGGTGTAACACATTAAACCATCCAGTGGGCCACGAACTACACAGTATGGATTATACACTTCTGCTGTATGGTGCCTCGTGCGACAATCCGTCTCGATCAACTTCAATCTTTTCTGTGTTTCAAGAAGAGCTCCTAATTTTTCTGATGTTGCCAAGCTGCGACCTGCCTCAAGCTCTGCCCCGCCCCCGCGCTCAGTGCTCAATGCACGCCAAGACAAAACTTCAGACAGCCGAAAGGAGCCCTGGCCAAATCGCCAAGCTTAGAGAGACTGCTCAAGGTAGCGTAACGGCCGAATCTTCAATCCTCTTCCAACCAAGACACCATCCGCGCACACGCGTGCCACTTTCAAAATGGATCGGTCGCAACCCGCCTCTTCCAATCTCATGGGTATGTGTACTCCGCTCGAGTCTACTTTCCTTCACTCGTCGCTCGGCGCTTCAAGAAAATCGTGGCATGCTAAGCTGAGCTAACCTCAACAGACATCCATGAGCGTCTAGTGGCTGATATCCTCACCCGCTACAGAACGCTCATGATGCTCGCCACCATTCAATCCGAAGGTGAGCGCATAAATGAGAAACCAGAGGCCATGGCCATCACTGGCATTTCCATGAAGATGGAATTCGACGGACTGGTAATAGCCCCCCCCCCCCCTTCCCACTCCCTTTCCATACCTAAAGCCATCCCTTTCATCAACCTCTTCTGAGAATCCTAGCTTACGGAACCCAGTACTCGTCAGTAAAGGAGCTCCTCGCCCTGTCCCGCAAGATGAAGGAGCTCTGGGTCTTCGGTGCCCTCGGCAAAGACCCAGGACACGAGGCCAAGGATGAACAGATCGAGAGCGACGTCGCCAAGGTCGCCGCCCTGCTGGGCGAGGTAGAGGCCTCGGGCATGAAGGGCCTGGCGGAGAAGTACGGCGGCACGTGGGAGCCGCTCACTGACGAGCCCGTGCCCGGCGCCCCTCCCACGGGGGCCAACGCTGCGGCGGCACCTGGTGCCGCGCCTGCTCCTACGACGGAGACTCCCGGGCAGGTAAAGGCTTGAAGGGGTCTATCTTCCATGGCATTTGAGGCGTTTCGGGGGTTCACGGTTCGGTCAGTTTCAGGGCCTGGTAGAGGGTGTGTTCTTGTTTAAGCAATATTCGGATAGATACCCGTTCAATCATTAAATTTGACAAAAAAAGAGTTTTACTTCGCGAGCAGGTGCAACAAGTCAAACAGTCGGATTTTTTAGGGGTATTATACAGTTTATCTAGCCCTCGCCTCCCTCGACATCTTCTTCATCCTCGTCACCGAGCTGCTTATCAGCTAAGGCCTGGCCTTGGCCTTCGATCTTGGCAACAGCCATACCTCCTGCTGTTACCCACAAGAAGTGGTTTTGTTTGAACTGGTCGACCTGGTTAAAAAAGGAGTGGAACCTGAAGATTGATTTTCGTTAGCTTTGTGTCATTAAAGAAAGAAGCAAGAGCAACTTACGCGTTTTCTTTCTCTTCCACGTCGAAGATGCGGTTGTAGATGTGTTTCCTCTTGAACGCCTCCAATCTTTCTTCATACTTTCCAAAGTCAAGAGTTTCCTTGCCAAGAGAATCTTTAGCTTTCCTGTTATACATGTCAAAGACTGGGCGCTCGAGGAGCAGGCCCAGGCCCGGGACCTTGGGAATAGCCATTTTCTGCTCCAGGTAACTCTCTCGGACTCGGTCCAGAGGGGTTCCACATCGCACCATGAGAACTGCAAGACTAACCATCTTACGGATCTGGTGCATCATGAAGCTCTGGCCGTGGACTTTCAGAGACAACCATTCTGTGTCGCCAATGATGATAGGTTCAGGGTTGACAACAAATGACTTGATATGACGCTTCGCGGAGGGATCCTTGAAGGCTTTTTGAACAGTAAAGTTGTGGAAGTTGTGAGTTCCTTCGTACTTGGTCAGGATCTCCTGGAGGCGCTGCAGGCGCTCCGGGGAAACACGGTACTTTCGCTTAGCAGAAACATAGGCCATCTTGATATCGCGAAGAGCGTAGTCTAGAGGGCCAAGCTCACGCTTCTTTGGCTTGAGGCTTCCCTCGGGGACCTCGGCTCCCTCGCTAGATACAGCGGCAGTCTGTTCCTCGGAGGCTGCGTTGTCTGTCCCCTCTGTTGCCGCAGCATCTTTCTCGGTAGATTCCGGCTTAGATTCGCCCTTCTCGTTCACCAAGTCAAAATCCTCAGAGCTAATTCGCTCAAGCGCTTTGGCCCTGATTTCAGGATCAAGTCTTTCCAGTACAGGCTTGACACCGTTCTCTTCAACGTCAGACCAGAAATCCTTCACATCGGCAAACTTCTCTTCAAGCTCGGCCTCAACATTGTGGAGCTTGGCGTACTCTTGCACGCTCTGGCCTAGGAAAGATCTGGGGTTTGGTGGCAGAAGCGTGTAGCTAGGCATCAGGTACTCATACCATCTGGAATCGCATTCGTGGTAGCAGTTGAAGCTGTTGTTGGTTCTCTGGATGCCCCAGATACGGATCTGCTCAGGAAGAGCATCATTGATCTTATCCACAATATCCTCATCCTCGATGATGAGCTTCAGGCTAATAATATTGCCAGCGGCGTGGACTCCCTTGTCGGTTCGCGCGCATCGAATGAGACTCGACTTTCTGTGGTCGTCGGCATTGGCTTTAGAAATCGCGCCCGCGGCAATGAAGGCTCGGAAAAGGTCTCTTTCGATCGTGGGCTCGTCGCCGTTGATTTGCATGCCCCTGTAGCCAGTGCCCGAGTATCCAACCATGACAGCAACCTTGCGCTTCGGGCGCTTCTGCTCCGCCTCGATCTCTTCCTTGGAGAATGGGTTCTTGCTGGCCCCATCCTCACCACCGTTGACCTTGCGACGCTTAAAGTCACGCCAATCGCCGCTTCCGCCTTCTCGCTTGTTGTTCTCCTTCATGCGCCTAGGATCTGGTAAGTCGCGTTGGCAGAGAAGCTTATAAGCGAGAGCCGGTGAATTGAGGGGCGTGCAAAGCAAAAGAAAGAGGGGGGAGTGCGAATTGACCCATGTACAAGAGAACATGGGCATCGGGCAAGCAACTTACTCGAAATCTGCGCGCCCAGTCTGCTTGCCGCCTTTGCCTCGCTTGCGGCCACTTTGCCTAGGATTCTTGAAAGCTCTGCTCGAGGAACCAGAAGCTGAGTTGTCCTTCCAGCCGCCGCTGGGCGCACCCATGCTTGGAGTGCTGGAGGCAGAAGCTGCGTTAGAGTCTGCCATATTTTCATCGCACAGAGAGTTGGAAACGAGGCGATTGCTGCCGGCGGGATACGATATGGGAAAACTTCAATGCAGCTCAAGGTTTTTGATGCGACATGATACGCAGGAAACTAACACAAAGTGGGGCCCGGCTCGATCCGTCCCTGACCAATTAGCTACCTACCCTAAACCGCCACCTGCCTTTCTGATTGAAACTCATCCGTACAACTACCTACATTTTCTTTCATGTTATTACTAAAATACGAATTTGCACCTGGCCACTTTGCTTCCCCATGATGCCTTCCATTTCCGTTTTAACTTGAAGAAATCGGTCCCGAGATCTTAGTCAATTTCACTTCAATCCCATCCAGATGTTTGCTACTTAACCGCAGCTGCCCCAGTCATCAGCGACCTCGGCTCTCGCTGGCTCTCCGTCAAGTCTCGTACGTCGACAAGATGCCGAGCAGCGGAATCGCAGTGTCCCGTCAAGCCCCATGTAGGATGCCTGCGATATCAAACATCCTTCAAAGCGACGGGTCGAAACGCCGATGAGCTGAGCGTCTCTAGCATGACCATCGTCGTTGAAGAAGACGATGTCGCAAGGAGGTTGTGTTTCCAAAACACCTGCTCTTGGTGTTGCATCATTCCTCCTGCAGCTCGTGGTAGGTGTACTGCGGATGAGCGTCGTTGGCGTGACTGAGATTAGAGGCGTCGGAGAAAATGCCATCATGTGGCCTGCGTGAGGGGTTGCAGGCACCGTTTCAGTTGATGTCGGGTTATTCCTTTGCGCAATGTCAGTTTGCAAGTCACAGTCGTGTTACAACTTCATGTGGACAGAGCACCTACTGGTCATTGGACTCTTGGTCGTTCCTCTTCGTTATGACTATCTTGCCGATAACACCGGCTACGACGAGAGAAATGATGACCACGATCAAGAAAGAGCCGGCAAGTCGGAGATATGCTGTCTTCCTGGCTTTAGCTTTCGCCGTCTCGTCGTCTTTCGTACCCTCGTGATATAAAGGCGGAGACCGCCCAGCTCCGTAAGCTGGAGGGCGATATCGTGGACTCTCGTTGCGACTGAAATTTGGTGTTCGGTAAATTTCATGCGTTGACTCGTGGCTGCTGGGGTAATGCTGTGGCGGTCCTTGGGGGTTGTTCATAATGATTTGGGCAACTTTCGAGCATCAGTATCACCTCGTCCACCCAGCGAACAAAAGAGTTGAGCAGTCTTTTGCAGGGAGAAGAAGAGAAGAAAGCTCCAGAGCAGAAATGCTGAGGAGGCGCAACCAACGTGTTCGTGGCGAGCCCTAGGCACCATACTGGCTGCCATTCTTAGGTATGGACGACGTCGCTGTGTAAGACATCGTGGTCCCCAGCCGGCTGATAGGCGGATTTGGGGCTCGCTGGTTCGCGCCAGCGCAATTACTGGAGGCTTTTCGCCGCATTGACAATATCTGATTTACTGATAAGTTTGATATCGTCATATGGTTCCGATCTAGCATTCCCGCCTGGTGGTGGTTTCGTATCACAGCGACTTATCATTTCAAAAAGAAACATCTTGTTAACGACGGTGTTCGTCGGACATTGAATAGATCCACATATTTGTCTCAGCGATGCGTCACCTCGTGACTGAAAAGGTATATGGAAGCGTCGTATGATTTATTGATTACCAGTATCTCTGCTGCATAGTCTCACAAACACCGATCTGGACGTTCGCCCGCTATACCCCTAGTGTGACACAAGTTTCTAGCCTCCCGCTACAACCTGGCTCTAATTGGCTGAGCTTGTGCCATCATTGGAAGGAATACCCTCTTCATCTCCTGGTTCGGCGTATGTGCCACTTGGCTTCGCGGCATTTCTGGTTCGACCACCCTTCAAAATGTTGTCTTTGTCAATGGCTTCGGCATCATCCCGTTCTAAGGGGAGTGATTTACGGATCAGTTATATATTCCAGGTGGCAAAGTTGGTTCGCAACTTGTTTGGTTTGGGAACTTACCAAGCTGCTTGTCGGTGTCTGCAACCTCAGCATCAATTGGGTCCTCCACGGGATCAGAGTCGGCTTGGACACCGATGTTTTCGCCCTTAGTTCCTGTGCGAGAGACGTAAGAGTCGTCTTGGAATTCACCCGTAGGGGCATCTTGAAGGTTCTCGGACGACATTATTGCGGGTTGTTGAAATTTATCACTTCGATAATACAGATCACTAGGGTATTGGATTGAAAAGAAACTCTTGAATATGGTATAAGCTTCTTGTCAACGGCGGAAATCCCAACAGGCTTTATAATTCTCAGCAAGCCCTGGGAAACTCCAAACCCGTCATCTATCTCGACTGTTGGCTAAATTCATGGCATCTATGACGGTATCGAATCATCCAGTGATGAATCATTCATTCATGGTCCCAGACAATTCAATCAGCTAAGATGCTCTCAAGCGCAAAAGCACATAAAGGAGGAAGAGAATCCCCGATCTCCGTGTCATTATTGGGATGAATCGATCTAATGCAATCACGCAGCAGATAATTATGCAAAATAGTCGGATCATTGAGAAGAGGGACCAATGTGCTTGGTAGATCGCATCAATCCACCACGCAGCATGCAGAGGATTAGAAAATCCCCTGAACACCAACCGCATTCTTTCACTCACATGTTGGGAATATGGGATTTCTCAAGGAGGAGACCACGAAACCGAGGTATTGCACAATTCTCCATCAGGACAGGACTTCCTTGCACCTGGGCTTGGTGGTGGCTGTCATTCACATAGGCGAAGGCTAAGGATCAGCGGTGACGGTTGCTGACTAGCAGATAGACTCATGTTCGTCATCGACACCAAGGGGTGGCTTATACCCTCGTCGTTCATATCTCGGCGGCTTTTTCGATCGAGCTGACTGAGTGGAAGAGCAGAGGAGCACCTATTAATTGCCTTTCAAGGTGCAATCCAAGACCTTGGCCAACAAAGTTCTGATCCGGCGCACCCGGTGACATTTAGCTTGCCGCGACCGACTTATCAGCTTGCAATTCGTGGCAGCCAGATCCTTACACGTCTGGATTCGCCATAGCATACGGAAATGGTGAGCTCGCACAGGCATTTTGAAACCGCAGACCGATTTTCTCATGTGCCATTTGTAAGCTGCCGGGGCAAAATTTGCCTTCCCCGCGTGGAGGACCTTTTGAGATTGATTTCCTTGATAGCATGGGGTTGTTGGAAAGGAGTGAGACGTCGAGGAATCTGCCGGAAACAGCAGGCGTCGCTGTTGTTTGAGATAACAAAGATGCACAGATCAACAAAGCTCGGAGGTTGGTTGAGGATAGACAGGGGTCTCTTTGCCTGACTTCCCCTTGCACGAGCTGACTAACCTACACCCGGCGCTACTGGCACGAATGTGCGCCGTGGCTACATCGAATAATGCAGGTTTGCGAGAGCCATTGGCTGCGACTTGTGAAGGGAGAGAAGAAGCCGTAATTAGTCGACGGGAAGACGATGCAAGGGCCCACTGCTCCAAAGAAAATCTAGGAATAAGAAAACAGTGCGGGTCACGAGGCCATAACGGAGACTGTCATTGGGTCGCCGTCGGGGCTTGATGATGTGCTTTGGCTTCTGAGTCAGGGTTCATAAATTCCGAGTAATAAAAATGCTGGTTTGTTCCAGAACATGGCGCCAGACTTGGGCAGTGTTAGAAGATCAAGGCTAGGGAGGCGACAAGCGCTATTAGGTGACCAGCCGACCGCGTGCCTCGGAAGGGTCGGCTGGGTATCGGAGCCTTGTCGAGCCCCCAGCTATGGCGCAAGACCACAGGTCACTGAGAGGATAGGGCTGCTTTAGTACGTAATGATCTGGCGGCAGCCGATGAGAAGCTATTTCCGATTGCCTCGGGGTGGCGGACGCGGCTTTGGACGCTTGGCGGTAATTTTACGACGGCGAGGGACGTATGTCCAGCTGACGGACCAAGGTTTGCTTTTGCCGGCCTTCTGGTCCCTCTTCGACAGAGTTTTTCCTGTGCACCGCACAATAAGCAATTTTTATTATTTTCTAGTTCCCCGACCTGCATATGTGCTCTATCCATAACGGGTGTGCAGAGGGTCAAACGGGGCGTTGCACTGTAAGCCTAAACAATGGGTGGCCAGTGGGTACTTGTAAGATCAATCATGTCTCCGAGAAGGCCCTGCCATGTACCCCAGAAGGCCAAGCGCCGTCGCCGGTTCGTCGGGGTCGATCCGGGCATCGATAACGCCATAATTTCACACATGCACGTTTTCGAGGCAGGCTCAAAGATAAGCGGTCTGTCCACGTTAGCACCTGAATCGACGCTGGTTAATCTGAAGGCTGGTCCATGGCATGGCACCTTCTTAGCGCCCAATGACACCAAAACCCCAGGGGGTGTCAATGCAAACTGTAAACGCTGCCTGCCGGCCAGCCCCTGACCATGATGTGATCGATGGCCCGGCAGTTGCAGCGCCAGAGACGATGGTTTTGAGGACAATCTCAGGTGCCCGTTTGGGCGTGTGCTCCCAGCGGAATGGGCACAGTGGAGGAAAAACTTTGATGGATTGGGGCAGCGAGCCCCGCTGACGTGATGAGTCCCCTGCGCTGTATCTAGCAGCTAGGGGCGACCCTTACAGGCGACTACAGGGCGGTGGGCAGCGCCCAGGGTATCACTCTATGCAAGTAGTGGGGCCTGGCTCCGTGGCATATCGTTGTGACGGGCGCGGCGCAGCCTGTCAGGAACCATATCTGCCCTTCCGATAGCCGTCCGGATGGTATCAGACGCCGAATGCGAGTGACCTCCCAATTCCAATCCCAAATGGTGCCATCGCCCAGCAACAAGACAAGCAATGATACAAATCCTATCCCTTCCTGGGCGCTGTTGACAGACAGCGAGACCAGTCCCAACCGATTGATTGCCTTCTCGTGCATTGGCGAGCCAGCCCGCCGATATTACCTTTATCGGCTCGCACCCCTCGTTGACACCGACACCGAATCCTGGATTTTGTGTGCCTCCTCCTGCAACAACCGCACGCAATCCCGACAGGCCCGATTCCAACACTCGTCAGCGACAGCCTCGACGGATCGTAGCGTTCCATCCCGGGCAGTCTTATATAGACGAATAATACCGCCTGGGAATCCTAGCTGAAGTCGCCATCATGGTTGGTGGCATCTTATCTGCAGCTGCAGGCTCCCAACCTGCTTCGCCCGCCCAACAAGCACTCCACAACCACATCTCCCCCAACAGCCAGATGTTATCACCACCTTTGACGAGTCAAACATCACAAGACAATGAGACCAACCAGACCGACGAAGCCAGCCACAACCCCCAACAGCCATCGCGGGACAACTGTGATCGACACGGACCGAACGAAGACGAAACTGTCAGAACCGTCAAGATGCCTTACGACTTAGCTGGCAAGACTGTCACCCCCTACCTCAAAGAACATATCCCCGGACTGTACGCTCCTCTCGGTATGGGAAAGCAAGACAATGTGGCCGACTCCGTGCAGTCAAGCTCCCGATCAAAAGATCCCAACACCAAGTATTGCTATCGCCATCGTCCCGACTCCAAGTGTCGCCGCACGGCCGACGAGACCAAGATGGGTGTTATCCAACGGGTAAGCACACGCAAACAATACCTTCTTTTCGAATATCAGTCCTGACTGTTACTTTAGGAACTCAACAGCCTCACATCCCAGGACCAGCAGGCCATCACACACGTGTGGTCTCTCTTTTCTGCTGCCCCCGCAAAGCACCGCGAGCTGATGCTCCAGGGCATTATCACCCAGTGCTGCTTTCCCCAACTCTCCGCCGTTTCCCGCGAAGTCCACGAACAGCTCAAGATCGACTTCCTCACCGCCCTCCCCGCCGAACTCTCCTACAAGATCCTTTGCAGCCTCGACACCGTATCTCTTTGCAAAGCCGCCCAAGTCAGCCGCAGGTGGCGCAACCTCGCTGACGATGATGTCGTATGGCACCGCATGTGCGAGCAGCACGTGGACAGACGCTGCACGAAATGTGGATGGGGTTTGCCGTTGCTGGAGAAGAAGAAGCTGATTGCTTGGGGTAAGAAGCACAAGCATCACTCCGAGCGTGATCACAGCGATGGCGACGAGCCGGCATCGTCACCTACCGAGTCTAAGAAGCGACCAATGTTAACCCGTGAACATGGGAGCGACAGCAAGAGACAGCGACTGGATCAATCCACCAAATCACGAGCCCAATTAGAAGGCGAGCGCAAGTTCAGGCCCTGGAAAGATGTCTACCGAGATCGATTCAAGGTGGGGTACAACTGGAAAACTGGACGCTGTTCTATCAAGACTTTCAAGGGTCATGATAACGGCGTCACGTGTCTTCAGTTCGACCATAACATCCTCGCCACCGGATCATACGATACAACAATCAAGATTTGGAACATTGAAACAGGGGCGGAACTCAGAACCTTGCGTGGACACACCGGCGCAGTCAGGACCCTGCAGTTTGACGAGTCGAAACTTATCAGTGGCAGTTTCGACAAAACAATCAAGGTGTGGAACTGGCAGACTGGTGAATGCCTGAGCACACTTCAATGCCACACCGAGGGCGTTCTTTCGGTACACTTTGATGGCCCTCTTCTTGCATCAGGTTCTATCGACAAGACGGTCAAGATTTTCAATTTCGATACCAAAGAGACCTTCCACCTTCGCGGCCACAAGGACTGGGTCAACCATGTCCGCATCGACTACGAGTCCCGTACCGTCTTCTCAGCATCTGACGACCTCACCGTGAAGCTCTGGGATCTCGACAGCAAGCAATGCATCAAGACGTTCCATGGCCACGTTGGTCAGGTCCAGCAATTGCTCCTCATGCCCCCTGACTTTGAGCCTGATGAGGTGCCCAGCTCCGACAGCAGCAACGATACCGCCTCGGTCCACAGCCGCCGTAGTGTGACGCCTGTGCCTGAGGAAGATGATCGATCTACCTTCGGGTCCGGTTTCGTCGCTGACTACTCCCGCCCACTGCCTCCCCGTTATATGCTCACCGGTGGCCTGGATAACACGGTGCGGCTGTGGGATACTGTCACTGGCAAGTGCATGAGGTCCATGTTCGGCCACGTCGAGGGCATCTGGGGCCTTGTGGGAGATACCCTACGAGTCGTCACTGGAGCTAACGACGCCATGACCAAGGTATGGGAACCACGCTCAGGCAAATGTGAGCGTTCATTTACTGGCCACGTCGGCCCTGTCACCTGTGTAGGTCTCAGTGACAGCCGCATGGCCAGTGGGAGTGAGGACGGCGACGTGCTCTTGTACAGTTTTGAAGGGGAGAGCATGCAGGAGAGAGGCACCCCCTCTTAATCCAGAGGGACTGCATTGTTCAAGAACACCCCCTTCTCGTTTTCTTTCCATCTTTTCTTTTCTTTTCATGCGGCACACATTGCGTTGGAATTTTGAGCGCGCATAAACATTTATTACCACGGCTCAACGGCTTGGACTTGCTTGGAATGGAAAAAGCAGGATAAACATGGGATTTGGATGACTGGATGGCGCAATCGGTAATAGTCAATTTTACCAGGTGCCGTGGACAAACCGGCAGGGAAACAAAAGGATATGGCACAGCCAAAAGGCAGTTTGGAGTTTTTTCCTAATCGGATCTTTGTTTTTATTTTTTTCTTTTGGTTCTTTTGTTCTACTTGTTAGTTGATGTATATTCCAACAATCGATAGCTTGGTCATGGACCACAGAACGGATTTTATCAAATGTGTTTAAAATTACCCCACTCTCATTCAAGTGAATTGAAAAATCGAGCAAGCCAAGAAGCGGCGCGGTATATATAATATAGGAAGAGCCTATAGCTCCGGGGAGTTTGTCCCCCGAGCACGTTGGTAAGGGAAGTCTTCGCCGAGCAAGGAATTGCCGTGCCTCAAGCCGTTCCGGGCTCGGCATTCGGGAACTCATCCTTCTTCCTAACTTGGAGAGCAGAGATTATTCCTGGGCCGCCGTCTCCATCTGTATGCATAACGAGCCCGTTTCAGAGACGTCGGAACCGTCTCCGCGCCGGAAAAGTACAGGATATTCCGTCCTGTCGCCAGACCCAGCCTACACCCACCAAGGAAATCCTTAGGACATTCCGTGAATGGACCGCTGCGCCATGTAGACATGGGCATACAGTAGAGCATCTATTCATGAATTATCCGTGATCAACCGAGAAGTAGCTGAAGCTGGTCGCTGAAGAAAAGGAGGATAAACTCGATAAATAGTTGATATGTTGATGCTGCCTTCTTTAGAGACCAACTTCAGCCCTTTCTTGGTTAATCGAGAATATTTCAAAAAAAAAAAACAGATGCTTTATTTGCATGCCGGTGTCTACATGGCGCAACGGTTGAATGTGTCGTCTTCACCTGTCTCGTGGTCCATTTGTCGGTTATATATGCCTACCCGGGCTATCTGTATGATTGTCCAAGTTGTCTTAGTGTTGAAGGTTCGGGTACGGACCGTAATTTCTATCTGAAAGAAAACCGTGCGATGAATTCAAGTGTGTGGCCTGATCTTGGCATAACCCTTGTTTACGGCGATTAAAGAAAAAACAATTCTTCGTTATTCGGTATCATCGGCGGGTTGTTCTCCCGAGCCTGCCTAATAATAATGTAGTAGACGGACGGAGAGCAGCAAACTCGTGATGGCTGCATGTTATGCAGCAGCCCACGAGCGTTCTCCGTTGGCATGCCACGTTCGGCCCAGGACTTAGCCGCCTGCGAGCTAGGCGGACCCCCTTGGATGGGCATTTATCCCCAATGGCATAATCAATCGAGGTCTCGTGATGCGCCCGAGCCTTCTCGTCTCGGCCGAGGGAGGAGCTCCGAGCAGGTCGTTGGTGGGAGCTCCGAGCTGGACGTTGGCGAGCTCCAGAGCAGGAATGCTGGGCTGCCTCGGCAATGGCCGGTTAAGCCTGAGGGAAGCGATTCTATCCGATAGCATCGTCGCCCTCCCCCTGCCAGCCAGCTGCTTCTGACCAGGACGGGGGGTGTAGCGCCAATCGCTTCTTGTCTGCGTCTGGTTGAACCCGATTCAAATGAGGGCTAACATAATATTAAGCCTTGATCCAAGGGAGTGGGCGCACCTCCAGACCAGGACCAAAGCTGACTAGCGGATCCCCGCGAAATCACAAGCTCGGCTGGTGGTCGGCAATCACTGGAGCAGCCAATGGGCAGTGGACATTACTACGTCAAAGTCACACGCCTGAGAAGACAGAACGAGCAATTGGAGAGCCTGAGGGGAGAGGGGAGGGGAGGAAATGACGCAACCTGGAAATCAGGAGTGACTTGTTGCCGTCCAGAACGTAGGTCTCGAGGCGCATATGCTGCTCGCCAATGCAGGCCCGAGCGATATGGACGTTTACTGCGGCGCTTGTAGGACGGATCTAGGCCTGCCAGACATCGAGAAGGCTGCACCTAAGGCCCCGGGCCAGTTCGGGACAAAAGGGGGAGCTCTGCCCGGACCCGCAGACTCAAAGGGCCCCGTCTCAACCCTCCGCTTGCCCGGAGACCCCCAACCTTCAGCAGAGTGGGGAGCAGTCCTGCCTGCACGTAGAAGCAATTGAGCCGCGGGACAGCCTCCCCAAGAGCTAGCTATGGGTCGGGGACCGCGGGGGACAGGAAAGAAAAGGGCGTCGTGGTCCGGTTACGGGGAGCAGAAGGGACGACAGGAAATCTGCTTTGCTGCTTGCTTGCCTGCCCTTGGCCATCCTCACTCGACCTCGCCTCCCCATACCGTTGCCTCACGTAACCGACGCTCGCCGCCCTCGCCGCCCTCGCCGAAAGAACACCAGCCGAACGCCCTGCTTACGGCCCTCGCGCCTGCGTAGTACGCACGGGTAGATCATCTTGCATCTGCCATCTCGCGCCCTGATTCTACATACACCCTCCCCGAGCTTGGACTACCCCCCTCCTTACCCCGATTTGGTGGCGTTCCTTGGTGTGTGTGTAAGTAAACTGTACTGCCGGTAGGTCGGTCGATCGGTCGAGAGTGGGCACAAGCTGAGAGAAGGGAGTCAGAATCATATGCCAAAACCGAACGCTCTCCAGCCCGTGGTCGTGTGTGTGACTCTTCCCCCCAGATCCTCAACGCCCATCCGTTCTATACCTGTGACATTCCCCAGTTTTCCCTCTAGCTTCCACTCCGAACATGTGTGAGTAATTCGAGCTAATCTGTATATTTATGGCTTCCGCCTCCAAAGACTATCCCCTTTCTCACCCTCTTTATATTTTCCGGTGATCTTCTTCTCTTCTTGCTCGGCCCTATACAAGTCAATTGCATATCTACTTCGGGTAAAACTCAAGCAGGATAGAGAGCGCATTCAATAAGCCAAACCCGCCTTGTTCCCAAGACCTCCTCAAACACCCCCGGAAGAATAAACACATTAGAGAAAGCAAAATGTCGAAAAACGGCAAGAAGCAGCCGGCCACTGCGGCGACCAACCTCGTTGGTAAGCTCACCAATCAGTATAAGTGCAAAATCAATTCGGAACCCCATGGCTGACATAACATCATAATAGCTGGAGGTGGTGCTGGTATGATGGAAGCACTCGTGTGCCACCCTCTCGACACAATCAAGGTCCGCATGCAGCTGTCGCGGCGCGCGCGTGCCCCTGGAGCTCCGAGCCGAGGCTTCATTCGCACCGGCGCCGAGATCGTCAAGAAGGAGACCCCTCTCGGCTTGTACAAGGGTCTGGGCGCAGTCCTGACGGGCATCGTTCCCAAAATGGCCATCCGCTTCACCTCGTTCGAGAGCTACAAGCAGTGGCTGGCCGACAAGGACACCGGCGTCGTCTCCGGGTCCAACATCTTCCTCGCCGGCCTCGCCGCCGGTGTGACCGAGGCCGTCGCCGTCGTCACCCCCATGGAGGTCATCAAGATCCGCCTGCAGGCCCAGCACCACTCCATGGCCGACCCCCTAGACGTCCCCAAGTACCGCAACGCCGCCCACGCCCTCTACACCGTCGTCAAGGAGGAAGGCTTCGGCGCCCTGTACCGCGGTGTCAGCTTGACTGCCCTGCGCCAGGGCTCTAACCAGGCCGTCAACTTCACAGCATACACCTACTTCAAGGAGTGGTTGTACAAGTTCCAGCCTCAGTACGAGGGCGGCAACCTCCCCAGCTACCAGACCACCCTGATTGGACTTGTGAGCGGTGCCATGGGTCCCCTGAGCAATGCACCCATCGACACCATCAAGACGAGACTGCAAAAGACGCCTGCCGAGCCCGGCTCCAGCGCATGGTCCAGAATATCCAGAATCTCTGCTGAGATGTTCAAGTAAGTTTCCGGCCTCGGGTTTATCTCCACGCTCCAAATTTCGAAAAAGGTACTAACATCCTCGTTCCAGACAAGAAGGATTCCACGCTTTCTACAAGGGCATCACCCCACGTATCATGCGTGTGGCCCCTGGCCAGGCCGTCACATTCACTGTTTACGAGTACCTGAGATCCAAGTTAGAAAAGAGTAGTTTCTCATCATTTAACGGAGGCAAGTACGAGGAGTAATCGGGTAACGAACGAATCTCCAATTTCCTTTTGTGTGTCTTCCCTTTGTTCATCCTTGCTTCCCTCCCTCCACTCTTGGCCCGAGAGTGGGAGGTAGGGAGGGGAGGCGTATGTGAGGAATCGGGTACGAGAAGGCGGCAGGGTCTAATCATGTTCTCGTTGTTTGTTGTTGATAAAAATGGCATGTTTGGTTGGTGTTTCTAATACTTTGTTTCTGTAGCCGCATTTGAAAAGCAGAAGTTAGAGGCGGAGGCGGCACTCTGATTTAAGGGACGGGCAGGCTCCACTTACACATCTCCATCCCGACATTCTTCTTTCCCGCCATCTGCATCTGTTTTTCTAGCAGACGAAGCAGAAGAAGAGTCGGGATATAAGAGGAAACTTGGGTTAGACATTTGATTTTCTAGTTCGGTTAGATGAAGAGTTTCAGCACCATGGCCGCCATCGAGAGGAGGCCAGCCGAGGGAAGCGGGATCAATATTTCTATGCATGTATCTTGGGGATACAGAATATAGGTTTCTAGCAATTGGACATATGCGCTCATCTCATCCCGCTTGACTCATATCTCGTGCCTCATCTTGAACAGCTGAATGGCTGTTTTGGGCTTCAAATCTACCGCCCAGGTCGCTTGGGGCGGCTGAACGCCTGTCTGGTTGCCACCTTGGGGTGTAAGTCCTCCAAGACGCTCTCCTCTGTGATCTCACTTGGTTCCTCAACCTCGAACCTCTTTTCCAGGGTCAATCCCGCCTCCTTGCTAGCAACCTCCAAGACAGCTCGCTTCATTAGCGGGTACAGCATCCGGAACTTGATCGACTTATTGCCAGCGGTGGCAGGGCAGGTGTAGAAGAACAGCATAGACGTCTGCTCAGCGCCATTGTGGGTGTGCTTGAACCGGAAAAAGGTAAATCTGGGCTCCGTGGAAGAAATAGCCTGGGTCAGCTCGGTGATGGTGCTGGGTGTTGGAGACTCGGGGACAAGTTCCACAACTTCTGTTTCGGGGTTGATTTTCTTTATATTGTGGCCAGATTAGTCCTGCCCTCATTTCACGCAAGGAGAAGTCAGAAGTAAACGTACCAGCATAGTCACCACACGGCCACCTTCCGTACCGACTTCCTTCATAGCGGCAATGGCATCCTCTGCCACGGGCATATTCAGGTTCTTGCTAAGGTGAATCTCCCTTGTACCAGTGCCAGCACCTGCAGCTTGCTCCGCTCGCTTGACCTCGCCAAGGGTTCGTTCCTCTTCCGTGAGGGGTGCTTCTAGCTTTGCGTGCGCCTCCAACTTCTTAAAACCGCTCGCCGAAAGCTCCTCTGGATTCGTGGTGAAGATGGTATCGCGGAAGTGCTCAGTTCCCAATTCACGCACGAATGTCAGCCGTGTCGACGCAAATAGCATCTTCTGCCGCACAGGGGCAGAGTCGGGGATGTAGGTGGCCGCAACGAAGTAGGGGGCGGTGTCATATCGACGAAGAATGATGTAGAGCGCAACGTTGGGCTTCAAATGAGGCTCTAGGGCGGTAAGGTTCTCTTCGAAAGAATGGCCCTTCTGTGGGATGGTCGTCACAGGCACAAGTGCCTCCTTTTCGATGGTCGATAACAGCCCAAAGGTCGAGGAATCGGAAAGCAAGGAGCTAAACTGGGCCTGGAGCTCCTTGGAAGCTTGGGACTAGTTAGCTGAGGGGGAGGGACAATCGAGGTGTTTCATAAGGCATACCCAGAATTCCGGACTGCATGGTGGAAATTTCCGTAGCTCTGCAAGCTACTCAAATTCCGATGTATGAGTGCAAAGGAGGAGGGCGTAAGATGGCGGAGGGGCATCGGCTGTTGAAATACCAGCCTGTTGCTAAGGAGATGATGGTTCGCGGCACCGACTGACAGCTGATGCGGATCCCCGCCAAAGCCCCGCGTCATGGCCTCTGGCGGAGATCCGCCTTCCCCGTTGGCTTACCCTAGGCAGGGGCAAGAATGCTGCTGGCCATCTGAATATGCCATGGAACGAAACACGTTTTCTAGTTCGTTAATTTCGATTAGGTAAAAATTAATCTACTTCTTCTCATCTTCTACTTCCTTTGCCCGAATTAGCTCTTGCCCCTAAATGTAGAGCATTGAGCAACCTGGTTTGAATATGAAACCACTGAAACAGGAGCTTGCCTCGAAATCTACCTAGCTAAGATCCACAGCAGGCTTCCTTTTACACCGCCTGAAAGAGCCATATGAATATTGAACTTTGAACAAAGCAGCGACAGTATAGAGAATGTGCTTGAACACAGACGTCTATGTAATTCTTGGAGCCGACAGAGCAACACGATAATCTAGTGTAGCTATTGGCTAGATTCAAGCAACAGTAGCAAACAGAAGGGCCAGTCCACTCAGAACCGAAAGCAACTGTTGCTGGAGTGTATGAGCCTGTGATTTTGGGATAATAGCAGGTATAGGAGGGTCGTCGTTGCCCTCGTCGCCCTTCAATACCGTAGTGTTAGATCCAACAGGCCGGAAAGATCGTCCCGGTATCTGAGAGAGAGTGTCCGGATCTGTTTTGTCTAAGTTACCCTCTGCTGTGCTGCTCGGTGGATCTGCGATTAAGATCGCTGAAGGCCATGGAATAGCAACAGGGCTGGGAGTTGAGTTTATGAGGTTGGACTTAGACGAGGAGGCAGGATCATTGTGTGAATATGTGGAGAAAATCGTAGGGGTACCTAAACCAAGAATGTTAGTAATGGGTGATGTATAGAGTGATTGATCACGATTGGAAATACCGATAGAGCTTTCAGTAGAGCTTTCGGTAGAGCTAGTTGCTGAGCCAGTGTGGGAAGCACTGTTTGGTGAAGAAGAAGACTCGCTCAATTCTGGGTCGGCGGCTAAAGCGTCTTTGGCCATGTAAATGGTAGATATTTCTTGACCCTTCTTTGGGCAGACGCTTCCACATATCCCGAGCTCCGGATCTCCCATGCATGGATGGTCACATGCGTCGGAAGGGAGCGGACTAAAAGACTCTGCATCGTTCCCGCAACGGCATGAACTAGATATTTATTAGATTTCTGATTTATTCTATTGCTCAGGGGAAGTAGCGTACTGGGCAAAAAGGGCAGCGATACGCTGACCATGACATGCTTTCTGGCATCTTTCTGGGTTAAGCACACCATCTAGGAACACAATTGGATCGCTGAAGCCGTTTAGGTTGACAGAAGCGCATCCGTGAAACTCGAAAGCGTGTGAGGCAGGTATATCGGGTAGAGTGCCATATGATTGTTGGGCGAGAACAATTGTCGCCTGGAGAAGGGCCAGAAAAAAGTAGCACCACATGTTGAAGTGCAGCCAGAGTTGAAGACAAAAATTCCGAGTGTTGTGAATGGTTCAGTAACAGCTGTGAAGCAAGTCTTGAAGGCCAACTATCTGGAGAATTGGCCAGCTGAGTAGGAGCTTAGACATGGAAGCAAGGTAGATATGACTAGGAGAAAGGCAAAGAGTAAAGTTCAGATAAGGACACATTATGGAAGTAATACAGAAATTGAGTTGCTCCTTCTTGAAAATCAATAGATATGATGTTGCCATTAGTCTTATATTCTAGAGGTGTTCCTTCCCAGAGTAAAGACTAGCTAGTTCAACAACCGAGCATCGGTATCGGTGTTCCTACATGGAGTCATGTTGGTGAGGAGAAAGGAAAGGCGCCAGTCCTAAAGACTTTAGTTTCTGCATGGAAGAGCTTAACGAAGAGAAGAAGAAAAGAACTCCCAATGTATCTCGAATAAGTTATTTGGAGAGTCTTGGGCTTGGCGCTCTGAGCATCAACGGCTGGGTCGCATCAAGGTGTGGGTCCACGGATACGTACCTCCAGAAATTCCAAGCTCCGAATATGGACTAGTCGAATATGACTGTCTGCCTGAGGCTGCATTATTTTGCTGTAAGAAACGAATTTTGAGAGTTGGTGACCCCACTTTAATCAGGGCACGAAAACCCCAATCTAACGACCACCCTTTCAACTGGCCGAAACTTATTGTGTGCGCATCGCAGTGAACATCATCCAACCACCAAGTTGTGCATCAGCAGTCAAGATGAGCGCCCTCAACAAGATCGCCCCCAACAGCCCTTCGCGGCAGAACCCTTCCGAGCTTGAGCAGAACATTGCTCAGGCTCTCTACGACCTCGAGACCAACACTGCCGATCTCAAGGTCGCCCTCCGACCTCTGCAGTTCGTTTCTGCTCGCGAGGTGAGAACCGCATCCTGAAAAATTTAGCCGACAGTCCTTTCGAGATCCTGTTCCTACACAAAGCTATACCATACAATGGCACACGAGGAGACGTTTCCGCCTTCAGCACGCAGATACTCTAATTGATTCATGTGAATTGAATGGGGTACTATACTCGTCGCGAATTGAGGAACGGACTTCCCTTGCCGGAGTACAATTGACTTATGTGGAGCAGGACGGGAAGCGGTCCAAGGCTTTGTCCTGGAGCTCGCATGCTGACTTTGGGTCTCATTAGATCGAAGTTGGCCACGGCAAGAAGGCTATTGTCATCTTTGTCCCCGTCCCTTCCCTGACCGGTTTCCACCGTGTCCAGCAGCGGTAAGAAAATATCAACGCCATTGGCGCCGCCAGGATACAGCCTCACCTAACACCAATGTCTTAGCCTCACCCGTGAGCTCGAGAAGAAGTTCTCTGACCGCCACGTCCTCATCCTCGCCTCGCGCCGCATCCTGCCCCGCCCCAGACGCTCTGCCCGCAGCCGCAACACCCAGAAGCAGAAGCGCCCCCGCTCCCGCACTCTCACTGCTGTCCACGACGCCATCCTCAGCGATCTCACCTACCCCGTCGAGATCGTCGGCAAGCGCGTCCGCACCAAGGAGGACGGCAGCAAGCTCCTCAAGGTCATCCTCGACGAGAAGGAGCGTGGTGGTGTTGACTACCGCCTCGACACCTACGCCGAGGTCTACCGCCGCCTGACCGGCCGCAACGTCAACTTCGAGTTCCCCCAGAGCCAGGCTACCGACTTCTAAGCATGTCGTCTTTTTTAAGGAGGGTTCCATTTTAGGGTGATTTAGCATAAAAGGTGTTCTAAAAAACGGGCTTGGCGTCTCTTGTGAGAAGGTAGCTTGATAATAGTACAGGCTGCCGTATGGCATGGCATAAATCACCCTATGCGTTCTCAAACAAACTAAGAATGGTGTATATGTCTGAGTCGTGATATGTCTTCGTCAGTCGTGACTAATCTGTCCCACCCCAAGGACACACCAGTATGCAAGCTCCCTCTTTTCCCGTGCATCCTTGTCCCTGCCTGCTGTTCCTGTGATATCGTGCTGTGCCTCCGCCTCCCACTCGATACGAATAAACATGGGTATCTCCAGAATGTCCTCGTCCTCCTTGAGCGGACTTTTGTCCACCGCTTCCCCAGGCTTGGCAGTGAGATCGAGATTCTCCACACGCAGGGACGGTGGAATGACCTCGAGTACAACACTGACCCAGTTCCGGCCTCTCTCGTAGATCTTACCGGCCTCGGCCTGCCCATTGCTGTCGTCTCGCTTCTTCAAGTCGCCGTCGTCTCGAAGCGCATCGTCCCACATATCCGTGTTCGCATCTACCTCGAACTCGGGACAAAGCAGCGTGACCCTGCTTGAGAAGCGCCCCGGTGTGCTATTGGGCGTTGCAAGGGTAACCTTGATACTCTCAAAGAGAGGATTCGTAAACGTCACGATGTACTGACAGGGCTGGAGGGGCTTGAGAGGCTTCTCTATTTGAACGTCTGGGCGCAGGCCCACGGGAATCCCACTCGCAGTCGGCTTCAAGGGCCTGATGGAAATCGAGGGGATGTAGTTCTTGGCAACCAGGCGGATCTTGAACCGGGTGGACGCCACCTTGTTCTCGGGTTTGGAAATGATGTGCCGGCAGACCGCGCATCGCTTGGATCGTTTCGTCCGGAGCGTGCACTGCGTGGGCCGGAGCTCATCTTGAAACCTCGCGGGCTCCAGCTGCGCCAGCGTCTGTTCTCTGGACACCGTTTCATCCCACCCGCCGCGGAACAGCTTTTTCACTTCCGCGGACTCATCGAGCTTGGCAATCCTGAGACCGTCGTCGGTGGAAAGTGCCTCCCGCATTGTGTCTGGGGGTCCGCGTTGCCGGCCCGGCTGGCCCCGACCAGCTGTGTAGAGAGTCATGATGCGAGACAATGCCGCTGGCGACGAGAATCCGGCACCATCTGCCAGAGAAAGGTTGCCAAGAACACCGGTGCTATCGGATAGCTGACCTTGAAAGAAGGATTTGAGGTTTGCGAACTGGAGTTCGGTGTCGACCAGCTCGTCGGCAACTGGACCCTCGTCGGGGTTCTCTTTCCGCCTCTCTTTGAGGTCTTTGACGGTGAGTTTTGGCTCTCCGCCATTCTTCACTTTGGCCAATTGGGCAGGAATCCCGCTGGGGCGATCAAACTCAATACCGATCTCACTCGAGGACCAATTGCAGTATTGGCAGAACAGGGCGTAGCTCAAATGGGCAGTGGGATTGTTATCCGCGCCGAGTAGAGTAGGGTCGGGTTCGTTCGGTATTTCACCAGCTTGGACCGGGCTGGTGCAGACAGGGCACTGGAAACAGCTTCGCGTGCATCTAGCAATGGAGCATCAGCACGGCTTGGTTTTGGGTAGTTCCTCAGGCTAGCTTACCTATTGCCTTCGCTCCGTAGGTTACTGCTCGGTACTTCAAAAAGACAATTTGGGCAAAAGTATGTGACAATCTCTTCGTTGACGCATTTGGGACACCGAATCTGTTGGCACTCTTCGCAGTAGAGGAGGTATTCTAGAGGATATAGGGAGTAATTTGAACGCGGGGCGCGGGGGTCGAATGTGTGTTCGTCGTCGTTTTCGATCGCGTCTTGAGCTATCTGGTCACCATGATCTAGATCCGTATGATCTGAGGAGCAAGGGCATTGGATGTAGGTGTAGGGCGCTGTGAAAGCCATGATTTGGTATCCTTGCCATGCTGTCGCATCTGGGGAAAATGCTCTGTAGCTATCCCAAAACTTCCTAGCATTGGGCCGGCATTCACCGAGAACACAGGTGAGCTCACCGAATGACTCAGCAAGAGGCACACCTTACTTTTTGGCCCTGGACATTGTTCCGGAGTGAGGTTGCCACAATACTCTACTAGGCAATTTGTTGGTCGGGAGCCAACTGTTCTTGGTCTAGCCATGGTCTAGCTATGATCTATAGCCTTCCAATTGTGGCCCGACTTCATTTCCCATCGAGATTCTGGATTTTGCTGACAGCTGGGCTGATCCATGAGGTTGCAAGTCTCGACTGCTTCAACCAGCAAAAACGTGATTCTGGACTGAAACAACGAATCCACCATTGTTGTCTAGGGCAGATGGAACCAGCTGAAAAGCTTGCTTCCCAGTACCGGCATGATGGGACTGGGTCCTTCATTTTCTCACCGATACCATGGCGCCGTTAAATGATGGCGTCGTGCATTGGCAGCTGGTGAAACAATGTTTCGCACGTCAAGCTTTCTCTAGGATTAGTGACAACGTTGTTCTGAGCACTATTCCCGAGCCAGTCTCAGAACTAGGTCGGTTCGGTGGAAAGCAGTTCCGCACTGACCTCACCAAAGCCCACGCTTAAGGCTCCATGGCACGCATAAGGGAGGGGAAGAACGAAAGAAGAGCCGTGTAGTTCGGCGGTCAGGTCAACTTCGCGGCCGGCAAGGCCCTTAGCTGCATTCAATGCCGTGACACGTCAGAGAGCGGTGTTGACATTTAAGCCATGATCCAGCGCTGCACGCCGACGACGTACGTATATGCAAGTCTCATCGATGCGGTGATAGCCTCCTTTCTACTTCGTGATTATACTACGAGAGTCATCCTTCCATGATGCAACATATATTTGCGCACCGAGTCGGTGAGAGAGCAATTTGCGTCATCAAGACGAATGGTTCGTTCCACAGAATGGGGAGTCTCACATCCTTCAGTCCACTCGCACCAATTCCCTGATCTAATGAAAGAGTTTTTCGTATCATTCCGAGAGGCAGGCCAACAGCAAGGAGTGCGGCGATGCACGCTTGAGAAGGAACAAGTTCCAACAGGGCGATCTTTCGATAGATTGGATTGCCCTTGAGGTTATACGGATCAAAGACAATGCCTCTCAGTTTCCTTTTCCAGGGAAATAAACAAAGGATTGCATCATCACCGGAATGGGCGTTCATTCGGACGAAACACAGCTGCCGGAACGTAGCACGAACGGGGCGGCGCTCACAAAGCGGAGACTGGCAATGGTGTAAAATTGCCAAGCTGGTCTTGTCCGTTTGCAGGCAGGCTGGCGGAGTCCAGAAGCCTTCAGCCAATCCATATCTCACCACATTGGAAGAGATCGGGTTGAGGAATTGCCGTGGTTGGGACAAGGGGCCTTTGTTTGCTGGGCCGCAACGAGATTCTTTCAGCAGCATCCTGGACATGTTTGCGGCGTTGCCAATAAAATGGCGTTGCATAGGCGAATTGCATCCGTCGAAAGCCCGCGGACCCTCCAATCAGATGACCCGTTGCTGGAAATGTCAGTGATCTTCACGGCCGCCCCTGTTCGCGATTCAGGATGCTCATGGGATTGCCAGCAATCGCATGCGTGGAGAGAGGAGCGAGCGAAAGAGAGATCTTCGCTGCCGCCGCGATCAAGTGTGGGCTATGATATGATCCTCATTTCTCGACCCTGTTCCGTGACTTCATGGCGAATACCATCGCGCTGATCGCCCAATGCAAGTTCGGTTGCAGACTCGCGGGGCTTCATGCGTTCCAGATTCTGGATTCCGCTGATTTTTTTCTTCCTGCACCACCTCGGTGAGGCAAGCCTCCATCCTGCCCGAGGCAGCCCAAGCCAGGACCATCTCAGCCAGCCTCTGGCCAGCACACCCTGGCAAAGGTCTAGGTCTCTCTGGACAATCGACAGGGGTTGTGACGCAAGCGCCTACACAATGCTACGCTAAGACACCTCTTTGAAGCTATCTCAGGACTTGCATGGGACAAATCCCGACTACTCTAGACTTGTCTCGCCAAGATGCTCAGCTTGCCCGCCCGTGCCATTTGTCATTTCTGCTCTTAGGCACCAAACCTCCTTAACTACCACCCTTCGCCTTTGTGGCATCTCGAGGTTTTTTGCTCGCTGGTCTTTGTTCGTGTGTTCTTTCGTTCAATTGAGTCCTGTTCTCCTTCTCTGCACTTTTGTAATTGGATCTGTTTGGGAGTGCACGACCTGGAATCCGATGAAGCACTGCGCGTCTTGGCCCCAGTAGGCCGCCTGCAGCCACACCCTTGGCTCGTCCCTTTAAGAACCCGATTCGACCATATAATACGAATTGGTGCGTCACGCCTCGCGCTCATCGCCGAAAGCAAAAGGGCTTGCACATATAGATCTTGTGTAATCGCCCACATCGGAATCCGGGTGGGAATTTGTGCCCGTTTCGGCGCCATAAGATTGCACTGTCTCACGACTCTCTCGACTCTTCTAAGGTCTTGCGGCCCCCCTTATTAGAGCCAAGTCAGGACCACTTGACTACCGAAAGTCACACCGGGCATTCACCATGGGGGATTCTAGCTCCATTCCTACCACGAGGGGCCTGGGTGCCTTCGTAGAGGGTCTTGGTGCTGTAGTCAAAGGTCCGGTCAAGCGATGGGACGGTGCTGCGAGGACTTGCTACAGCTGGGACGAGTTGCGAAGGGTATGTGTAAAGAATATTCCGATTGATGAATCTCTGACTTGCTATTCTATATCGTTCCATTTGTATCTAACATCTCTTAGGATCCGGAACTATGGTACCGCAACGGCAATTGTCTCGTCCACCTATACGGCAAAGGACAATCGAAGCGAGGCCCTTCATTCAAGATTCCTTTCAAAGATCTTGTGATGAAGAAGTGCTACCCACTTATCGAACGATTTCTCGCTCCCCCGGGAGTAAATGTGACAAATTTGCGACAACTGGAAAGATGGAGCCGGCTCAACCCAGACCAAATGATTGAACTCTACATCCCAGCCCCCGCAATGGCCGACAAGAGTCAGGCATTCGCATATCATGTTGCGACCCGCAACTTCTTTGCTTGGGTGTTCCAGAAATCCATGGTTGGGGAGCACTTGGGGACTGCGCTTGTCGGACTCTTGCACAGTATGTATGAGTTTCGAACAGAGGGAAGCTCTAATATCGATGAATTGATAAGCTACCTTGACGAGGAGGGCTATCTGGGTTTCGTCAATCAGACAAATCACGCGCTGGCAATCCTGCATCTCGCGGAAACCTTCGAAATTACTGACCTCTATCTCAAGGCGTTCGCGCATTGCACTGGCATGAGCGATCGCCTGTACACGAGTGAGGAATACGAGGTATAATCTTGTTGTGGAACATCCGAGCAAACTTGACAGCCATACTGACATGATATAGGTGATCACGATGGAAACGAAGAAGCTGATCCGAAAAGCGCGTGCGGATATGGATTCAAAGCTTTACACTGCCACGGAGCAGCTTCAAACGCTTCTTGATGAAGAGTTGTCAGACGCACATATGGGCATGCCTTCTGGCACAAGAGCACATATGGAGCGGTTCAGAAGCTTTTTACTCTCATTTTATGCCACCCGCCTTGGATATTATCCTCCCAAGGCTTTTGATACCCAGCTTCTGCAGTCTATGCGGAAGGACTTCGAGTGCTTGGTGAATCTTCTGGCCGACGAAGCCTACACTGAATCAGATGTCATCCCTTCTGATGCTCTCGGCGGAATTTGCACCCTGCAACTGTTGCAGTCATTTGATAATACGCATGGTTTCGAGACTCTGAAGCACCCTCTACCACTCCTGCCTGACTTCAAGCAGAACGTGCCAAATCGATTTTCATGGCTGACCCGGTCCGATAAACTGCGCCCAAATCAGAGACTTCTTGCTCATACTGCTCTTATCAAGGCTTCAAATTGGACCGAAAGCATCTTTCATAGTGACATTGTCAAGGCCTACCGCCAATTTGAAGAGCAACTCGTCATGAAGTCGAAGAAGGGCGATAAGCAAGAGAAGGTGACGCTGGTAGAAGCCCGCAAGGTTCGCTGGATTCTGGTCTATGCCGTCTACCAGGTCCTGCGAAGTGTGACAGACGTCCCTCCTGAGCTACGAGATGTCTCAAACGCGCCATATCCTACACTTGTTTCGCTCCAAGACCTGCCACCCTGGCAAGAGATGAAGCCTATCGATCGTATTCTACGCAGACAAACCGAATTTGTCCTCGAAAATTCTTCAGATGGGCAATGGCTTAGCCCCACAACCGCTCCCCAGCCTCGTCTATCTCGCGACTCAGTGAGGATAGAGATCAAGCCCGATATTGATTACCTGGCTCTCTCACACCAAGGGGAGTTTGGTAGTCACTATTCGCCCAGTAGCCCAGTCATCATGGTGCCACCGCGCTCAAGTTCGCTCTCGCGTGCTCTGAGTCGAAGCTCGACCATTCGTCGCTCCATGAGGCGGTTCAGGGCGAATTCGAACCCTCCAACCCCACCCTCGGGGGCTTCGTCTCCCAGACCTTGCTTCCACGAAATTGTTGTTCAAGGATATGGCAATGGAACGAACCGTGTGGATACCAAACCTGCCAGGCAGACGTATGACACACAAAGGTGGTCCCCTAGGAGCGAGCGGGGAGAAGACGAGTCAAACTCGCAGCCTGAATCTGGGCTCGCAACCCCCCAGACCACCGATAGTGATGATACACTTGATGATTCGATCAAGACACCCAGCCCAATTATTCCGCTCGCGGAAATGCACCCGCCCACTCCCAAGCCGCTTCGGGTTGGACGACGTGATGTTGTTTCCATGTTTATAAGCAGATCTCTATCAGCTCGGTCTGCAAGGCAGTCCACCAGGTCGGACAGAAGACCCATGAGCAGCTTCTTTGGAGGCAATGACCTGCCCCAGGACTATTCAGATGCCTACCAAGAGCTCGTCGCAGAACAGCGTCAAAGCTTTTTCGGCGGCGATTGCTCTCCCGCATACAAGGGCCATCCGGACATAGATGAGGAGCCTCACATTGTGGACCGCGATTACTGGGAGACGATGGAGGCCTATCTTGAGGAAGGTGGCGAGCTTTCGGACTCGCCCCGTCCCGCGAGTGCCTATGCCCGACCTGTCTGGGAGCAGTACGCCAACCTAGGAGGCCTTACGGAGATCAAGTAGATCTACGAAACCGATTCCTTCATGGCCTGCATTCTGCATTGTTTTTGCACTTTGCCTTTTGGCATTCAGCATTCCTTTTCGCTGCGCGTCAGCATTCTTTGAACTATTCGCTCCTTTGTTTTGGATATGATACCCTGATTTCTAAGCACGCAACTTGATGAAACTCTTTTGAAAAAAAGAAAGCGCTCTTTTTTCCGAAGTCAGCACACAGCACACGTCTCGATCCTTTGTCGCGTCGACCGCGATCGTTTTATGATAATTCAAAGTATAACGCCCCTTCAACTGAATATTAATACCAACCAACCTCTGCGTGAGACCATAGCCGTTCCCTATAACAAACAAAAGTTTAATGTCATGTGTATTCCGGGGAACTCGAAATTGATAGTGCTATTGCTCCTAAGGCACCATATCTTGATCTTGTAATTCTTTGATCCCGGGCTTGGGATAGGCAGCTACCCCTTTTTAAGTACCCTATTTGTCAGAGGTATAAATTAATGATAATTATTTTTATATTTGAGACAATTTTGCAGACAAGCTGTTTAGAATCTCTTGCAGAGCGCCTCCATACCTAATTTGAAAGCTAGCTTTTTACTCCCCTCCCCGTCGTTTCTGTCGCCACTTGTCCTACTTCCTCCCAAAGTTCACATTGATTATTTACAAACCAGGCTCAACACTCAGCAATAGCAATCTTCTTCCTCTCCCGCTCACAGCTCTTCCCACGGAAACCAGAGCCATGCCGCACATCCTCGGAGCGGCTCTCTAGCCTTGGGCATTGAATCACATTCAGTTCGTTTACTCATCCTTGTCATGCTCAGCGGTACCGGCAAGTCCGTCAACAATATCGGAACCCATCACGTACGTCATGTAAGCTGACAAGATAATCCAGGGAACACTATACAGCAGGTTAGAATCAGAAATCCAGAATTTGCAGTTGAGAAACCCAGGCCAAGATCAGCGAGTCACTTTGAAGACTCCCCACTCAGCCTGAGTTTTTTGCAGAAGGATATGATATAGCTTACTTGGGCATAACCCAGAGAGTAATGAGATCCCTGGTCGAGTTGTGACCGATGTTATCAAAGCCACTATAGTACTCATTGGCCCCTAACACGGATCCCTGTCAGCTAACACGACCACCAGAAAAAGCCCGCCGAAGCGTTCAAGGAGAAATTAGTGTATACAGTAAAGAACCGACTTGCTGAGCGTCATGACAGCAGCGCTGAAGCCAGTAACAAGAGTCAACGCGCCGTGGCGACCCCTGACGGCACGGGTGCCGGCCTCGCCGCGGGCGAGGACGTTCCAGAGGTAGACGAGGTACATGGAGGTCTCGACAGCGTTGAGGAAGCCCTGGGCCGAGGTGAAGCCGCTGTTGGCGTTGAAGGCCTTCCAGCCGTAGACATGATCGATGGTGCCGTACAGCTTGTAGGGCACCCAGAGGGGCCAGTGCAGCCAGCCGCCCTCCATGGTGTGGGGGCGGCCGAGGACGTAGACGGTGTCCCAGACGACGAGGGGCAGCGAGAGGGCCAGCCAGCTGAGGGTGAGGGTCGTCGGGGTGTGGCTCCAGGCTTTACCCTGGCTGGACCTGGTCTGGGCGGGCATGGCTGCGGAGAAGTGGGATGTTCAGATATTTACTGAGGGAAATACGTGAGGGTATAGTAGGAGGACAATCTCAGCGGTCTGGGATGGACGGCTTTACGTGGCGGTGATCCTTTATTAACTGCTGGTGGGCAGGGCCTTGGCACGGCATGGTGGACGAGGTGGCTGCAGGTCCAGAAGCTGGGGCGGCATTTGCTCGTCGGTACGTAACATGAGATCACATCCAATTTGCATGGGCAGGGGTAGCGAATGTGGGATCAGGGTCAGTGAAGCAGAGTACTGCTACGGGAAGGCGAGTTTCCGAGTGTGGGGAAGCTGTCTGGCATATCAGGATCAGAATGTAACGGTATGTGGCCGGACGTGGAGAAGTTCAAACCCGAAAACGAGCTGGAGGTCGATCAGGCACTCAAGGCTGCTCGTGTGATGTGGGTGAGGGAGAAGCAAACCCGCAATCCGGATACGCGTAATAAAAGCGGGAACCGAGGCGGCCGACAGACAATCGGCCGCGGCTGAGAACTCAGATGGACTCATCTCATAGAGCGAAGACTAGAAGGAGCTGGAGGGGCGGGGAGACACGATGTGATTGGTGATCGCGTCCCAAAGTAGAAGTTGCCGCTGACTGGCCTATTCGCCAATATGTTGGATCGAGAGATGTAGTAATATGTCATATGCCAGAGCAAGAGTTTGATGTGGTGAGCGTTCCACCTACCCTAGGTATCAAGCGACACTCAAACATACATTAAGCTACTTATTCTTGAGTCTGCGACTGGTATTATCAGATTATTAAGTCCTAATAATATATGTTTTAGAGAATTTGCTATATTTATTATTACTTTCTTTTATTTAATGCAGAAAGTCGTCGACAATAGCCACCCTTTATCGGGTGTCTCATTTTTCCTGTCACCCGCTTGCTAGGATGCGATACGTCTAGGCCTGGCTGAGATCAGCTTCCCTTCCCCCTTCCTAGTAAAAGAACAAAGAGGAAGTGAACTGATACTACTACTAAAGAAGGAAAGGCACTTGAGTTTTATTGAATGAATGATTGTTATTCACCTTCGTTCTACTCAGTTTCTGCTTTTTTCTTTCCTCGCCGAACTAATCATTTTCCTTCTTATACTTAACTATCTAGCAATTGCTTCACGTAGCTGCTATCGGAGCTCCTAGATATCCTCAGATTGTAGCGTGATACCAAGTTGACCAAGTATAGCAACGTTGATCTGGCTCGAGGCCGTATCAAACTTTTTTTCAAGGCCATGCCAAACTTATTCGAGAACTGGATGAATTGGATAGAACAGGTTCGACATTTATGACGAGAGCTCATCGAATCGCGCACCAATCGTTTGTCGGAGCTAGGCGATATCATCGTGAACGGCTTGCATATCATTGTGAAGGGTTTGCAAAGTGGGGAGACTGTTCGCGGGTGACATAACTGCTGGATCGATGCTGCTAGTCTGGCAGCTGGGAACGCGTACACGAAGGATGATTTCGAATTGCAGAAAAGACAATAATTGTAAGCTGTCACAAACTGGTCCATGAAAGAGGTGAAATTCAGCTGGGCAATGGAGAGGGGAAAGGTAGGTTTAGATATTGATACTTGAGGGCATGAGCTAGGAATCACCTGCCCGGACTAGGTCTACTTTGTTTTGCCTGAGCGTCAACCTAAATCTACTGAGGTGAAGCAACTGCCTTGCTAAGATTTGGGTTAGAAAAGTGCTCTCTTATTAGCGCGCGGCCTTATGAGCCATTGGGCTCGTATACAGCAGTGGCGAGTATGTCACCCGATTTCTCTCAAACTCGTTATCCAACAAACAACAAATTGTCTAGATAGCCCAAACAGCCTTATCCAAGAAGCCTCTATCGATATATATCATCAGCTCGTGAATGTCTCGCCGCCCTCATCCAGGTACTTCTGCTCCTCAGCCGTCGTCTCCCTCCCCAGCGGCCCATTCCTGTGGGGATACCGTCCAAACTGCCGCACAATGTCATAGTGCTTCTTCTCCAGATCAAAGTTCAACTTCACCATACTTCTCGCAGCCTCCGGGTCCCTCTGCAGCACCTTCGCAGCCCGAGACTTATGCTCGCAACCCCCCTCGTCAACTCTCTCACTTGCAATCAGAGCCTCCACATCGTCTACCATGCCCTGGTACGCGGCCATCGCCCTCTCGTGCGTGGCCATGTCCTCCGAGTGCATCAGCGGTAGGTAGAACCACATGCGGCGCGCGCAGAACCAGCGGATCTCCGGCGTCTGATCCACGATCCCGCGGTCGATCGCCGCCGTCGCCACGCCCAGCGCAATCGGGTCGAAGACCGAGTAGACGAGCCTGGACGACGCGCCCCGGTAGCAGTTCCGCGGCACCTGGTCGAGGAGGAGGACCAGGCTCAGCCAGTCCAGCGGGGTGGCTGGCTCCAGGGCCTCGACGAGGTCTTTGCCTGACGTGATGCCCGACGCCTGGATGGCCTCTAGAGCCGGGGCGTAGCGTTCTCTTCAGACACCAAAAACGTCAGTTGGGTGATGGACTGAGGATAGGTCTTGAAACGTGGAGGGCCTCACATGCAGATGTCATCCAGTGCCTTGCCCCCCATGAACCAGGGCATCAGATCCTTCTGGCCCGGTAGAGCGTACGCATCCTGGCTCTCAAAGTGCCCAAACCAGAACGCTCGGAGTTCAGCCAATAGGGCGGGGGTCACGGCCTCCTTGACTGAGGCCATGGCGGCGGGACGAGCACTTGAAAGCCGGCGGCTCTGGATCACTGGCAGGTAGCTCAGGAGTGGGAGGCTTGCTGAGACGAGTCTGGCTTGAGGTCTTCCCTTGAGCGGAGAGATGGTCTCAGGTCGGGCGGTATTTGAGAATAGTACTATCCTGGCACGGTCTAGCCGTCTACATCAATCGTGTTAGCGAGCTCGATCCGGACTCTGAGGGTGGACTGGATGATCGGAGAGAGCTCACTTATTGACCAGCGCTGTTCTACCAAGACCACTGCAACTTTGTATACGCATATTTGTGCTCCAGATTGTCCTGGTCATTGGCGCGGGCAGAGGCCCAACGAGAGTGTATGAAATCATGGTTGTTTGGAGGCTGGTGGAGTAGCTTAGTTTGGTTTCGGAAACGGGTCATGTTAGTGCTGCACATCGTGGGCTCGTCGACTTGGCAACCTCCATCAAGCGGACTGTAAGACAAGTAAGATCCTCGCGACGGATACGCGGTCTTGAAACGGTTGTCTAGAATCAATCAAGCACGTCGACATGAAAATGGCCATCGAATATCATGTGCGATCATGTATATATAGATATGCATATATATACTTGTGTATTGTGTTGTATGTACGGTATATGTGAAACCCCTCCTTTTGTAGGAGTACCTATGTGCCTGGAAGAGAATTGTCCGCCTGTCCTGCCATGCTGTCATGACATGTTACCTTCCTTTCCGTAAAAAGCAAACTTTGCCTCCCATTCCCGTGAGAGCGAAATCAATCAATGACCCCCAAAATTTATATACATGAGGTTGGGAACCAAGAAATACCCAACGACCAAAAGCAATTTATATATACAGAACGAGAGCGTTCAAATCCCTTCAAGGGATAACCCTCTATTGCTTTCCACCAATGTAGAAGGTCAGCGACTCGTAGTTGCCAGACGAGACGAGGCCGGCGGCATCCTCAGAGCCGGTGGGGTTGACATCGTCATAGGGGAAGGCATAGCCCCTGCCGTCAACTTCCTCCTCGTGGATGATGCGACTGTAGTGGCTGGTTGGGCTCACAGTGTAGTAGCTGGTATCGGGCAGGTCAGGAGTGATGTTGCCACCATCGAGAAGAAGGGTGCTGCGGACAAAAGCGGCACAGAGACGAGGCACGACAGCAACGTGGACGGGGTTGTCCCCAGCCTGGATACCAAAGGGACCAGAGTTGCAGCCCCAGATGTCGAGGTGGTCAGGCTTGGGGTAGGCGCGGTTGTCACCATCGCAAGTAAGCTTGTTGTCAGTGACCTTGCAAGCGACATCACCGACTGCCTGGGTCTTAATAGTGAGAGTCTCTGTGCTGTACTTCGCCCAGACCTTGTCAACGTACTCAGTCCAGTAGTCTTCCCAGCCCTCGCCAGCGACGTCACCGTAGTCCTCGGGGGAGAGAACACGGAGAGGCTTGCCGTCGGTGCCAGCGATGCACATGGCACCCCACGGAAGACCGTCTTTTTCACCCTGGGCGAGGAGCTTTTCGCAGACAGTGGTAACAGCATTGCCGGGAAGACCGATGACCTCCTGGGTGTTGTTGTCCTTGGTTCTCAGAGTCATGGACAGGATGAGGCCGACGAAGTCGACATAGGAGATGTTGGCCCAGATGACACCGTCAGTGGTCAGCGTCAGTTCGACGAAGCCCCAGTTGATGTTGCGGCTGGGATCCTCGAGGTTGGTGTTGGAAGGCTGGACGAGACCGTCACCGGTGGCAGTCTTAACCATGAAGAATTCGAGCTCACCCTGAGCGAAGTAGACACGACCGGAAGCCATGGCGATGGGGAGAGTGATCTCAAAGGTCTGGCCCTTGGCTGGCATGGGGATGGCGATGTCCTCAGCAATGGTAACAGGGACTGCAGAACCGCCGGCGCTGGGGTAGATGAGGTTGCCGGCGGAGCCAAGGAAGACAACCTTGCCATCAGAGTCGAGACCAGAAATGTAGCAGTTGACTGCGTCGCCATCAAGGTTGTTGACGAGCTTCAGGGGGATAGACTGTTGGACGGCCTGGGTGCTGACTTTGTTGGAGTTGATGCTGAAGACCCTGGAGTTCCCGGTGCGGGAGTTGGTAGCGGTGCCATTGAGTGTGTTCTTCTCCTCGACGACGACCTTGGAACTTTCCTTGACGGTGGTATACTTGTTCTCGACCGACTTCTGAATGGGCTGGACGTGTGTGAAGCCCCGGGGAGCGGCGAGAGCTGTGCCCAGGAGGGCAGTGAGAATGGTGAATGCCTTCATGATGATCAAATCATGTAATAGAACGAAATAACAATCAACCCAGCGAAAGTATACAAGTAGCACAAGTAAAGAATGTATTGCCTACTTAGAAATGAAAGACTGGCTTCTGAATGAGTGGCCTGGATGGGGTTGAGGACCAATACCGAAACGCACATTGTATGACGCCCGATGGCAGACGACTACTTATACCATCTTTGCCATGTTGGAGGTCTGCCCACGGCTGGCATCACCCTGGAAAGTGCATGTTACATGCCGGAGAATATCTCAAGAGCGCGGGCAGGGAGCCTAGAGCAAAACCCTGGCACCCCCTTCGTGCATCCCAGAGCCGCCTTCCTATTCGACATGTTGTGAGGGGCATGGAAACAAAAAAGCTTAGCAGAGGCCCGAAAGGGGTCTCTCTGGGTTTAGGTCCATCCCATGATTCTGAAGCAAGTGACCCCTCCCCCCCATGATATGTGGCAAGGTGGAAGGGATGTGTGCCTGGGCTGCCAATGCAGACAGCGTTAGAAAAGCGGCTGGGTCGTGGATCCAGTCCTGAGTAGGAAACTCAGATCTTTGGGTGAGAACTTTGGTGGGCAGAGACAACCGGGTGGAAGAACGGGCGGAACTCGGATGACATGGGTTGCGAGGATATGGTAAGTTGGTTCTATCATGCAACAGACCAGCAGAAACACAGAATGTTAGGACGAGGAGCTTGGCCCTCAACATGTGATAGCCCAATGGCAACCCGTGCGCAGGCAGAGAGAAGGGAAGGATCCGGCAAACGTGGTGGAGATGGAGGCTAGGAAAAAGGAGAAGGGCCGAGAGAGCACAGGGCGAGGCTGCACAGAATGCGGAAAGCCGGGGTGAGGGGATTCGCGAGAAGAGTGTCGACCTGCCTGATCTTGATCCGGTGATGGCCCATAGCAGTATTGTGCGGAGGCCATCGGACCAGGGACGAGGGCGAGGACGAGGAAGAGGAATTGCAACCAGGATCCAGATGTCTGGGACGGCCGAGAGAGGCAAGAGAGAAGGGTCAGGGGCGGTGGGGGCTCTTGCCTTACTCCTCCTGGGCTGGCGACTGCCCTGACTAAGTGACTAAGAATACTTTGGTGCCCTACAGCTGGCCTGGTAGGGCTTTAGGGCGCTTCCGTAGCACCGCGCGGCCCTGAAGAGTTCCTTTTTTGGACATGCTGCTCGCCTGGTTGGTGCGAGCTTCTGAAGCTGACAGGGGCTCTCAGCCGTTTGAGGCATGTTTTAGGTTGACTGCTCTTGCGCAAAGTGCTTCCACTTGTCGGCCGCTTCCCTTCTGGCTCTACTAGCTTTCCTTTCTATTTATTGAACGCCATTTGATCAGCAGGGACCTGCTCAAAGCTGCAAAGTGTGTGCAGTACCAGATGGGCCATCTTATGCCATCCCATCTCTCACCCACTTTGGCCACTTCGCCGTACACCATGAGATGACTTGCAGCGCGCGCGCCGATATCATGAAACATGGAAGTGGCTGCAGCCCCAGAAGGTGCCAACGAGCGTCGATCTTCATTGACCCTGGCCCTTGTTCGTGGTTGGGATCTGTCCCAGACCCTGGTTCCCAGGCACCGATTACCACAATCTGGCAGGGGCTGAAGACGCTCTCTCCGCAATGAGCTACGCGCCGTGGTGTGCTGTGCAGATTCGTCACACTGGCAGTCCATCGTCGGAGAATATCATGCAGAACAGGTTGGGTCGATCGCCAGCTCTCACTCGTCGACGCTTAAGATGAGCGAACCTGGTAGCTTCAATGCGCCCGAGTGCTCTGCTCTTCTGTGCACCACGGCCCGCCACGCAATCTTACTTGCTTGAATGCATTGTCGGAGCAGACAAGCAAGACTCATGTAAATGAAAGGCAGCCCACTTCCATCTCTGCTGCTACTGATCAGCTGCCGCAATGGGCACCAGCTTGACAGGAACAGGAAGGTGGTGTAATGTCGCACCACTGACACACCGCGAGACGTTCTCTACTTGGGCCAACACATGTTATTCAGGCACATCGCCCATACTAATCTGCGCGCGGGCTGGCCATTCCACTGGTAAATGGTCTGCATGAATTCGGAAACCTTCCTCCCTTCTGGGACCCTGTTCCAACTACGCTTCTACCCCGTCCCGCGCCAGCTGGCCAATGCGTTCTTGCCTCGTTTGTTTCCATTGTGCGACGCGGCTGACGTCGTGACGTTGCGTGGTATTAAAGGGGATCCGATTTCTCAACCAGATTCCCATGCCGTCGCTGATCGACACCGTGGAGTACATCTGACGCTTTTGCTGCTGGTGCCCCGAGATGGCACCGATAGCCCTGCTTGGCAGGAACGGAGATGATGGTATGGGCTGTGGGTTGGGATAGCTATCTCGGTCCGTCTTGATGTATGAGACAATGTGATCGGCGTCCTTAGAAAGCAACAATGGGGGTGGGAATGACCGTTGGCGTGCCGCGAAGCGGCAGCATAGAAGATCGGGTCATTTGAACAACTTCGGAAGTGTTACAGAATTTGCGAGAGCTCTGTGCGCTTCTCGTGAATTCAGAGCAAGTGCTAAGGCCACTTTGTTGTTGAGGCCAATCAGTGTTTCATAAGAAACCTGCTCAGTCGTGCTTGCTTGCTCTCTGGTTCTAGTTACTCCGAATACAGGCTTCTCGAAGACCACCATCCACGATCTTGCCGTCTTACATGAGAGCTCTATCGCCGTGGTCCGTTCAGTATCCTCTTTTCTCCGCGGCCGCTTCGTTCCCCTGGCTTGACTCTGTACTCTGGAAGCGGTGTTTTGAATCACTTAGTGCCGTGTCTGGCATCTCTCAGCGGATAATCCTCCCTCACTGCCGTCGAAACTCGCCACATCCCTGCCATCGATCCATCCTTCATCGTCAGGTCGGCTTCGTCACACACCCCTGACCCTTGTTGTGTAGGGTGGCAGTGGGGTGAGGTATTATGCTTTCCAAAATAAGGTATTTTGGGAACAAGGGGAATGGTAACACTCAGACGGGCTTGTATCTTCCTTAACCCATCAGAGTTCAGATGAAGATGCTGCTCATGCGCGCTTTATATTATTTTGCTTCTCTCCACATCGGCGATGGCACGCACCAAGGGAACTTTAGACGGAGATTTGACTGATCGCCTTCATTTGCGATCTGCCAAATGACAAACTGTGCATCTGTTCGAGTAGCCGCCACGCACCCCCTCAATGCTAACAATAGGCTACTAGGGAAGCTCCTCACGTAGATTAGGTGTTCTTATGGGCCCATATGCATCTGGTAATCCGTATTACTGTTTCAGCGAAAGGCGGCTATCCTGGGCACCTACGTCCCAGCTTCCAACTTGATGAAGTGATCAACCCGCCAAGGTTTACAGCCCTCGCTAGAGGCCGCCGACAAGGAACGGCCGCCTGGAGAAAAAGATGCATACCATTTGTTCTCACCTGCTCACTTTGGGAAGACGGGTTTCCGCTGATCAGTACGGACGGCTTCGACGGAGCAGCAGAAAGAGCCGAGCAGAGCAGATGCTGGTAATACCGAGGATTCTGATGCGTTCGGCATTGCCGCTACAACGCGCGGGAGCCATTCTCGGCTAGAGAAGCTCATATTACAGGATTTTATGGAGTAGAGATCGTTCAATTCATTTTTCACGTAGGTACTAGAATTGCAGCATCTTTGGGAGAGTAGTGCGCACGTCTGGCTATTGTGTGATCTTGCTCTTCTGCTGTAAGTCAATATTCAATGTGCTGAACTACTACCTGCATCCTGGAATTTACTCTATAGCGCGATTATGCCTTCGTCTCCGGTTTAATGGCTGAAAGGACCGGAAATATTTGTGCAGCCTCAAGCTCTGATTTACAACCATTGACGCGAAGTATAAGCCCTAGACTGCCGCAAGTAAATAAATACCCTAACGATGATCTGAAACTTCCCCAAGCAAGCTTTTTATGTTGTTGTCACGGTCCTCTTGACTCCTTTCCTCCTTGATCCGCGTTGGAATTGCTCATAACTCTCTTGTCCTAACAAGATAGGAGCGCACTGCAAACAATTACAGCTAATTTAAGATGGGAACAATCATTTATCTACCTATTCATCGGTATATTTGTTTCTATCAGAGCCACAAGCTTTCAAGCGGTGGCAGACCAGCGATGCAGCTCATAGATCGAAGACGAGAATATGCCCAGGGGGCAGGTTCTGAGGAATAGAGGGGCTACATCAGCATTGGTGGTGTAATTGCGGACAGTAAGTGATGTCTTAGCCGTTCATAAGAACCTGTGAAAAGAATACTGATGAGGTGAAAGCCGCAATAGTCAACGGAATGAATCTTTGATTCAGCTCTTTAGGTAGCGCGACAAGCCACCGAGCCGAAGACCCCCTCAATCCTCATCCACGGCTGCGACACAGAACGATTTTGACCAAGCGAAACCGATCAAGATGAATCACGGCGCCGAGGAAGGAGATATTTTCAATATATAGAGCTTCAATAGCGTGGTTGACATGCTCTGCTTTGATTATCTCGCTCCGAGGGGACTGAGGAATGACGGGAGCCGTATCGTCGCTGCACCACTGAAGAGCCAACACTAGAAGAGGATCTCTGAACATTCATAAGAAAAATTCATGCGCTCATTCCCGAAATCCAAAGGTAGGTGGTCTGGTCTATGACCTCACTCCCCAGCGCCACCGAGTGTTTGTATAGGTATATCAAGATGTTCTAAAAAGGAAATAATCGTTCTTCCTCAAGTTGACTATTGGTATTGCTGATGTTCTATCTAGGGATTTAGTAACAAGACAAAACTAATGACAATTATATTATACTGTGACATATTTCGAAAAAGGTCGAATATATGCTCTTCCCAAGTTGCTCATCTTGAAAGCTGACTGGGTAATGTAAAGTGAAGCAGAATCATCGGTCATCAGCCCACCAACGTGTTCCGACGGCTTCTGTCAAGGCGTGAATCTTTCCGCCCGACTATAGATTCAAGCGCTTGCTGCAGCGCCTTGCTATCATACCTACCGCCTCGCCCCGATCCATCCTTTGGCCCGTACGCCCTGGTGCAGTCGATTCCAAGCTGGCTGAAGAGCTGTCTATCCACCTTTGGCGCCGCGGGTCCCTCGATATATATGACATGGGAAACGTACCGGCAGTACTCATCCTCGGATGGTTTTGGGAGACCCCTGGAATTGGAACAGGCGTGAGCGATGGCGGCGACAAAGTCTAGACCACTCATCGGCTCGTCTGCCGGTCCCGTTTCGCGGTCGACGGAGCCATTGAGGATGAGAATCTTGCGGATTAGGGGGCTGGCGATGGCGTCACCTACGCCTTTTAAGACCAGACTAGGAATGAGCGATGTAAATAGAGACCCAATACAGTAAATAACGGTGTTGGCGCTCTGCAGTGCGTCGAGCACGCGGGGATTGGCAGGGATGCGGATCTCCTGACCGTAGGGATTGATGTACCATATCCTGTCGATTCTCGAGGGTAGGTCTTCTTCATCGTCCTTGGAGAACACGATTGCCGGGCGTCTTAATGACGGAAGAGAACCAGGGAGGTTTGCATCCTCCACCTTGTCATGCTCCTCCGTCTCTGGCACGGGCGTCTGGACCCCAGGCGTGATGAGTCCCGAGCCTGGGACTGCACGTGTAGGCACGCTTGGGTGTGAGATGTCATTCTGGCCTGTGATGATGGTTCCGTCCTTGAGTCCGGCGGCGATGTGGTGGGCGAAATTGGTGTTGAGCGCCGGCAGTACAGATATGCGCTCTAGCACGGCGCATATGGAACTGAGCAGGTAAATGGCAGCCTCGAAACTTCCTGTGAACAGTCTTGCACCCGTCAGGAAGATGTTCCCGATACTGGCCCCAGAGTAGTCGAAGCGACTGCTTGGCCGCATGCGCTTGACGGCTTCGAGGTTGAAGCTGTTGAGGATGGACCGGATGAGCTCGCGCTTGGGAGAGGAGATGTGGTCCCATAGCGGGTGGGTTGCCTCGAGGATTTCAAACCATTCTGCACGAGCGCTCGAATGGACCCGAGGGAGCCTGTGATTGAAGAAGTTCTTGATGGCAATGTTTTCAGGGTTGTCGTTGTTGGGGATCAGACGAACAAGCCGCGATCTCACATCGCCAATTCCTGGAATGCCGATGATGATTAGCTGCAATTCTGCCTAACAGCCGCTGTGGACATACCTGGACCGCCGAATACACGGATGATCTCGCTACTACTGCCGCCGTTGTCTGAGATGGGGATGACATAGCTCAGTGTGCACTGGTTGGCGTCTCGGACGTGCTCAAAGACATCGACGAGATTGTTGGCTGCGCTTCCACCAGAGAATACGACTAGGCCGCCCTGGAGCTGAGAATTGACACCAGGCACACTCCCGGGGAACGATAGAGGTGAGTTTGCATGAGATGACGATGATTTGGGGCGTGCTGGGGTCGACGCCAAGGGCACCTGCAGGACGGTGGGTTGTTCGTCCGGCTGAGACATTGCCCAACGATGCGGGGAGGAGGTGGCGAGAGGTGGTGGAAAGGACTTGTTAATACTGCTTGAAGGTATTATGTCTACTCTACTTCTTCAATATTCTGCGAGATACCTGTCCAATCCCTCTCATGAGTCTTACTTGTCCTCTTCCTTGCGATCACTGTGGCCGTTTCGGATGGCGACATGTGATGTCGCCCCGGTTTAGGCATAGTTTGGATTGATTGCACTTATCGGGTCTCTCCCCTGAAGACATTTAAATTATGCAGGTACGAGCTCACATTTTGTGCCAACCTTGAACAACCTTCTTTATTGCTCCCAATGCTGTATCCGGATAAGGTTCTGACACTTGGCATTATTGTCATACCCGTGGCGCAATAACTATCACAGTGAATACTAGTGTGCATGATTTCTGATCGGGGCAATTCACTTCATCTGTGGACATGTCCTTAGCAATACAATTTGGATATCGTCATTCTTTGAGTCATAAGGAAATCACGAATAAATCAAGATGCTTTTTTCACAACAGCACTACGCAGAACCACCCGTCAAAAAGCCCGAGCTAGAATGCTCTGTTCATGCGATGTTGATGATAACCTTGGCCTGGTGCTGGGCCGACCACTGATACTCGTATGCCTCCTTCAGTTCCTCCAGCTTGAATTTCTTGGGATCAATCACCGGGCGCAGCTTATCAGGGTTGGCGGATACCGCAGCCGCAAGCTCCTCCAGCTGCACTCTGCTCCCAACCAGGATCCCGCGGATCGTGACGAGCTTGTTCAAGGCCTCCAGGAAGCCAGGCTCCTGCTCACCCTTGACGCCGCCGACGAACCCGATGATTGTAATGACGCCGTCAAGCTTGCTCGCGATGAGACTCTGGGCGATGGACTTGGGGCCGGCCACCTCAATCACGTGGTCCACGCCGCGGCCGCCCGTGATCTCCTTGGCCTTCTCACCCCAGTTGGGAGTCTCCTTGTAGTTGATGATGTGGTCGGCCCCCAGCTTCTCCAGCAGCTTGCCCTTCTCGGCCGAGCTGGTGGTCGCGATGACCTTGGCGCCAGCGGCCTTGGCCAGCTGAACACCAAAGATGCTCACGCCGCCAGTGCCCTGGGTGAGGACCCACTGGCCCGGGAGGAGCTTCTTGTCGGAGAGGCCGTACAGAGCGTTCCAGGCGGTCACACCCGCGCAGGGCAGGGTGGAAGCCTCGCTGAAGCTGAGGTTGGAGGGCATGGCGACGAGGCCGTTCTGGTCAAAGGCGCCGTAGGTCCTCAGAACACCGTCGACCGCACCGCCGAGGCCGGTACCAGCGCTCTGCAGATCGAGAGAACCCCCTAGATGGCCTTGGTTGAAGAGGGTGATAACATTGTCGCCGGCCTTGAAGCGGTCCACGTGGTTTCCTACGGCGACGACGGTTCCGGCACCATCAGAACCGGGGATGATACCCTTCTCCATCTTGAAGGGATACAGGCCCTTGGGGATAATGAGATCACGGTACTGAGAGTGAGTTTCTTGTCAGCAATTTATGTCTGTAGCTTTAGAAGAGCGGAAGTTGGCGCTGGCCTACGTTCAGAGAGGCGGCGTGGACTGTGACCATGGGTTAGCAACTCTCCCAACTGGTGAGGGGTCGGTGAACTAGGCACACGTACACTTGACGAGAACCTGGCTGTCTCCGAGCTCAGGGATGGGCTCCTCGCTGAACTTGAGGGCATCGAAGCCCGTGAAGTCAGAGACTGACCACTGCTTGACCGTCTTGGGGATCTCTTGAGCCATGGTTGTGAACTTTTGATGACGATTTTTGAAGATGTGTGCCAGAAACCCTCCTCAGCAAGGTGGAACGGCCGGTTAATATACATTTAGGCCAAGGTTATCCGGGGCTTGAACGCATGATTTGTCAGTTGAACCGATGGGAGGGGAAGACGAGGGTCCCGATTATACAGCCGGAATCACGGAGTCGTTTGACGTAATTGATGGCTCATATTTACAGGGTGAGACGTGGGTGAGGGGTGGAGATGGCTCGAGAACGGATGGGACGGACGGGGCGGATGACATGCTCGCTGGATGGATGGACGGAGGCGATTGGAGAAAGTCGCCGGAGATTCGGGCTGGCCACATCATCTCGCCGACTCTGGCTCTGATGGCATAACGGGATGGATGATGCTTTATGATTAGTCGTGGCGACAACAATGCGAAGGACGGCCACCACGCCCAACCAACTGCACTAGTTTCGCGTCGTGATGCCGCGATCCAGGTACCGAAATATCAAGCGCCAACCTAAATCCAACCCTGAATTGCTAGACACACGGAGTGGCGCCGCCCACACTATCGCCATCTAGATAAATGGCTGAGGGACGTCTTTGTCAGCCCACCCCTCGGTAGTCTTAGATGCAACCTTTTCCTGCCAAAACCAGAGCTCTCTGACAACTTGATTGGTTGTGACAAATCTCTGCGTTTACACATGCTCACTTGGGCATATACGTACAACAAAATGGCCTACATTTCCTGTTCGGGAGAGTTGCGGCTCATGCCCGGCCGGCGTCGACGTTGGGCCCGGGACGATGAGTGCCCCGCACCGTCGCTCGATGGCGCAACTAATGGCCCGACGGGCTGATTCGATGTGCCTGGACCCCTCGCCAATATATTCAAGGGAACGGAACTGGGAGAATCAAGACGGGAGGGTGTGCATGGGTCGGAGTTGGTGGCGGAGGTGGAGGTGGACTTGTCTCGTTTGTCTTCGGTGACGGACATGGCAAGTTTGCTCAATCATCTCGCGATAGAGAAGTCGACGAGAGTCATCCAGAATGCCGAGGCCAAGTTTGTCTCCCTGGCATATCTTTTAAGAGTGAGATGCTGCTAACTGCCTGTGAGATAATTCTCCTTTACGAGGCCCGGATTTCTCTCAAATGAAGTCGTCCAACAGTCATGTGGCAGCAACCTAAGCCTTTGAAGAATCACTGAGAACTGATCGCATATAGTAGAATTCATGCCCTCTTGGAGAAAAGTGGTTTGGACTTGAATATTGTGCATTTCATTTCTCGCTTGAAAATAATGGCTATGGTGTCATGAATCATAATACAAGTCACCAGGTCCCCTCGCCAACGGCGACGGCGAGGATGTCTGACCAAAGAGACTGCACTTTGGGGCGGGGCCCAGGTCAAGTAAGTTCACAAGCGGAAGGGGCCTTTTGTTGATACTTGTTGTGAATCTTCCTCTCAAGTTTAGGCCTGTTTTTTTTTTTTTTTGGGAAGGAACCAACAGTCAACCAAGGAGGCACTCCACTTCTATTTCCCGCACCATTCAAACCCAAGAGCACACACGCACGCACACATCAAACAAAGACACACTGGAGAGAGGGAACAGTTATGGCTTATACCCTCAAGGAAAACTGTTTCGCTGAGACGTTTGTTGCCCCGCAGTGGCTGCCTGGAGGCAATTCGTTCTGGTACCGTCGACAAGTAGATACGAACAGATATACGGGCAGATTCAGGTTTATCCTTGTTGATATTCTTGCCAAGTCTGCCAGACCTGCCTTTGATCATCACCAACTGGCTTGTGCCCTTGAGGGAATTGCAGAAACTGAAATCAACCCAGAGAAACTGCCATTCTCCTGGATCGAACTGCAAGACTCTCTCGTTCGCTTCCGCTTCAAGGGCCAGATTTGGCAATATGAGCCTGGACAAAGCTTGTCGAAATGGCCGGGGAAGTTTACTCAGGGAAACACTTTGCTGATGCGGAGACAGGAGCCCTGCGGCCCTACCTGGTCTGCACCGCACGCCACAGTCAGCTTTGTCAACACTACGAGGTCAAGGCTGAGTCTGTTCACCGTGGACCGAAATGGAGCAGCGAATTACTTCATGCCTATCCCATGTGGCAAGACAGTGTTCCAAAAAACAGGTGTCGGGGCTGTCTGGAGAATTGAGGATGGAAATACGGGCCAGCTGAGAGGCATTTATTGTGTCACAAGCCCTGGATATAACGTTGTATATGTGGGCGAGGTTAATGTCGATGAGTATTTGGGCCAGAAGGGGGAACTTCCCCATGGCTGGGAGCAGCGGACAGATGAGAACGGGCGTGTGTACTATTTGGATCATAACACTAGGACTACCCATTGGGACTGCCCTACCGTTGCTGGTGCTGCGGATGCTCAGTTAGAGAGTGGCGACGAGGTGGAAGAGGATGACAAGGCTGAAAAACAGCAAGTCACCCTCGTTCAAGAAGAACTGAGTGGCGAAGGCCGAACCGAAATATATGTTCGGGACAGCAATTTGTGGCTGAAAGACGATGAAGGCAGCGAGTTTCTGCTTGCAGAATCATCTGATCCCGGGGACTCTCACTACGACGGATCCATGCTTTACCTTTCTCCGAACAACGGTTACGCCGTTGCTTGGCAGTACACATCTGGCAGCTTCACTGATGAATACTGGATTGAGTATTGTTCGGACCGTCAATCTCATCCAAGGTTGATCAAAGAACAAAAATCGTTTCCAACGGACACACTTCGAGTTGATCGCCCTCGTCTTTTCAATCTTGCATCAAAATGTGAAGTTCCGACAGAGGATGCTCTATTCTCAAATCACTATCAACTACATCACCTGGGATGGAGTCGGGATGGATCAGAGTACCGATTCTTGTACGATGGGCGCGGCCACCAGGTCTTAAAAGTTCTGGGCATACATCGATCTGGGCCAATCCGCGTATTGTACGAAGAGAAGAGCAAAACATTCATTGACGTCACATCAAAGCTATACTATACCCATTTATCTGGCTCTGATGAAATGATATGGGCTAGTGAGAGAGATGGCCATAATCATTTATATCTGATCGACTTACAACAAGGCAAGATACATGGCCAGATCACAAAGGGCGATTGGAATGTGGCCATGGTGGAACGTGTTGATGAGAAGACCCGGAGAATTTGGCTGTCTGCATATGGATTCCACCCGGGCGAAGACCCGTACCACTTACATCTAGTTCGTGTCAACTTTGATGGTACTGGATGCCAAGCCTTAACAGATGGAGATGGAACCCATACTTGGAGCTGGCCATTTGATACGTGTAGCCAACGATTCTTTGTTGACTCTTGGTCACGGGTCGACCTCCCACCGCAGACTGTGGTACGATGCTCAGAGACGGGCACTGTTCAATTGAAACTTGAGGGTATCTCCGCTGAAGAGCTCAAGCAGCACGGCTGGGTCCCGCCTGAAAGGTTCCATTGCCCTGGACGAGATGGAAAAACCTTGATTTACGGCATCATTACCAAGCCCCGCAACTTCGACGAAACTCGTCGCTATCCTGTAATCGAGTCAATATATGCAGGCCCACACGATTTCTTCACACCGAAAAGCTTTGGACAAGTTGCTCACAATGATGACTGGGCAACCAAAGGCTATATCTCGGTTCAGCTTGATGGAATGGGTACCAATTGGCGCTCTAAGCAATTCCACGATGTTTGTTATAGGAATCTGAATGATGGAGGTTTCCCTGATCGTATCATCTGGATAAAAGAGGCTGCAAAGACACGGCCTTGGATGAACTTGGATCGAATGGCTATTCTTGGGTCATCTTTTGGAGGGTATAATGCTGCAGCCGCGTTGCTTCATTTTGGCCACTTCTATAAGATTGCTGTTTCTGACTCAGGTGCACATGATGCTAGCCTGGTCCCTCTTTGGTGGGCTGAACAGTGGTTAGGCTATCCAGTTGGCAACTTATCATTTGCCAAACAGTCAAATGTGAGCCATGCTGGGAGGCTTCCAGATGATGCAAGGCTAATGCTTGTGGTTGGAGGAATGGATCCGGCCCTCAATCCTGCATCAACTATGAGATTCGTTCAGCAACTGAATAAGGCGGGGAAGGTGTATGAATTCGTTTTTATTCCAGACGGGGGCCATAACTGTAGTTCGCATGGATATGGGCTGAAGCGAGTGAAAGCGTTTTTAAAGCGTCACTTGAGATCAACTAAGTAGCCAACTCAATTGGGGATTGGACCTGATTTTGCAGAATGTTAGAGATGAGGCTCGTTGTCCGAGTGGCAGGGGACTCTCCTGGGTGCCGATGCGGCATCACACCTGGCTCTGTTCGAGTTATTTATGTATTATTAACTTCCTCCCCTTTTACAGCCATTCTTCGAAAATGATTGGTTTCGACTTAATTCGTTCTACTGATACTTGTTTCCTGGTGTGCTTTTTTGCAGCCTCATCATCTAAAATGGTGAGGTTCATTGATGCAATACAACTACTACTTTAACCTGAGTTGTCCTGGATTTATCAGAAGCTCCCCTAATAATCATAAAGATACCCCTAAGTCAAAAAGGAGTCCAGCTATCAGCCATCTCGATCCCGTAATTATGCCAAGCAACAGCTACCGATTGATGCTTCGCGTGCGCGGCTTGCTCGCAAGGTGATATATCTTACCTTGCCTTATCTGCAAAGGGGCTCTTAAGGATGCAAAAATACCAGGAAGTTATCTCAATCTATAGACATCTTCACGACTGCAGACAGAGTTATTCTAGCAGCTTTCACTGCTCAACTACGTTCCCGTTGGGTTCTCAGTCTCAATGGACTTACACCTAGGTATATCACCAAGTCAATCTTGAGGGGAAGAACGCCTATTAGTATTCCCATGGGCATTGGCTCCATACGGTCAGTGGTTCTTTTGCACCCGGCAACATCTCATGACAAAGAAGTACACTTACGAATAGCAAGAGAAGCTAGGATGAAATTTGGTTATTCGTATGATCTTCTTTTCGGTCAGATGAACTCAATTCCCACTCTTGTTGGATTCGATGTAACCTCAATTGATAGCGTCGGTCCGACAGAGGCCCATCTCATCACAAAGCATTCTTGCCCTAGCTCTATTCTCCGAGCATGTTTTTTCCCGGGGAAAATTAGAAAGAGAGTCTCAATGCAGTTTCTACTTCTATCTACAGTCTCTTGTGTTTGATCTTTTGCTTAGATAACTGGAAGAGCTCGGTGGTTGTCCTCTTTCGAGGCATCGGTAGTTGATGTTCCGCGCTACAATGAGAGCATGCTTCCAAATGAGGACTGAAGCTTGCATGTGTATGGTCATGAAGTCAGTCCGGATCGGCCCGTCTAAAAATATAACAGAGCAGCGAGGTGCGGAGTTAACTCCGCCTTGACTCTTCTCTCCCCTGTGAGATGATGCCGCTCTGCATTTATCCAGCCCAATACGCCGAGAGTTAACCGCCGCAATGTGGCCGAGGCCCCTCTTCCCCAGTCGAAACACGTCCTTTTCAGGCACACAACCTTAAGTTAACCTGGGGTTATTGTCTAAACACCATCCTATAGAGCCTCTTGGGCCGTTGTCATGTTGCATCGTCATAGTGATTTGGCACTGGTTTGGCTCGGGCCGACCTAAGGCACCCTCATGGCATTCACCGACTCTCGTGATTCTCGTAGTAGCTTCTAGAGATAGTAAACTACTCCGTCTATATGGCCAAACACTTCTGAAAATTCAAGTATATTAAGGACTAGATCCTCCCTTGATTCTCTGGCTCAACCATTCCACAGGCAGCCTCACATTCTCCTAAAAAGTCCAACTCATCAAAACCACCTTATCGAATCGATCATCACAGCCATGCTTCATAAAGTGCTCCCAATCGCATTCCTTGCTGGCCAGGCACTTGGCCATGGCTACTTGACTAAACCGATGAGTCGAACGGGTCTCAACGCTCAGGTAACTACCCCATCTAGCCCTAACCCCTTTGTCCACGACTAACGAAACATCCTACCTTCTAGGCCGGCCCAGACACTTGCCCCGAGTGTGCTATCCTGGAGCCAGTGACCGCCTGGCCAGATCTAGATGCCGCCAAGGTATCCCGATCCGGTCCCTGCGGCTATAACGCCCGTGTAAGTGTCGACTACAACCAGCCCGGCGCCAACTGGGGCAAGTCCACCGTCGCGACATACAAACCCGGCGATGTCATCGACGTCCAGTGGTGCGTCGACCACAACGGCGACCATGGAGGCATGTTCTCCTACCGCATCTGCCAGGACCAGGCCATCGTCGACAAGTTCCTCGACCCCAACTACCTGCCCACCCTCGAGGAGAAGCAGGCCGCGGAGGACTGCTTCCAGGACGGCGTGCTGCCGTGCACAGACGTCCAGGGCCAGGCGTGTCCGTACAGCGAGGACTGCAGCTCGGGCCAGGCGTGCTGGCGGAACGACTGGTTCACGTGCAAGAAGTTCGAGGGAGGGCGGTGCCAGGGGGTTGACAATGCGCCTCTCAACTCGTGCTACACGTCCATCGCGGGCGGGTTCACGGTCAGCTCCAAGATCAAGATCCCGAATTACGTTTCCAACCACACGCTGCTGTCTTTCAAGTGGAACTCCTGGCAGACCCCGCAGGTCTACCTGACGTGTGCAGACATTGCCATCAAGGCCTAGGTGGGTTGGAGGTCAAATCATGGGGCTGGAGATCTCTCAGGTTAGGTTCAAGCTCGACTGGACAGCACTGGAATTTCTCTCTTCCTTTACGACTCAGTTTCTCTTGGGGCCCTGTCAATTTCCTTGTCCACGAGAACGTCTGGTACATGAATATCTTTGATAGCTATGAATTCTTGTTCATATCCTAATGCATCTGACTATTAAGAAATATCAATGTCGAGCTTCCACTCAAGCTATCCATAAAGTCTGAGGATTGATATCCATCCGACTCTCAACCCTATTGTGCAAACATATTTCCCAATGCCTACCATTCCATATAAAAGAATGCAACAGCCACAGCCAACAGAACAGCAGTGGCGAACACATAGACAAACTCAATATCCCAAGCCTCACCAGCCTCAGGCTCCTCCTTGACGTGCGCGTCGCAGAATGCATGACCCTCTTTGGGGCTCGCCCAGCAATTGAATTCCTGGCAAAGATGCCGAGGGTCCAAATGGCCCAGACAGCGCTTCTGATGCCTCGCCTTCTCCCTCTGGCATCCCTTCTCCGGGCAGACATGACGGGGGCAGTAGAGATTCGCGGGGGCGCAGTGGCGGGCGCAGCCGCCGACCACGCACTCCTGCACATGGCCCTGGGGTAACTCCTGGATGCACTCTGGGATGCGCTCCTGGACGTATGCAGGGAGAACGACCGGCGGGTCTGGGTAGGGCTTCTCGCGCTCGACTGCGTCTCTGTGGTCGTCGCAAAACTCATTTCTCGGTTCTGCTTCTTTCGAGCAGTCGTGCCACTTGCAGATGATTATATCTAAGATGGGAGTTTGATTAGTCTTTTTTTTATAAAGAAAATAACAGTCTTTCAAGGTCTCTCTTACGGAAACGACAATACCATGTTTTTGAAATACACAAACCATGTGGTGCCCTGTTATTACAATCTGAAATACCACATGACCCATCTGGGAATCGTTAGAGAGTCACAAAGATTCCAGGGCTGCCCCAAACGGAAGACTCACGTTTTGCACAGTAAAGCTCATGCTTAGAAAGCTTTCCTTCAGGACATCTCGGGAAATGGCAGCAGGTGTCTCAGGGGTATATCAGCACTCAAACCCGGGTCGGTGAAGGGAAGGTCAACCTACGATCCGGGCAGTACCGAGACCTTATCCTGGTAGAGTGGTTTTCATACCGAACTTTGACTTGGCGCTCTTTGCACCCGGAGTACTGGCATTCATGCGGGTGGCGGTTCCGAGAAGTTCGGGACATTTCTGCCCTGCGAGAATACAGAAACGCAACGTGGTAGTTTGGACCGAGCTTCGAGAGAATGGGCTGCTTTCTCGACAGCAGAGCTTTGCGGAGGGTGTTCGGTCGCTTGAAAATCCCAAACTTGAGAAATTGAACAAGACTTCTTGACCAGAAACTCATTCTTATAGAGCTATGCTTGCGTCCTATGGCCGTAGGCGGCGCCTCTCGAGCATAGATGCAGAAGTCCTTCCAGATTGCTTCCCTCTACACAGTAATCAAGCCTGTTCGGGTTTGCATGTTCTGCTTCCTCGTCTGGCATACAGACTGGTTCGTACGACTCACGTCCAAACTAATGCCGGGGCAAATCCAGAACATCGGCGCCCCTTGCGACTTTCATGAACAGCATTGGCTCCTTTTCAGTCAAACAATTTGCTGACTTTCATTCAGCCGTTTGCTCGCGTGCCTTGAAAATGACGAACTGGTAGTTACAACGTTTCATCGATTGGTGTTTGAAAAGTTCAAACCTGTATAGCCATGTTTGTTTTGATCCGACGACCATCATATCCGCCCCCCCCCAAACCTGCGGCTCGTCATAGCTGATGTAGTAGGAACGTTTCAACTGCTGTTTCCAGCGAAATATCAGGTAGTTGGTTAAGCAAGACGTGCTTTTTAAGTAAAGAGTGAAAGCTTTAGAGTTCCACAGTACTCTCCCCATCCACCTGGCAGCGCACAGCATAGAAGAAGACACGGCTAAGGTCCCCACGTGGTTAGCCAGCCACAGATGGCACCAAGTCATCCGATCATAAACGCGGAAGTGAAGTGTGTGCCATAGATACCGCCCGAGGTTGGTGAAGGAGGCTGTGTCTACCTTTCGCATTGGTTGCACACAGTGACACCTCCTACCAGTCTAGGAAACGAACCATATATTAAGCATATGTGTTATATCACGGTGAAGATGATGCCCGTCTCTTCATGGAATGAGAATTAACTTCTTTTCGCCAAATTTCAAGGAGTTGATATGCGTTTGGTCGTGAACTCTCCGTTTGCCTTGTTGGCGTGGAGGGAGTGCGTAAATGCAGCTATTAAACCTCAACTGGTGATGTTTCTAGTCGATCAGCCTGATGCCTCACCGTGAAGTTTGGTTTTCTCGTATTAACCACACTCCATCCATTCCTCAACAAAACCCGCACTCATTGTTTGTGGTAGCATCCGTTTCGTGGGCAGGACAAAACGAAGCTCTTTTGTTAGAAACACATCGCTCAAGGCTCGATACAAACTGTTTGTCTCCGTCTGGTGAAGAATCAGAAGCAAGAATGAAGAGTCCTGAAAATGGAAGCCTGGATGTCTTATCAAGTATGTATTATGGCATTAACTATCGTGATTTACAGCTACACCTTCAGTCTCAGAACCTTTGATTTCATGCTCCCTGAAGCTTGCCCTGCAGAGGCAGATTACGCGAACTGCTGCCAACCCAAACAGTCTTCTCGTGCTCCGTCACAACCCAGTTTTGAGAAACAACGTCCCAGTTGCTAAGATCACGTCGGGTAATATCGGCTCGGAAGATGACACTCTGCCCAGGAGCAATACGCTCAATTCGGTCGAATCCGCGGAGAACACGGACAGGCTCGTTCTCGCCGCCATGGGAGATGTACAGTTGAGGAATCTCGTCTGCTGTCGCCTTACCCGTGTTTGTGATTGTGGCCTGGACTTGGTAGATCACATCCCAGAGCTGGCGGTTACCACCTGGTTCGCCTGAGGAGGGCAGGCGGGGCTGTGGAGAGCCATCCAATGCGCCGGGAGGAAGGAAGTCCTCGGCGGGTGAGCCGTAGCTGGTATCGTTCGAGGCTTCCTTAGCATCGGTAGAGGTGAGCCAAGGGTAGATGAACTGTTCAAACCGACGGATACCGCCCGGGAACTGATAGTCCTTCAGATCCTTGCTATAGTTGCCCCAAGAAGGAGCAGCGATAGTCTTGCCTTCAGTTGGCTTGTAGGGTTGTGGGTTTCGAGGCAGGATCACCAAGTCGGAGTATTCGAAGGTCGACCACGATAAACCGAAGCCAAATTCGTAAATAGGAGCTCCCTCATCCTCTTTGTTGGGAGCAACCTTGTCGAAGTGGCGGTAGTCAACAAACACGCCCTCAGAAAAGTCTTGCTGGGGTGCGCCATCGCCATTATTGGGCTCGTACAGGACATCTGTGCCATAACTCTCCCGGGTTGGTCCCCAAGAGAATGGAGAGCGTCCAGGGGATTGCTTTCCGTACAGGATGTCAGCAAGAGAGTTGCCTGACTCCTGTCCGGGACCACCGGCCCAGATGATGGCAGTGATGTTGGGATGGTCATACCATTCCTTAACAAGAACAGGACCAGCTGTGTGTAGCACAACAATAGTGTTTGGGTTCAGCGAAGAGACATTCTTGATGAGTTCATCTCCATTCTTCCACAGGGTGAGATTCTTTCGGTCACCTACGTTTCCATCAACATCAATGAATCCCTCACCAGCTCCGGCATTGGCAAAAACGATGGCAGTGGCGTTTGGCTGGGTGACGAGAGCCTTGGTCTTTGCCCACTCATAGTTGCTCAGGACACTTTCATATCTGCTTCCATCCTCGATGGCCTGACGCTGAAGTGCTGAATCGGGGGTGATGAGGTATGGGAAATCAGCAGTTCCCGAACCCCAGCCCTGGGCGAATGTTCCCTCTGCACAGCCTCGGTCATTGCACCCATTAGGGCCCTTTGGGTTCGGCCCTGCATCTTCACCGATGACGGCAACAAACTTGGGCTTAATCAAAGGCAGAGACCCCGTGTTCTTGAGAAGCACAGTACCCTTGGCTGCGGATTCCCGGATATGGCTGGCATGGTCACCACGGACATCGACATGCGAGTTGACCTGCTCCCAGTTCTCGTTTACAGCGGCATCAGAATAGCCGAATGTATCGCGAGTCCAAGAGCTGAAGTTGATCTCTGGCTGGCCCTCAATTGTTCGGCCTACCTTGAAGTAAGCGGACATGATTCTCATGACCATGTCGTCCAAGCGGTAGGCAGGGACCGTTCCGTTGAGAACTGCCAGAGTCAGGTTACCACCCCAGTAGCTTGCGCCGGTATTGAAAGCTGTGTCTCCGGGCATGGTCATGTCTAGTCCAGCAACAGCCGATGACACTCCTGAATGTTGTGCTCCCCAGTCTGCCATGACGAAACCCTGGAATCCAAGTTCGCCCTTGAGCAGGCCGTTCAAGGTCTTGGAATTGGCACAGCCATACGAGTTGTTGATTTGCTGGTACGAGCACATGACCGAGCCAGCACCAGACTTGATAGCATCGACGAAAGGCCAGTTGTAAAACTCGTGCATTGTCTTGTCGTCAATATTGGAGGAAAGGGTTTCGCTGATGTTGTACCCGCGACCTTGAGACTCCCCGACCTGTCTGAAATGCTCTTGCTCGTTGGCAATATAATGCTTGGCAGTTGCAATCACTCCAGCCCTCTGGATGCCTTCAATTGTGTTTCCAAAGGCCTTTCCGAGTAGATAAGGGTCAGCAGAGAAGCCTTCCCAATTTCGGCCACCGGTAGGAGCTCGACCAATAGGCCCAGCGGCAGGTCCAAGGAGAGCATCGATGCCCTTATCATGGGCCTCAGAACCCATCTTGTAGCCACGATCCTGCCAGAGAGGGCGGCTCCATGTAGCACCGGCAGTGATTCCAATGGGGAAGGCACTGATGTAGTCTGCGAATCGGATGCCCAAAGGACCGTCCTGCATGCAGAGACCGCGGAAGCCTAGGCGAGGGACAGCTCCAACATTTCCAACGCATTTGTCGCCCATCCAACTAGATCAATTGTCAGCATCGAAGCCAGCAATTCCGTTTATAGGAACTAGATAACAACTCACCCGACACCAGTGGTCAGGTTAACCTTCTCCAGCAGAGTCAACTGGGAGACAAAGTCTTTGGCTTTGGCATAAGCCTGCTCCCAGCCAGGTGCTGCCGGATCCATCCATGGTGAAGGATAGTGGGGTTCGGAGTAGGCCAATTCATCGCGAGTTTGGTGGTCAACCTGAGAAGTGGTTTCAGAGTTAGCGTTGATGCTCTGGGAGAGAACCGCGATGGTAATAAACAATGATGACTTGAGCATTTTGACTTTTGCCGTCGATTGCCTCACAGCACCACGAACTAAAGCCAATTGCCGGTAACAATGCAATGCACCTCAATGATGAAAGGAGGCGCTAAGGAATTGGACAAATATAAGAGGAAAGGATAAACCAGCTTGGATCTCCTCCAAGTATCCAGTCATCATAATTACCAGTTCAGGGAAACCCTTGTGGATCAGGGGAAATGAGTGAGTGACATGAATCCAGCTCCAACCGCATTTCATAGAGTTGAAGCAGCAAAATCTGAATCAAAAGACCAAGAAAGGAAGGAAGGAGCGGGGAGGCGCGGGATTGGAGAGACACGAGAGGGAATGAGAGAGGGAGAGGGACAGAGGGAGAGGGGGAGGGAGAAGAGGTACAATTGCCCCAACATTGAGACAGTGAACAGACTCGACTTACAGATTTGGCATCCAGACCGGCTGCCAGAAGGGCAACGGCAGTCAATTGGGCGACCTTCATGGTAGATGCGGTTGTTCCAGAAGCCGAGAGTCTGGTTGGAGGAGCACCTGGTCAAGCAGCAGCATCGACGGGATGGACGGCGGACATGAAGCAATATAAATAAACAGACCTGGCAGCACAGTACACGCACAGCATGTGTAAGTGAGCGAAAGCGGCGATCATCATCAAGCCCATCTCCACCCCGCATCCTGCGAGGGCCCTACAACAGGCCCCGTCCACCAGCACCCACCCATCATCTCCCGAACAAAGTTCCTGCAGGCAGAAGCTCCTGGCATGTCGTGTCGCGATGCAGATGGCCACAATAATGAGCCCACGAGAATATCCCAGCCGTGAGTGACATGCATCCTCGCCTGCTGGCCAAGACATGCATCCATGGACGTCCTTCTGTTTTCGTTGCCCGTCCAGCATCACCCTGCTCACTCGGTCCCTACAGCGGGAGAGTTAGGTGCCTGTTAGCAGCTCCAGGTCTGCGCTGCAGAGTGCAATTACAGGGCCCGGTCTAGTGGCAGCTCCCACTACCCATTGGGCGTCATCTCACTCGCATCCTTCAACGGCCGGCACAGCATCAATCTCGAGCGGCGATCCAAGGGACCTGCTCTGTACACCCAAGCTTCGGGATTCTAGGTCAACACACCAGACATCATAGCTCAATTCCCGAAATGAACTGCCATCCAAGAACCAGGGCCACCCCGGAACCCCACAGAAGTGGCTCTTAGCTCGCCTTCTGGCCTAGGCCCGCCCTCCGGCTGGCTCCTGGTGTGCTCGACTCCCTGCGGGGAGCTGGGCCTGTCCGCTAACCACGATGACAGGCAACAGCCCACAGAAGCCTTTTCTCCCCCTCACGAGCCACTTCACGCCTGGAAAAGGGCCGATGATCGATCATGAGCTCTCCCATGCACGTCTTGGCCAATGGATCGACCCAATGCGCCCGATGCTCGTCATAGCCCCCAGACCCTCCATTTCGAACCGACATGCGAGTCTCTTGCCATGGCACACCAAATTACGTAGATTGACTTGGTGTCACCAGAAGAACCTGGCTCGCATCGATAATCCACACATGTCATGGAACTCGGAGCGTGCTTGAGCTGGAGCTGCACTCATGGACAGTCGCCAATTCCTAGGGCCCAACGGAATCACGCCAATGGATTGCCTCTACCGAGATTCTTCGAACAGGCAGGTCAGACGAAGCAAAGAAAAAGAAAGTTAAGGAAGGTGGCCACTAACTTCCCGAATCACCTCGTGCCAAAGAAAAAAATTCAATCAATCATTACAATGACAATATCCTTGTCTAGCCCATGTTTTCCAGGAGACGGCTCGCTCCCCCGCATCGCTCCCTCAACTCCCCTCTCCACCTCGCCCCCAAACCCCAGTTCAATCCTCTAATCCCGAGCCCATCCAAGCTTCTGCCCGGACGCTTCTACAGCGCTTTCGGGCCTTTTCACCTTCCAGCTCACCCGGTGTAGGCGTCGTGCATCCGTTGCTGCGTAGACCGACCTTGGAATGCAACGTTGCCGCATGAAATCACATTTCTTTTTCCAAGGATCGGGCCCATACCAATGGTTCCTGCTCTTCGACGAAGGCTTCTTGTTTGGCTAGTCCTCTCTTAAGCTTACTGGCAAGTCGCTGCTAGCTTCATCGAATTCCCTGTTGCTCCACCCGGCCTGGGTTGAGAAGCATGCTGGTCTCGATCACGGGGAAGCAGACGGCCGGGATACCACGAACAATTCCTTGATTTCATTTTCATTCACCTAAAGCGGTTGCCAAGAATGAAGATGGCAAGTTACATGATCTATAAGCTAAAGTATGTAAACAGACGAAGGGGGCGTAAACAAGGAGCGGCTGCGTAAACGAGCCAAGCGATTCTTTCGGAATCACAGGTCTTTGGATGCTTATCCCAACCTGGAGAACTCTTAGCCACTCCGTCGTAGGAAGGGCTCGTCTCAAAACGCCCGTTGACCTAGAATTAGCACCGACGGTGGCGGCACATCTTGTGATCCTTAGTAGATGCCCGGGATGATCCTCCATCGAACAATCTTCTTGTACTTCTCCCAGTCCTCACCATACTTGCGATGGCACTTCACATCATCTCGTCCTTCACGGTGAATGAGGAGAACGCCAAAATAGATGAGATAGAAATATGTCAAGGGTATGGCCCAGCCCTTGGCGTCCCCTTGCACCACCTCGCGGCCATCTTTCATAATAGCGGCCCCCTCAGCACCAGTCCCAGCGGCCAAGATCTGATATCCTGCCAGGCAAGTGGGTAAGGAGAAAGACCATGACTGTAGCCAGTCTCCCAAGTAATTGATGTGTCGTGAGACGCCCCACCAGCCTGAGATCAGTAGCCGGCTGCCGGATTTTGTCTTCATGAACTTCAGGTGTGCCACCTTGGGGTCGTTCATGTCGGAACGGAATCGATTTTTCTCATTGTTAGACAGCCTGAAAATTCCGTAGCCGGCTCCAATAATGAGAAACATAGCCGTGAGGTGCAGGGGGCCAAGATGAATAGGGTGGACCGAAAGATACCTCGTCTGGAGAGAAAAGACGAACACTTCGAAAGTGAAGTCTGCAAACGCGAGCATCATTCCAAAACCATCGCCAATGATGTCAATCGTAGTGAGAATCGCAGGTTCATTCCACCAAGAGTCAAACACATAAAAGATTTGGAACGCAGTGACGAGGATGATGCTATCGGACACATATCCGAAATTCCTGTATTGTGCTGCACACCATGCGCAGTCCATAACGATCCAGCCCAGCAAACCGGGGCGAAGCTCGAGCCATTGCTTCAAGTCAATTTCACCAATGAACGGGAGAGTGATGCGAGGGTTGAGTTCTCGGCCGATGAACCAATCGTAAAGAAGATTTCCAGACTGGCCGCCAGGTGCCAGTTCTCGGTTCTCTTTGTTTCCGGGCTTCACACTGAAACTGCGGATGTACACGAAGGTCGCCAGACTGTAGGCATAGATCAGGCTGGCGGTGATGAGTTGGATGTAGTTCTTGCTGATGAACGTCCAGACCACAAAGTCGGCTCCTTGGGCAATTGTTCCGGCCGCAAGGGCAACCACGATGGCAGTGTGCGAGTTGAGTGCTGGCAAAAGTTAGTCTCCTTTTTTAACATATTCCTCCACGATAAAGGAGACTTACTGTTGAGTCTATAATCCAAGCGCCCACCGGACGGGAGAACTGTGCCCTTCACCTGAACCGCAGGCAATATCCTATACAGGATCGCATTGACAAGCAGATACCCAGTGTATGCAAACAGCGACTGCCAGTTGAACAGTCCTCGCACGCCTTCGGCAGGCCAGCCAACCTCACGTTTGAGCTGGTTCAGATCCAGAGTCCTGGGGCTCAGGAGAGACGGGGCGGGACAGCCTGAGATGTCGTTACAGACGAATGCAAAGGCGTACACAAGGATCGGAAGCAGAAAAGAGATTCCAAAGGCTCCAGGGCTTTAGATTGTTAGCAGACGTCCATATGCCTAGCACTGAAATAGCCTTAGCTATACATACGGTCCAAAGAATTCATATCCATGCTCCCGGAAGGGAGTCCGCTTGCTGGATGCCGTACTCATATTATATCAGCGATTTGAGGCGCTCGATCAGGGCATATTGTGCTTGAGGAGACCAAGACAAGGTGGCGGCAAGCTCCCCTTTTTGAATCCTCCTTAAGCACCTACTGGTCGGTGCTTCCTTAGTCACTAAAATATTTTGGCAGGTCAATATGTCCCGGAGTCCAGGGATCCGAAAGAGCTGCATCGTCCGATAACCTATGCACCCGGATATCACAGCTTCCGGAGAGCTAGCATCGTACTCGTACCGGAGCTAGTGCGCTAATCGTATTGCACATCGATCAGCAAGAACTTTAGCTGCCCCACGAATTCGAGTAATCAGTGGGGGGATCAAGCTCCGCCATGGAGGCTGGTGACGAAACGGAGAATTTCCATCGGTCAGCCAGCGGATAAATAGTTTCGCCGGCTGCCAACCCTCGGCGCCATTTCCACCTCTGCCCCACTCGACGCCGCGATCCAATCATGAGCCCCGTGGTCCTGACAAGCCTTCCCTAGGCCGGTCTCTTCCAGTTTGGGGGCTGTGGTGCAGCGGGATTACGTTACGTACCTCTAGGCAGTTTTTTTAGCACCTACCGGATCGCGCTGAGCCGCTACCAGCTGCCTGCGACGCAAGATGACAAGTGTTACTCCCTATCAAGAGCTATCGTTCTTCCAGACTCCACACAACAGGCGCTCGTCTTTCTTTGACATTCAGCAATCACGACTCCAATCGGGCCTGATATCCTGCCATTGTCGATCTGCTCGATATTCTACATAACCTGATCTGATCACTATCGGTATTCGGTTGATGCGACTGAGACTCCACCACTCTCCTTAGCGCCTGCAGGCGCATTCGTCAACTCCCGCCGATAGCTATATTCTCGATCGGCCTTCCGGTACAAGACCAAGATTCCGCTACAGAGCATTGCTACACCATGCGTCTCTCTCAGTCAGTTCTTCTGGTCTCGCTGGCGACTCTCGCCATGGCAGCAAAAGACACAGAGCCATCCCCATCCGTTCCTGCTCCGGCTTGCACAGCGACCTCGACGACAGGCTCCTACTTCGATCTGCGACCCGATATAGCGTGGCCTGAAGACTCCGGCAAGGCTCATAGCAAGGCTCAACACAAGGACTATTATGCGAGAGGGTGGGATTACGGAAAGAACTTCACCTTGAACATCTGCAACTCCGTAGTTGCGCCAGTCACCGATGTTGTTGGCGTTTCCAAGAGCCAATGGGCCAATGTTAGCGCATACTACACATCCCAGGGCAATATCTACTCGATAGGGTGCGTGTGAACCGCATATCATGGACCCCGGCTGCAAACTGACCACAATCTAGCTCTCAATCTTTGGATGTGCAATCCCGTGGCCGCAAGCTTGTTTTACAGTACTCGGATGGTTCGCCATGCGGCAAATCCAAATCCAAGTCCAAGTCCAAATCCTCCCCTCGAAGTGCAGACTCCGTATACGACGAAGACACATTGGCAAAGCAGCACGCGCACGAGGTCGAAACATACGCCAAGGCTGATGATCCCAAGGATCGGAAGAAATCCACCACCATCTCGTTCCTTTGCGACAGGGACGTTGCGAATACTCACCTGGCTGTCTCCTTTGTAGGAACCGATCCAGACGAATGTGCTTACTTCTTCGAGGCCCGGTCGCATCACGCGTGTGCATCGTCCGAGCCGCACAAGCCTGGAAGTGTCGGCCCTGGAAGCATCTTCGGCATTATCCTCGTCATTGCCGTTCTCGTCTACTTCCTGGGTGGTGTCTTTTACAACCGCACCGTGTCTCACGCCCGCGGATGGCGGCAACTTCCCAATTATAGCCTCTGGTCCGGAATGTGGAGCTTCATTTCCGTGCGTGAATACTCTCCGCTCAAATCAGGCTTGCCTTGAAAAGCACCCTCCCCTTCAAGAGCTGGTACTGACGTGCCCTGTAGGACATGTTTGTCATTGCTACGGCGTCGTGTGCACGCTTCCTCCCTGGTCGGAGGGGCTACAGCTACCTAAGCGCTAATGATCACCCACGAAACCGGAATTCCGATGCTGAGAATCGGTTGATTGACCAGCTTGACGAAGAATGGGATGATTAGATTTCTACCCTGTACCTTTTTCCCCTTTGTTTTGCAGATATACAAAGACCCGGTCTCAGGCAGACCATGTTTAGTCCTGAATCAGTATATGGCTCTATTTTTTTTCTATGGTGGTTTTTTTTGGTTACGCTGCTTATGGATATGTATGGGATTGCGAAATACGGCGTTCGGTGGAAGAAAGACTGAGCTACTCTGTAGCAGGCCACCGCCGCTACTGAAGAATTAACAGCTGGGAGCAAACAATATTATGGCCCTCATTTCGTTCAATCATTTCCCTCTTCCATTTTCGCATGACACAGTCAGTGCTCACATCTAGGCATATCAATTCCGCACTCGCAATATTCGCCTAAAAAGTTACAGGTCGACTCGAGACATGCAGCCATCGGCTTCAGAGGCTGGGATGGAAGCCCCTCGCCTCGACCGAACATGAGACGTCGGAAGGTACTACGGCGGGCCGCAAGTCTCTACCACCTATCACCCTACCCGGTCTCAGCGACAAAATCTTGAAGTACAGAGAAGTGTCCTGGTACTTGGGGCAAAGGGGGTGTGTGTTTATTCAGCTACCCTCAGGCGGCCACCCATGACAGAATCGGTTGGGCACAAAAAGAAGACGCACTCTGATGGGTCGTGTCGAAATTACATCACTGGTCAGTATTTGCTTTTGGGTGTTGGACAATGGGCTGCTCGGCCAGCGAATCGCGGACACATGCTTGCAACACCTGCATAAGTCCGGCGGCTCGAGCACGTATACTCTCCGAGCCGAGAGCCTTACGCGACTGAGGAAACTTGCTATTTATCAGGGTACGTACAGTACGAGATCATTTTTCTGCTAAGCCGGTAGCAGTGGCGATGTTCGACACATCATCCCTCACCCCTGGCCTTTAATCTCAGTCCCGCGGCACTAGCTTCCCATAAGATACACATTCTCAGGGACTAGTCTGGTGTCTTGAAGATTGTACTCTCTTCCCACGGGAGGGGAGGGGCATCCGGTTAGCTAGCCTCGACCGTCCTTTACGCGGGAGGGTGGGGTGTGGACTCAACCGTCTTGTTCAGTCGATTTGCATGGTTGTCTGACTGCAGATGTCAACAGATTGCCAACTTGGTGCGGTTGAACATATCATCTCTCACTTCTCCCACATCATAAGTTGCAGAACATTGAGGGAAAAGACCCCACAAGCACGATGTCTCGCCTCACCATAAGCCGAACATACATGGTAGCATCCGGACTATACCTATGTGGTCGACGCCGGCTGGTGACGATCAAAGGTCCTGTCCAGCTCGGCAAATCAGATTCGACCCTCCCAAGCTGCATATAGTTTCCTCGTTGACAAAGATGTCGTCTCAAACCTGCGGCTTGTTCCCCCGCTCGAATTCCTTGCTCGTTGTAAGACCTTCATGCAGCAAAGTTGAGATCCGGAAACACCAGCAAGCCACAACATGGCCCCTCTCCTCCTGCCAGCGAGGATGGATGGACTAGCGATTGGTGCGGCGAGGCAGCCATCGTGAACACGCAATGGTCTTCAATGGCGAGGCAAGTAGCTTGTACTTGCTACCCCGTCATTGTTACTAGGTACCTGGGGGTATCCAGACCGCTGAGTTCCCATTACGAGAACAGAATAAAGATTCTAGAAGAACGTACTATCTGTTTTGTTCAATGTACATGCTACCTTGTCAACTGGGACGAAGAGTTCCAGGTACCTGTCTCGTTCCATGGGCTTCTATGGCACCCAGACAGCCATTACGCGCCTTTCCGCCTGCCACGTCTGCCTGCCTGCACCTTGGCTATGTGCGGGATCTGGACCAAACCTTCCGTCGGTAGCAGACCAGATCGGCTACACCCCTGACCTTGCCTCCAAGGTCAACAGTCAATGTCAACGGGCCTTGACGTAGTACATTCGACTGACGTTGCACAGATTTGTATCCAGACTATTCCGAATTCGAATTTTCCCACAGGAACACTCTCTTATGGCGGGCGTCAGGAGACGGGACCAGAGCCTTATCCTACGCTCTAGATGAATGTATGTCGAAGGTATTGAATGTGAGAGCTGCAGGAGGAATCAAGGTCTCAGCCTCCATGCAGGCATTTCCCTCCAAGGTTAAGTGTGAGGGGATCGAGACCCCTCGAAGCAGGCGTAGAAATTAAACACTCCCTTATCCGACGGTCTCCTGGTGCAGGCTGCCATCCCGTTGCTATACATCTCGGGTCTCGATAGGAAGACTGCAGCAGCTCCCGTCATAGCCAGGTAATGAGTGCGAAGCCTCTGGAAAGCCTTAGTCCTCGTGCGGCTCAGTCGAGGCGACTATGTCGAATATTTTAGTATAAAACGGGGAGAACTCCTCGAATATTTTCTAACTCTCCTCTCTACTCTCATCTTCACTCACAAGTTCTCTACTTCACAAGTTCTCCGATTCTCAACTTCTCTACTCTTTACTTCTCTCCTTCACGACTTTTCTGCTTTCACAGCTCTTTGCTTCATACCTTCTTCGCGCTTTTCCTCTCCTTCTCTACACCGTATCTCCAGCTGTTATAGTCGCCTACTTAGCACTATCACATTCAGTACAGCACCTGGACTCTACCACACTTCCACTTACACACCTTCAATAATTCGGTAAGCAACCAAGACATCCCCTTACCCTGTCTTTTCTTACCTTTCGTTTTCAATTACTTTTCTCGTCTTTTTCTGCTACACTGCCTGTCCTATCTCTGCAGCAGTCCTCATCCCTCTTCCCTGTTACTCTCTCTATCTACCTTACCAGAGGATTACCACCCCTCCGTATGTATCAGTATGTGTATCAGTATGTGCACATGCCCTATTGGTAGTATCATCGAAAAATTCGTACCTCAAATCCCCCTACTCCCCTATATGTCTATCCATTTTCTCATACTTTTACCCGTTCCTTCTGTATTCATATGTTCCCTTACACCTCAAAAAGTTACCTAAATCTTCCATCTATTCCCCTAAGACATTCACTTGATAGATTTCATGTTTACCTAACCCCCTACAACCTTGTCTGCTGGCTTATACATTCATTTCAACATCGACACATCCCTTGAGCCTTCCAAATACATGCATTCCCCTACCTCTTGGTTTACCTCACAAGGATCTGACACACAATAGGTTGATCAATAATCATGGCAAACGATATGTTGACCAATGGTGATGATGACTCGACTCTTGCTGTTCCTACTACCATGATTTGGGTCTGCGGTCGATGGACCCTGATATTTCATACCGACATGGACTCCCATGATCCTGTGGAAGTTCGGACCAACTTCCTTAATGTGCTTCAGTTAATTGACTTCAGCATATTCTACCCTAACTGTCACAACTTTCCTCTTTTTTCACTGGAACAGGATGGGACTTTCCAGCCAGTCATTACAGTATGTGTTCTTCCCCTCTTGATACATTGTCCATTGTCAATAATCATTGCTAATCCGTGCATCTTTGCGTCACTGAAGGACTTCCAATACATTGCGCCTAATTACCTCTTAATTCAAATTCCAGGACGAGAGTATTCCTGGTTTATCGAAATTCCATTATCTCCTCTGCGCCCTCTCACCTCCTCGGACCTATCTATCCACAACGCCTCGGTCTCAGATTACAACAACAGCTCTGTGGGCTTGAGCAACGTACTTGATCCTCGACTCCTTGAGGGTACTCAGGGTCAGCTTGCTCTACCTCAGCCTGATGCCTCCAATGCCTCCTCGGCTTGTTTTCAGCCCTGGGGAGCGGCTCAAGAGTCTCAAGATTCTATGATAGAACATGACAAGCTTGGTCTAAATCCTTTTTGGCCCGCCTATAGTCTCATGGGTCAGAAATGCATCGAATATCCCCAGTGTCCACCCTCGTCACCAGTTCGACACGGTTCTCCCGAGACAATTCACTCTACATCACCTCCTCCCAGCAATGCCTCTGTCGAGCAAAGCATAGGAAAGCTCAGACGGAGACGTACGTGTTCTTCTGTCGTCTCACGCCGCGCTGGTCGCCTCAGGCCCAGCCGTGCAGCCAAGAAGCGCACCATGCCCAGCCCGCCGCCCAGGGGCCACTTCAAAGTCTCCCGGCAGGATCGTTTCATGGTCCCCTACGACAGCGACCTTCGCGATGAGTTGCTTATCCGTGGCCGTCTAATGGGCTTCTCCTACTCCGAGATCAAGGAGAGCGCTGGCATGCCTGACGCCCTGGCGACCCTGCGTGGCCGGTATCAATTTCTCCTGCGGAAGATGGTACAAGAGAATCTCAAGAAGAAGAGAGATGATGAGAAGGATTCAGATGACAAGAACAAGAAGTAATGAACTCTCTGTTTCATCCTCAATCTCGAAGCTGGGAACCTCTCTCATCGCAAGATGGGAAGCCATTCCTTTTATGACGTCTCTCTCCATCCTTTGTCTGCTTTTTCGACCCCCAAACACAACAAGAAAAACAGCCCACCAAAAATCAAAATCAAAAAAAGAGAGAGAGAAGTAAGGTGAAAAGTTCTTTTGGGTCTTGGTATGTCTCGGAGTTTCTGCCTCGGATCGGCACGGTTCAGGCTTTTAGGCCTTCTTGATCGTCCAGTTCGGAGTTTATTTGGCTTAACATCTATAAACTATCTTATATAGTTTTCCTCAGGGAGATTCTTTTGCTTTTAGGCATGATAGACAGTCCTGACTCTAATGCTAAAACCAGTATTATTATGATTTTCTACGGTCCCTCTTGCGGGATCCCGATCGCTTTGAGAACATCACGTAGCCCCTTCGCGTCCTTGATAAATGCCTCCCATTCCACCTCGTTCTTGACGAGCGCCGTCCCAGCCAGGACTGTGCCGTTCAGCGCTGCGAATCCCAAGTTCTGGCCGTCGGGCCCCAGGATCTTGGCACCCTCGGCGAGTCTCGGGGCGATAGCCATGGTGTTTCTGGTTATGGCCATATTATAGCTGATCAAGGTCTCGCCCTGAGAGGGAGCGTCCTGGGCTGCTGCTGCTGCGCCGCCACCCGCGTAGACAGCCACAGCGCGGCATGCTCGTCGGTACAGTCGTAGATATGTCTGGTGGAGCTCCTCGCCGGACATGCCCAGCCTTATGGCCTCTGAGAAGATTGAAAAGGGGGGCTTGAACGTATCCAGGCGGTCGATCATGACATCCCAAGCCGATGACTGCCCGTCAAGACCGTCCCTCATGCGGGCGATGGGCAGCAGCTGGATATGCCGGTGAGGCTGGCTCGCGCCCGAGTGGTCGCCGCAGTTGAAGAAGGCGTAGAGCCCCTGCTCCGACTTCCCACCACCAGAAGAAGTTCCCTCCTCCGTCTCCGCGACGGCATCGTAAGCCTCGATGCACGCGAGGGTCGCCTCCAGATCGTCCGGCTCGAGGACGTGGGTCTGGTGCTTGAAGGGTGTGGTGGCGAGGATGAAATGCTCCGGGACGACGGCGAACTTGTTGAGGACGAGGAAGTGCGCAGTCCCGAGATCTGCCACCTTGAGAGCGGCTGGGGGGTTCTCAAAGGGGTCAAAGGGCTTCTGGGGTGTGGTGGTGGGATCGCGGGGGGGGCCCTTGGGCTTGTTTGCCAGTGCGGGGGAGAAGCGTAGCTGGAACTGTCTCGCGTACATCTGTCAGTTAACGAAGTTTACCAAATTCCCAATGATGTATACATGCTGCCAAATATTCTGTAGCATTGAGAATTGACAAGGGCGCTGAGCCTTACGGGGATGGAGTCGACGTTGAGCAAAGTGACTTGGGTTGGGAAGAAGTGCAGATCGCCAGACGAGCGAGCCTTGCTGAAGGCTGCTCTTACCAGCTCCGGCAGCTCTGCAGGTGCTTTGATTCTTGCCATGCCGTTCCTGCTCAACAAATTGGGTGTATTCAGACAGAGGATTTCCAAGCTGCTGGTGTAAGTAGTCGGTCGCTCAATGTCTTATAGGCAGAGTAGATGATGCTTTCTCCACATGCATCTTCCACTTCACCGTGATACAACCCTCTACGCATATCCTCCACTGTCGGTTTTTGAGTATTTCCTTTCGGATTGATATTCATTCCCCAATTGATTTTTAGTCCAAGCTGGAATAGTCGAGCGAAGAGTTCTCTTTATTAAAATTATTCGTTATAGTCCCTATATATATTTCCATCTAGTCTAAGACCCTTCTTTCCAGCTCTATATCCCAGGAAGACCAATCAATCCTCGCACAGCGGGTATAACCCGAGGAACAATGTAGACAATATACCACCCAATGAAGGCTGTGAGGAGTCCCGTAAACTATTTTGATATATCTGGTTAGCAACTACTCCTGTAAAGAATATACTCGAGCGGTGGGCTGCTTACCTTCTCAAACCAGGTGTGGAAGTAAATAGCTGTCATTAACAGCATCCAGACATTGAGCCCGACAACGGCCATGAGAAACTTGCCCCCGATGCCAAACCCGAGCTCGCCAGATCCCTTGTTGTCGCCCGCCGCAATCTCTGCTTCGACACCAGCACCCTTGACTGCCCCGTCTGGCATGACCACAGTCCTCTCATCCGGCGTCCAGTTCTTCCATCGCAGGAGCGACCATCCAACCTCCTCCAACAGGAACACAGAGCTCAACACCAGCATAAATACGTGACCCGAGATGTCATGGCCGCCCCTCCATTTGCCGCCAGCAGCCTTACATGCGACGGCGGTTACGACCTCTGCGATGCCTGAGTCCCCAAGAGCCACATCCAACTCCGCGACATCGCACTTGCCCCCCGTCCACCGGAAACCACGGTCGATGATGGGTGCTCCAAAGAACCACTGGGTAACAAAGAACCAGCAGAGCGTTACTGCACCCCAGCGGGCGGCCCCGCGTAGCCTACGGGTTGGCGAGGAGGTAGACGGGTGGGTGAGCAGGAAGGCGGCAAAGGCCACCGTCGTCCAGGCCCAGCCTCGCTTCACGAAGATGACGTTGAACAGGTTCGACTTGCGGGCAAAGTAGCTGGGGGAGACTGCCGGGTCTTGGCTGTGCGACTGGGATATCGGGTCGTAGGGAGCGTCGCGGGTCTGGGGAGACAGGACGGAGAATAGAGCGCCAAACACGAGAAGTACCGGGAAGAATCCCAAGACTATTCTTTCGAGAAATGTTGGTAGGAACGGGGGGGTTCTCGAGGTCGCAGGAAAGGAGGATATCCTGGTTGAGGGCGGCGAGGAGCTGTCGTTTGCCATGGTGGCGTTGTCCGCTATAGCTCCCTTCTGAGCGCTTCGGCGGGTTGTCGGCATTGATACTTGGATGCTGAGAAAATGTAATGAGTGTTGAGGTTTATGTAAAAAGGGTATAACAGCAGAGAGTGTGGGCTATAAGGCACAGCGAAGGTTGCCTTGGTGTCTTGCAAAGGTGGGTGTGCTTAAGATCAAGGAAGCGAAGGAAACCGTCCACATCACCAAGTGCGAAAAGTGGCCATGACGTCTGCAGTTCCCAGTGGAAGGTGCTGGCTGCAGGCGACCGAGGCTCCAATTCCGGTCCCGCCGGGGCGGTGCAACAATACTCCGCTCAAAGCACGCTCGATGACCTTGGAAAGAGAACAAAACATCATCGTTTGATTTGTTCATTCAGAACTTTAAGCCGTTTTCAATTCTTTCCTAGAGTAGGCATGTTTGTTATAAGTGTGCTGTGGTTGGAAATAAGCATCCCCACGGTGGTGTTAAGTAAGAACCTAGAGTCAGATCCTGGACTCCAAAGTGGTGATTGTGTTTGCCCAACTATGAATGAACTACTGTACTTGTTGAACCTTTATAAATCTATTCCCAAACCGAGTTGAACCGGTCATCTAAGTCTAAATAGCAGTGCGCCGTCTCTTGAATTCGTTCCTCTATCGTCACATTAAAAATTCCTCGTCTACAAAGTGCTTGAGCACAATGCGTCCTTCATCAAAGCCCTTTCGTTCCATCCGTAAAATAATCACAGCGTGACTGTGCCTAGCTTTGTGTATCCATACAGCATACTTCCTCCATCCCAGTGAATTCAGCCCATCAATCATTTCGAACTGTGCTGGAGTGAGGGCCAGTGTTGGTTGTGCTGGGAGGGATAGTCGGCGCTCCCGTGCCATCCTCGTACGCTGCTCCACCGCCATACCCGCGTTGTCCTCGTCACCCGAGGCGAGATATTCTTGATTTTGGGAGCTGTTGAGCGTCTCGAAAGCATGCTCCATCTCCTCCCGAATCTCTTTGATAAGGAGAGGGAAGCGATAGTCCTCCACGTTGATGCCGCCCTCGCCCGATTCATGCTGCTTGATGCGACCAGCACTGCGTACATTTTGCACCACGGAGTTCAGAAGGTAGCCTACCACCCCAATGGGTACGACGACGGCCACTGCCAGCAGAAATGGTACACTCCGCAACCAGACCATGCCCGACTCAGTGATCGAGGACACTGAGAGCGGTGCCCGTGGCTTCAGGTGTGGTGTGACTGGATTAACCGGGTCTAGGATGACATTCTCATAGCCCTTTACATATTTAACCTTGATGTTCTCTGGATTCGTGAACGGGTCGGTCTTGTGGATGCCAGTCGTGTAATAGACGGCACTTCTATCATTGACAACGTTGTTGTACAGCGTGCGCCTCTTGAACTTGCGCAGGCCAGACATGAAGATGGAGCTCGGATCGGCGAGGACCGAAAGGAGTGGTCGGCCCGTCCCGCGAAAATCGTCAATGGTGAAGAGCTGGCGGCCGGACATGGAGAGCGTCCTGGCGCCGAGCACGTTCCAAATGTGGTTGTGCCATCCCTTGAGCGGCGTCCGGACCCCTAGGTGGGGTGATGCAAATGTGGTGAAGTTCTGCGAGTAGGCTCATCATTAGCCATCATTGTCTGACGATAATAGATTGCGCGAGCAGGTTCCGTCCTTACCATGCATTCCACCTTGTCGAGTATCCCCTTGGCGTAGAGCAGGCCGACTGCGTACCGTGACACAAGGCCTCCCAACGAGTACCCCACCACACTCAGCTTCGTGATCTTGCCGCCGTTGCTCTCGATGGCCTTCATCTCCTCCTCGATCTCGGCGCAAACCCGCTCGCCGCCCCGCTCGATGCCATCGTAGGTGAAACTGCCGCTATTCCGCTTCGTCAGGAGGAGGTACAGGCTGTCCGGGTCGTGCTTGGCGCGGAGAGATCTGGCGATATTTCTCATGTGTTCGGGATTTCCCCAGAGCTGTTGCTCGGTCGCAAGGGGCGTCGAGGTCAGCCGTTGCGCTATATCTCAAAGCTAGAGAGGGCGGGCTGGAATGCTCAACCTACACCATGTACAAGCACGCATAGGTGCTCTGCCTTCTGGCTACCGCCCTTGTAGTCCATCATGGCCAGCCGGCGTAGTCGTACAGGAGGACGCAGGAGGGAATTGGCCAGCTTGGAGGACTGCCGGTACAGTGTATTTAAGGAGAGACCCTGATGGCGTGTCATGTGCGGCCTGTTGGGTGACGCCGTTATCACAAACTGTGCTCAATGGAGGTAGCGCCGTTAACATGTCCGATAAGCCCGAGGTATTGGATACTCTCGATCCCAATTAAAGATAGATATCGGGTGCAAGTACGTGGCCAGGATCGGGGCCATGGGAATTCGCGATCGAGAAGACGGACGACCCTTTTTTTCCCGGGAGCTAATGCAGGCGATTTACATGGCCTGGAAGCGCTGGTCGGTGATGGGTTTTCAGTTGCGTTGCTCAACTACAGTGTCTATGACGCACTTTGTTTGGGGATCATTCAGGGTATTATCGCGTGGAACCAGGGCCCTGCCATCAGCAGTGCGCAGCCATAGAGTATCTTGAAAGCAATCCGTATCTCATAGACATCCCTTCTATTCTATTTAGATGTTCAACATACTGATAAACTCCCCTTTCTCATACCGCACTACACTGTACATTAGGTGATCCATCTCCCTGTAGTTTGGGACCACAGGGTAGGAAGCTCTACCTGATGCGGCAAGGTCCCAGCGTTGTCCTCAACTACCTACTATGGATCATTGATATGCAAAAGATGTCGATGGCAAAAGGGAAATAAACCTGGGAATGTTGAGCTTCCCTTCTTTGTATTGTAAAGCATGTTAAATGTTAGCTAACATCCAAAAAAAGCCCCGGTGGACATGGTAGTCACTGTCTGCTCCTATCACAACAGCCCCTGTCTCGTCCGCCTGAAGCTTAGGCCCCCTGCTACTTGCCTCTCACTGGCTGATCCCGATCCCCAGGTCTCACTATCCATCGTTCCAAGAGAAAGGACGGTGTTCCTACACTACTTGCATTTACAGATCTTTCAAAAGGACAACAATCAAGCTGGATATAGAAGGCTTGGGATATCAAGTTACCTTTGATCAGGAGTTGCAGATCCTTCCTGTGCTTTCTTCTTGCTCCAATCGCGCCCTGCACGCGCAGGTAACGGGCCAGAGAGCGCAGGGCGGCGCAACCCAACGCCTTTGCTTCACACACGATCTTATTGTCGACGGGCTGGACAATACACTCGCGCTTTATCTGCCTCGGATACCCAGTCACAGGGTGGTTGATCATGGGCGTGAGCCAAATCTATATAAACCCCAGTCTCGCGCTCAACTAGAGCCTCCTCTTCCATCATGAGTATCAATCTCAAATACATTCCCTGCCCAGCTGGCAATAAGTGTACAGCCTTCATGTGCATTTTTGGCCACGAGAGCGACAAGGACAAGCAAAAAGAGAAGCAGGTTCCCCCCTCGAGCGACGTGGCCCAGAAGTCAGCACCGTCTGACCACACTGAGTCTCGCAAGACTGCAGCAGGTAGCCAGCCTGGCACTGCTACCCCCCAAACCTCGAAGACTGAGTCAAGTGAGGCGAGGAGCCGCACTTTAAATATCGTCCCGGCAACAGCTACAAGGCCGGTATCTCCTCCGCCGCTCAAGCGCCCGCCTACCAAACCACCATCAGCCCTCTCTGCCACCAGTTCCCCAGCCCAAACCCCAGCTCGACCCAAGCGAGCTCTAGAAGGGAGCGAGTCGAGCACAGGGAGCTCGCCAGCCAAAAAGAGGAAGCCAGAGTCGCTCAATCCTCGATTACTCAAGAGCGCACCCGCTAGCCACGAGACTCGTCTCAAGCTGGTCAAGTTGCTGATAGCCGAGTACAAGCGTCTGAACAAGGACCTCCAAAAGGAAAAAAGCGACGACGACAAACGTTTATTATTATCAGAACAGGATCTGATTCACAAAGTGTTAGACGAGGAGGAAAAGACTGCCATTGAGAAGCCAGCAGTATATGCCAACATCATGAGGAACAGAATCATGCAGTACAAGCGCATGCCGGTCTCTCAGTGGAAAGCAATCAGGGAACAAGAAAGAGCCACGGAGTTAAGCAAGGCCAGAAGCGAGGACGGGATGAACATTCCAAAGTTCGTCGAAACAGGTCTGGCGCCTGCTCAAGAGGTTGAGCTCCTACAGCGCCTGCTCACACCGATCACGGATCTAACGGAGTATGGTTATGTCCCGACAGTTCCCCCAGAAGAAGCCATAAAGAAGGCCCAGGAAGGCAGGGAGGCGGGCAAGGGCTGGGAGCAGTGCGACCGCTGTCAGCAGCGTTTCCAAGTCTTCCCAGGACGGCGCGTGGAAGACGGAGCTCTCACTTCCGGCGGAAGTTGCAGGTTCCACTGGGGGAAGATCTATCTTCCAGCCAAAGCCCCAGGCGACAGGACAAAGATTCCGAAGCGCTATCGTTGCTGCAACGAGAATGTTGGCGAATCGGCAGGGTGCACTGAGATGGTGAACCACGTCTACAAGATCAACGATCCGAAGACCTTGGCCGCCATACTCAACTACGTGGAAACCCCGGACAACCCCGCGGCGCCAAAGGACAGAGCAGTGGGCTTCGACTGCGAGATGGGATACACCGTACACGGGCTGGAGCTCATCCGGTTGACAGCCGTCGACTGGCCCTCTGGAAATGAGCTTCTGGATATCTTGGTTCGGCCCCTGGGAGATATTCTGGACCTGAACTCACGCTTCTCGGGCGTGTGGCCAGAGGACATGGCCCAGGCCAAGTCTTGGTCCCCTACTGACGATCTTTCGATGCTGTTTAAGAGCAACTCGGAAGGGGGGAGCGAAGACGGCGAAGTCAGGTCTCGTAAGAAGGATCTCCGAATCGTCTCCTCCCCTGAGGTGGCCCGTGAACTTCTCTTTTCCTTGATCTCCCCAGATACGCCTCTAATCGGGCATGGAATCGAGAACGACTTGAACGCTGTGCGTATCGTTCACCCAACGGTGATCGATACTGTACTGTTGTTCCCCCATAAAGCCGGTCTTCCCTATCGGCACGGTCTTAAAATGCTTATGGAACAGCAACTGAATCGAAAGATTCAGCAAGAGACTGGGGCGAAGATACTTGGTCATGATTCCGCTGAGGACGCTCGAGCGGCAGGTGAACTGGTCCGTCTTAGAGTGATGCAGGAATGGACCAAGCTCAAGAAGGGTGGGTGGAAGTCTGCAAATGGGGAGCTCGTTCCACCAGAGCAGTGGTAGTTGGTTGGCATTGTATAATTATATAGTCCACGGGTTACTTTGGGCATTGGGCGGACTGATGCATTTATTCATATCAAGGCAGAGCTGGGTCATTGGAGGATCTTACAACTACGCATGTGATGGGAAACTAGGGACTTAATCAAAGAAGAATTACATAGCGAGTTCACCAAGTTCTTGAACAGAAAGTGTCTGAAAGTGGTATTATCCTGGTCACTGAATTTGACCGTTTCATCTAGGAATACAGACCGTTGCATGATCAACATTCGTCCATGGCAACGATAAGCGGAGATATTTTTGCCTTCTCTTGTACATTGTTAGAAATTTTACACATTTAAGCCTTGCCCACGGACAGGAGATACTGTCCACCCTTTCCGTTGCCGCCGCTGGGGAGATATGCCACATTAGGGTTTGAAGCCAGTGTCTGGGCAATTTCCCTGCTCGCCTCGATCTTTCGGATCTGGATGAGGCCGTCGCCGGACTTAGAGATGGCCTTGCTGATAGTTTCGGCACTCTCGGCTTCGCCCTCGGCGCGGATGACGTTGGCCTGGCGCTCCTGCTCGGCGCGCTCGACAATGAATCGGGCTCGCTCGGCGTCCTGCTGGGCGATTTGCTTCTGCTCGACGGCCTTGGTGAACTCGCGACCGAAAGTCATGTGGGTAATGGAAACATCCTCGAGGGCGATGTTGAATTCGGATGCGCGGAGGGTCAAGTCGTTGCGAATGCGCTGAGAAACAGCTTCACGCTGGGTGATGAGTTCGGCGGCATCGAACTGGGCCACGATGGACTTGAGGACTTCGTTTCCGATGGAGGGGAGCACACGCTCATCGTAGTCGGCACCGAGGTTCTGGAGGAGGGGTAGGTGTTAACACTTGGTCGGAGACATTGCAAAAGTTATGAAGCTCCTTCGGCTTACCTGGTAAATCTTTGGCAGAGCCTTGACGTTGGGTCGGTGCAATACTCTCAGAGTTAGGCTGACCATCTGCAAGTCCTTGCTTCCGGTAGTTGTGGAGATGCTTCTGGGCTTGGTGCGGACATCAAAGATGATGCTCTTCTGTAGCCAGGGAATCAGGAAATGTGTGCCCTCGTTCTTCACCTCCTCCTTCACACCTGCCAATCTGTCGAAAATAACAGCTCGAGTACCACCCTTGACGTCGTAGAGTGACTGGCTGACGAGGAATGCACCAGCAGCCGCCGGTACCGACAAGCGGTACACAACGTTAAGAAGTCGCGCTGCGGCAGCGGCCATCTTGGAAGATCGGGGAGAGCAAGCGGAATTTAGGTATCTTCTGGTATTAGTCGAGGAGCTTCACCAGGATGCTCGATGGTGATGACGTTTGGAGTAGGTTCAGCCAAAGTCTGGTCCTCGATATCGAGATAGCAAGCTCTCGGACGTCGCTAGACTAGAGTCTGCTCTGTGGCTCGCAGACTGGCTTTCTCCGAGTTTTGTGGGTCCGAAAGCCGGCAACCTCTCAGAGACTGCTGATTTTTGGAAGAAGAGCGCTAATCCCTTTCGGGACAGGACTGGCTGCTTTCTTCCTCAGCGTTTTCGTGACCGACCTGCTCCGAATGCCTGCTACAATCTACAAACCTCCAACCCATCCTCACGCCTTGTCCACGGAAACGTTCGGCCAAACTCAGCAAAAATGAGACCTACTCAGATGCTCCGCGGAGGCGGCGAGCCTAACCCCAAGGTCGGCCAGTGAGTCAACCCCCCTACGATCCCGGTGGAATCGATGATGCGGCCAACATTTTGCGGGTTTTCCTTCAATTGAGGCCTACCGGCCGCCGCAGAGCACGCAGATGTTTCCCAATCGATGCAGAGGAGTCGCTAACTTCATGGCAGCTTCATTGGTGACTGGGGCAGCATTGGTGAGTCCTGACCATATACACCCAACTTCCATATACCCGAGCCGCGCGACCATATCGAGACCCGAGCGAGCAACAAACGGATGGTATCCTCGACCAACAACCAATTGAGCTTGGAATGCGCAATTTGGAGGAGAAGAATATATTGGAGAATGATCCGACGCGATGGCGGGACCAGGTCGACGAGCGGGATGAGCTGAATTGCTAACGCGACATATTTCAGGTGGTCAAAAGCAGAGGGGCATCATCCACTACGGTCTGTCCGCCAACCGACAGAACCCCATTGCCGGCGTTGCTCACGACGCCATCTTCAACACCTTCCGCCGCACCAAGTCTCAGATCTTCTACTGGCTCCCTACCGCCCTTGCCGGATACTGGCTGATGAGCTGGGCCACCGACTAGTATGCCGCCCCCATGCCCTGCGGTATGAATGGTGCTATAGGATGGAACTTTGCTAACGAATGACCCTTAGCAACCACTTCCTTAACTCTAAGGAGGGTCGTGCCCTGCACGCCAATGACGAGGAGTAAAAAGGATGAATGATGATAGACGAAGGTCGTTGGAATAGCACTACTGGGCTTCGCTGCCCGTTGTAAATCATTGCTCACTGTCATCAAATAGAGCTGTTTCCCTTGTGTCCCTTGAACCTTGTGCCTACTATCTCTTAGGGTGATGTGAAACGAATGATATGCGCAGTTCAAACAGAGCCAACTTTGTGATGGGATTTTCTATGTCAAAGGTTGGGATTGGGATTCTACAAATAGATCTATCGGAAAACAATATGATTAGGTGAATAGAAATCACATCCAACGAACGATAATGATCGTCTTGCCTCTGAGCGATTGCTTGAACCCAAGTATTTGATATTCTTCTACTGAGCCATAGCCGAGAGCTGGCAGCCGAAATCACGTGATTTTGACTTCGGTCAGATTTGTGGGGCGGTTTCACCGAGAAACTCAGCGAGATAGCTCTGACCGAGAAAAAAAAAAGTTCGGTTTTTGGTGGCAGAAAAACTTCTGTTCCAACCATCCAATACCTCCAATCATCATCATTTTTTGGATCGCCCCCCGAGCCAGAGTTATTGGATTAACTCTCGATCCTCAATCGATTGGTTTTCTTATCTGAAAGACCAATTGACCCATATTGCAAATTTCTATCCCATTTCCTTAGGATAACTTATCTTTAATCTACATTTAACACAGTCGCAATGGCCGCCGAGAAGCCCGACAAGAAGGAGAAGAAGGACAAGAAGCGCAGCGACGAGTCCGGCGTTGCCAAGTCCAAGAAGGATAAGAAGGACAAGAAGGACAAGAAGGAGAAGCTCGCCGCTGCCCTCGAGGACAAGCTCCAGAAGGATGCCGCCGCCCAGAGCGACGCGGCCTCCAGGGCTGTGAAGGCCGCCCCGGCCGACGACAACTCCGACTCGGAGATGGAGGACAAGTCTGGCGAGGAGGTCGCCCTTGAGCGCACCGTCGTGCCGTTCGCCGTGCCATTGGCCGACGACAAGGGCCAGAAGAAGGTCTACAAGGCTATCCGCAAGGGTAAGGGAAACCCCCAAATTGTCGCGTCTCTCTATGGGACTGAAGAATCGTCTGCTAACATCGTTTAACCCAACAGCTGCCAAGAACAACACCCTCAAGCGCGGCGTCAAGGAGGTCGTCAAGACCCTCCGCAAGTCGCCCCCCTCTGCCCCCGGCTACACGTCCTTCCCCGGCGTCGTCGTCATCGCCGGCGACATCTCCCCCCAGGATGTCATCTCCCACCTCCCCGTCCTGTGCGAGGACCACAACGTCCCCTTCATCTTCGTCTCGTCCCGCGCCGAGCTCGGCGCCGCGGCCAAGACCAAGCGACCCACCAGCGTGGTCATGATCATGGAGAAGCCCGACGGCAAGAAGAAGGCCGCCGCCAAGGACGACGCGGCCGACGGCGAGGACTTTGGCGAGACCTACGCCTCGCTGGTCAAGTACGTGCAGAAGGAGTACTCAAAGCAGGGATTCTGGGTCAAGGGCGAGTCGAAAGCATAGAGGAAAAAAAATAGTCAACTGAGAGAGAGAGAGACAGAGAGGAGGTCCGCTGGGTTGTTTGAATCTTTGTTCTGGATGTACTATACCAGAGGGCTCAGCTCGAGAGCAGGGCTGGGCAGGCATGACGGCGTTTTAGGTATTGTGATTCAATTTACTGGATATATATACTTGTTTCTGGCCATCAAAAAGAAATTATATGGTATCACTGATTCATCAAAATTGAAGTTGCTTATAATCTCATTTAGGTTCACAGAAGTTTTTTCAGTACTAGGGATTACTATTCGAAGCCTAATATAAGGTACACGATATGAGACGAGCCAAACTCCATTTCCGGAATAAATTGCCCCGTCCAATCATTCAATTAAGTCCTAGAAGGTTTCCCCTTTACTCAAAAGGATTGGTCCTGGTTCCCCACCAGGTCAGGAACACAGACAAGCCGACAGTCTCGAACAGCTTGGCGACGACGTTGACGCCGACGGTCTCGAGGGGGCGCCTCTCGTGGAAGACCTGGGCGATGAATGTGGGCGCCGCGGTGGCGGCGAAGATGAGCCCGCCGAGGTAGGCGGCGCCCTTGTAGCTCAGGGTGGCCGTGGCGTTGATGAGGGCGCCGACGCTGTAGCTCTGGAGGGCGGAGCCGACGAAGGAAGTGCCCCAGGCGGCGATGGCAGAGGTGGCCTCGCGGGACTTGATGAACTCCTCCTTGGTGTTGGCGAGCTTTGCGCGCTGGTAGGTCTGGCCGAAGATGGGGCTCAGGACGGCCAGCTCGATGCCGTGGTTGAAGACGAGACCGAGGGCGATGGCCGAGGGCTTGACGGAGGGGAGGTCTGTACAGGGTTCAATGTTAGAAAATCTCAATTATCTCATACGTTTCTCTCATCATTGTGCTTTTCATCCAATGGCAGTATATGTCTCTCCAGAGAGAGGATGATGACATGCTTGACCACGTATGAAGGAGCTACATGACCAGAGCCGGGGCAAGCTTACAGTGCAGAGACATGATGCCGGTGTGAAAGTCTGTCTTGAATTCTGTTTCAGAAGAAATCGAAGCTGTCAAGATTGTGATGGTGATGAGGGAGACAAGTTTAAGTTACCAACCAGCCTGGGGGCCTATTTGTACTGTCCTCCCTCCCTACCTCTTCCCGGGCCTCGTGCCCACCCCTCACCCGATCTCGATCACGTAAAAGGAACCCAAGGTTCCTAGGCCCAAGGCCACTTGGCGCGATGCGAAACATCAGCTTGTCGTCACCATCGGCGGTAATGGATGACATCACCACTGTCGTTTGCCCCAACACCCGGAAGAGGAAATTGGAGGCCAGGAGCGGACAAGGGCTAGCGGGGGCGCGCTGAGCCGAAATTTGCAGCCGCGGGTTCGATTCCAATGCCATTCCAGCAGCCGCGGGGGCATCGCGCCATTGTTTGTCTGGTTTTGCTCCGGGCTTTGGGTATAGTTTGCAGTTCATGTGGAGGTTCCTGAGTTTGATGTGGGGTGGTGGCTCCCCCAGATCCCGCTGAGGTACCGAAGGCATCATTTTGCCCTACCTGCCAGGAGATGACATCAAGAGAGAGCTGGCTGGGAAAGACGTCTGGTGACTGGTGACTTCATTGTTGGTTCTTTGTCCAGCACGTTGGTGGACCCTGATCCAGGAACTGCCTTGGTTTTGTGTTCACATTGGAATGGTTGGTGGTCAATATACAGCTGCCGGCAATAGACCACACTCCCTATGGGACCGCAAGGGCAAACCCGTAATCCCCATACCTCATCATGGCAAATGGCAAAATGGTGCTTAGGAAATGATGTGCTTACGTGCTGCTAGGCCAAACACGTTATTGATGGAGCTGCAGTATGGAGCCGCTCAATGGCCAGCAGGTATCCTGTCTGGATGGCCTTGCGGCATGTTTGATACGACCTCAACGCAGATACGATCAATTCGATGTGTTGTATCTTTGGCTGATTCACGGGAAGGGTCTTGCGGGAAATTGTAGAAAACTAGGAGAATCAAAATATCATATAAACCCAAACACCATTGATAAGCCTGTTTCGTTGACGTTCAAGTCTCTAGTGAGAAAAATGCTGAAACAGATAGATAGCTTCTTTATTCTATGTACAATGACCAAACCGTCCTCCATTTCTGGAATTGGTTTGGTCAAGCAGAAGCTCGCCAGCCATGTCTCCTCAGCAATACAGTACTCTAGACATTGAAACACCTCTTCTATGCAGTGCTTTGACCCTCGCCCCCGCGCAGCGCGAGCAACGCTCTCACATCATGGACGTACTGAAGGCCCTCCAGTAATGGAACAAGATGCATTAGATCGTAATCTGTCGGGTCGTTGATCCACCCTTGTATAGGAATTGCATTATCTAACATAGAAATTAGGATAGGTTTCACACAGGCCAAAAATATAAGGCTTTCTTTTCTTACCTTCATGGAATAAGTAGCTCAGCGGACTATTGTCCAGAATCATGACATTACTCAGATCGGGCTCCACGGAGCTGAGATCCTTGATGTATGCGCCTTGACGGAATGTGCAATGTTGACGATAGTACCTGGCAGAGAAGAATTTTCGCTCCTGCTCCAGCCAGTCGATAACTGGATCTGCGTACTCTTGGACTGAAGCCGTGAAGATGACCAAGTTGAACCACTTGCAAACTCGTCGCAGGAACTCGTCACAGTAAGGGCGCTTATTGACCCAGTACAGAATCGGGTGCTGGCCAACGTTTCCTTGGCCGCTGTTCATCCCCAACGAAGCTGCATTGAGACGGACTTCGACCATATGACCGGTGCTCATCCGTCCTCCTTTCGACATGCTGTGAATCAAGGTCTCGTCGAGATCCAAAATAAGCGTTTTCTGAGGCTTCCTGGGCGGTTCCATATTCAGATACGAGGGTTGTCGTCGAGGAATCAAGGGGCGAGGCGGAGCTGGAGTACGAGGATACTTGGTGAGGGCGGCGACGGGGGAGGTGGGAGATTTCAGCTGAGCAGAGAGCTCATCGCCTCCGACCTCGGTTGATTTTGTTCGCATAACGGCAGATTGAGTCTTCCGGTGTCTCCGTTTTTCTAGTTCATCGTTGTTGAGTTTGATGCGGATTGACTTGCGAGATGGGTTTATTTCATCTGCGGGATCGAGAGACTTGGAGCGAGTGTGCCGTCTATGGTCTTTGGTATCCTCACCTTCCGATTCTGATGTTACTGCAGACGAAGATACTGATGATCCAGATTTATGCCGTCCAGATCGCCGTTGCGCATGTGATGGGTCCAGGCCACCATGGTTTCCTCGAATATCACCGTGCTTTTCAGATGTCAAAGAGTTCTCCTTGCGAACGCCGAACATGGCCTTGATCGATGCCCATGGTGCGAAATTCCCATTCGCATCACAGAAGCAGGCTATCAGGTAGACTCCAGGGGAGGTCAAGGTGGCAAAAACCCAACGAATAGAATTGAGAATGCTGGAAGTAAAGTCTCGAGGTATCGTGCGCCACCATCGGGACCTTTTATTAACTTTCTTTTCGCTCAGTAAAGGCGTGTCTTCAGTTACATCATGGTCTGGCTGCTCGTAGGCGGTTTCCGTGGTCGTATGCTGTGGGTATGAATCCATGTTTGTAGATGACATGTGATCTTGGGATTGCTCTGTTTGCTTTTCGCTATCTCCTGCAAGGCCGATGCCCAAATGGCTCAGACTATTGGAGCGGGAAGAGGCGCGACTGGAGGATGGGGTTACGCGAGTGATAATATTAAGGGAGTTCATCTCGAGGAAAACAGGCAAGCCATAAGGGGTTATCGATGGACAGGAGGATGCCGGACACGACGAGGGAGGAGTGCAGTGTGGGCAGGTGGGAAGTCAACGCTGGTGGCGATAGTATGGGGAGGAAACGGGACCTGAGAAACGGTTTCCGTTGGACCAGTGCCGGGTCTGGTCGCGTATCAAGATCGATAGAAAACGAGCGTCGGAACTACAAGAGCGGACGATGGGCGTGCTGGACGACGGATGGAGACGAGGCGTTGTCGAGCCGGCGAGAATGCAGGCAAAGGGCTTGGATACAATTGGCACTGCGATAGTTGGCGAGTATAGGTCCGATGCGACGTGGGAGGCTGGGCGAATAGAGGCGAACCCGTCGATTGAGTTTGCTGGCTGGTATTTCGTCGCGGAGCAGCCAAACAGACTGAGCGATGGGGCGCAACCCGCGGCAAAGTGCCTGGAGGGTACTGGGGCAATTTGGGACGATGCACACCCAGCTCTGTGAGGAGTCGAGAAGGTGGTGGTGGTACTTATGCAGTGGAGTGTGACGGGCCCGAGGCACTTGTAAGGTTGACGATTGATTGCTGGGGATGGGAGGATGGGATGCGAATGATGGTTCACGTGTTGGGCGTGGGAGGACGCCTGACTATTCGATTGGCCGGCGGTACAGGGCTTCGGGGGCCCAAGCCTGCCCCTACGTAATTGTTGCAGCACTGCGGCGGGCCTGCCATTGGCCCATTGCCCGCTGACCTGGAATCTTGTTGAGCGCATGGAGGGGAATATGCTGGGGATCGGAGGAGCTAGCAGGCTAAAATCATCAAATAGCTAAATCGAATCCAAACAAAGAAAGAAGACAGCTATGCAAGATGGTTTTCAACACCCCCAAGCTCTTGATGCTCCGGGTGCTTCCAATGGGGCGAGCAGTGTCGGCGCACAGGACAGACGATTACTGGGTACCTCTACGGAGCATAGGAGGTAATTACGACTGTCTCAACGACCTACCAAGGTACCTACCGGAGTAGGCTCAGACGTGCCCACAATCTCGCCCGCTGAGCGAAGATTTTCAGGCGAAAATAGCCTGTTGCAGCGACTGGGAAAAAATGCCCGTGTTCGGGTTTGGGGCTCGCACCTGACAAGCCAGATTCGGCAGAAAAGTGGATGGTGTCAGACTCAACTCAACCAGTTGACGGCCGTCTTATTACTGCCCTCGGACGAGACTGCAGTAGGCACATTGCCTAGTTCTCTGCGACCGACGGATTCTATCGGGTCGCATTGGGGTTGGGACGTTCTGCGATGCTGCGTCCATGTTCATTGGGGCGTGAGCTATAGTCTGCCCATGCAATAGGACATGCGATGTAGGTATGGCCTGCGTACCGTCTCTGGATCATCCCTTTCCATTGACTCGGCAAATTCAAACCCAAGCGACCTGCACGGAAGCTCAATCAGATCGAATTGAGACAGTCCGCCGATACCTACCTACAGGCACAGGACACATGTACGCTAACAATACGACCCCTGCAGCCTTGAGAATTCTATGGCAGTTGTCCTAGATAGTTTTCCCTGTCGTCCGCTTTTGGGTGTATGTATTTCTTGCAAACTATGCTGATACCACCCATAACGTCCTCCCCAGCAGTCAGCGCTCTCGCCACTTCTTACCGCCTCAATACTGTTGGGCAGACCTCTGGATTGAGTTAGTCGGCAGGATATAATGGCACGGTAGAACTTTCCAGAGTCGCAGTTCAGTAGGATTGTTCAACGGACTGATCAATTCCATGAGTATGTGGGGTACAGAGAGTTGCGCTCAAACCACTTGTAGCCACAATGCCTATCAGAAAGTATCAGCACCCATGCGGTACCATGTAAAAGAGACATGTGATTGTGGGAACTCTTCCAACGAGAGATTGGAAGGAAGATTTCCAACATGCCGAGTTACTACGACGATCGAACCGCTAGTCTCGGCTTGTGATTTATTAAATCATCGTGTGCGGACTGGAATTCTGCTAGGTAAATGCAAAAAAGAAAAATATACATCTCTAGGTTTATGTTGCCCTTGGTCTCTGGCCCAATGCTGCAGACAATTGTTGGCGTTTATGCCAGGTGCGCATAATGATTGTACTGGCAACCGAAATTGACCAGCACTATGGCGGAAGCTTGCGTCAGTCTTGGCATTGCTTCATCGTGGGAAATGGAGGGGTAAGTCTGATAGGGAACGATAAGGCTCTAGCCCCGGCGGTGGTAGATGAATGATCGATACACGAGCAGGCATGGCCTTGGTTTGCATCAAATGGCAGATTACCTGGGACTCTGCAGCTATGCGTTCGATGTAGGTACGACAATGGCATGGCTTACACCCCCTTCCTCTGGCTTGTCTGTGTTCGCATGAGTAGGAGCGTGGCTGGTTGTCGCACAGCAGGTAGGTAGCTGGTGCAGGGAAGTGAAGTGCTGACACCACAACTACCCAACTTGCGAATCAAGATTGTTACAGATGGGCCATTCCTCTGTCGCGGGCTGGGACTGTCGCTCGCCGATCTCGCCTGGGCTCCAGCGACAAGCACAATTCAACACAGACAAAGCTGGCATCTCCATGACGAAAGTGCTGGTGTCGTGGGAGGGACGGGATGGGGTAAATCCCCCCACATGCCCAATTCATGCTTTTGCCTGGCCCTGGCTGGCGGCTTTGCCCTGTCCCTGGGGCCTGGAGCGGCGGCGGCCGTGAGGCTTGAGCAAAAAGCGGCACCGGCCCTACCAAAAAAAAGAGGGCTGTGATTGAGTCACGCTTCGCCGGCGACTTTGCTTGCAACACGACAATTCCACCACCTCAAGCTTGCCTTGATACACGCCGCCCCCGACTGCACAGACCGAAACCCCGCCTCTCGAGCACTGCAGCGATACAAATATTTACAACTGCATCTGTCATCCAGCTTGTCGCAGGTACTGGCCGAGCTTAAAATCCGCCCCAGTATTCCCAACGTGTTCGGCGCCCTCAACCACCACCCTAAGCACCACTTGAACGAATTTCTCCGACGCCTGCGCACCCCTGCCGAGGAAGAAACCTCTACGAGCGAGAGTCCACGAGTTGTCGCCGTTTAATTGTACAAGCCATGCCTTCCGCAGTCGCGGGCTATGCGCCCAACCTCGACAAATATCTCAAGTCCTTGAAAGGCCAGCCATTGGAGCTGTCGATAGAGAACCTTGTTTCGTTCGTCAACCCCAATAGCTTTAGATCACCCCTCCCAAAGAGGCACCATGGGCTAACTTGAACCTTCCTTGTTTCCAGCCTCCTCAAACGAAGACAGATCAAAGGCGCCGAGCCATGCGCCGTCGCAACCGCCCACATCATCCTCCAAGTCGTCGCCAGGTCAAAGTGGCAGAACGTCGACGGCCTCCTCGACAACGTCTCCCGGGTGGGCCGCAAGCTGGTCACCGCCGCGCCCACCGAGCTGGTCATTGGCAATATTGTGCGCCGTGTGCTGGGCCTGATCCGCGATGAGGCCGCTGAGGATAGGAACGAGCCCCAGAGCGAGGACCCCAGCGACGGACATGCGACGCCCACCGACGCCGTACCCAATTCCACAGTCGCCAAGCAAGACTCTGCTGGCGGCTACCTGAACAACAGCCCTGGCCCCCAGTCACGCCCAGGCCTGATCGTATCCCAGAGTTCTGTCAATATCCCTAAGTCGCTCTTTCACCTCCTCTCAGCCTCCCCCCCCGCAGACTCAGACCATACCCCCGGGTCGCCCTTTGCTGGCTCCGGGACATCGACTCCCCAGCATCACAAAAACTCCAGCAGCCAGGTACACGCCTTGAGATCAGAGGTCATCGATGGCATTGAGGAGATCAAGGACGAGATCAGTCAGGTGGATGATCAGATCGCGGCCCTCGCCGATGTGCAGATACACTCGGGCGACTATCTCCTGGTACACCGTCCCTCACCCACAGTAGAGCGGTTCATCCTCCGAGCTGCGGTGAAGCGCAAGTTCACAGTCCTCATCGTCACAGAGCCACCCCGGAAACACCTGGCGGAGGTCCAGCACGCCTCATTTAGAAAGAAGCTCTCTGCCGCGAAAATCACCGTGGTCAATATCCTCAATGGCGGTCTGATGGCGTACATGGCAAGAGTGGACAAGGTCATCCTGGGGGCCAAGGCCATCGTGGCCAACGGAGGAGTCATCAGCGATGCTGGTGCCGCGGCAATCGCCCGTGCAGCAAAGGAGTCGGGGAATGCCGTCATCGTACTCGGGGGCATCTACAAGCTCAGCCCAGAGACTCCCTTTGGTGAGGACGAGGTCATTGAATGGGCCGACCCATCAAGCTATGTGGACTTCGCGGACGGGCAGCTGGTAGGATCTGTCGATGTTCGCACTGCAGCCACCGAGATGGTGCCTGCAGACCTGATTGACACATACGTTACAAACTTGTAAGTGTTTCTGAATAACCATACGAGTTCTTTATATCAAAACTTTGAATACTAATCCGTCATTCAACAGAGGGACACATACGCGCGATCATCTGTCAACTCTGATTGCTGATCACTACAAGCCTGAGGATATCGACTTCCACCTATGGGATGATGCGAGAAGATGAAGGGCTTAATTGCTGTCTTAGATGCATGTCCTATGTAGGCCGGAATAGTACCTGTCCCAAAAGAAAAAAAAAGAATAATTATATGTAGACCCGCCATTGAGGTATTGACTCCATCAACTCCTTTGGCCATGCCCCGTTCGCAAGTATGAGACTCAGTCTATATACCTAATAGAAGCTCGGAAGGTTCTATGGAAAGTAGGAACTACGTAGCCTCGGAAAGCTTGGTATGTAGTCCCTTTGAATTGCCAAGCACCATTGTGTCTTCCACTTGTTAGATAGCACACATCCAGACAACTATCCTTTTTTAGGAGAAAATGTGCAATGAATGTTCGAGGAAAACAAAAGGCTTCCCCGGCGTTAGTCTTGTGTGCTCGTGAGAAATGGCTCCGTAGGCTGATTAGCGAAGATTTTGAAGTCAAGGAAGTTTCCAAAGCCATCGAGAGCATTGATTGTATCCAAGGCCCCGAAGACAAAGACACAACGCTATCAATCGACATCATAGGCGACCAATTCTATTCTACACTCCAGAAGGTCTTTCACCTAAGTAAAATGCAAACTTGACAGAGCCTATGCGAAGTGGCCAGAACAGGAATATCAATCTATTGGATTGCGTGCTATCAGTTCTCTATATACACTAGTCATAGTGATCTATCTAGGGAATTCAAAGCACTCAATGCGCAAAACGTTTTCGAAGGATGCTTCTTCACGCGGCGACACGCATAAAGCCAACCATCAGATCACCTAGGCACGGGTGATCATATCATCACGGTCGGGGCCAGTGCCAATCCACTTAACCTTGACTCCAATAAAGTCCTCAATGTACTACAGAGACGGTTAGTAAATAAGATCAGTTCCATCCGGTAGTTGAAAAGAAAAAAATACCTGGACATAATCCCGGGCCGCCTTGGGAAGATCGTAGAATGTCCGGGCCTTGGTCGTCGGCTTCTTCCATCCGGGCATTTCGTGGTAGACGACCTCGGCGGTGTCTAGGACGTTGTGGTCCGCCGGGTAAGATTCAAGTTCCTGATTCTGTTAGCTAAGCCTCAAGACCTCGGTCCTCAATCAAGAGTGTCCTACCTGGCCAGTGTTCTTGTCCTTGTACGCGATGGCAATCTTGATTGTCTCAAAGGAATCGAGCACATCGAGCTGCATAAGAAGTCAGTAATTTTATTCCCCTCGAATCAGTTCTTGCAGAGCTAACCTTGGTCAAGTTCAACGCGGTGTAGTAGTTGACCATGTGGCCATGCTTCACAACAACGAGATCTATGAAGTTTGTAAGTAACAGCCAACTTCAATATGAAGCAATGCGAGGTGTTGACCAACCGAGCCTACACTGTTAGCTTGAATTCCTAAGATTCCGTAGGAGCATGGCTTACCAGCCACAGCGACGTCTTCGACCTGTCGACGTTCCCCATTCTCTCCCCTGCTCTTGGAGCGTTTCACCAACTCTGTTGCGAAAGATGGTTAGTCTGTGTTAATTCCAAAGCTAGGTGGTAGTTAAGGTGACAGTACTGTCCGAGATCTTCAGTCTTGAAAGCGCCGGCGCCAACACGTGTAGTGTCTATACTTGTTAGCGTCTAGGACAACATCCATTGAGAGTGGTCACGGCTGTCGGTTTCGACATGGCTACTGGCCTCGAAATTCCAGTGATTTCTCATGTTACTTACAGGCTTTTACAACTCCGATGGTCTCTGTGATGTTCTTGGGGTTGAGGTTCAAACCGGCGATGATGCCAGAAATTGTGGTGTTAGACGAAGTGACATAGGGGTATGATCCCATAGAAAGGTCGAGCATTACGGCCTGTTGACATCAGGACAGCTAAACCACCTGGCCATGTACTCCCAAGCCCTGGCCATGGGTACATGACGACAGGCAGTTTACCAGCCCGGTCAGGTCAGTAAAGAGCCGACTTATTTAGAGTGGGAGTACGAACATTTGCACCCTCGATGATGATGTTCATTCCACTCGTTTGTCTACGAGAATTAGTTTGCTGTCATATTTGTAGGAGAAAGGTAGATGGTAAGACCAAGGAACTGGGGTCACTTACGCAGAATGCATAAAGCTCAAGCCATCAATGGCATACTTTGCGAGCTCCGTACGGTATCCTTTGAATCTCTCAATCTCTTCCTCGACATCGTACTGGAGAAGATCACCGTATCGGGCCTTGTAGCCATATGCCAGTCGGCGTAGCTTCGATTCGAAGAGTTCTTGGTCAAAGATGTCGGCTATACGGATACCACTTCTCTAATCCTGAGGTTAGTGAGACAATTGATGCTCGGGGATTTTGGATGCTTACGGCAGCTTTAGTCTATCAAAGTGTTAGTATATGTTTTCTCTTTAAAGGCCGACGATTGGAAAATATACTTACGCTGTAGGAGGGTCCGTTCACATCACAGTTAACTTATGTTTTGTCCATTACAGAGGGAGACTTATAATTCCACGGCCAGTAGTGCCGATCTTGCGCTCTGGTCAAGTTAGACATGATCAAAAACCTAGACTGTTTTAAAAATCACTTACCCTTCAACTCCACCTCTTCCAGGCCATCGACGGCGGCGTGAAGGTCAAACTATTGGCAGCGAAATCAGCATTCACAATGCCATTGAGATCTCAAGGGTCCCGGAGGAGCGTACGTTGACATGTGCCTAATAGTAACATGTTAGTAAGTGTATGACACAACGCGGCGGCACGGTGTTGCATGGGTCACTGACTCTATCAGATACGAGAATGCGGTCGTAAACGGTGGGGAGGCCTTTCTATCTTTGGTGTCAGCAACGGTCTCGATAACCACCACATTTTAGCATGAATTACCTCTTCCAATGTCTTCAGCTCTTTAAAGAACGAAGGGCTAGAAATTGTCAGCATTGTGACTATGCCTCAATACGCCCAAAGGATTGTATGCCGAGCTCGGGGGTAGACGAGAGACTCGCATACAAGCCCAGAACACTAGATGTGGGAGACTTACACATGGAAGCTCCTATTATAGGCGTATTCCGTTAGTAATGGTTAAATGTTTGCTCGCCACTAGCCCGTCGTGATGATAGGCGTTCGAGCACTTACACATCGGTGCCGATGTAGTTCATGCTGCCGTCAAGTCAGCATCTACTCATCAAAGGTGAGCAATTGTGGATAGCGTACCAGCTCGGGTTGATGAGCCCGGACGGGAGCAAGTGAAAGCTGTCGGTGGTCAGTTATCCACTTCGTCGATAACCTAGTCTTGGATTCGGTGTCGCTATACCTGTACGAGACACCGTTGGCGCTGTCGCAATGGTGGTTAGCAACACAGAACGCAGTTTGTGCCAATATAGCACGAGAGATCGGACTCACACAATGGAATGGCCGGCGTTGTGACCTCCCTGTTATCTCGGTTTAGTACATTCATATGCACCGTCGCATAGGATGCTGGGCTTACGGCAGCTCTGGCGCTATTATCAAATCAGCATCTAAAAGTCGTCAAATGGAACCCGAGAGGGGTTGAGTTCTGGATACAAAAGAAGGGTGTCAACAGAGGGCGAAGTCTGGCTCAGCAATCCCATGTGGCTGGCACAATGCTCGACCAGCAGTCATATTCGCCCTCGATTGACTCCCACCACCAATATCCAGAAACAGCACCCTTGTTGCTAGTAAAGAACATACCAGAGCTGGGCTTCAGGCGCGAGGATATCCGTCAGCTTGCCTTTCTAGTGGTTCAATTCGTCAGTTGAGAGGATCAATGGTGTCTATTCGCAGGGTAGGTATAAGACGTACTCCTTCGTCGCCTAGGGAATCGCAATTAGTTAGCAACCAAACGTCGATGATACACCCCGCGATGCCCCGCGCGGGGCACGCACAACACATGGGAGAGACATTGACATACCCCATTGGGCTCCCAGAACAACCTTGATAGTCATGATGTGCGACCGGGGAGAGTTCACCGTGCTGTTGGGCGAGTGGGCAGAAAAGTCGAGCGTGAACCGTATGGTTGATCCGGGAGAAATAAAAAGACGCGATTTCGGCGTCAAATTCGGAGACCAAGTTTGTCGGATGCGTCACTAAATCTAGTTCTTTAGGTACAAGCGCAAGGGTTATTTTGCTCAGAGAACGACTCCACTTATTGCCTCTTCTAGTAATATTTATTTTGAGGTGACCCAGCAGCTTCATTGAGCATTCTTTCTAATGACCATGGCCAGTTGATGCCATTATGGTGGTTACCTAGGTCTTTTGGAGGCATTGCACATGTTGCCTGGTCTGTAGGGTCTTGGGCTTGGCCTTTGGTTACCTATCTCCTTATTCTCTAGGCCCGGATATGGTCGTTTCCTTGGTGTTGAAATTTCTGTCGTGCAGCTCATACTTGGCGGCAGCTATTGTCAATTACAGCCGCGCTACTGTATAAAATAACTTGGCTACTGGTTGCGACAGGCTGCATGTGCGATACCGCTGTTCCCGCTGCCCTATGAGATGGCAGGGGTTTCAATTCAATTCAATGGCCCGGTTTACTAATGTAACATTGAGTCCATGTTTTCTCGGTGTGCTAAGTATAGGTACTTACAGGCTACCCTACCCCGAAGCCACCCCCAAGCTGCTCCAGGAGTCAACGGCATAGCCCCATCCTTGGACGGAGGGAAGATGACATCACATTATGGCGCGTGTAGACAACACCATCTTCTGAGCATGTCAGGCGTACGCGTATGCACTTGAAACCAATATGGATGCGTCGGAGGAATGTCTTGTGCTGTGTTACGTATCAGTGTTCCGAGCCTCCCTGGGCCAAGGCCCAACCAACTGAATTCCTTGCCACTTCTCCTCTACCCAACTCTCCGCCTGAACTTTATATTAGTATTGTATGACAGGCATTCCTAATCATCCAGATTCAACTATCACAAAATACACAAAGAGATCGTACAACCATAGAGCCTAGTCAGCACTGCCGGGCTTCTCTTCCAGCAGCTCATAGAAACAGAACCAGTACAGATCCCGCCAGGATGAGTTCATCGGCATATATTGGTGATGAACCACCACCACCATACTCAGAGACCAGCAATGATTCTATTCCCTCTCACCAAAGACAGCAGCCGCCGAATCCGACTACAGACCAGCCATCCTCATCACGGCCTACCCAGCTCTCCACTTTCGCCATCAGTATCAAGCCAAATACTCGCCCGTCGGAGATACCCTACCCATCCGAGTGGGCTTCGATGCACCATGTGAGCCCTCAGGACTGGGATACCTTTACTGGGCGTCTGATCCCCGAACCTGTGCACCAAGACAGCAAGTGCCTCTCTTACGAGCGCAAGAGAGCGATCGAGGCTGTCATCCAGGAATGGAACGAGACCTACTTCGAGCCGAGAGGTGTCAAGATCACATTCGAGGAGTATTCACACTCCCAAACAGGCGGCCAGTCGAGTTCGGGGGCGTCATCCAGCACTACTCTTCCGCCCACAGGCCATCCCGGGCCATCATCTGAGCCCCAATCACAACGTCCTCCACAACCATTCCCAGATCAGCTACCTCCTCGACCAAGCGGACAACCCTCTCGCAAGTACATATCCACGAGACAAAAGTTGACGAATAAGCTGAAGCAGGTTGCTCAAGAAAACGACATCACTTATTCGCCCCAACATTTCCGTGTCGGCCAGATGTTCACCGTTGACTCCAAGAAGATCCAGATTGGCAGGCTGAACGTCGACGACCGAGGCGTTCAGTATGGAGGAAGGCCAATAGGCCCTCAGTTCCCACCCGGCTACATCGGTCAAGCTATAAATCCCCAAAATAGACCTTCTCACATGAATGGCTATGGGCAGAACGGCCCCGGCAATGCGTCTGGTTATCAATATGCGGCTCAGCCCCAGGCATATTATGGTCATCAAGGGTACGGGCCCCCGAACGGCATCCCGCATACGGGGTCCTGGTCGTCTTCGACTTCATCCCAACAACCAGGAGTATATGGTCCATATCAGGGACAACCCTCGCACTCTCAAATGAATGGATTCAGGCCGCCACAAGGACCTCCACCACCCCAGGCCAGAGCAACATTCGGATGAGTGCAGGCTCGAAAGTAATCTGGAGCCACCTTCGTTCTTGTTCTTTTTCGTCTTTCCAAAGGGAGTTGCCTGTTATAAATTAGCGAAATTGGAGTTCAACACAAGTAGAAAACCGGTGTTTATAGGTGTTAGAAAATGGACATCTTCCTTCTTTACCTCTGATTCCCGATCTCAAGACGACGGCCACCAATCTCTTGAAACATTTTGTATTTTAATCATTTGGCTTTTTGTCTATCCTCGTTCCCAGAGATATATGCCTAGAATAGCGAATCATAAGTCCGTAGACATTCGCCGTCTATACACTCAACACACCCTTTTTTTGTTCCCCCTTCCCTTCAGCCTCTTAGTGCTTGCTCTCGTCCTTCTCCACCAGGTCGCCGACGCCCAGCGACCGCCCCACGGCGACCTTGACCTGCCTCTCGCTCGCCGCCTTGGGGTCCCGGCCGACCTCGCCCACCGCCTCGCCCTCGTCCGCGGCCTCCCCGTTCTGCCCCTCCTGCTCCTGGGCCTCGTTGATTTGCTTGCGGATATCGTCCAGGTCCAGGCGCATGGAGAAGGCGTCCTCGCCGTCGGCGTAGTACTTGGCCTCGGTCTTCTCGTTCTTGAAGCCCAGGGTGTCTTCGTACAGGTGTCGCGCGGCGACGTTGGACACGCGGACGTGGAGGGAAACGTATTTGGCTTGGTATGTCTCGACCATGGCGAGTTCTATGTCAAAGCGTCAGTCTCCATGTGCACAACCAGCATTTCTCCGTAATGAAGAGACAGATTCCAGCCTCGTAGCAAGATAGGTAAAGGGGGAAACGTACGGCTCTGGCGCATGAGCTTCTCAGCAATACCGAGGCGGCGGTGCGTACGCATCACACTCAGACTGGTGATGTGGCCGTGGGGGATGCCGTCTGAGGGCTCCTCCTCCATCTTGGCCAGGACGTAGCCGACAATCTTGGGGTAGTCATAGGGGCTCTTCTGGGGCCTGGATACGTCGACGGCGACGAAACTGAGCTGGGGCCATGACAGGGAGTGGTACAGGTAGTACTTGAGGAAGTAGTTCTCGGGGAGGTTCTCGAGGTTGGCGTGCTGGATGAGGGGCAGATCGGCGTTGGTGAGCAGGCGGATATCCATGGCGGGCTGTGAGGAAGGCTTCTGTCCTTCCGGCGGCGGAGAAAGAGGGTTAAAGGAGCACTCGTCGGCGAGGGGAAGAAAGATGTGCTTAAAGTCAGCCGGTTCAAGGGGGTGGAAGCGGGCAATTGTGCTTGAACATGCGACAGACCCGGAATTTTTGGGTGCGGGAACGTTGAGCATCGAGCTGTTGTCCATTTGCCCCACCCCCGGATGTAAGTCCAGTCATGCGCTTTCCATGCTTGAATTACGAACTGAAGCTGGCTGCTTCCAAAGAACTTCTCTTTTTTTGTTTGAGGGAAAGACTCAGAAGTTTAATTTTATTCATATTATCTAGCACTCAATTTTCTCCATCTGTCATATAATTTAGAGCAATGTTACCAGCCGTTCCTCTAATGCTGAAGACCTATAACATGGTGCGGCGGTCCAAGTATCAGATTTGGGTACCCTAGAGCTAGACAGGATCAACAACTTGGAGCAAGAACTGCTGTGATAAACAAATATGTCTTCGTCTTCTTTTTCAACCGAAAAATTATTGGAACTTAATATTGAAAATTCTTAAAATTCTCTCTGAGGAAACTTGACATGCTCTAAAGTGGTTATGGGGAGACAATAACACAAATTCACCTGAGCTGGCAGTCATAGGGAAACAAGCACATCTAAGGAAGCTTGTTAGTTGAAGCTCACGGTTGATACTGCAAGAATCTTGCTATAGGGGTTACGAAATGGAAGAAAAACATAGAGCAGTTTTAATTTTCGTATATTTCTATAATCTACTCTCCTCTATCATGCAGTACTCAGTATAAATTTTGAAACATTCAACATGAAGCCAACAGCCCTACAGTGACTCCTCGTCTTCTAGTTCAAGAGCTGATATCATCTTCTCCAACTCTCTAATAACGGTATCATACATGGCTCCCTGAAGTCGCGGGTCCCCAAGGTCCTTGCCGACCCCAAAATCACACTCGAGACACTTTTCCGTCATTGACCTGTACCGTGACCCCAGCTGCGAGGGCAGGGAAGACAAGCGGCGTACTTGCTGGATATCATCAGCTTGTATATCCGTCCACCTCCCAATCTGGAGAAGCGCCACACCTAGGCAGTGCAAGTTGATGTTGCGAATACCATGGACGAGTGTTGCTTTCTCCAACTCTGGATCAGGGGTGACAGCCATCGACGGCTGGAATGTAGCCGAGGTTGCAACGGTGGTAATCTGGGAGCTCTGTGCCAGCTCTGTCCTTAGATGTATCGTCTTTACGCATTCGGAAATACTCGTGGCACTGCAGTCAAACCTCAAGTCGTCCAGCCTCCAGTAATCAGACCACCACGGTGTTGACCAGAAGTGAAGTGTCGCTTTGGCGAGAGCCAGGGCCAGGTTGAGCTGGTCCACAATGGTAATCTTCTCGTCTAGTGGACGACTGAGAACTTGGCTAAGTGGAAGCGTATTGGGATGAGGTTTGTTCTTCGCCATGCCAAGTATAAATTGGTCATCCAAGTGACTAAAAGCGTATCGGTAATCATAAGGGCTTTCAAGATAACCCACTGCCACATTGGACTCCTGAACCGGAGTCCTTCCGCATATTTTGGAACAAAAATTGGTGCTGAGAGCTAGATCATCCGCAATGCGAAAACCCTTACTTTGCTTCTGCTCTTTTTCTTGTTTTGGTTTCTTTCTTGTTCTCGCTCGAGTAGGACGATACACCCGCATTCGGTCCCCGAGAGCCAGACTATTGGGTTTCAAGCGTTTTGGTGACCTTTGATCCTGCTCGGACGCTTTATTTAGGCCTTTAGACAACTGAGTTTGATCAACAGGGATAGACCATGCGATATCTTCGCATGTAATTCGTAGTGGAGTGGCATCCCTGAAAAGCAAATAAGCCTTCTAGTCAAAGTGATTTCCCAGACGAGAATCCTGAGCTTACTTGTCCACATGGCTCTTCTTCTCTGGGACAACTTCCTTCCAGATAATGGCCCTGAGCTCGATTTCCTTCCCAATTGTGGGGGTGATGAGCAGGCTAAAGGCGTGCTGAATATGTAGCGAATTTTTGCAGGACCAATGTTGGGAGAGCACTGTATGTAAAGAAGCCGTACATCTTCTGACGTCCCGAAACTCCTTGGATAAGACTTTCCGCCGAGTGGTGACGGTTTTTCTCTTTTCCATTGATTTGCGAAGGTGCCGAAGTTGAGATACAAGGTCGGTCAGTGTCGCCATGTCTTCTTGGAATTGGGAGAACTTGAACAATGATGCAATGGCCACTTGAATTTTACTTTTGACTGATGTTACCTGTTATGGTAATTTGTGATTAGTATTCAAACGAGAGAAAGGGACATTTTCCTCGTGGAGACCTACCATTTCACTGTAGCTCGCATCAAGCTTCTGAAACTCGCCCTTCAATGCGGTAGTAGTATTGTAGATTTCTTCAAAAAGAGCCTTGTAGGATGTATATTTCCCGCTCAGACGATCCTGAAGACGATCCTCGAGCTCATCCATGTTCGTACCCTCAGTATCACCGCCATCGAGTAGAGCTGTGATGGTGGGCTCGGTGGATGTCCCACCCAAGACAAATTCGGATTCATCGCGGAAGAGCTCCATTTGAACCTCAAGTCGAGTCCGAAGCTTTCCGAATTCCCTGGAGAAGCGTCTGTAAGTCCTTACTTTTGACAGAAGCCATTTGCAGCCCTGGATAGTCTCCAGGCAGAGTGGCGCAACTCCTAGCCCGGACATTGTGCCTCCTCCAATGGCCTATGGGTGTTGATGACCGGTCAACGTTTTCCATCCTCCTTGTGGATTAGAGCTTGATATTATGGAAGAGCCCCTAAAGTCGCATTTTAGAATGTACGCCTTGTTGGTTGCCTTGCTTGATAGGGGTATTCTATTGGGCTAATGCTACCCATGCAGAGGGGCGCATGCACTTCGCCAACGACGCCACCATACACTTTGGGACAAGATAATCCATTATATTAAGACAATTCTGCCCCCATGCCTGACCATTATCTAGGTCTTACCAGAAAGTACTGCCATTTTTGAAGATTTCTTCAAAAAATATTCGTCTCAAGGAGAATGAGTGCAACAACCCCGAGGCCGAGCCCCTGCCCCGGCAAAACGCCACATACAATTGCCCTGGACCTTCAAACGGCATGCACAAAGTTATTCCGAGTTGTGCTAAGCAATTTCCGAAAAGATCACATTGACTCAAATGTCGTCTCCCGAATTCACAGAAGCAGTGGATCACTGGTCCTGTGGGCTCGAGACTATGGCCTGGCGTATGGATCCATGGATGAAAAGCTGTTCTCGATGCCAAGGCTTCGTAAACGAATCCTGAAATCTTTGCAGGGAACTTGCGAAGTATTGCTCCATAGTAAGAAGGGTTCCCGACTGTTCGGCAGTCTTCCTAACATCATTTGATGTGCAGGACTTCTACCCCTGATTAAGGGTCCTCATCACACCGATCTTCAGGAAGCGAAAGAAAGTGCCACTAGAGCTTTAAGCTCGATAGATTGCATGGAACCCGACGAAAATGGAGATGCGCTATCTATCATCTCTGTGTATTCTGCTGCGCCTGACGCGCTAGAGGAGGCATGTTCTGATCTCGAGAACGAGATTGAGTGCCTCATGGCGTTGAGTCCTTTGATAGATGAAAGTTTCCAGAGTAAAGGCGAAAAGAACACCCAGGTGGCGAAGAAGACACAAGCCAAGGCCTCGAATGAGAAGGGCAAAGTAGGCGACACCATATGCAAAGAAACCTCCGCGCTGAGAGACTTAAAAGCCGACGGGCGGAATATTTCTCGGAAGAGGCCTTTAGAATCTGATGAGGGCCCCAGTGAGACGGAAAATGCGGTTACACCTGAACAGCAAGATACAGATGCAAGCTTGCTCGACTTACACTCAGCTACTTCATCGCTAACTATCGCGGATGATATCGACATCTCAAAGCATCCTCTTTCAAAATGGACATACTATTTTCCTCGGGAAGAACATGACATGGAAATGGCAGATATGATGCACGACATGACGATGCGTCTGCGCAATCAGGAACTTATGCTAGCTCCCCTATCTACTGAATCTACACAGAGGATCCTTGACTTGGGTACGGGGACAGGTATCTGGGCAATAGATGGCAAGTAATAATCATCAATCGAAAGATGAAAGCAAACTAATAAAGCTGAAAATAGTTGCTGACCAATATCCATCTGCTACTGTCTTGAGCTGGGATGTCGCCAGCCTGCAACTGCCCAAATTCGTCCCGCCTAATCTGTGGTGGGAGATCCAAGACTTCGAGACAGAATGGGACTATGAAGATGTGGTTAGTGATCCATTCGACTTCATCCATGGATCTGAGATTATACTGGCTGTGAAGAACCAAGAAGCATTATTTGCACGAGCTCTGAAGTAAGTTGTCTGGCCAAAGACCATCTAGAAGCCGTTGGCTGATACAAAGGAAAGGTATCTGAAACCCGGCGGATGGTTCGAGTTGAAGTTTCTCGACTGCACAGTTCATAGTGATCACGCAGAAATCGACATTGATTCTCCGCTTATACGAGTGTGGCATGAATTAGAGCGAGCTCTTGGAGCGCATGGAGTGGACACGGCGATCACGAGCAGAGGAAAAGTGGCAGATTTGCTCAAGAGTAAAGGATTTAGCGATATTCGAGAGATGGAGTATAGAGTGCCACTCGGAACGTGGGCCAAGGGAGAAAAGTGGAAGTATATCGGCCTCGAGGCACAAACGATATTCTACGACAATCTCTGCTCGCTTCTCACAACACCCTTGCTCGAAACGTCATCCTGGCCTGACCAGACGTCGATTGATCAACTGATATCATCCGTTAAGGATGCGATGAAATCTAGGGGACTCATCGGAAGCAGACTTCATATATACTATAGGGTTGTTTGTGGACAGAAGCCTGCTCCCGATCAAGAAGATTCAGTCCTTGGTAACGAACCAAAAGAATAGACAGCAACTATTCAATGGATGGCTGAAAACTTGATATATTTTACCATACTCTTAAATCATATCGATATACGGCGAGGACGGCCTAATGGCGAAAGAACTTGAACCTCGTTAATTGATCTTGGATCACAAATCAGCAGCCCTTTCGGCTTAGGATGAACGTACAGATGGGCGGGATAGTCGCTGAGTTTTAACCAAAAAGCCCTGAAGAGCCAAAGATACCTTTCATTTTGAGGTCAAAATCTTGATTGAAACACCTACGAATTTACCTTTGTCGCCTGTGCCACTAACAAGACCCAGTGAAATGCGCCCAACTGAAGGTGGTGGTGCAAGTATTTAGCGGGTGAGTGAAAGTCGGCGGTTTTAACATGACATTAAAGAATCCTTTTACTATTATTCAGAGAGTTTGGAAGCTCCATAGTATGAGCCAAGCATCTGGAGCTAATATTGAGAGTCCAGCACTCAACCTGGTGGGTTTCGGCCATTATTCATACACATGGCGGCCAAGATTTTCTGCCCCGCCATGAAATCTATAAGCGCAGAAGCCTTCATTATCAATCAATCACCACACATTTCAACTAGCACACTGCCAGAGAAGGCATAAAGGAATCTTGAGCCTACTATTCGTTCAAACGGCAATAACAACAACGCAAAATGTCTACAGAAAGAAGACCCCCATCGCCTGATCTATTCGACGATGTCCTGAACGTTGAGTCGCGCCTTCACGACGCCGGCTACAACGACGGCCTCAAGGACGGCAACCAGGCCGGCATCGTTGAGGGCCGCGGATTCGGCCTCCAGAAAGGCTTTGAGAAGTTCCTCGAGAGTGGGCGCTTCGCCGGGAAAGCCATAGTCTGGGCCAACCGTCTACCAAGCAAGCGGCCAGCGAACCTGGATGACGCTGGATCAGAGAAGACCCTTCCGCCGCTCCCAAACAACGCAAGGCTGGAGAAGAACATTGAGACGCTCTACTCTCTGGTGGGCCCGAAGGTGCTGTCTCTGGAAAACTCGGATGCCTCAGTCCAGGACTTTGATGACCGACTGAAGAAGGCGGAAGGAAAGGCGAGGATCATTGAGCGGGTGGTGGGGGGAGCCGGCAGAGCAAGTTCTTGAAATGATTTTTCCTTCCGAGCATTTGGGGCACAATAGACAGGTCTAGGTTTTGGCGTTTCATGATACCAGGGCACGCAGTATAGCTTGCAGTTGAAGGGATAACACAAAGAAATGGTTCGAGTTCTTAGTTTAAGCATCTATTTTTATGTACATATAACAACCATTCCAACTTTACTTGAAAATTCGGCAAGGATATCTAGAAGAAATACAGTGGTTAGCAATCGCGTTCTCCGGGGACAGGAACTTCGTGTCGTAGCTTACCCTTCGGGGTATGATCGTTCCGTCAGAGAGTACTTGTGGACATCCCACTCGCCCGAGGCCAAGCTGGTACCGCTGGGAGTAGGTGGCAGTCCGCCAACGAAGAGGTCCTTGGGAGCGGCAGCAGGGACCTTCTCCAGGGCCTTGGCCAGACCGGCCTCGCCCTCTTGCTTGGCGGCCACGAGAGCCTGCTCGCCCGCCTGGCCGATGAGCTCGACCTTGGGCTGAGCGGCGCTGCCGACGGTCAGGAGGCTGGCGAGCTGAGCCTGACCGATGGTGCTGGTGGCAGGGTAGTGACGGCGGTTGTCACGCTTCCAGTACGGGTTGTCGGCGATGTCGCCAGCTGGGACGGTAACGGGGTCGTCGTAGGCCAACGGGTCGTTGGAGCCGGGAGCTGGGTTTCGGTTGTGAGGGTTGAGGGGCACACCATTGGATCGGTTGGCGTCGATGGCGAAGACCTTGCGGATCCCCTCCCAGAGACCGGAGGACTGGAGAGTTTGCTTCTGCAATTGGGGCAAGGGAAGGCGTTCGTTAGCACGTTGCGAGACAATATCCATGATCAACCGCATCGGGCGCGGAAGCGCTCAATTGAGCGCTCCAGGGCACGGTCCGGGGGCATTTGAACATACCTTGGTGATTGACACCAAGCCGCCGGCAGCTTTGGCGACCGCTTGGCTCGACATGTTGACGTTGCGGATCGTCAAAGTGTGAATTATCAACGCTGGTTGTATAGAAATCGCGAGGGATTGGCTGTGGTGATGGAGGTTCGGCAACTTGGATCACCAGTGGATGTTCTCCGAGATTTTACCGCTTCCCTCCACCACTCACAGCGCATGAATTTCAGATATACTGCTCTTAGGTCCACTATCGCATCTACCAGCAACAGTTATACTGTCTGCATAGATAAAATTGTGAAAATACAAGTACAATTCTCAAGGCTGATTGAGACAGTGCTTGATTATTTCTTCGAATCAATATTTGTACCAATACTTCTCTTTGGTGTTGAGATACGATGATGGACCAGCACCTTACGGAAGCTGTGGTACTGTTGTCAAGCTTACTGAACAATCCACCAGCTTCTCCAGTATCCAATAAACCGATTGGCGAGCCTTTTGGTCATCGATTTTCTGCAGAGATGCAATGCCTAGGCGCAAGTTTCAATCATCTTATTGAACATCGCATGAGTCAAAGGTTGCCATGATTGCTCGGTAATAGATTGGTTAGTTGGCTTGGTCTGAATGGGAGCAAGACAATAACATCCCGACGAAAAAGGCAACCAAGTTTTTAAACCAATCCAATTATAAACCCTACCAAAGTTATTTCAAAGTGTCCTATTCCATAGTTACATGCTGAATACCATCTCCTTGCGCCCAGCAATTCCAGAATAATAGCAAAAACACAGCAGAGTCGTCCAAGAAACTGTTGCAAGCTCGATCACACCAATTGAGACCGAAGGGGGAGAACCCAAGCGAAAAAGCCTGGTCATTCAGGCCTTGAGCTCCTCAACGAGCTTCTTGACCCGCTCGACGGTGGCAGCAGGGCCGCCAGCCTCGGCAACAAGCACCTTGCCGTCCTTGTTGACAACAAACACACCTCGCTGGGTGCCCTTGGGGGTCTTCTTCAGACCAATTGCTCCAATAAGGGTCTGGCTCGGGTCACAGAGAAGGGGGTATGGAAGCTTCTGCTTCTCCTTGAAGGTGGTGTTGGCCTTGGGGGAGTCATTGCTCAGGCCGTAGATGGCGAGGCCGTCGGCAGTCAGCGGCTCATATGAGTCGCGGAAGAGGCAAACTTGAGTGGTGCCTGTAAAATAGAATCAAGATTCGGTTAGTTATCGATATTCTTATGGTGTTGTGTGTTTGATAAAGGGGGATTGGGGGGGGAAGGGTTGGGCGCTTACAGCCTGGGGTGGATGCCTTGGGGTAGGTAAACAAAACCACTCCAGCCTTGCTCTCGTCAACAAGCTCCTTGAGGGTGGTCTCCTTGCCATCGTTTGTCTGGATCTTGCCGCCAAAGTCATCCAGGGAGATTTCATCACCAACAGACAGCTTTTCGCCGTTGGCCTTCTTCTTCTCCTCGGGCTTGGCAGTTTCCTCAGCAGCCTCGTCCTTGGACTCGGGCTCAGGCTCGGGCTCGGCCTTGGAGGGCTTCTCAGGCTCTTCCTGAGCTGCCTTTGCCTTCTTGGCCGGCTTAGCAGCTCCAGCAGCCTTCTTGGTCTTGGTAGCAGCAGCAGCCTTCTTCTTGGGAGCCGGCGCGGGAGCGGGCTGTTGATGCGCCTTGCGCTTGCGCAACTCGACAGGCATTGTGGCTAGGGGTCCCGGTTTTATATTGGAAGGGTAAAGAAGGGCAAGGCAGAGAAAGCACGAAAAAATCGGCAAGAAAAAGACGCGAGACGATGCGTGACAAGACGCGTTCAAGCTCGGGAAGCTGGCTGTTTGTGATGATGTTTGGCGGTTCGGCTGCGGTTGGGGAGGAGGGAGGGTAGGCAGAGGAGCGATGGTACTCGAGGTGCGACGGGCAGCTGGGCGGGCGACCAGTGCGCGATCGGCCCTGCGAGTCTGCGACAGACAAGGTAGCAGAGCAGCTCTGCCCAGCTGCCCAATGGCAACAGGGCGCGCGCAAGCTGCCAAGCTCCCTCCAGCCTCCAGATTCTAGATTGCGATGCGACGGGGGAGCTTGGGCCATTCCTTCCGCTGTCGTCCCACCCCTGCTGAGCACCTGGTCTTTCCTTTTTTTGGGGAGATAGTCTTGTTTTTTCAGACGGCCCTTGCCCAAGGCGGGGCAGTGCTCTCGAGGCTCCCGAAGGCCCAGGGGCCCCAACAGCCACCAGAAGGGCCCCCTCACCTCCCGGCAACAGCGTGTTAGTGGGGTCCAGCAGCTCCTCTCAGCGCGCTACCGATTTGCTCACCACCAAAAACCTGCATGCTAACCGCCTAGCTTCTGCCGTTGGTCAATCACGCCACCTGCCACCGCCCTCGTGTGTCTCAACCTTACAGCCTCTCCGGGCCAGAGCAACGCTGCAGAAAATTCCCGTCCTGCTCTGTGCGCCCAGCTGAGAGCGTCTATCCGCCATGATTAATCCAAGGGTGAGCCATTGGGTCGAGCTCGATCCGCGAGGATGGGGGGGCAGAGGCAGGCAATTACACATAGCGCCGTCAAGCTGACAGGTCTTCCCGCAGATGTTTGTGGCTCCAGCAGCAGCCTTTACAATGGCTTGCCTTCTTTTAGCGTAGGCCTTGTCTCATTCCCTTGACCGAGTATGCGCGTGATTGCTAACGGCCCTGCTTTGGATAATGCAGCTACACGAGGTCGTCCATCCGTGTCGCACGGGAACAATCTGTATGCTACCCCATCTCTGTTCCACCTTCCAAACTGCTCATGGTGCAGAACTTTACTCACAGGTTCATTTGTCAGAGAATTCGCACCTCTTCGTCGGGAGATTCAAGTCCAAAAAAGACTCCTGAATCATAGGGCAAGAGTGAAAGGATGGCAACTTACCGTTTGTAAAACGGTAGGGTAAGGGACAAAAGTCGTCTTTGTACCATATTGTAAACAATCCAGCATAGCTAGCCGTTCAATGCAATTTTTTTGAGTTGTATTTGCTATCAAACAAGTGTCTGTACAACGGGTGGATAGGCACCCCATGTAACTCCAAGCCAGGATACACCACGCAAAATGAAAATCAAGAATGCGTTAAAGGTAAGAACTATACCTCCAAATCCTGTGTCAAAATCTCGCCTGTTTTTCTCAAATGCAAGAAACCGCCCAACTTCCTCAACGCAGGCAAAAAAAAAAAATACAGCACTATCAGAGAACAAATTCTAGATAGCTCGATGGAAAGGCCGAATTTGAAAATCGTGTATACACGAGTATTTATCCTCGTATGCTCCTATATCCAATGATTCAAATGCGTGCAAGTTTGGCGAGAGAGGAGAAAAAGGAGGGAGTAAAAGGGGCCACTGGCCTAGACTTTCATTGTCGTTAAAGTCCAAAATTGAACACTCTATAAAACCTCCAGCCGACCAAGGGGTATCGCGATATAACCAGTTGGGTTATGGTAAATAGGTATATATGATAAATATGCTTCCAATTCCGCTGCATGCGTGAGCTCTGTGTCTTTCCTCGGCTTCCGCTATCATAATGCGGCTGCCTCCTCAAGTAAGGCCCTGCCGTCTTCACGGGCGCTGTTCAGTTGACCCATGACCAGCTCGTAGGTCATCATAGTGACTGCTGCGGCTGGCACTGCCCGGGTCATGTTGGTTCCCAGCCCAGCGTAGAATGCTCTCCAGCCTTCCTCTTGAAGTATCGTTCGGAATGTCCGGACGATTCCCTTGTATTTAGGACTCTGGGGCTGGGGTTTAACTGCGCCAGGCGACCCTTCGACACCCATCCCCTGGACTGTTTGCTCTCCAGCAACCGGCCGCCTTTGGGTCTGCAGCCTTGTTCGTATGACCTCGTGAGGGTACGTTGCGCTGCTGGCCAGGATCTTGGATAAGATAGACGCAGACAATACACCGAACCAGTGAGTCTTTCCGTGGGCAGGGGTTTCACCCATTCCTTGTCCAGTGAAAGTTCTCTTGAGAAATTCATACGTCGGGAACTGCACGGCGACATGAGTCAAACCGAGAAGCGCGGGCGTCAAACCCGAATAAAATGATAATATGCCTTCAGAAGTATACATCTTTCGCGCAGCGTCGATGGTCGATCGATAGTGCCACGGGGTAGTTAATGTCGGCCTGGCAGTAGGTGTGCTGCCCGTCTTTGGGAAGAGGTGCGGCGGATAGTGCTTGGTCGAGTGGCTCTGCGACATGAGTCGAGTCTTGATGACCCATATGGGATTAGTTACAACTGTGCTACTCCCACCCGCCACAATTGAGGACCAAAAGTTGACAACATGAGGATTGTCTATTGCGTTTCGTTAGCAACGCACATGTGATATTTCCAGCAAAAAGCCTGTGCTCACCCTGATATTGGCCCAGCCAGGTCTTGGCTTCATTATACACTGTAAACCACACAGCCCAAGTTGGCAAGTAGCCCATCACGATAGGCCCAAGCCCCCGATACATCCCTCGAATTCCTTCCTCGCGCCATATTACCTTGGCAGTCCCTACAAGCCCGTTGTACATCTTCGGGTGCCCCGCATGGCGGCCCAGATCGACAGGGTGGTATGCGCCTTGGGCCTGAAGTTTTGTCTTGATGACATCCAGAGGACAGGTGACGATTCCAGAGGTAAAGCCGCCGACTGCGCCGGCAATGGCATTGAACTGGGAGTCACCGGCCCTGGCCGCCCATTTCCGAAACGGCGTCAAGGTCTTGTGTTCGTGCATCGGCGATGTGCCGGCCTCGTCGGCGGGATCGGAAGGGGAGAGCGGGTAGCACGGTGGCGCATAATAATCTGGAGATGATGGCTCTGTCGCCTGTTGTCGTTGCTCGTGAGACATTACTCTTTATCTGATTTTGTGGTCGAATTGTTTCTCTCTCTCCCCCCCGGTGGTGGTCGGGACGAAATTTATAGTCTACTCCGATAGCGAGTTGCGGTCTTATTGGGACGCCGCAGTTCCCAAACTTCACAAAGCTGTTTCGCAGGTATAATCGCGGTGAAAGAGCCGTTCGAGCCCGTTTGTCTCAACCCAAAGACTGTCTTTTTGTTCTGTTCTCTTGAGGTTTGTCCGGTACAGGAATTCCGGCACTGCGGGGAAGACTCCCACGCGCAGTGACCGTTCCCGTCCTAGCGAACGCCCCCGGCCATTGACCTGGAACAAGACAATTCGGGATTCGCTAAAGAGAACGAGGGAGAAGATGGATAGGCGGTGCAGTCGACGCTGGTTCTCCGGGTCGGTCGAGGGTGTGCTGGCGGGGAATGGGAGAAACCAGCGATGAAGCGTCCGGGAGGTGTGGGAGAGAGTGAAAGGCGTTGAAGGTGTGTGTGAGAGAGCAGAATTGGCCGAGGTGGAGACTGGCCTAGGCTGGAGCGATTTGGGACCAGCACGCTAAAATGGTGGACAGCACGCTATCCTATGCATTGCTCAGCAGGAGGAGGAATTATTACGACACAGACTGTCTTTTTTTCCTTGGTAAACTGCTCAAATTGGCGTAGAGATCAGCAGAAAACCAGGTTTATTTCTTGTGGTCTGCTATACTAGACGAAATGTTTCACGGACAATCATCCTTCAGCCATGCATATGCAAATCCCCAGGGTGCTGAATCATAACCTTTATATCGGCGTTGGACCGGGCCGGTGATCTAGCGAACCGAACCAAATCCCCATCAGCTTCGGACAAAATCTGTAAACCTGCATAGGAATGAATAGAGATAGTCCAGTGGGCCAGTTGTGATCGCAGCCTCCATTCAACCGAAAATCATGCCTTTCAACCTTCAACAACCATCCCCGCAGCCTTTCTCTCCGATGAGACAGGTCCCTTGAGTTCGTCATAAACGGCCAGGAGTGAAAACGGTAGCGTCAAGTCATTCACGTAATGGTGCATTGGGGAATTGGAGCACGTGCGCCAATCGTCCTCCGACTTGGCCCGTGGCTGCAGCGTTCTAGTCCAGTTCATCTACAATCTTGCTCCCCACATCCCAGCTCCGCACAGCTGGTAGCCTACCCTGAAGCAACTGGATAGCTTAGTCATTCAAATCCACGTGACTGATCCCTGCGACCGTCCAACTTTTGCCGAACCTGCCCAGCATCGACGAATCTCATATCGCGCATTTCGAATTACATACGATCACGGCCAGGACCACCACCTTCGCAACCCGCGCCACTCCAACCCGGGAAATACATCAATTCAAGATGGTCTCTCTCGCCCCCTACGTTCTCAAGAGGCCCTGGCTCTCACGGATCCTCAAGCCCATCGCCTCGTGGTATGTGGGCGCCTCGGGCTACCGCAAGCTCGGTCTGAGGTACGTTCTCCCGCGTCACCCGAAATTTCCCACCCATTGAGCCGCTCTACGCCCATCAATTGCAGGAAATACCCCGGAGATCGATGGTGCACAACGTTGTGGACGATATATGAGCGAGGGGCATCACCCCTGCAATGCCAATTGTGACCATTTTGCTAAAATCGGTATTTTTTTTGGGATAGATACGATGACTTGATGGAGGAGGAGCGTGAATCCGTCCAGATCGCCCTGAAGCGTCTCTCCTCAAAGGAGAGCTACGACCGCATCTACCGTATCCGCCGTGCCGTCCAGTGCTCCTACCAGCACAAGCTGCTCCCCAAGTCTGAGTGGACCAAGCCCGAGGAGGTTCGATACTCACCCGCTCCGATCCCGAATACCCCTCTCACCTTGGGGACGAGAAAGTTCGAATTGCTGACAATGCGTTTTTTGTAACACAGGACGTCTCCTACCTGCAACACATCATCGACCAGGTCGAGGCTGAGATCGCCGAGAAGGACGCTCTTGACACCGCCTCCGTCATCAAGAAGCACTAAACAAAGGGAAGGGTATGGGCTGGCAGGCAGGAAGGAGAAGGTGTGGAAACGACTGTACAGTAGGAGGTGGACTTATCACGTCAGACCGTCGTTAGACAAAAGAGGGCTATACCTAGATATAGTAGCCTTTGTATATCCATTTGTTGAACCCCATGTATTATCCTCAAATCCTCCCTTCCGCCTCAATCTCGTGACGGACAATGCTATCACCTCCGATGAAAGGCAGCCTTTGCGAGAATGCATATTAAAATGTCGATAACATTAAGGTATCTACAGTACAGAGCGATGTTGAATCTAAGAGGTACAGCTGCAGCCCGAAAATCCAGTCAAGCATCGCTTTTTTAGTAGTATTCTGGCAGCTTTTTTTTATCAACAATGAACTCGCCACAATTCATTTTGTCCAGGCAGACACCCTCGCCGCCTTCTCATGAAGCCCGCATCCTTTCTTGGTTAGGACGCCAGATACTTGAGTTACCCCAGGATATATGGTATCAACCCCCGCCAACAATCCCAACTACACCACATGAGATACCCGACAAAGGGTAGAGAGCATGATAGAAATGACCTCCTGCGTACATTGCAACCACATATGGCCGTATTCCAACCCCATGCTCGACAAACCTTGTGTTGTCTCTCTCGCCTCACCCATAACCAACGAAGGCCAAGAACTCGAACGCCACCCCGAATTTTCATAGTCACTAAGATCCTCTCACACCAGGTTAAACCCTTTGGTAGAAAAGGAGGTACGCGACCTTGTTCTCCTTGATGTTGTCCTTGGCCTGCTTCCCCTTGGATGCGTTTCCAGCGCCGTTAACGACGCTGCTCCATCGCTTGTTGCCGTTGGCAGAAACTGTGACTTGCTTCCAGCCATCGTCGTCCCCATTCTCCTCGTCCATGGCACCGTAGCGGTTCCCAGATGCGCCGACAGGCTCGGTTTCCTTCCGATGATTCTTCTCATCCTCAGGAAGGTGCTTCTCAGCAACATCATCGCTGCGGACCTGTCGAAGAACTGTATCGTCGAAACGGAGCCAGTCCTGTCCATCTGGGCGGCGCACATCGTTTGTGTAGTGTCCACCACTTGCATTCTTTCCGTGGTGGTAAACAACGCTGATCAACTTGTACTTGGGCATAGCGTCAGATTGACGATACTGCCTCGACAGAGCTTCGCGGGGAATCTCAAGCTCAAGTGGGTAGTCAATCTTCTTCCAAATCTTAATGGTGCCATGGCCCTCGGCATCAAATTGGAAACGCTTCAGATGAAGAATGAGAACTGGCGGAAGAGTTTCGATGAAAACTTGTTTCGTTGCTGTAACATCCTTGCCTCGGGGTGAGTTGAAGTCGCCCTGGAGACGCTCAGGGCGTGTCAGACCTCGCAAAGCATCAACAACATTGCGGACTTCAGGAGAGCCAATGTCCAGTTGAAGTGGTTGATAAGGCTCGGTTGTGATAGAGTCCTTCAGTCCTGGGACTCTGAACTCGGATCGGAGCAAACCGCCAAAAATCTTGGTAATGGGTGTCGTGATGTTGGTACCAGATAAGCGCGTCACGGCGGCCTTTTGTTTTCTTCCCACTTCAAGCCAATCATCTACTGCCTTGTCACTAACCGGGCTGTCACTGTTGGAATTTAGCGCCACAGAAGACAGCGAGGTTCCCAACACATGGGTGCACTCATCGTCAAGTGACTGCAGGAGAAAACCCAGGAATTCTTCAGCATCTTGCTGGTGGCCTCGCTGCAGACCATAATTAGTACTCGTCTCCAAGAAATTTGCCTAAGGTGTGAAATGATAAGACTTACCCTCATGCTTGCAAACCGCGGGAGCTGCTTGATTGCAGCATACACATACTCAGGAATGAAGGGCTCCCCGTAGCGTTCAACTTCTTCGGGCTTCAGAGAGCGTCGAAGCTGCTCCACTGAGCTCGCAGACTTGATGACAGGGAATTCGTGCATAAACATGATCCTGACAGAAAAGTCAGAAGCTAGATATCAGCAAGAAAGGCAGTGTTTTAACTCACATTGCATCAATCAATGGCGTATCGCTCTTGAAGCTATGAGCGGCTCTTCTACTGACTTGGTTTAAGAAGTCATAAAACGGTACACAAAACATCAAAACTTGCAAAATCTGTCACAGAGTTATTTAGACCTGTTCACCTGTCTGCTGTAGGGTTAAACTTACCGAATTCATATAACACATATTCCCCGTGTTGATCAAACCCCGAGGTTCAATATAGCCAATGTTCTCGGTAGCGTTAACCTTGTATGATCGAATGGCATCGGCGACATTACTGGCATTGGATTTTGGGAGGGTGGTAGAAGGACCGTCGGAAGACGCCTCGTTGTCATGCCCGTTCACTACCGAAGCACCATCGGTTCCTGTGGCTGCGGTAGAAGGCTTGACTGGTGAAGCAGCTGGCTTTGCAAAGAGATTGGCCCAGCTTGAAGGTGCTGGCTTAGGGGCCGGGGCGGAAGCTGGCACCTCCTTTTCGGCAGTCTCGTCCGTGACAGCGGCAGCAGCACCCTCCAGGTGTTCATCCCCTGCCTGAACAGAGCCTTGTCCCTTGACCTCCTGCCGCGGGCTCTGGGGTACCGGTGGCTTGGGAGCACTCTTTGGCAGAGACACGAGCGGGAGCGCAGGCTGGGCCACAGGTCGTCCATTGATGGCTGCGCCCTTTGCCGAGGCGGGCGATCGCTGAACAGACTGAGAAGCATCCGACCCTGAAGTGGAAGCCACCTTCTCTGACACAGGTGTTTTGGGTCCCGAAGCACCATCTTGAGGCTTCTCATGAGCGGGAGTTGCCTCCTTCTTAGCCTCTTCCTTCGTCTCTTGGCCAGCTGAGGGCTCATGACGTTCGATAGGTAAAGATACGTTTACACTACCAGACGCTAGTAATTTTCTAGACGTCTTGAGCTTCGACGAGCGAACAGGGAACGGTAGATCGGGTCTCGAAAGCCAAGGAAGCTACGACAGCATGATTAGCACAGCAATTGGGGTATTTCACTTTTTTGAGCAAGAGCACATACCGGAGCACGGAATGGAACTGTGGGTGGGGGCGGGCTTTTTGGCGCCTCCTGGGATGGCGGTGGAGATACCACAGATTCGACTGTCTGAGGCGTTGGAGGGGTTGGAGGAGGGGGAATCTGTGATGAATGTGTTGAGGACGGCGTATGCGGAGGGATCGGCACGGACACCGGAGGTGGCTGATACGGCGTCGACGGCGCTGGGCTTTGGGGAAGAGGACGAGAATAGCTGGGCGGGACTGTTACGCCAACCATGGGGGCATACGGATGCATAGCGGGTTGAGGCGATCTAGGATATCCTTGGTTTTGGTAATGCATATAGCCCGGCGAAGGCATTCCTCCATTGGGATACTGAGGCGGGATCCCGGAGTAGTATGGTTGCGGAGTATAGGGCATATAGTTCGAATACATGGGAGGGGTCATATGCTGATGATACTGCGGCTGGTACTGGTGATGATGCGGAGGCGGCGGATGAGCTGGCTGTTGTCTCCTTCGAGGACCTAAGTTAGGACCTTGCCCATGACCAGACAATGTCATGTCCACGGTGCCGTGAGGCATCCCATTCGCTCCTACTCCTCCTCCCACCCCAACTCCTCCGGGCCCTCCTTGCGCCGGCGGTATATTCTGCCCAGCCGGCAGATGGCGGCTACTCATCTTGCCGGCTTGGGGGTTATCACACAATGCCGGGTGTCGCCCAACGTGTGGATGCGACGCCCGTGCGATAGTCGTCGTCGCAGATCAGCCCGGTGGAAGATTCCGGGATCGGCCACGAGAGAGTTGTTATTGAGGGGAGCTGGACCGTCGAGTCGAACCCCTTGTTGCCCACGGGAGGGCAGCACTCTGAAAACTTGTAAAACAATCGTCTATATCGTCGGAATGAGCACGGCGCTGGGACCGTCGTCGGGCTGCTCAGAGGAGACGTCTCAGGCAGCACGCGACGCGCGCAACAGCAATCAGCTCCCCCTGCTGTCGAAAAGCGGGAAGACAGAGCAGAAGCTTGGGGAAGAGGGATCGAGGCCAAAGGGAGGCATAGGATGGGCGTCGTTATGAAGTGCCGGCTCAGAAAGACCCTCCGAAGCAAGCTTGATAGTGACGAGGAGGGATGCAGTTGGAGAAATAAAATTTACGGTAGCAAAAGGCAAAAAGGACCCCAGCTCAGAACGACCAAGACACTGGCACACACCTTTTAGCGAGGAGGCGCACTGACACACAGGACCAACCAGGCCTGGGGTGATCGGGACCCACTGCCGACTCCACTGGAACCGCAAAGAAGCATTACGCCCACCACTCAATGGCAGTGTGCTGCCTGTGCGCTGGGTGGCTGCTGTGTGTGCTGTTGGGGCTCTGGCGACAGTGTGGGGGGCGGAGATTGCATCAGGCGACCGTCTTGCAGCCAAATCTGTGCTCGTCCCAGGCGGGTGACATTAAACATTAGGCACAGCAAAGCCACCAACCAACACAATACAGTCTTAGGACAGCGAAATGGAGAAATAAATGCAATGGACATGTAGTTGTAAATAATCTTATAATATCATCTAGCTATCTTTATATCACTCCAGGTTAATATCATTATTCTCAAGCATAGGTTATCAAACCTCTGACACGACAATCATTGAAACTTTGAACTCAGGTTTCTGTCGCTCGGTACAACTGTCAGCACATCAAGTCTCAGCCCTATGAGACCTTAGGACCTTAACAGGCAGCAACGACCAGTCGCCGAGCTTACACCTCAAGCACTAGATCTCTAACAGTGAGGTGCTCCGGCATTGTTCTTCACCTGAAGATGTCGCACTCAGCGGATAGTACAGCGAACAAGGCCGATTCACGACTTGACACACCAGGCCATAAGAATCAATTTCCCACCTAGAAAAGGAAGTATTAAGAAGCTCAGACTATCTGTTCAAATACACGCATCTAATGCCACACCTAATTCGCAAACAGTGTGAGTAGCGATACCGCTAAAGATTCAGAATAATATAAATGAATAGAGATATCAGCCAATCTAGATCATATTCATCTCCAGTCAATAGCACTTATTCGTCCCGAAATACCCATCTACCTCCTGGGCGCATCGCTTCTCTGTACCGCTCCTGGACGGTCTGCTTCTCTCTCTTGGAGGCCTCGCTCTTCTCCGCCTCCAACTCCTGCGTACTCGGGAAATCCGCATTCCAGAACCCTGGTGGTGACTGCATTCGGGAGTAGCGATGTTTATGCCTGCCGAATTTGTTTGCGAGTTCACGCGTCTTGGCCTGCAACCACAACTCGGCCCTTTCTTCTGATGACAATCTTGGAATTCTGTCGCATTCGTCGCCGAGATACTCTTCCAGCAACCTTGTCTCTTCCGCTCTCTGCGCGGCGGTCAGGGGAGGGTCAGGACGCTGTGATAATGCCAGTGCGCGGAATGTCTTTCCGCAGCAATGCATATCCACGCAGCCTGGCAAGCATGCTCTTTCGTTTCTATCACGAACAACCTCGGAAAATGCGAAATCGTGGCCGTCGTTGACTCGGGGGTTGATCTTGAAATCATCAAGTTTTAGTTTCGAGGGTGAGCGACTGCGTAGCATAGATGCTGATGATCTCGAAATGCCCAAACTGCCGGTTGCCTCCGGTGCTGAGCTTGGTGGCGGCACGTTGCCCCAGGGACCTCGAATGACTGGCGGAGTCTTCACACCTTTGGGCCGAGTCTGGCGATCTGCTCGATCAAACGGCAATTCTCGAGGTTTCGGTATATGTAAATCGTCACGGAGGATATTAGTCCTGTCCCGAAGCCGTGGCGCTGTGCGAGATATGGGGAGCTGCTCGTCAGCGGACGGGCTATTCAGTAGCAGATCTAAACGGCCTTTTGAAGGCAATTTGGCCGTTGCTGGCATGGTTGGTGTTGTCGACCCATAGCCGCCACCATCTTCCGCCAGCCTGGCAATACCATGGCCAATATCTTTAGAAAGTGGCTTTTCAAGACGAGCAATGGGTGTTTGCATTGGACGCCTTAGTTTATTAGGGTCGATGGGCGTAAGTGCCGAAGTAAATCGATCCCTTCCTTGCTGCGTCTTGTTTTCAGCAGCCTTGTGGCTGTCGACGGCCGGTCGGGGTAGTTCTGCGACGCGACCAACGTCCTCAAGCACACTATGCTCTGGCTCATAGCGAACTGCCTTTCGCTTGCGAGGGGTGACCATCTCTGCCACAGTTTCGCCAAGGTCTGGGCTTTCATGAGGATTGAAATCGAATCTGTGAAGGGAAACTAATGGACTTGAGCTGTTCGTGCCAGCTTCTGTTTTGATAAGAGGAGTCCTCGGTGCCACGTCGCCATCAACACCTCTTCTCTTTTTAAGCGGCCGCTCTTCCAGAAACTCAACCCCTTCGGAGGAAGGCTCTTGCTTAATATAGGGTTCTTCCACCACAGGCCCTATTTGCATCGGTGGCAGGCCTTGTTGCGATTTGTCCTGGGTAGTTACGCTCTCAGTAGAATCCGAATCAGCCGGCCCAACAGAGGCGCCATCGTCGGAACCGTCAGCAGGCTCCTTGTTGACTTCGGGCGCCGCACGACTTATTGCTGGGTCTGGGATAGATGCGATGCTTCGATTTCCCGTGTCTTCTAGCTTCTTCCCCTTGCTTTTGGCCTGATCTCGGTCGAGGATTCGAATTCCATGCTCTTCTTCTGCTGCCTTCGCTCTTTTCTCTAGCAACGTTGCGTGCTGAATCCATCGGTCCCGCTCATCTTTCCGTTTTTGAAGAGCATCCCTTGCCTTTTTAAAGTTGTGTGAAAGAGCATTGTATCTCGCACTCAGCTTGGCATATTCGGCCTTCCAGTCTCTCTCTTCTTCATCGCTGGCATCAGGGGCAGCTTCCACATTATGAGCTTTGCTGTCTACACCACCGCCTATGCCAGGTGTAGGCGTTGAGGCCTGGGCATGGTCACGCGCTTCGGTGACCAGCTGGAAATCTGCATTAAACGAAACTGCAGGCGAGACAGAAGTTGACAAATTCCCCAAGCACGCATGATTTCCTATCTCAAGACCTTTTTGTTGGAGCTCTGGGGATTGGTCAGTCACGCGACGCAGTCAACGTGTCGTGCGTACATACCAGCAACCAGATCGCGATCAATCTGCTCACAAGCTCTCGTGAGGGCTTCAAATAGAGCCGGCCTACCTCTCTCGAACCAGCTCGTCATCTTCAAAAGGGGGCTGCCCAGCTAAGTACAATTACAAAATAATGTACATCAACAAGCTGATGTTCCTACCCGCCTCCCCATGCACGCGTCTCAAAAGGCGGGTCACGTGAACGTGTAAGTACCTGGCAAAATGACATGGGTGAGCAGGCGCGGAGTGGGCAATACATTCAAAGCCATGACGTCGTAAATACAAAGTCTCGTTCTCTTTGTTCTCTCCAGACAGATAAATAAGTCGGCAATCAAAATACGTCGAGTTCCAAGGCGCGTTAGCACATTCTATGGGCTTCCCCCTTCTGAAGTTTAAGCAACCCCACGATATAGTACATATGTAGGTCGTTTGGTGGTAGAAGATGGCAGAGGGTGCGTGATGGTTCGTGCAAATTCGATTTACAGCGTTCAAGGGCGAGATTTGCACCTAGTGCTGCACAAAGTACCAGCAATTGGTCATTTCTTTCCCTAGTTTTCACACCAAGACAACAATGAATCGTAGATGTTCACTTGGTCTACGTGTGGGAAGGGTTCCCGATCCGGATAGCTCTTGGTGGGGTCTGGTGCCAATGCCGATGTCTTTACACCGTAAGCTGCATTTCAAGGTTTTTGATCAACGGCGGGAACCAACCAAGTGAGAACGGAGCAATGCCCAATGGGTGGCACGGCAGAAACGGACGGTCAGGCAGGATGCAGCGAGCCAGCCAAACCGGCCTGAGAAAGTGCTCCCCTAGTCCACCAAGGGAAGGTAATTAGCAGTGCGATGCAGAGGCGAGTTAAAGAACCAGCTCGGTATTCAAAGCAGAAGCTGCACTGAGTTTAGGAAATGCTACTGCACGTAGGGTAATCCGGGAGCTTTAAGTGGAAACCTGAGGGCCGGTCGAGACTCTACTGCCTCCCCCCCGCTTTCCCTAACGGGCACAAATGCACAGAATTTGTAGGTGACCCGTCTTGGTACCTTATCCTGATATCTTTCACACCACTCAGCCTCCCACACTTCCAGTCTCTGCACCATCATCCATTCCTAGGAGCCAACGTGCACAGCATCACCTTTCCCCCAGGTATAATCCCAAAACCAAACGGCCGACAAAACCTCTGGTGAGCATGCATATTTCAATCGTCGCCCTGGCTGCTTTCTGCCCTTCCCAGCACACTTCCTCCGCCCACAAACCCTACCTGCAATCCGCCACCTGCAGCAGCAGTGGGCGCGCTCTGATATTGAAGAATTCTCTGCAAGGCTTGCTTCGGAGCAAATACCCCAGATTCGCTCAGAGCAACCTCAACTTACCCCCTCCTCCATCCACCTTTTCCTCCCACAGCAGAAAGACCCCTCCCTCTGGCCTCTGCACACTTTTGCTGTTTTTTTCCCCGTCACACCGAACCTTACATCAACTTGGCGCCACAAAAACGCCAGGTGAAAATTCCTATAACTGTTCAAGTACTTTGAACAAGAATTTTCCACCCTCACCGACTAGTTCACAGTTTGGCTTTCCCCTTGCCTTTTCTCAGTTGTTTCACAATTGGGTTTGAAAAGACACTCACCCTGCTCCCAAGCTTCATCCCTACTCTCTCACCCCTTCCTCAGTCTGATATAAAATCTATCATCCACCTCCCCGGCCGGCCAGCCCCGTTGGATAACACATCAGTCACCCTCTTCCCCAGTCTCCATAATCAGATCTGTCTGGACATTTGTCCCGAAATCCTAACTGTCCCCAGACTCGCGAAACTCCTAAACCTATCTCAACAATGGACTTCCAACAATCCGGCCCCCAGCGTGGTGCATGCTACTCATGTACGCAATCTTATGAAATCCGATTTTCTGTTGTTCAAGGGCTAACCAGTGTTGCTTTCATCAGGCGGCTCATCTGGCCACCAGGTAGGCGAAAAATCGCCAACTAAAAACGCCTTGCAACCATGGCTGACCTCAAAGCTAGGCTCGTGACTGCCCCAGCAAGGGTCCTGCTAAGTGGTAAGCTGAAATCATCATAAGTTTTCTTACAGAATAGTATTGCTAACGTGTGTGGTCCAGCTACAACTGCGGAGGTATGTTTCGTTGAACTATGTATGTATGATACCCATGCTAACGAGTAGCTTAGTTGAGGGCCACATGAGTAAGTTCCCACCTGCAATCTCAGTCACACTCTTCACTAACGGACATGGATACTTAGGCCGTGACTGCTCTGAGCCCCCCAAGGACAACAAAGCATGCTACAAGTGCGGCCAAGCCGGCCACATTTCTCGCGAGTGCCCTGTTGGAGGTGGCGGTGCTCCCCCTGCCGGCGGTCAGTCGACTGAGTGCTACAAGGTATTTTTGACCCCTCTTCCAATCCTCGCAACAGTTCCCGCTAACAGACCAAGTGCGGCGAAATCGGCCACATTGCTCGTAACTGCTCCAAGTCCGGTGGTGGATTCGGTGGTTCTTACGGTGGCGGCGGCTACAATGGCGGCGGCGGTGCCGGAAAGACTTGCTACTCCTGCGGTGGATATGGCCACATGTCCCGTAAGTTTTCCTCTTATGACGTTCGGTTCCTGCAGCTGCTTACACTTTCTTAGGCGAGTGCGTCAATGGCATGAAGTGCTACAACTGCGGCGAGTCTGGTCACTACTCACGCGACTGCCCTAAGGAATCTGCTGGCGGTGAGAAGATCTGCTATAAGTGCCAGCAGTCTGGCCACGTTCAGGCTCAGTGCCCCAACAATTAATTTGGACGATGTCACCCGACCTCAATTATGCTTTGGCCGGGAGCAAGTTGGCGTGGCAGCTCCATGATACCCACGATGCAATGATTTTCTTTGTCCTATGGTTTTCAAACGCCTTGGTTTTTCGGGCCTCTAAAAGTTTCACCAGCAATTTTTCTTTGTCGTGGCATCCTCGTTGAAAAAAAAAATCTCGCAAGATCCATTCCTCTGGGAGCAATTGATTTTGACATGGTCTGGAACAGGAACAGATGGATCTCACCGATGAGTCGGGATCAGCTTTGTGAAGATGAGACGAGACAGATATGGGTAACGGGGAGATGAAAACTGCATTGGTGCATGTCATATTTCTCATTAACATGGTTATCGACTGACTTCTGCCAATGGGGTCAGATAGCTTCTGGAGAAAGAGACAGCACCACAGGTAGTAGTCGTTAGCTTAGGCGATGAAATAAAAAAAGCAATTATCAGTCCTGGTCAAGCCAGGAATGCATCAGACAATAGCATATGTCATATGGTGAAGAGGGACAACAAGTACCGCGAATCAAGTCCTATCAAAGAATGCTCAAATAGATTCAAACTCTGATTCTTAGGTAAATAACTGACACCGGCTGGCTATGCTAACTCATGAAACCTGTACCCGAATAATCCCCCGTAACCGTACATGGGCGTCCATGTTTTCCCGTCCTTAATTTTGACTCTAAAACAACTGAAATGGTGAAGACAACCATACCTGAACTACCTAGGAAATACCACGTCCAACGTCCCCCAAGGTGCTAGTATAGTAGCGTGACATCATAGCCTTGCCTTGGGGAAGTTCTTCATCGCCTGCCTAACTCCAAGGTCGGCAAGGACCTCCTCCGCGCCCCCCAGGATGGCGTCGAACTTATACGTGCGCTGGAACATCTCGATGTGCTTGCCCATGCCCGTCTGGGTCAGGCCGCGCCCACCCCATATCTGTACGGACTCGTCTGCGATCTCGTGGCAGGCACGCGTGCAGCTCATCTTGAGCATGGCGATCGGCCCGGCGAGGTGCTTGGCCTGCTCCGCGTAGGGCATGTGGCACATCTGGTACGTGATGGTCTCGAGCCACGACTGGTTCGCTTCTACCAGCGCGATCATCTTGGCGAGCCTAAGGGCAAAGGTTAGTCGGGATGCTGCGTTAAAGAGTTCGAGTACCCGGGTAACGAGGAACTGGGGTAGGTATTGGACGTACTTTTGGCGGATGACTGCTTGGTCGATCAACCTTTTACCGTACACGATTCGTTGGTTGGCCCATTTTAGTGATTCTTCGACGATGACTCTGGCGTTTCGAATGGCGCTGCCTGTTGAAATAATCGTCAGTCATGATCCAGTGTCTCTTGTTTGTGGGAAGTTGAAACACTTACAGGACATGGCCCATCGTTCATGGTTGAAATTGCTGAGGATGACTCGAGCTCCCTGGTGCTCCTCTCCAAGCAGGTTCTCAACGGGAACTTTAACATTGTCGAACGTGACGTAGGCTGTGCCAGCCGCTGGCGAGTACGACGTCTTTATCGGCTTGGTCTCGACACCCTCGCCTCGTTCGATAAGGAGCACACTCAGGCCTTTGCCAGTCTGAACGCCGGTGATAAAGTAATCGGACCAAAGGCCATTCGTAATCCACTTCTTGGTACCGTTTACGATCTGTGATGTGTGAATCATGTTAGCCCGTGCTGAACAACCAGGGCGGGAGTAGAGATCCGGCAGTTTGACTAACATAGTACTTTCCGTCAGGTGTCTTCTCCGCCGTCGTCCTTAGCCCGGAAACATCTGAACCGGCAAACGCCTCAGTCACAGCCAGGCTCAGCTTCTTCCGCCCGCTGAACACCTCGTCCGCAATCCTGTTCCTCCACTCCAAGTTCCTAGAGAAGTTGAGCACCGCTGTGAGACCGATCGTCATCCCAGACATGTTCCCGTCCTGGAATCCTCGGGCCATGGGCCGGCACAGCTCCTGCGAGACGATCAGGTCGTGGAAGTAGTCAAACTCCTCGCCCTTGACGGCCCCGCCCATCAGCTCCACGCCGTGGAGGTGCTTCCCGGGCCCCAGACGCATGTGCAGGATCCCCAGCCGGCTCATGTGCTCGATCATCCCCTGGCTGATGAAGTCGCCCGTCCTCTCGCACTCATGAGCCTCCGGTGTGAGATGCCGGTCGTTGAACTCGCGGACGGCCCTTTGCAGACGGCGGTGGGAGTCCTTGTAGTAGGGGGTCCGGAAGGGGGCTGTCAGCCAGAGAGGCTCTGAGTAGGGGACGGGACAGAGGTCACCGGGTTGTGGGCTGATGACTTGGGGCTTCTCGTTCTGGATGGTGCCGATGGCGAGGTCGGCGTACTTGGCGAGGACTTCATGGCGGTGGAGGTTGTAGAAGGCGGTGGTGGCATCCTGGCCGGCGATCTGCTTGAGGACCGACTCGCCGCCCGGGTGGGCGTCGACGAAGTCGGTGAGGTCGTAGACCGTGCTGTCAATCACACACCAGAGGGAGTCATCCGAAGTGTGATCGCGAACCTCTTCTCGCGTGAAGGACTGGCCTACGGCAGCCATGTTAATTTTGGGCGGTGTAAGAGTATGTGGGCGCGTGTATTGTGGGTGCGTGAGAGTGAGGGAAGGGTATTTCACCACGGCTCCCGGATGTTGGCTGTGTTATGCTAATAAGATCCGTTGTTTGTGTGACAACCACTGAGGCCCGAGCAAAGGGAGACAGCACGAAAAGGGAGGAGAGGGCCATTTATGAACTTTCCAGAGGGGTGGCCATTGAATGGGACGGGCGTACCAAGGCAGTCCTGCCCTGAGATTCATCGAATAGGGCATCGCGCTTGGATTAAGGATCGAGGATCCAGAGCAGGACAACCACGACTGAAAATGGTCTTTGCCTCGGCGTGGGACCCACGTCTTGGAGTAATCTTGAGCAGGTTGATTGGCCAATGTCGATTGACATTGATGCTTTCGGGGTCCGGTAGCCAGGTAACGTAACCGTACAGAGTCTAAGACAACACTTTAATTTGGCCCTGGGGATGGACGGAGAATGTGGGAGGGGAGGGGGGCATGTGACGTACAGTCGACATCGACGTCGATATCGACATGTCCATGGCAGGGCGGCTCGTGGTCCAATTGGAAGGGCCAGTGAAGCCTTGCCAAAAGGAATATGATACCAGGGCTGTGGGTGACAGTGGTTGCTTCTTCGAGTTACTACGTGGTATGACACTCGATGAGATTTATTTTACTAGCACCACCCCGGCAGTTTGCGAGGAGAGCCCAAGTTTGACGGCCCAGTTTGACACCTGTGACCCTCGCGTCGGCATGCTGTGGACCCAAGAAGGACCCAAGAAAAGACCCAAGGATCCATCCAGATGCAGGGTGCATTGACTGCCAGCACCGACTGGTAGGGTTCTTGTTTGCTGTCAACGTTTTGTTGGATCAGCATGTGCGAGAGGGAAAGCTGAAGAGGGTGATGACATAATAACGGCCATGTCATGCTTCCGCCGCCCTGTTTCGTCTCGGGGCATGGTGATTCTTGCCCAACCGACCGCTGCTGCAGAAGCGAAGCATCTCGGTGTCGATGCAAGTGATCGAGGGAGAGCGGGCGAGCAAACCAACAAGATCCAACACCCCGCATCCGCCAAAACCAACTGCCGTTCGTGGAGGGAGACGAGCAGTGGTTGGAATGAGTGCCCTGGCATTAAGCTCTTTTGGAAACAAGTCCCTGCCCTAGTCCACCATGTTCCATGGCGTCTTCATGGGCCACTAATAGAAGTAGTTTAGCAAGGTTGCGCTCGGTACTGACCGATCAAGTTGCAAACCAACAAGATAAAAAGATCACAGGGGAGGTGTTGGGGTTTGGGGTGGGTGGAGAGTGAGACTGTGCGTGCAAACAAGCGAGCGAGAGGCTGAGAGCCGTTGTGATCACGCGTGATACATACGTTTAGATGGCGCTATCATATTTTCCATCCAGGGGATTTCTTCATGATCCATGCAGCCAGTGAGGCGGATACGAGCCAGCTGGGAGTCATCACTGACCGGTCTGGTCTGGGTGAGTGTGTGCCTGATGGGTTTGCGGTGTGCGCCAGTCATTCGCCTGTTCCATAGCGTAAGTGATAGGTTTGTTGTCTCGTTGTCTCGGTCCGGTCTTAACCCCAACTGGCCCTGTCGCCGGTAGAGGAGGGTCCCCAGGAAACTCCAAGAAAAAGAAACTCCGGCATCCGTTTTTTCCTCGCTTTTTCCTCACGTGGATAGTAGGGATGCTCATGGCACTAGGTCCAGGGTAGGAGAGGAAATCGCCGACAGGCCGTTTCTCGCACGTTATTGGCAGCAGCGTTGTGCCGGTGAGTCAGTGCACAGCCCAACCAGACTCTTGGATCAAGCAATCAATCAACCAGGCCCCATCAGACTCGAGCCGCACTAGCATCCTGGCGGTTGCTTGAAGACTTCTATGACGGCGGTGTAGTTCCCATATGCTACGTTATGTAGCCGTAGGTTATCTAATTGATGCAATCAGTAAATCCCGCCTCTCTGGCTCTCACTCCCTGTCCCCGCTTTGGGTGCTAAGAGCAGAGGATGCCACCCCTCTCGCCGTCTCATCTTCCTCGTGAGAGCTTGGCTCACATCTATTGGCTCCTTTAACCTCATCTTGCCGTAGGCAATCAGAGATGCACACGACTACGGCGCCTTCACAACATTAGCAGCAGCCCAGTGCAAAGCCGGTCCCAGTCTTGATAGAGGTGAGTGATAATTGCCTGCAACCAACTCGCCTCATTTTCGAGAAGACGAATTTTTCACTGGTTGCAACCTGCCTTCGCCTCCCACATCCTTCCCAATTTGCTTGAGGTTCCTTCCTTATCGCTTCCCATCTTAGCGAGGGAGGTCATCTGCATCAGTCGAGTTCAGCCGGGCCAATCCTGTCACCCGACTGCAGTCTCACTCTCGACTGAGTTGTACCTGCCTATCTTAAGATTTCCCCTTCCCCGCCAACGGCTTGTGACCGTCATTTATGTAATCTTCTTCTTCATTCTCCTGCATCTAGGGACTCTATATCTCCAATTTCTCCGATCCTCTATTTTCTCTCGAGATCCCCTCTTTGAGAGTAGACCGAATTCCTATATACTCTTTAGTCCAATTGCCTAGTGTGGTTGAGCTTATCAGACCATAACCCTTCAAGCCTCTCCAAAACCCTTATACTACATCACTACCTAACCTTATCCTCTATTCCTCAACTTTCATTATCCTGTCTTTTCCGGCACATCCCCATCAGTCAGCATGGATGCATACTCTATTTGTTGTACTAACTCGGCGGGACGAAGTACATCCAAGATTTATCAAGACCTCAAAGCAATTCGGAACCACAGTCTACCGGAATTCGACCCTGGATACATGCTAAAGAAAATCTCTCGCATGGAGGCCTCAAAACAGGTATAGTACCTTATTCCCTTCATTCTGTTTATTTATCTTATCGTTCTGAATTATTTTCTACTCTCTGAGCATGTTTCATACATCTGGCCCTCTTTCAAGTTTTTATGGACATGCAGCAATCAGCCAAGTCTAGCCCTCCCGGACTGACTGTCCATTCTTAGCGTGAGACCCACGGCATCGATACAAGGCCTCATGTGGCCATCGTAGGAGCAGGCCTTGCTGGCCTTCGTTGTGCCGATGTCCTGACCAGCTACGGTCTCAAAGTCACAGTTCTTGAGGCTCGAGATCGGATAGGTGGTCGTGTGCATCAGGAAACACTCGCCAATGGGCGTCTAGTTGATATGGGTCCCAATTGGATTCATGGCACATCAAATAATCCCATCATTGGTCTTGCTCAGGAGACAAGTACGTCAGTGGGCAGCTGGGATACGGAAACGTACATCTTCAATGAGTCTGGGATTCTGTTTCCGCGTAAGGAGGGACAAGAATATGCCGACATGATGTGGGACATTATCCAGGATGCTTTCAAGTACTCTAATAAGTATTCAAGCTTCATCAATGACAAAGAGAGTCTGCTCGATTTTTTTGAGGAAAAGGTTGTCGAAAAGATCCCCAGCACGCTGGAGAACTACGAGCAAAGAAGGAGAATAGTTCTACAGCTTTCCCAGAGCTGGGGAAATTTCATCGGAAGTGCTGTGGGAAGACAAAGTTTGAAGTTTTTCTGGCTTGAGGAGTGCTTGGAAGGAGGTTTGTACCTCCCACCATAGCTGGTAAATGTTGAACAGAACCCGCAAGCTAATACGCCATTCAGAAAACCTTTTTTGTGCTGGTACCTACCAAAAGATTCTGGAACTTGTAGGCCAGCCAGTACTTACTGGAGCTGCCGGGCTGAAGTTGAGAACCAAGGTAGAAAAGATTTTCTCCAGGACGCAGCCAACCGACATGGTCAAACTTCAGGTCAATGGCGGCCAGATATTGGAGTTTGACGAGGTCGTTGTGACCTGTCCCCTTGGTTGGTTAAAACAGAACCTCGAGGCCTTTGAGCCCTGTCTCCCTCAGCGAATAACATCGGCAATCGGATCCATTAGTTACGGTTGCCTCGAAAAGGTAAGTCAAGAAGAAAGCTAGGCCCTTGTTTCTGACCCACAGACTATTAACTCTAGCTGCTAGGTTTACATCAGTTTTCAAGAGGCCTTCTGGCTCTCGAATGACGAAGAGGAGGGCCGCCATGTGCAGGGTTTCGTACAATGGATGACGCCTAATTATGCAACTGAGACAAACCCTAACAAATGGAACCAAGAAGTGGTTGAGCTGGCCAACCTCAACCCAAAGTTCGCTCACCCTACGCTTCTTTTCTATATTTATGGCGACCAGTCTGACTACATTACCTCCAACCTCGTCAAGCTCACCAACCAAGTCGAAAAGAATACTTTCCTCATCAACCACTTCCGGCCCTACTTCTCCCGCCTCCCGCACTTCTCAGACCAGTCTCCAGCTTGCAAGGTCATCGGATGCCGCGCAACAGAATGGCGCCAGGATGAGCTTGCGGGCCATGGAAGTTATGCCAACTTTCAGGTGGGTTTGCAAGACGGAGATGGAGATATTAGGGCAATGCGACAGGGGGTACCCGAGCAAGGACTTTGGCTTGCAGGGGAGCACACTGCCCCATTTGTGGCATTGGGAACGGCCACTGGGGCTTATTGGAGCGGTGAGTCTGTGGGGAGAAGAATTGCCGAGGCCTATGGAGTGGCCAAGGAGTCTGTCCCCAATGGGAGTCATTAAAACCGGATTCGATTTCGCGACGCCTGATCAAAGAGAGGATCTGACTGGTTGATAAGAGCTGAAGGATGTACTACAATATACATGTTTAGAGAAGGATTTCGGATCTGTGTCAGAAATGTAGCGCCAAATTATCGCTTTAGCGGTAGAACTGACTAAAGAGACTCAGATATTCGTGAACACCTCTGATGTCATCGTAATTAGTCGCAGTTGTGGCCTCTCAAGTCGTCTAATCGCTATAGCTTCCGATGGGTTGCAGGGGAAGGGCACATGGGGGTGTCTCTATGTATCCGCAATTCGAAAAGTGATGATCTATGTTTGATAGAATATACAACAAGATGTTCAATTTTTAGTACACTCACCGCCTCCTTTCGACCCCATTTTTTGGGTGGAAGAATGGAGAGACTGATCACGAGTGCCAGACGATTGCTATCTGTGTTTCTTAATTCGGACACGCTAATTTGGACATGACTTCGTAAGATGCCCTCGACTTCTCTTATCTACCTTATCCCGAGCTAGAGAAGGAACCTTTAATCATTCCAGCCACGGTTTCATCCCGATTGTCTTGCTGAATCTTAACTATACTCATGATGGCGAGAGCCTGGAAGGCATCCCCCATCTTGTCAGTGCTCGCCGGCCCGTGAAACTCCAGAACCCCCAGATCAGACTCCTTCTTGAACTTGGAGCCGTGGCCCTTGGTCCATGTGGCGAACGGGGTGGTGTCCCCCGGGGACCCGCTGGGCACGAGAACCAGCGATCCGACGAGGCCGGCCATCTTGCTGATCCTGCTCATCAGCCCCCCCGTCGAGTTGGGGTCCCTGAGCCTCCGCCACTCCCAGGCTTCCTCCTCGCGGCCTTGGCCTTGCCCGGGGACGTTGAACTGCCAGACGCCCATGCTGCCGATGTCCACGAGCGTGGTGCCGGTGTTGCCGAAGTCGGTCTGGAAGCCGTTGTAGAGGAGGACGCTCTGGGTGGTGAAGGTGCCCTTGCCCTTCACCTCACCGACCGTCGGGCCGTTGTCTGACCATCTGCCTGGCTTGAAGGATAGGCTCTCGGCCATCTTGGTTGAGTAGACGGGTGGGCTGAATGGTTCGGGGCCCATTTCTATGCAGGGGACTGAGTGGCCGTCTGTTGCTTGGCCCTTCTCCCAGGAGGTCCAGATGTGGAACTTGTTGGGAAGGCTTGTGAAGCCTCGTTTTGTTGGAGTTTCATACTGGCCTGGAGGGGGAGGGAACTGAGGAGGTGGTGGGAGTTGGCCGGTTGTCTCGGTCTGGCTTGGTTTTGATGCCGAGTCTGGTTGACCTGGAGGCGGAGGGAACTGGGGAGGTGGCGCAGCTTGGCCGGATGAAGTACTGGTCTGGTCCGGTCTTGAGGTCGTGGTAGGCGGGTTTGGTGGTGGAGGTGGGATCTGAGCCAGTGGGATACTGGTTTGGCTTTTGTTTGGCTGTGATGCTGTGGCAAGCTGCCCCGAAGGATGAGTTTGACCTGACGGAGTACTGGCTTGGTTTTGGTTTGATTGTGACGCCGCACCGGGCTGGCCTGGAGGAGGGGGAGGGATTTGGCCTGACGGAGTGGTGGTGGCCTGGTTTGAAGAAGGCCCTGGTTGGGGCTGAGAAGTGCCAGAGGGCTGAAGCTCAGTCTGGACGACCGAACCACTTTGAGGAGCAGGAGCAGGAGTGGGAGTAGCAGTAGCTACTTCGGGGAGATCGCTAAATCTATCTGGCCGCGAGGCCCAATTTACGGGAGGAGTGGTAGTTGCTACCTCAGGCAGACTGCTGTACTTGTCAGTCTCCGAGGCTGCTGGGGGACTGTTTGATGAAGCTCCCGGGCGAAGTGGGAGGGAATGAGGAGTCCCCGAATCGGGCTTGGAGAAAACTTGCTCGGAGCCATACTGAACTTGATGAAGCCCTGAGGGAGTTGGCAAAGCTCCAGGCCTCTTGGCAGGGTGCTCCAAATCAATAGGCGACGGCTCAGAGTAATTTGAGGTTGGTCCGAGGTGGATTGGAGGAGGTATAGTAGAAACCGGAGAGGGCCCAGGCGCTCCAGTGTTAGCATTAGGAGCTGCCGATGTTGAGTCGGCCTGGGTATCATGAGATTTGGAGGGAGCTGGAGCTGGAGACGGCTCCGCGCGGCCTGGAGGTGGACCTGGCGGAGGAGCAAAGTTGGTACCGGATGGCCCGGCAGAATCATTTTGATGTGACATTCTCTGTTAAATTCAGAGCCGTTGATTGCAAATTGGTCAAGGAGAGCACTGAGCAAGGTATGAGTCCGTTGGGTAAGCGAGGCCAGCCAAGCAGGTTCAATTATGTTCTAGTTGAGGATCAGACCAAGTTGGGCGGGAGGCTTGGCTACTATGTAAAGTTCTTATGTTCTGGCCTCGGAGGGCATGATTGCATTAGGTATACAAATGAATGAGGGTAATGGAGCCACGTTTGCGTGGCGTAAGATGCCGCGACCAATATTTGCATACGTATGAGGATAGAGATGAAACCCAATGCTGGCTGGTCAGTGCTGACTACGAGCCAAGGAGATCATCGGACTAAGTCCCCTCTCTCGGTACAATGTATGGTGCCTCAATGTGCTTTTAAGTGGAATATGCCGTTGACACCAACTGGGGCCAGCAGCAGCAGGGGTCCATTGGTCCATTCCTGAGCAATGTCAGAGAGGACGACAGTGTTCTCGTTGATATGCGCATGTTTGGAGAGTGATATATCTGATCTTCCATTTCCCAGCTTGACTCTAGATTGCTCATGGAATCTGAAATTAGCACTACCAAACGAATGTCCCTTTGCACTAACCTTTCACGCTATAGTCGGCTACCTGCTGAGCTAAAGTAATACCTCGGAAGGTACCTATCATTTGTGACTCAGTACCCACGCTCAAGTAGGAGGGACGAAATGAGTCTGTTCCAAGGAGAGTGAAGGTCAGCGCTTATAACATCTATTGATGACTCTTTCACTTGTTCTGCACCTGCTCGCTTAAACCTCCCGGGCTGGTTTGTCTCAGCAGGCAATATCGGTAGATTAATTACAGGAACAGGGCACTCCTTGACAATGGCGATATGCACGTGCCTCTAGAGGACCTCTTATCGATAAGACAGGCTGTCAAATGACGTGCCTGGCTCACCCCCCAAAACAGTCACCTGAGCAAGTCACTCTCAGATGGTTTCCCATATAAAAGCTACCTGACTTCGCCTGGTCCCGCTCGTACCTGCTACGTAAGGTACCAGTCTAGGCGTCGACGCCGCTATCGTTCACTGGGCGTGCCCGCATGCAGGGCGACCCGTGATCCTCCCGTCCATCGCTTGCCATTGTGAACCTTCAGCACGTTTGCCAATAACTGAGCCTCCTGGCCCAAACCTTCTTTCCTTCTGCTTGCCCAGTTTCTTTGGACGGCATATTCACTTTTTCGATACTTTTCTAGCTTCACAGTATATAGCCGCCTGCACCAAAAGTTAGCCCTCTCCCACCATCAACCACCTCTCCATGTCGTTCGAATCATGTCCTTGATCCCCGCACTGGGCAGGGTTCATCGATAAGACGAATGCCCATGGTCATCCCGAACCGATCGACGGTGAAGCGATTTCGACACGAGCCTCGAGACTGTGATAGCACTCTGTATAATTTCGAGCTGGGCGCCTGCGTGCCCCTTGCCGGCAACGATGGCGAGCTTCTTCCAGTCCTTCCGCAGCTCGTCGATGCCCAAGCGGCTGCTGCGATATGCGCTTACACGACTTGACCTGCTCGATTCCGAGTCACTGGACATGGACAACCTGGACTTGGCTTTGGGGAAGAATACAGTATTCGAGTTCCGCGATGTTGGCGTCAAGCTCAAGGTGCGTCCCGAGGAAGTCCTTTGATGGTTAAAGCTCCCCTTGCTGACTATGGGATAGAAATTGGAGAAGCTATTAAGACTTCCAGACTCTTTAACACTTCAGAAGTCGAAGGTGCATGTCCTCCGCATTACGATCCCGATGGATTTCTTTACGAGCCCGATAATGGTCGAAGTTGATGGAGTGTCTGTATCCGTTAGGGTGTCCGGCCGAGAGTTCACGATTAGTCCGCCCGATGGGAATACAACCAAGGATTCGTCCATTGTTCCGGATCCTGTTGACCTGGCTCAAGAGTTCCTCAAGACTCAACCCTCCTCCGAAAGAGTGAGGCTAGAGGAGGCTCTTGCATCAGAAACGCAAGATCTGGGCGCCTCCGTGTCTGTGAGCGAGGATGGCAGCGACGAAGAGGCACCTCTCGGTACAGGACAGAGCCTCTCTCTACCTGCATTCATGGCCGATTTCATTCAAGGCATAATAGACCGGACACAGATAAAGATCAAGGGTGTTTCTTTCCAATTGGATGTTGAGGTCCCCCTTGACCCCAATTCCCCGGCCCCTGAGTTGGTATCATTCCAGATAGCCCTCGAGGATATCGATGTGGAGGGCGTTACAACCAGCTCCCCCGTTCTGGAACCTGAATCGGCACATGTGGGACTCAAAGAGGGAAAGAGACGTGTATTATTGAACAACGTTCGCGCGTATCTGATATCTGAAGCAAATGTGTTTTCTACATTTGCGCAGTCCCCATCATCCCCATCACTTTGCTCCTCTCCAAAGTTGACGAGAAGTTCGTCAACTCATGATCATGAAGACTTGTTGCGGAGTCATCATGAAGACGATGACCAAAACATGTCCAACTCACAGTACAGTGTGCAGAGTGAGTCTAACCAAGAATATCAGGATAGCTCAGATCGTTCAGGAAGTCCTCTTGGCGACAGCGAGGTAGCTTTGGATATTCCATACGACTTCGAGGAACGCGAAGAAGAAAGCGTGGAGGACGAAGGCCCGGCAACACCTCGAGCTTCTGTGTATCATGGGCTTGATGAGTCTTTGGAGCAATCTGTGGACCAATCCGTCTTCCATTCTACTTATCTCCCCGACCGCCGCTTGGCGAATACGACGGCCTTTGAAGCAGATATTCCCCAGTGGACAAGCACTCACACCGAAGCAAGATCAGAGCCAGCATACGTCGACGCACTTCCGTTGGATCGCTCGATAGCCCCAGAGACGGAACCAACAACGGCATCCCCAGTTATTGGCCGAGAGGACAGACGGTTAAGCAGTGGCTCCGAAGAAGATCTTACCCAGTCACATCTCTACACTCGCGAGGAAGCCGAAAGTATGTATCTTAGTGCTTTTTCGAGCGACGAACGCGCTTCTCTCCGAGGTTCAACCTATTCAGAGGCACCAGCTTCCCATCCATCAGCGATTCAGGCTACGACCAGAGAGGCTTCCCCCGAAAAGGCTGATTATCTAGAAGAGCCTGATTTGAAGGACAAGTTGGACCCAAAGATAGAAACAGACTCAGAGGCGGAACCGGACACATCAGAGGGACCGGGCCTAGAGAAGAAAGAGGATCCTTCAGATGAGCCGATCTCAACGAATGAATTGGAATCAGAAAACAGACCAAGCTCAACTCACGGATTCGAGTCGAACACCCCCACCCGCCAGGCCTCGCCTTCGCCTTTGGAAGAGAGCGTTCTTGAAGAGTCACAATCCGACCGAATTCAAATGCCCGGTGGCTGGGATGAATCTCTAGACGAGTCTGAAATTCAGGTCGAAGAACAGACAGGGAAACCCCATGATTCTCTGGGCGAAGTATCGTCGTCAAAATTATTCTCCAAGACTGATGATAATGATCCTCCGGCAGATAAATCATCTCCATTTGATGACAATGCCGGACAAGAAGATGTCGCCACACCAAAAGGACCGCCTCGACTCGTGAAAGAGATCTTCGCCCTGGATCGGATATCCCTTTTTATTCCCCACGGCCATCAACATATTCAAGTACACCTCGACCCAGCAAATGAAGCCCAACAAGAAGCTTTGAGCAAGTCAGGCTATCCGCTGGCTCCCGGCGCCTTTTCGGTACATGGCTCGGAAAAGGGCTTACAGGGGCAGGAGACAGCATCGTATCTTGCGCCAGGAGACGATAAGAGTATTGAGGTTTATTTGTCCCCAGTATCTCTCAGATTTGATACTTCTATTGGCTTCCTTCTCGCGATGGTGGTGGCAAGACTAATAGAAGCCCTGAAACCACAGGGCGAAGCTCCTAAACCTGAAGACGGCGACAGAAGTGGAGAGCCTAAAGACAACGGTCCTAACATCAAGGTCGTCGTTGAAGAAGTTTCCATGAGCTTTGTGAATCATGTACCTGGTGTGGCTGACACCGCCAAGCGATTCGTGGATCCAACAGCCTTTATTCTGGACCATGAGGTTCTCTTGAATATGACCCTGCAAAATATTCGTATATCTCGAGAGTCTACCTACGAAGGAGTCGTGTCCAAGGCTAAGAAAGGAACTGTTCCACCGACGCCCATCGTAGTAACCAAGTTGGAGCTCGAAAAATTCCGCTTTGGGTATTCTGACGATGATATTATTTCATTTGATAAGGCACAGCCCTTGAGTATGTCAGTCCGGGATACTTTTCTCTCTGCAGGTCATGATATTGGCATCAAGATCACGCAGATTGGTACCAGGATGCGAACTGACATTGAAACCTTGCCAATGGTTGTGCATATCGATCTGCAGCGACTTGATGAGACTTTCAATTGGTTTGGTGGTCTGAGCAGTCTTATTCAGATGAGTTCATCTATCACATCCAATTCTCCACCTGTGGCAAGTGTACCAAGCCAAAAGGCGAAGCCGCGTGGTGTCCGATTTGAGACTCCTCTTGATCCCGAGAAGCAAGTTGCACCTGAAAACAAGACAAACCTGAGGATTGGATCTGCCCGGATCACACTCCAGGGCAAGGAATGCAGCCTAACTGCCTCGTCAAGTGCAATCAAAATGGTCAATCGAGACGAGGGTGTAGGTATTGCCATCACTGCTCTTCGTGTTGCTGGTCCGTATCTCAGGGCCTCCAAAGCGGAGCCAGCCATTTCCATCGATGTTGGTGGTGTGCGCCTTGATTTTCTCATGACTCCCACAGACTCAGATCTGGAGAGACTTCTCGAGCTCATTTTGCCATCGAAGGTCAAATTTGATCAAGATAACGATGAAATCATGGTTGACACGCTTTTGCGGCAGAGGAAAAAGGGATCGGTTCTGCGAGCCACTTTGGATAGCGTCAACGTCCGCGTTAAACATCTGGCTACTCTACAGCTTCTTCCAAATTTGGGAGAAGAGTTGGCAAAACTTTCCACGGTCGCAAAATATTTACCTGAGGACGACAGGCCTGGACTACTTACCCTTGGTAGAGTCCAAAAGATGAGCGTCGCCCTCCAATGCGATGGTCGGCTTGGATTTTTCGAAGCCAATTTGACCCAACTCGACGTTGGCCATATTAGCATCCCATCACTTGTTGCAGTCGCATTGTACGGCCTTGAAGTGAAACGGAACGGGGCAGATGAAGTCATAAACTCTTTGGATAACACCATGAGAGAGGGCCATGAAAGAAACCCAGTTCTCATGCTCCGGATCATTGCCGATGAAATCGACTCTGTCATCAAGCTCAAACTTCAGAATCTCATCATCGAATACCAGGTCCCGTTTATTATGGATATTCTCGGCTTGGAGGATGATGCTACTCCACAGGATTTTGAGGCTGGCCTTGCAGCCTCGGTAGCCAACCTTGGTGATCAGGCGCAAGCTACTTTGAGACAATCAGAGGCTGAGAACGAGAAAGCTCCAGCAAAGAAACCCATGGGTCTCGATATTGGGTTTAGGGACTGTGTGATTGGGCTTAACCCGCTAAACCTGCAGTCAAAGATGTTGGTAGCCCTCACCGATGCTCGCCTGGAACTCAATTTGCCGCAGGACGTTGAAATGAAGGTCAAGCTGGGTATTAAGAAGTCCTCGATACTCCTTATAGATGACATTTCCGCTGTGTCATCTAACAGCGCCAAATCACCTAGCCATCGCCGTTCAACGTCGATATCTTCTCGACAGATCAACGAGTTCTGTGCTCGAGGCTTTGTTAATGTTTGCTTCATATCTTCCGCCCAAGTTCTCGTTGACGTGAAACCTGGAGTTGAACTGGAGCGCCAGATTGACATCGAAGTCCGAGATGACTTGCTAGTCCTTGAGACCTGTGCCGACTCCACACAGACTCTGATCACCTTAGTCAATGCTCTTAAGCCTCCGACACCTCCCTCCAAGGAAGAAAAGTACAGGTTTAAAGTGATGCCCGTCGAAGACCTTCTATCATCGATTTCAGCGGAAGCATTCGGGAATACAGAGGGTGACTATGATTTCGACCAAGATTTCGCGGCCGCACAAGAGATGGCAGGAAGCAGTAGTGAGGCTGAGTTCGGAAGTGACCAGTCATTGAATATTGATACTCAGTACTATGGCGATGAGTACAAAGGAGAAGAACTATTCGACGCTATGAAGTCCTCACAGATGTCTGATGGTACGACGATGCATGATACAGCTGAAGGCGTTCTTTTGACAGGCTTCAACCCTGAACCCAGCACGACGTCTGATAGCGGAGACGAATTGGTCATCCATGAAAACTACTATGGAGAAGAGTCTAAGTCCAACTCGACAGCTCAAATATGGAACTCCACCAAGGGTACATACGACAAAGCCTCTCCTCAGCTGGTCAAACGAAGCCCCATCAGGATCTCTGCCAAAGATGTTCACTTCATCTGGCACCTATTCGATGGGTATGATTGGGCTCACACGCGGGATGTCATTAGCCAGGCTGTCCAGAGCGTGGAAGACAGGGCTCTACAGTTCCAGACTAATCGTGATGGTTTCGACATACACGAAGAAGAACTCGAGGACGAAGAAACTATTGGTGATTTCCTGTTCAATTCGATATACATCGGTATACCCGCCAGCCGCCAACCAGGTGATCTAACACAAGCCATCAATCAAGAGTTGAATAACGACAACGCTACCGAAACCGAGTCCATCGCGACCACTGCCTTTACTGATGCATCAAATCGAACGGCACGACCTCACCAGACCCGGAAAAAACGGCTCCGTCTTAACCGCAGCAAGCACCACAAGATGTCGTTCGAGCTGCAGGGAATCAATGCAGACATTGTTGTCTATCCTGAAGATGCAGGCGAAACGCAAAGCAGCGTCGATGTACGCGTGAATAGCCTGGATATCTTTGACCACGTGCCGACATCGACTTGGAGAAAGTTTGCAACCTATGACCGGGACACGGGAGAGCGAGAGATGGGCACGAGCATGCTCCATCTGGAGATTCTTAATGTCAAACCCATGCCCGAGCTTGTGGCATCCGAGAGTGTCCTGCGAGTCACTGTGCTACCCCTGAGGTTGCACGTAGACCAGGATGCACTGGACTTCCTCACGAGATTTTTTGAGTTCAAGGATGAAAAGGTGCCGGTTCATGCCTCGCCTAGCGATATTCCGTTTGTGCAACGAGCCGAGATCAACTCGATTCCAGTCAAACTTGACTTCAAACCCAAGCGGGTAGACTACGCCGGACTGCGGTCTGGTCGCACCACCGAATTCATGAACTTTATCGTAATGGATGAAGCAAGGCTCGTCTTGCGCCATGTGATCATTTATGGTATCTCAGGGTTCGATCGCCTTGGTAAGACGCTCAACGATATCTGGATGCCGGATGTGAAAAATAACCAACTGCCTGGAGTCCTTGCTGGATTGGCTCCGGTCCGCTCCTTGGTCAACATTGGTAGCGGCTTCAAAGACCTGGTGGAGATTCCCATCCGTGAATACCAGAAGGACGGCCGAGTCTTGAGAAGCATTTCAAAGGGAGCCGCTGCTTTTGCAAAAACGACTGGAACGGAAATTGTCAAGCTGGGGGCGAAGATTGCTGTTGGTACACAGTACGCCCTTCAAGGAGCAGAGGATATGCTCACTCAACAAAATCAAGGGGCTGGGAGCAGCTGGGAAGACGATGATGCTGATCCGGACGACAAGAAGCAAATTTCTCTTTACGCAGACCAACCACCCAGTGTCGTCCAGGGCTTGCGAGGAGGATATCGTTCCTTGGCTCGAGATCTCAATGTGGCCCGAGATGCGATTATTGCAGTCCCGGGTGAGGTGATGCAAAGTCAATCACCAGGTGGCGCAGCCAGAGCAGTTTTGAAGCGGACACCGACAATCATTTTCAGACCAGCTATGGGTGTCTCGAAAGCTATTGGGCAGACACTCTTGGGCGCCACCAACGCTCTAGATTCGCAACACCAACGAAGAATAGACGAGGTAAGAACCACCTTTTGGCCTTTCAATTCGCCTGATTTGATGATTACTAACGTAATTATGTGTAGAAATACAAAACACATTAGGCAGTACAAGCTTATTATAGACTTGCCACCATTCTCTTGATCCCTTCTTATTTGTCCTTCATTACCTACCTTTTACCTTCTCCTCCTTCGTCCATGATCACCGGCTCTACATATTAGATCATCGGACTTATTTCGCTTTTGAACATGGAGGTGCAACAATTGGTTTATACGAACCTAGCTTTCAAAATTGTCCAGACAAATCAAAAATCTCATGAAAAACGACGTCTTCGTCATGAGATTCTCGACTTTGTCTTGATCGATCCGAAGAACGATGAATCGAAACGATGAGGAACCCGAGAAGAAAAAGAATATAAGGGAGGATCATACGCTGTGCAGATCAGCAGCAATTTTGAATTGAATATTTAGACCAACATAATCCGCCGCCATGTCGGCGATTTAGACGCCGGCGCAGTCTTTATCACTTGCTTACATCTAAGGAGTTGGCTTTTTGTTTATCTCCATCCTATTTTGCATCATGGAACAAGGTGTTCGGGGTCATTCTTTCATACAAGGAGGCTGTTTGTGACTTTATTTCTCTTTTGTTCTCTTTTATCTAGATTGTTGCCGATATCAACCTTAGCGAAGACCGCGTTTTACAGATAGCCCTGACTTTCAAATTGAAATTGCAATATTCTTTCAAATAACCGTGTAGCCTGTGTAGCTTTTCCCATCTCTATTCTACGTAACGTCAGATTCTATCCTCATGTGCCCATACCCATTCCAATATTCCTCTATGCCTACATGTTAAAACCCATCGTCGATGCCCTTTTCTTTCTCAGCGGCTCTGCGCTCCCGGTTCGAATCTACCCACCAACGGTGTGACTCCTCAGTCCCGGTCCACTCGCCATTCTCATCCACCTCATCCCACGGCTTGGGGCTCAGGATGTAGTGGATGTTCTTGACCTTGTCGTCGCGCCAGATGGCGTCGTGCACGCCCTTCCAGCGGAGGGTCTTGAGGGCATTGTAGGTGTACGGCAGGGCCACCCAGCGGCCGCGGTACAGGTCGGAGAGGAGGGACTGGTCGGCAAAGTCCATGTCCACGGCGCCAGCCTCCATGTGGGCGAGGATCTGGGCGTACAGGACCTGCGACGGGTTGACGACCTGGAGCCCGCCGTTCATGAAGCCGAGGGGTCCCACTGCGGGATCGGCGCCGACGGTCTGGGCTTCCTCGGGTGTGGTGTGCTGGGATGTGAAGGCGCAGTGCTGGGGAACCCAGTCAGCCGGGTAGTGCTTCTTCTTGAGGGGGTTGCAGACGCAGGCGTGGCCGGCGGCGAAGACGCGGGATCCCGTGCCGGCGTTGGCTTGGTCGGGACTGTCGAGGGGCAGGTCCATGAGCTCGTCCATGTTGCGGAGGACGAGCATGTCGGAGTCGAGCTGGACGACACGGGAGTACTCGGTCAGGGAAAAGGGGGTGAGCTTGGTCCAGCAGTCGTAGAAGCGCGGGTCGTTGGAGTAGTCGCGGGACTTGGTGGGGAGGAGGTAGGGGACGCGCTGGGAGGGGATGCCGCGGGCGGCGAGGGCGGCGCGCCCTTGCTCGGGGAACTGGTCGGTCACCAGGGCGACGAGGGGGTATTTGGAGTTGACCTTGCGGAGGGAGTGGTCGAGGGTGAGGAGGCCCGGGAGGTAGGCCAGGTTGGTGATGAGTGTCGTCCAGACTGGAGGTTGATGGTCAGTATCGGGCAAGCTTCATGGAGTGACGTCGACGGCGACTTACCCTTGTCGGAATCGACGGGGCGCTCCGAGGCAGACATCTTGGCTGGTGGTTGGGCTTGGACGTGCTGGACGGCTTGATCCAATGTGTCTGGGCTCGACAATTGCAGCTGGGAAGGGATGAATCAGGAGCTTGGATGGAGGTTCTCCCTTTAACACCACGCTTGCTTAGGATGAGATAGCGGGGTACATTGATGCCCCGCCATGTGGGAAAGATGCACTAAGTCAGTGTTGTGCGTCATTATAGATCTAATAACCTAATCTGCCTTACAGTAAACACGCTGGGAGCTTGAGCTTTGGCTGTTAATTATCCTGTCAAGTGGGCGTCAGTATAACAGGGACTGCAAAAGTGTTTTGATCCCAACTTTCTAATTTCTACCAGAATATTGGTAGAAATAGTTGATAACAATAAATTATTGAATAAATATTAGGCAACACAATCAACATATTCTTACACAATAGAAGCATAGTAATATGACTGACTACAACAATTCTGTCGAGGTGACTTTGCAGTCCCTGTTTTTCTGGCAGCCACTCGCCTTGATCATATGATAGAGACTTGTTACTAAATTGCTAAGTTGGGAAATAAAACCAACTACACAGGCTATATAATCCCCTTCTTACATCAAGAAATCTCCATTTCATTGGTGGCCAATACCTCTCACCTGCGGCCCCCAGCTTCTTTCATCAACTTTCCTCCGCTCCCTATCTATTTCCCCGTGTAGTAGACGACAAACTCGACCGATACTCAGGAAAGGTTCATTTTGACTTCAAAGGGCATCTCTTCATCTCATCTTCAATATGGAGCAATTAGTATTCTAAACATCCATAGAGACAGTAAGTCGCAGGGCATGGCCAGATATCACAAGAAGATGCATCTCGTAAGTGCAAAAAACAAGGTTGCAGGAAGAAATGGCCAGATTAGAGTTTCCCAGGGAGATAGTTGTTTGCTCCAAACCTTGGTCAGGGCTTGGCTCCATTGTTGGGCGTCGCCACAATGAGTGAAGATTAAACTCAAGCCAAAACTGACCTCTGAAATGACAAACTGTGTTGCAATCGTGTTGTGGGAAATCAGACGCATAGTTAGGGCCCGAATGACGCAACAAGCTCGGCCATATGCCATTGGCAAGGCGTCTGCAACGAACACGATCAATAGATTAATTGATGCTTCAAGGAAGACTGCCCTAGAAACTTGAGGCCTATTTATAACGAAAAGAATCTCTCCGGTAGTCGGGCACTGAGGTGAAATCACGCAGTTATCAAGTTGCCACCACTTAAGCTTTAGTTGTTCGCTGTTCCAGTGACGAGAAACGTAAAATGGCCACCACCCTTTGAAGATTTCTTTTTATCGGAACACATGATCTTCTAAATTCGTTATACTTTTCTGGGGCTTGAACAGCGCGAGCTTAATGGTGTCCGACTCGCAGGCACTTTGGTGTATAAATAGACGTAATGCGGAGTGGTCTTCACTTTCGCAAATCCTGACTTTCTTCCTCAAGAGTGCCCTATTTGTGTTCGGTGGCATCTTTCCAGCCAGTTACACTGTATTAAAATGGCAGCTCCGGTCGACCCTCGGGCGTCCCCCCGAGCAAATACCAGGATGAATAAAAACAGGTTAGCCATCCATCGACAGCTGGATGATCTCCTGAGGGACCTTGACAACAGACCAGACATGATGGACCAAATTTCGAGATATATGCAGCATCGGACCCAGTGGGAAGAGCCAAGCGATCTTATTCCACTAGACGAAGTGGAACAGAGATTGGATCTGGTCGAGAAGTTCCAGGCGTCGAAGCGTGCAAAGCTCGCAGAGGAAGCCGAGGAAACCGATCCAGACGACGATGAAGCACAGAAGCAGGCCGCGGATTGGAAGCTCAATCGTCTCACCTACGCCGCTTGCATGACTATGCCCCTATCGCTGCTAGTTGAGTACACCGATGGTGGCCACTCCTTTGTTTTCTTGGACATGTGTCTTAGAAAAGCTGTCGAAGCGGTTCGGTCTCGTGAGTAACACCCCCAAGCGAGTGAGATAAAACATGGCACACCGGAGCTCTTTTCACGCAAGCTAGAGACCTCGTTTTCTTATTCAATATTAAACACAATAATAGCAGAATAATAAGTCATTCTATATAATTTAGCTTGATATTGTGTTTATTACTAGGTTAATTGTTTTGGTCTTGTGTCGAAATTCCAAGCTAGATGGGAAGTTTTGTTGTGCCATGTTTTGCTCTAGCTACTTGAACCCCCTCCTCTTCCTCTCACATTGAATTCATGCTGAAAAAGGTTCTTTGTTGGACAATTCTTTTCGCTCCAGAAGAGCAAATCTCAAAGATGGACAACCCCACCAAGCGCCCAGGAGCCCAGCAGCCCACAATGAAGAGAGCAGCGAAGCGCAGAAGGGGCTCTCACGAAACAACGGATATAGACTCCGGGGCTGATAGTGATACCGAAGAGAGCGCTCAATCGGCACGAGACCGCCGGATCCAACTGTCTGAGAAGATCAAAAGTGATGAGAAAAGAAAGAAGGCACTCGGCTATCAGGAGGGTCGATGCCGGATCTCTGGTTCCACTGAACCAGAAGTTGCTTATATCATGCCTCTCTCGTTTACCAACAGCACGATTGATATAGACAGATCTACGCAATTCAGGGAGGCCTTCTATCTCTTCGGTGCCTCGGCTGTCACTGCATCAATAGTTAGCGGCGGTGTAGGACTCGGGGCGAATGACAAGGTGTCCAATATGATCTGCCTTGACCGAAATCTTCACAGCAACTGGGATAAGGGCTACCTTGGCATCAAATACCTTGGCATGGCCGATGTCCCGGGCCAAGATACTACAGAAATTACACTTCAGGTTGTGTGGATGCCCATGGTCAAGGCAGCAGGTTTCTCTTGCCATGACCTTATCGACCTGGACGATGAGCGTGATGAGTACTCGGGGTTCGCCTACACTATCGAATCTCTGGCTGACACAGCTCCCGGCAACAAAGTCTTCAGAGGCTCAGGTTGGCCAATTGTTTCTGGAGATAGGTTCACTGTCCGAAGGTCTACTGGTGGTGCAGAATATTTTGTAGAGATGATCAAGCTGCGATGGCACCTGGGACTACTCGCGGCAATCTCTGGAGCCGCAGGAGACTCTGACTTCATTTTCGGCCAAGATGAGGACTTTGAAAGACAGGTCAGAGATTACGGCAGCGTCTAGAGGCAAATAGACAGGGAGATTGCAGAGAGAATTGGAAGAGCAGAGCAGAAGGCGGCTCAAAGTCAATCGAAGAAATAACGAGGGAAAATTGGTAATATTTGGACTTAAAGTTTTATCAGGATTTAAATTTGGCTATCATCACAAAAACCAATAAACACCTAATAAACACCATATTATCACATAAATATCCAACCAAGTTGCTTATTCTAGGCAGAGGCTATAGATTATCAATGCTCACATCTTGATATTCTTTCCTTCATTCTTATTTAGTTGATTTACAGCTAGCTATGAATGATCGAAGGGAGTGCTCAAGTGTGCTATTTCCTCTGTCACCCGCTTAGAGAGCTAAGGACATAATGTAGGTAATGGTAGAATCGGTAGGAAGTAAGTTAAACTCGGCATGATCAGATGTACCAATCGTAACATGGTAGCTACAAAGTTATTCAAACAATTAGAAATGGGACCCGGCCTCGTTCGCCTGAACCCGGAGCATCGCACATGCGAATACGTTGCCGTCAAGGATCCCGAAATGGCCCGAACCCATGGACCTCAAGCTTCTCTCCCAGGCCGAACTCCCCATGCGGCCTGGTCTAGTAGTTGCTTCCGCTTTGATTCCGCGGATCGAAACCTTCAATCCTTGTAGGAATGTTTTCACGATCCATCACAAGCACGGCACATGCTGAATTTCCCAGTTGTCCCTAGCGTAAAACTTGCGCCGTCGTTGTTGTGGCTCAGCTAAAGAACTCAAGAGTAAAACAAAAGGGTGTCTTGAGAGTAGATGGAATGCAAGCACGGGTAACTAAATTGAGGTTAACCTTGTCGAGGGTCCCAAAAACTGATTTCTCGTCTTCAATTGATGGATTTGTTGTCGCATGCGGAAGCTTAAGCTCTACCGACAAGTCCCACTAGTGACGCCATCCGCAAGAGTAGATCATTCGATACAAGGCCTGTCCCTGGACTGTATGATAGCCTTCGAACCGCGGGGCAGGTTCTCGTCTTGGTATAGACGACTGACAAATTCCCAATTGTCGGTTTTACGCACGCCGAACCAAAGGAGTGGAAGCTACATGTGATCATCTACTGGAGTAGGCGATGATGCCGAATACCGAGCGCCGCGGTAATCCTGGGCTGAGGGTATGTAGCCATCTGACCAGCCGAAGCTATGGAAGATCTGTAGGAGGAGTGAAGAGAGACGCGAACACGAAGGATGATGCTTCTCCGGCTCATTGAACCAATTCCAAATCTCAGTCACCGGGATCTGCTCAGCCACCTCACCAGCCACAGGGGCTGGTTCCCGGCAAACTGGGCTTCGGAGAGTTTGCTGGCAATCTACGTCAATGCCGTTACGGTGTCTGAGAATAGAAAACGCAGATCTCATCTCAGCGCCATGCTCCTCAACCTAGATCCCCTGAAGCTCAGGGGCAAAAACAAGTGAGGCGGGAAGGCTATGCTTGGGGGTCTCAGGTTCTCGACTCGACTGTCCGTGTCTCTGTCACCGCACGCGTGGACGGCTATTACCCGTCGCCTTGCAGTCCAGCTCATCAACTTTGTTCACATGACCGCTTGTGAAATGATCGGTGTCGGCTAGGATGCAGCAATGTGCGGATCCCCAACAGCAGCGGTGACAGACAGTGAGTGCACTGGCCACTAGCTGCAGCGCCCCCAGACCTCCTGAACAGGCCTATCAGAGCGGTGATGACAGAAAACATGGCACACCACCGCCACCGACATTGTATTTGGACGACCTATCATAACCACTAAAACACTGAGAAACGAAATTCGAAAGTGATATATGATATAGCGATCAATAAATTACCCAATACTGTGACTGTCAAGGTCAATCGACAAATACCATTCTCAAACGAGGGCCTGGCCGCGGGGTACCTTCGTGTGCCAGAGCCTGGATTTTGTCAAGTAGAGCTCAACTGTTGACCCCCACCAGCCTCAGAGTCGGCGACGCTAGCCCCGTGCCTGTGTGAGTGCTGGGACCTCAGGTCGTAATTAGCAATTGCGGACCCTAGGAGAGCTATCATGCTCGCCGTGCCTCCCCGAGAGACAGGGCGGCGTCACTGGTGACCTGCACCGACCCGTGTGTGGAGGGCTCGTCGGCAATGTACCTCCCATGGACACTGTTCCGACAAGGACCATCTCTGATCATGGGAAGCGCCCTCCTCTGCAGGTTCCTTGCCTCCTGCACATCTCGTACGAGGACGCTCCTCTTGATTGACGGCTTAAGTCCAGCCCAGGAACATTATTTCCCACGACTCTGTGACTCGGCTTGTCCTCAGCGCCAATGCATCGCTGACTCGACGCACATGCGATACTGGTGTGTAATACGGAAACATTCTAGGTCCTCTCCCCGGTATTAGATGGCGGTGTTGACCTGGGCTGGGCCTGCCGGGGCTCCCTCCCCACATCCAGCCGTGTAGACCCAGGGCCAAGTCCCAAGCTCAACAAGCCTAGGGGAGATCGATCGGGCGAGACACTGGGCTCAGGGCCTCAGAGCTTCTCAACGGAGTCTATCCGTCGCCTTGGTCGGTCGCTGCTACGTGGTGGCTCTTTTGTCGGACTGATCCGATGCCTCCGTGTGCCTCACAGCTTGCATAACGTATGATGTACATGTAGCTATGTGTCAAGCAGCGAGGGTGCCAAATGTTCCCATGCTTTGCGACTTGATGAGCACACCCTTGTTGTGGAAATGATGATCCTTGAGGGCCCTGAGGGTAGGCGGGGAGCAAGTAGCTTGTATTCAATACCTGGCCCAACCCTGAATCTCAGTGTGGCACCGGGCTTCGTTGCGTAGCGTTCATGCCGCTTTTGCTTAGACTCAACTGTTGAGCAGACCGTTGTAGCTCAACATGCCTCCACATGGCAGCTCAACCATACAGCAGCGCCCGCCAGTAACCCCTTTGGCACGCGTAGCTCGCATTCCATTGCATGTAGCCGGTACATGCCAGACACTCTGGACTCCTCGTGCGGTTGTCTCCCCGATCCAGCACAAAACGTTCCTGCGGCGCGCATCTGTCCCGCGTTTCTGAGGTTCCAAGTCTGCATGAGGAGGGTTGATAGCTCCCCACTAATAGCTCTGTGGCTCCTGTCTATCCTCTCCCCATACATCTAGTCCGTGGTATAACTTGCCTTTCCCCCAACCCGACCTTGGTGACTCAAATCATCCTCTCATCCGTCCTGTTGATCTCCTTCCCTCCATTCCGTTAACCGAACGTCACTTCCGCTCAGCGGCCAAGTCCATCCGGCAACACTGAATCCATTTATACACGCCTTCCCACTAGCGTACTCGGCACTCACAGAGCTCTGTCTCAACAACTACACCAACAACTAGCACCAGCTACAGCCAGCTACAGCCAGCTACAACCCGCATTCACAATGCCCCGTATTTGCGCCCCCGTCTCCAAGCAGCTCTCGCGCTCAGTCTCCTCCTCAGTCACAGCCGCCGCCAGAACAGCGGGTCACAAGAATGCCGGCGCTGTGCTGATGCCAAAGTACGCCGAGCTCCTGGGCAAGAATGAGCAGAGCGACGTAAGTGACCTGTTTCCCCTCCTCCCGCCCACCAAGTCTAGTTCCGCGTGTTACCCCAAATCCGTTCAATACCACACAATGGCTGGAATATCGAATGAGCACTGCGCGCATGAAACCACTAGCTCTGTAATTGGTTGCAATTGATACTGACCTGCTCAACCAGTCCTCCCGTGGTATCACCACCACCCACCGCCCTACTCCACAGCCATCCATTGCCAACCGCAACAGGCCGCTGATGCAGACCTTCTCCCACTCTGCCTCAGCTTCCACTTCCAGGCCTGACGGCAACCTGGGCACCACCGTCCTCCCCTCCTGGGACGCCCTCTACTCCAGGCCCTCCCAGGCCGACGCCACCCCCATGGTCCCCATCGTCCCGGACAACTACGGCGTCGTCAACGTCGTCGTCGACGCTCCCGTCAGCGCCCCGGAGGTCACCATCGTCGCCGTGGACCCCGACAGGGTCTCCGCCAGCTCCCCCTTCTTCGAGGTCACCGGCCTCGACGGCGTTGACCTCAAGTTCGCCCAGCAGCCGGAACCTACCAAGGATAACACCCAGGAGGACGGCCCCTCCCAGGGCATGGTCACCGACATCTGGAAGGGCATGGTCGACGACATCCTCGGCCGCGGTCAGCAAAAGAACCTTGCGTGAAATTCGTCAGGTTCCATCCCCTCCTTTTCTCTTTTGTCTGCATCTCGAGGTCCCCCAGTCCCGAGATGAACGTTTGATGACATCACCCATGGTGGATTTGCTATGACCTATTGTCAATGCTTTCTTGCCCTTTACTCAGAATGGCAGCAATATCAGCCGGCGCAAAGGAAAAAAAAACACTCCTGCGCCGCAACACCTGGATCTCTTAAGCTTGTGAAATTTCCGAGCACAATTGAAGCGTTTCCTGTTATATTTTATTTTTTTGAAGGAACAAAAAAAATTATTGCGTGTAATAACCTATATTCTTCCACATAGTAATATCAATGGCAGACTGTCAACTTCCAATTCACTACCTCGGCCTGCCAAAATAACAGAGCTCTCTCTCCATCCTGTGCGTCCCCTTGCTTGCAAGACAATCGTAAAGCCTGGGCGTTAGAACGTTCCTTAAAAATCTTGCCATTGCGATGTATGCTACCTTAGTAATTTTCCCAAAAGTCCAAATTGCGCAAAACGTAAAAAAAAACTTCTTCTGAACCGAGCTCCGCTGTCCTGGTTTGTTCATGTGGCGGAGCATCGTCTTTCCCAGCATCGGGCCGCACCGTCTTTCTCGCCTCCCACGTGGCGCGTCGCGTTGCCAGCTACCTTTCGCACCCAGGACACACCCAAGGGTGGGCTGGCCCTTTTCCTCGAACTGTATCCCCTCTTTACCTCTTCTTAACAGAAGGTCGGGGCTTGCACTCGTCGCCGTTAACGGGGTGGAGCATGACCTTGATGGGGTAGGCCTGCGTGTTGTGTTGGTAGCCCTTGCTCCAGTCGTAACTAACGGCGTAGGCGAAGATGCTTCCGTTCTTGTTGAATGTCGTCGAGGTGATGCTGCCGCCGACTTGGGGGTATCCCTTGAGTCGGTGTTTGGCGTCCTTGTCCCAGAAGTGGAAGGTACCGTCTGATCCGGCAGTACTGAAGGTGCCGTGAACAGGGTGGAAGGAGATGTCGTTTACGGAGTAGACGCTGGTGGTGTTGTTCTGAGCGGGATCTCTGTGGCACTTGAAGGAGAAGTTGGAGCTGTTGGGTTAATCGACTTGTTAGCAATCAACGTATACGCGGCGCAATGAAGCTAAACAGGGTTTTCTCTAAGGGTTTTACTCACCTAGCATCCTTGTCCTCGACGTATTGGATAGCGCAGCGACCCTCGATGCTACCAATGGCGAAACCGGCTGAGTCGGCGAAGCAGCTGACCACCCTCGTCTGCCACTTGAGGGGGCTCTGGATCGACTTGTAGAATGCGGTAGGGTTCTTCAAGTCGATGACGTGAATATGGCGGTCTGCGGTCCCGACGACGCAGAGGTTGTCCTTGACGTCCATGGTGTACACGCGCTCATTGCATGTCACCGTGGCGGCGGGAGTCTGCTGCCTCATGTCCCAGTATCTGACGGTCTTGTCCCATGACCCGGAGACGATCATGGGGTTGCCGTTACTCTCGAAGAAGCGGACGGTGCGCACGGGCTGGTCGTGGGTTCCGATGATGGCGTCCTGTTGTGACTGAAGATCGCAGACCTTGACGTTTTTGTCGGCTCCTGCAGAAACGACCTTGGTTCCATCCTAGCGATAAGTGTTAGTTTCGATCCAGAAGGCGTACTCGGAAACGGCTGCGGCCGGCAAGGGATCCCTGGAGCCACAGCCGGAGAGAAGAAAGGTTTCAAAGAGTTCAACATACTTTTGAGAAGTCGCAATTAAGGACAGGTTGAGTGTGCTCGTAAGCGTGACGGCCTTGGCTCTGGCCATTCTGAGCAATCTCGTAAATCCGGACCTTGTTGTCCCAACTAGAGACGGCGAGGAAGTCTGGGCCATTTGGGGCGGGAGAGAAAGCGAGGTCAGAGATGCTGTCGGTAGGGGGGTCGCTCAGGGCCACATCGCCCTTGAGGTCGCCCTGCGTTTGCGTCGCTGACGACGCAGCTGTCGATGAGTTGGTGCCGAAAAAGCTAGACATGATTGTTGGGAGAGCGCAGGCAGCGCGTAGGAACGGTTGAAGGCGCTGGGTTTGGGAGAAAGACGTGACAGGTCGGCAGCGCGCCCGCCTTTTTTATGCACCAGCTCGGAGGAAAATCTACCCGTGGTCGAGCAGAGATTATCGGTTGCGACCTCGATGATGCGTAAGACGAGGAATGGGCCAAAGACGGGCAGCGTTGAGGATGCTATCGCCACTTGTCGCGTTGATATCAGATAATTCTAAACTTTGTCTCTGCCTGGCCAAAGACAGCAGTTGGCTGGAGCTTGGGCCATTCCGCGCTAGAGGCAAAAGTCCGGCAAGAACCGACAGCTCTGTTCCTCCTGCGCATAAAAAAAGCAGCAAACTCGCCTCATGCAAAGTCTCCACCAAGACTGCAACCCTCTAGCTTTCCGCTGCATCAACCTCTTCGCTGCGTGCCCAGTAATATTGATCCGTCAATACAACCTTGTATTATGCCTTGCATAGCCAGCTTCTCGCGATCCTTCGATCCATTGCCTATGGCCCGAAACTCAAGGATCAGAGGCCGAGGCGTTGGAAGCGGCATTGCTGAAGTGTTTGCCGAACCCCGGGAATGATACTACTGCCTACTGACCCAGCAGCCAATTAGTTGATTTCAGACCGGGATGGAAACGATTCCGACAGCTGAATGATCGGATGCCTTCCACACCCATGGAACAAACCCACACACGTGGTGATAGACCGTAACTAGGGAGGGATTGTGCAGCTTTTAATATTACACGATTCCCACTTCATGGGACAACCTTCCTTTTGTCTGTTCCTTTCCAATGCTAACAAGCCCGAGCAGCTTCGACCAGAACTCCAGACTGGTCTATGCGTCAGATTAGGAGCGAGCCATTGCAGATTCGCTGACATACAACCCTGCACTGTATTTAGCTTTGCGAATGCTACCTACTGCATACATAAGAAGTGATCAGGTCTGCCTATTCCAACTTGGATTTGCAGATACTGGTTCCCTCCCATCACCAGGACGGTATTTGGGCCATCATCACATAACCATGGCGGCGACGGTGGCTATGTCACCGGCCATCTCGGCGGCGGCATGCAAGAACGAATATACCTTCCTTGAGTACAGTCCGGAGCAAAAACAACAACAGCGACAACACAAGCAAGATAGTGAGCAAATAAACGTCAAGCATGATGCTTCTTGGAGCTACTGTGGCCCGCTCCTCAGCTCGGGCTTGGGAATGCCGACAACCTTTGACGAGTTTGCTCGGGCAACTTTCACAGGCCCTGTTCTAGCCAAGCTTCTGCCATTTCTTGACTTCGTCAATACCTTTCTCGCCTCAAATGGTCTCCACCACTATTTCCTGACTGTCCGCGCCACCACTCCAACTCATGAATTTGACCACCCAAGATGGCACACGGATGATCTCTTCTTTGCTAATCTAAATGATGGTTATCTGCCCGGTAGTCGACTGGGTGGCAACGGACAAGAGAGTCGTCCGCCACGTATAGCCGGCACTGACTGGAAGATCTGTACCACGCTTCAGGGACCGGCCACTCTCTTCATCCCCCACAGGCACCAATCACTGGCCCGTGAAACACAGCGCCGGGCACAGGAAGCCGCCAGCACTGACCACCAGTGCCTCTCAATCCGCTGTGTAGGGTGTGCTTCTGCCGCGGATCAAGTGAGGGAGGAGCTTGATGCCAAGCTGGCATCATGTGGTGTCGAGGCTGCTATGCCTGGGGAGTGCACATTCTTCCGGGTTGGGCGTGACGACGGAGCAATACATTCAGAACCCGTCATGAGCAATGAGCAGTGCGGTAGGGTGTTTGTCAACGTGGTGCCAGGGACGGAGCAAGAGCTCAGACTGCTCATTGGGAAGTGGGGAATGGAGTTTCCCAGAGAATGGTGGGTCGGAAGTAATCATATCTTGAGGGTTCACAAGTCGTAGGCATCAATTTAGGCGTAGGTCTGCGCTGTTCCTTCTCTTGTGTTACCATATATACATTCATGCCTTACTATTCTCATTGGCTATCCAAATTTCCCCTCAACAGGTTCGCGTGGTACAGCCCCTCTTTCATGCAAGACCGAATGAACCCAATGAATGGGATTGCCTCCTCGGTATGGACCGGCATGGATTGACCCCGTGTTTTGCATTGATGAAAAGATGATCGACACTGGAAGACTCATGACGGTCTGGTGGACGTTGACGCCGTCGGCAAGTCTCAATAGTCCTTTTATCTACCCGCATATCCTAATTGGCCGCGGCCATTTCGAGAAACCCTTGTATCCTGGGCATGCTGCAGACGCCCGCTTCCTTCACGGCCCAGACCGCGCTTTAGGGGCAACAACAACCGATAATACATCACGGTCAAGGTTTTACGTACATCTTCTCTTCACGAGGCATTGTGGCTTGCCGGATGCCTCACTAGCTGCAGAAATCTCGTTCAGTGTATGGTAGCACATCACAACTGAGGCAACTCTTGCCTCTCTCCCTCCCGGGCGAACTGGTTTGCCCAAATTATTTAGTTTCGACTTGTCCCCAGCCCTTTCCTCAGTCCGTCTGATAGTCAACAAATGTGAGAACTCGAAACCTTTGTCAATTTCAACACAATTTCAGCTTCTTGTTTTTCGAGACCAAACTAGATTGACGCCAGGATGGAGAGTGTTCGTTCTCGCCTTCCACCCGCTCTTCCACTCGTTCTACCACCCGTTCTGCCCCCGGTGCTCCCACCTATCCTCCCTGCCACTCTGCCTCCTATTCTTCCTCCTAACTGTTCACTACACACTCTACCCAATCATTTAGACCACCATTCCTCTGAGCTGCCACAATATCCTTCGTCTAACCTCGAGCCCAATCACCCGTCCCGTCGCTCCTCCGACCCTCAACCAAATCTTTCATCTAACCTCCAACCCAATTCTTCACCTACTCTTCCTTACCTAGCACCCAAACCCGCATCTTCCAACTTACCACCTCCATCGCGAGAGCCAAGCTCCAAAAGGAGGTCTTCTCTCGCTGCTTGTGATCGCTGTAGGAAGCGTAAGATCAAGGTGTGTTTTACCTCTCGGCTTACTGTCCCTGCATCGACGCGCATAAAAGCCGAGCACGGCGGGCTAATCACCGAGGGAAACCAGTGTAACGCACAACGCCCGGCCTGCGGTTGCTGTGTAGCCAGCGGCAAAGAGTGCCATTACTACACTAAGCCTTCCGAATCGCGGGCGCATGCCCTGAAGAGGAAGCACAACGAGCTGCAGAAGAAGGTGGAGTCTGACGCCACCGTGCTCGAGATGCTCCGGTCCTCCAGGCCAGAAGACGCCCAGGAGCTCGTGGAGCGTATTCGGCAGCGCCAAGACTCGCACAGCATCGTGCAGGACGTGCAGAACGGCGCACTGCTGCTTCAGCTCTCTGGGGCTGCCCCGGCGGAGATTCCAGGCAGTTACACCGCTGCTTCCCCGAGCTACTCTACTGATACTTCCGAGAGTAGCTACTATACTTATTGAAGCGTGTGGTGACGAGTAGATGTCGGAAGTCTTCGCCACACCGTCTTCGCTCCGAGTACTACTCCCCTCCCTCCCCTGGGTAACGCTTGGAGTTGCAATAAATTAACCTGACTGACCCTTCGCTCTCAGGCTTATGAACATGAAATGTCTGTCTGAATATGTGCTATTCAACCTAGTGCACCCTTCCTGCCGGGACCAGCCCGCGTTTGGTTGGATCCCTTTTACACTACGTACATCTCGTGGGTCTAATCTGACGACTGATGAGCTGATGTGTGTTCGAACGGCCTTTGCAAATACGCCAAGTAAGGCACCTTGGCCGGACACTGGAATACTGTACAACTAGGCTCTACCCTTCGTACCAAGCTATCTTGGATTAGAAGCGCACGAGTCTGATGAATCTTAAACGTCTCTTTTGTCGATGGAGTTATGAAATATATTTTGGCACACTCATAGCTATTGCGCATTGTGGCGCACAGCACTGCCATAGAAAATAAACTTGGTCTTACACACATAATCAACCATTTCTCTACCTAGGTAGTGAACAGCTTGGGCATTGTGGTTCACAATGCCGCAATCATGTCATACGCAAGCGGGCAATATTCCTTTGATAAAAGAAAAATATAAGGTGTGGTGACGAAAATAATATAATACACCCGGCAGTGACACCAACGAGCTTCAATCGACCCTCAGGATAGCGTGGGAGCTGGGTTCACATTGATTTGAATCGATTGTCGACGTGGGTGCTAAATCACGAAATGATAGCGGTTTAGCTGGTGGGTGGATGCACCAAGAGCCGCTGAGTCAGCTGGTGGGGTCTAGCTCATTTCTGCCGTGAATAAAAAAAGTTGGAATCGGAAATTTCAGACTTTTTTTCTTCCCTCCTCAGTCAACCCCCCTCGCTCAACAAATCGCTATTCGAAGCTTACAAACAGAGACGCTGCGCAAGCAGCGTCTCGCTTCCTACCTTGCTTTGGGAGAAAGTCCCCGGACGTCTTCTTATGGAGCCTGCGGAAACGCGCCGCCATAAAAGCACTGCGGCTGACCTCTGCCTTCCCAGGCTCTCCCCTTGCCCATCCGCCTTGCCAACCGCTACATCCGCTCGAGCATGCCTCCCAGCATCCCTGCCGGAGTGCCCTAGACCCCCAATGGATGAAGATATGAGTCCGCGTCGACAGGCAACTTCAGCGGTGTGATTGATGGGGTGGAAGCTGGGGTTCGGATGGTTGGTGAACGCCGGTGCCTGCGGGTTTGCGTCGGGTGCAGAGGATATTTGTCATGGTCGATAGGTATGCGATTGCCTAGCCTAGCGGCTTGGTTACTCGATGGGGCTTATTCTTGAGGCGAGGGGGGCTGTACTCAACTTTCTCTCTTTTATTTTGAGTGAGGAAGTTCTGGCCTTACTGTCGCTGAGGTGGCGGTTTCATCAAGTGTCGCGGCGGAGGATTTTGTCCTTCACCGCAAACCTTTCTTTTAAACACTCTGGGCTTCGCTGGAAGTCTTTCCCTCCACTTGT